AGCATGTTTCGTCGTGTCCCGTTCCTCTGGGCTTGGATGGCACCATCCGGTTCCATCGCTTCCATACATGATAACCTATGCGCGTGCTTTTGATGCATGGCTATCAACGCACCAAGTATGCATGTTCGAGGCACGTGGGTTGATACCCTGTCTTTTCTTGAGTTCGTCGTCCAACCCCCCTTCCTCCACTCCTCGAGTTCTTCCTCATCCAAACCCCCTCACTCTACACAATGAGCTCCTGGTCCGAACTCACTTTTCCCGAACTCACCGCGCCCGAACTCGCCCTATCCGAATTTGCCTCTCTTGCACTCACCTCGCCTAAACTCACCTCGCCCAAACTCACCTCGCCCAAACTCACCTCGCCCAAACTCACCTCGCCCAAACTCACCTCGCCCAAACTCACCTGGTCCACGCTCTCCTTTCCCAAACTTCCCTCGTATGAATTTGCCTATCCCGAATTCAACCCGATGAGTTCCTCCCTGGCCGAACCTGCCTTGCCCAAATTCGCCTCGCCCAGTAGGTCCCTATTCCTAAATTCTTGAAGTGTATGACTGACATGACACGTTGTCTCGCATCCTCTAATTCAAGAAGATGTTTATCCTCGTAGGACGTACAAATCGTACCTTGAACAATGGAAAGCTGCAATCTGGGGACGCATACCGGTACGCCACCTAGATCTTACTCCCCGATCCAGGTATTGACCGCTGTCTGTGCAATGATCGACATTCTCATCCATAGTACATCATGATACCGAGGCTCCCCCCTGAGCTGATGGACTACATAATTGACTTTGTGGGCGGCAAGCCAGATTTCAGCTTCCCCGATCGGCAGACGCTGTACAGCTGTGCTCTTGTTTGTCGTGCATGGTTCCCAGCTAGCCGTTATCGTCTTTATGGCTCTAGACAGACTGTACAATCCAGCAAGCACTTCGAAGCCCTTGTGCGGGCATCAAGGATCCCGCATATGGCATGTAGTCTGCGATCGGTGCGCAAACTGCATCTGGAGGATTCAAAGCCTGCATGGGTCCATCAATTACCCTTTGTCCTTGGACAAGTATTCTCAGCAGTCCAGGAGTTGCATATCCAATACATCAGATGGGATGCGGTTGTTATGCATCGACACGTACTGCTAATTGGCTTCACTCAGTTCGGATGTATTACCAAGCTGACATTGTCTGACTGCACATTCCGCAATTTCTGCCAATTTCGACATCTTATCTGTGCACTACCTCGGCTGCAGATACTAGAGGTGAAGGATTTATCGATGAAGACATCTGAGGCATTCCCAATTACTATTGCGACATCGCGATTTTCTGCACTCACCAGACTTTCCCTCTTCTGTGATCATAGTCACAAACAATCACTAAGGCTATATTCCGCACTTCTCAAATGGCTGGTATTGATGCCAGCATCCATCCGGAGTCTGCAGTCACTAGCTGCGAACAATTTTTCCTGCCAAACTTCAGCTCCTCTGAGAAACTTACTCCAACATGTCGGAACTAGTCTGGAGTCTCTATATTTAAGTCTGTATGCGCTGACTGCCTCTGATGGTAAGTGTTATAGCCTACATCACAGTGGCATCCTGAGACGTAATATCACCCACTGGCATAGTGCAGGACTTGAATGTCAGCCGTTTCACTGGACTTCGCAACCTCAATTTGCGGTGGATGCATAGGATGTCTTTGGCAGAGATCCTGCACATCATTTCACCAAATTGCCTCCATGAACTCAGCATAGGGATGTATCTAGGAGAAGTGGAACGCGAGTGGGAGAGTGCGGCCCGTATCCTGGACGAGCCGCAGTTTATCACACTACGGAAGTTCGAGCTGGCGATTCAAGACAAAACCTTTACCGAGGAAGAGAAGCGGTGCATTTCGGGCAGTCTGGATGCCTTGCGACAGCGAGGTGTCCGTGTGATTGTGGAGTTCACTTTTGACCCACCTCCACGTTGCCTCTGGGGGGAGTGCGACGTCCGGTTGGATGATATGTCCCCACGCGGCATAGAACGTCATATTCGATCGAAACACAGCAATGGAAACTGGATTCGGGAGCACCCTGGGGAGTGTAGGTGGAACACAGAGCAAGGGCTATGCGGACGTCGGATGATGCAGGGCGGCTACGGCAAGCACATAGCATCGACCCATTTGCAGTCTACAACCGCGATGTGTGACAAGTGCAGAAGGACCTTTACTAGGTTGGACGCGCTTCGGAGGCACATGAACCATTGCAGGGGTGTCACTGGTGGTCTGTGAGTAGGTGCACAGAACTACACTACTGTCTGGGGGAAATGGTTTTCATATCACATTAGAAGTTGAAGTACATACGACTGCTTTGTATAACTCATCTGCCCTTATTTTCGTTTCGAGAATATCCAACAACCATACAGCTGAATGACTTCCTCTGTGTGAGAACAACATGGTTTGTACTATCACGACAGTAAACCGACAGCTTGCAGATACAATTTCACCTCATACAACACGGTGTAATCGTATCCGCCCCCGCGTACTTGCACTGTTCGAGATCGCAGAGTGGCCTCGCAGCCACCACTAAGCCGTAGTACCTGTACAATGTCGGAGGTTAGCTGAAGCACGGGATTTCAATCTAGTCCCGGCTCTCCAAACGAGCTTAGTGGCAACGAGAACAAGTGATGAGGCTGAAAGCGACAGAGAGGATGCCTATCAAACGGATTTGCGATACAACGAGGTCCGACGGTGGAGTCCCAGTCTCCAAGTTACTTGCATGGATTACCTGGCCTCAGACACTCTCGGGTATATCGCCGCGCCCGAGGGAGCGCCGTGAAGTGGTCCGCCGACAGTAACGCAGTTCTATTCCGCGAATTGAGAGGGAATGGTATGCAGAACTTGCGGAGAGAAGATGCGCGGCGAAAGAAGTCGGGTGATGTCAATATTGGTGCAGGATCAGTTCTTACTGTGCAGTTGTCCGAATGAAGACCTGGGCCGGAAGAAAAACACGAGTACACGATGAACCACTTGACTGCAAAAATGCGCGCCATAAGCTGTTGGTCCAGCTGTATGACAGATCTTCGGCAGTCTTCAATCTTGGATCAAAATAAGCCTTAGGAGTCATTGCAGCTGCGAAGGACTCACCGCCCGAGTTTGAGCGACCGTACCCGAAAACAATGTCTGCTCGTAGTACATGTTTGGCACGGTCCTTTGGCAGCCGGAAGCCAGGCGGCATAGGTACCGGCATTGATGGGGAGAAGCATACTGTTGTTACCTAAGCTGCAGACGCGGACACTTGTCTACTGTAACCAACGATCTCACAGACGTGCGAATGGTCAACACGGTACATACCATCCTCTGCCTTCGATCATTATCTTGAGAACGATGAATTGACTTCAAGGTTGACAGTATGGCCATCCCAGCTGACGAGAGCTGGGGGTTAGGTAGGGAAGTTGATGGGAGAAGTGCCGAGGCGTCATCCGCTAGCACAATTGCAAGGATGCTAAGCCGATCCATTACCCTCCGAATTCTGCGTACAGAAATACGACAACTTGTGAACATAAGCACGCTTCGTATCAGGAGGAATCGGAGGAAGTCGAACGATATTTTTCGACTGCGATCGTGAGTCAGCTTTCGTGCGGCAAGCGTGCTGTTGAGATCGCGATGAGAAAGCCTTTGCCTTCGAGTGTCTTCTGAGCTGGAGTCTTCGAAATAGTATCAGGATTATACCAGTGCACTCTGAGTGGAGCAGAACAATAGATCAACAACGTGCGCAACGAGACTAAGAGAAACGGGGGCATACTATAAACAACTCAAAGAAGCGCGACTTATAAAACGATCCAGATGCATGTGCGGTGTCTGATTCTCGGTCACAACGATCTTTCTGAAGATTCGTGCCCTGTAATGCTATCAAATGTTCTCGTTCGGAAGTTCTCCTGCTTCGCTGGAGGCTCAACGGGCAGCGGTTGTTATGGCAGCAAAGGTCGAGGTACATACCAACGGGAGAGACAGATGAAACGGCGCTGACTTGAGATGTAAGTGTCTGAAGGAGGAACTAGCATGAAACACAGGGATGAACTACGAATAATGAAGCCTTGAGGACTCCTCATTAAACAAAACCATAACGAAGGTTTACCCGCGTGCCATCGCAAGGAACGTTTCGAATACCAGTAAATTGGGTAGCGTTCGGTACAATCACGTCGGCATAGATTAAAGGAACCCGGTTGATTCACCTTCGCAAGGGCAGTGCGCAACTTCTACGTACGACAGCCCTAAAATTGCGTGGAGTTCAAACAGCCGACGCAGCCAGCCATGCGCTGTTAGACTCGATCTCACTGAACAAAAAACTCACCACTCACACGCCGCTGTAGACTTTCAAAGACACCTTCAGCACCCTTGTCGCTCACCCGACCTTATACGGCACGCCGACGAGAGAGCGCGACAGAACTGGATGTAGTGTAGACTACCGTAGCAGCGCGCCGTAGGGGCGGAGAATGGCGTAGGGAAGGCACCTCCGTCAGTGTAATGACTGCCAGCGACGGAATAGCACAGACTGGGTACTGGAGTGATCGCAGTGCGCAGAGTCAATACACAATAGGCGGGAGAGTCCGAGCCAAGCCGAAATAAGCGCTCGTGGCGCATTTACTTCTGACGTCACGAAGGCGATCTCGATCTGTAGACGACTGTCCCTCCTGCGCTGGCGTGCAAGACTACTCAAGTACTCACTGACGACATACGGCTCTAATTGGCGCGCATATCCCCCCGGCTTTCCAGCTAATTATTTTCGATAGACTCGGGCAAAGATATTAAAATATTTGTTCACCAACACCGAACCTGCGCCAGGTGCTCGTCGTGTACCGGGCGACTTACCAGATACACCGCTTTCCTCGTCTTCTCCACCCGTCCCCTCCGCCATGTTCTTGACACACAAAACTCTACCATAATGACAGCATCCGTACTCAGGGTTGCGGCTCCCGCCGGCCTTCTATGCTCTCTAGCAGCACGCCTGGCCCGCAGTCTTCCACGAGACACGTTCGCCTCAGCCAGTAATATCGTGGCGATGGCACTGCGCCCGAGTGCGCGTGTGCGTGTGATGGGATGGGGAAACGGCGACGTGTATGTACTTGCACTTAGTGGGATCTCGTGTGCTGACGTCGCCATCGGAGGATTAACGGCGCTGCTCGGTTCGGCTCATGCGGGTACTTACTGCATGCAAATGTAGGGCGAGGGATCCTCAAGCCGGATCCGCTTTCTGACACGATCACCACGCTCGAGTTCGTCGATGCCGAATATCGAAGGGCGACGCACGCACGCACGCGTACAGGATGGCGCAGTCGGGAGGAGTGGTGGTGCGGCGAGGACTGCGTACATTCCTGCATATGTGACTGCAGGGCTAGGTCCTGGATCTGCTTCAGCATTCGAGGACGTACGGAGGACGTAAACCACCATGGTTATTCGCTCTGGGTGCTGGCCGGGATCTCCCCGTCTGAGAGTTGGCTATGGCATGCATAATAATGCATGATGCAAATGACCGAAGGGCGCTGCACCGGTGAGACGCGCAATGTGTGCCCGAGCTCCGACTCTCAGAAAGTAGCACACTGGACGTTGCAACGCATTGAGGGCGAGCTTGAAGATAGAGCAACGGTGTGATTCGCAAAAAGGGCATGAATTTATACATCAGAAGCAAGGATAGCGGTGCAGCATCGACAGTGATACTAGTGACTAAAATAAAAAGAGAGAGAGGAGCAACATCAAATGCGACACAAAAAGAATACTCTGCACGCACCTACACCGCAGCCTCGCGCTGCTAGGGACGTGCGGCCCATACGCGATCCTGGGCTCGCGGCAAAGGCAGGCCGTCGAGGGATTCTTCTTCGGGGGCTCGCGCGTGCCGCCCGTCGTCGTGAGCCGGAAGGGCGCCAGGCTGGGCTTGTCCTCGCGGTCCGGCAGTGGGAGCTCGCAGAGCGAGAAGTGGTACGGGTAGCCTACAGCGTGCGGGTGCACAACGGGCTCCTTCCGTGGGTGGCGGCGAGGGCACGGGGCGGCAGCAGAGGTAACGGTGGACAACGGCGACGCGGAGACCTCCGACTGCTGCGTCTTGGCGGGGAGGAAGACGGAGCGTTTGGGCTCGTGCTTGGCCGCAGGCTTGGCTAGAGCAGGGTGATGGCGACGAAGGTGTAGCTGCAGAAGTGGGAAGTCGAGGTCTGCGCTGGCGCCGTAAACAGATTCGCTGATGGGAGAGATCGGGGATGTTTCGTCATAGTACTAGTCGTAGTCGGCGTCGGGGCTAACCCCTCGAGTGGGTAGGGGCGATGTTGCGAGGAGTGTCGCAAGATGTTCTGTTAGTGCATTAGCTACAGGAGCAGTGTCATGCATACCTTTTGGCCTCGTAGTTGGCCCAGTGACGTCTGACCATCCGTAGTCATTTGCGGACTTCCAGGTGATTTGATATCCAGGACATTGGACGCTGTAACTTGAAATCTCTGCGAGGTCGTTGTGCGGGGATGGCGAGCGCAGCGCTGAGTGTACCTGAGCACGTTGGTGACTCGGAGTAGCCGGCCGTGCCAGCGGCGTCTCGCGTCTGTCACGATCACGCGCCGACGTGACATGCCTCCGAGACTCCTCCGCCTCATGTCCACGGTCACGCCATTGTATGTGCCCAGGGTGGTCTCAGGTGAGTACTAGCCTGGGGGAAGGTGCGTAGTTCAATTTTCTCGTTTATGGCTCACTAGGGTCCTCGCCAGTGCCGCTGACGAAGGGATCGCCAATACGCGACGATCCAAGAGTTTCTTGGAAGTAGTTTTGGATGCGGCGCAGAGGGAGGGTATCGGCCGTCGGGACTTGGGATAAAGATGTACGTGTCCTGGTTCATGATCACGTACGTGCACCCGTCCTCAACTCTTACTTTGCAAGGACTTGCAGCAATTTCGTTGTCGTTGATGTGATTCCGGAAGGAGATACATTCATGCATGTATCACCTACACTCGTGAATATACTCATTCTTCCTCGTCCCGAGATCAAGGCGAATACTCTGCGAGCAAGGATCTTTTCTTTTCCACCCTTTGTCAATTCGCTCACTCCAGAGACACTTCGCGACACCACGACTACCCTTTCGTCCTCACTCTGAGCGCAACTGTTCCCAGCTATGATCGCGACAATCGCGGACGCTTTGCGCAGTGAGTAACGGCTGTTCGATTACGGCCGCTCTTTCACGCTCTGTTGTCCCGGTCGTGGGGAAATTATCGAGCAGGGTTACATGTGAGTAGACTAACTGTTGTAGTCCCTCGCCCTGAATGTCTCACGGCTCCCCGATTTTCCAGAAAATTTAATTGCCAGACATCGAGAATTCCCAACCTCTTCACATAAACGACGGCAGCGCGTAGGCTTCTCTTCACCTCATCACGCAACGCGAGGACACCGGATCGGTGTTTCAAAGTGCACCTCCCTCGACTTCGTCTTTGAAGGGTTTGCCGCTCGTCAAGCGCGAACACGCACATCCCCTGTACTTTTTTGCGCAAAGCATTTCGGCTGCACGAGGACATCTTCTCCACTCAGTCGCCTGCAGTCGAGATCACTTTGCAGATCCCGGAGCATCAACGGAGGTTTGTCGCAAAGTGAAGATGTGGGTTTTAGTGCGCACTACGTTTTCTTTGCATTCCCTCAGTTCAGATTTCCCTCGCTGATGCCATACTCATCTGCGACGAATTCTCATTAGCAGCGCTTGGCTCTTTGGAGCACTCACGCACGGTTGCGCACGATAAGATCGCTTTCCTAGAAATACTGAATTAATTTTCCGAGTGCCAGGTATGTCCACGCCTGTAAGAAATCGATACAGGCAGTGGCGGCCAATGTTCCACAGGTTCTATCCCGAGCAGGCGTATTGTGATATTCGTTGGTGTTCGTTCCGCAATCGCGGACAGCCTTGCGATGTAGGGCAGGCTGATAACGAGCTCGACTCGGGAACCGTTCGTGATAGCATATCCTGTGCATAGTGACAGGTCAACAATAAAATCTATACAGATATGCGTGCGTCTATCTGCTATTTGCCGTGATGGACCACTCATTTGTTCAAATTTGCTAACCAATGATAACCCACGTGCTTGTTTTAGGCGCATGGCTATGAAGGCGTCAAGTTCTTATCCATGTTCGGGGTGTGAGAGTCAGTGTCCTATCTTTTCGTGAGCTCGTCGTTGTCCAAACCCCCACCTCCAATCCTTGAATTCCTCCTTGTTCTCAACCTCCCCTTACTCGACACAATGAACTCCTCCTTGTCTGAACTTAACTTACCCGAAGTCGCCTCGCCCGGAGTCACCTCACCCGAACTCGCCATGTCCGAAGTCACCTCATTCGAACTCGCCTGGTCCGAGCTGCCCTTTCCCGAACTTCCCGCGTATGAATTTGGATATCCCGAATTCAACCCAATGAGTTCCTCCCTGCTTGAAACAGCCTTGCCCATTTTCGCCTCACCCAGTAAGTTCCTACTCCTAAACTCTCGAAGTGCATAACTGACATGACTGGTTGTCTTGCATCCTCTAGTTCAGAAAACCAATTCTGGCAGGGACTACTGGCACATTACAGGGTGGGAGGCTGCAATTTGGGAATGCTTACCGGTACGTCGCCCAGATCCTACTCCCCGATCTGAATATTGATCACTGTCTGTGCAACGATCAACATTCTCGTCCATAGTACACGAATATACCCAGGCTTCCTCCCGAGCTGACAGACTGTATAATCAGCTTTGTGGGTGGCAGCCCAGATCTCTTAAACGCCGAGAAGGAGATGCTGTGCAATTGTGCTCTCGTTTGTCGCGCGTGGCTTCCCGCTAGCCGTTATCATCTTTATCACTCTACGCTGGCTCTACGATCCAGCAAGTGCTTTGAAGCTCTTGTGCAGACATCAAGGGCCTCGTATGTGGCAGCGGCTCTGCGAGCAGTGCTCATACTAGATCTGAAGGATTCAAAGCCTGCATGGGTGCATCGATTTCCGTTTGTCCTTGGACAACTGTTCTCAGCAGCCCAGGAGTTGTATATCTCTGACATCGAATGGGATGCAGTTGTTATGCATCGAAACACACTGCCGCTTGGCTTTCGACAGTTTGGATGTGTTACCAGGCTGACGTTATGGGGGTGCAAGTTCCAGAATTTCCGCCAATTTCAACGTCTCATCTGTGCACTACCTCATCTACGGTGCCTAGAGGAGCAGAGATCATCAGTGAAGACCCCCCAGGGATCCCCAATCACTATTGCAGCATTGCGATATCCTGTAATCACCGAACTAAAATTGACAGGCCCTGAAGCAGATCCAGTGCTTGATTTAGCACTTCTCGACTGGCTGGTATTGATGCAGGCATCCATCCAGAGTCTGCGGTCACTGAACATACATCTACGTGATAAAGCTCTATCTTCTCTCAGAAACTTACTGGAGCACGCCGGAACCCAGCTGGAGAATCTATGGTTATCTCTCCCTCTTGGAACTACCTCCCATACCAGTGGTAGTATTACACTTTATATCACAGTCGTATCGTGAGATCTAATATCACCCACAGTGCAGCATTTGAATCTAGGCCATTGCACTGTACTTCGCAACCTCGCCTTGCGGCAGGTACAAAACATCTCTTTGGCAGAGATCCTTCGCACCATTTCACCAAATTGCCGCCTTCACAAACTCGACATATTGATGGAGCCAGGAGAAGTGGATTGCGAGTGGGAGAGCGCAGCCCAGATCCTGGATGAGCAGCAATTTCTCACACTGCGGGAGTTCATGCTAGACGTTCGAGGCAATGACTTTGCCAAGGAAGCGAAGCGGCGCATTTTGGACTGTTTCGATGCCTTGCGTCAGCGAGGTGTCGAATTTAGGCTGTGTTTCAACTGGAAGGTCTATTGCAGCGATTCACCCACTATATCAGTGTGTCAATCGAAGACTCCGGAGCTGCAGGTTGACATCTGAGCGGACGAGGTCAGGAGAAACAGTATGGCGGAGGCACTCTGGTTCGGCGAGCACAGCTGGCAGGCTGCAACGTTGCGGGGAGGACAGGTAGGTAACTCGGAAGTTGGAATGTCCAGACGGTGCGAGTTCTTCTATGCAGGACATCATTCTTTGTCAGACTATATGTACTCAAGTTTCCGAGTCGGAAACAGGTCGATGTGCCAGAGATACGTATGATTTTTACCACTCTATTCTCGAGATTGTTGTCCTTCCGTTGTAATTTTACAGACTTAGAAGTGTCTCGCGAATCCCGAAAGACGTGTGGGCTTCTGCGCGTACCGGATTGTGTACAGTTCATACTTAGATACCGACTGCGCACGCAGTTCGTAGGTCTGAAGTTCTGATTGCATTGAATTTACATATACAGAAACCCACGAAATCGATCGTGCATCCTAACAATATCACATCCCTGCCAACAGCACACCGGAGGACAATCCCTTGGTGAACAATGCGGGGAGGGCGCATAACTCAAATGTCCAAATTGTTGCGGAATATGTATAGGACCTAGCCGATCACAAATGCCAAGGACAAATCAGCTCAATGCACACGGCGTACCAGAGTGTTATCCACGACGAGCTCGCCGCTTGCAGAATGTCTTGGACTGCGGGACACCATCAGAACACTTGTGTGCTGTCTCCGCCTACAAGTCTGGAGAAATTGTGTCGATAACAATAAGGCGGTGTTTGAGTGGGAGCGCAGTCGCACCTGTGTGCGCTGATGGGGAAGGGTACGCAGGCGATGTGGAGAGAAGACGCCGAGTGCCAGATCCCGAGTGATCTAAGAATTCGCGCTAGACTGCCATAATCGCGCAGAAATCCTAACGACGAGGGAAGTCAATATAGAGCCCATGACGCGAGAAAAAAACGAACTCATGACGAGTCCGCTTGACCGAGGATGCGGCGAAACGGAGCAATGCGCTGATCCTGCGAAGCGATACGTCCTGTGCAATCTCAAATGTGAAATCAAAAATCTTACGGGATTTTAGCGCTGCGAATGACTCACCTGTTGAGCTCGAACGATCCTCCCTAAAAATGGTGTTTGATCATAGTACAGACCTCGGCAGCGGGCAGCTCAGCGCGACGGGTACCCGCACCAATGCGGGGAATAGCACTTTGTGCTATTTGGGGTGGGATATAGATGCGCGGTTGAGTAGCGAATATACAGACACATGGAGACGCCGATCCGAAGAGACAGTCTTGGGAAGATGAATGGATTTTGAGACGACCGACGCGAATTTCTGACGTAGCAGTGTTGTTAACAGGAGCGCCGAGGTGACCTATGTTGTTACAACCACAGACGGGTTCTGGACAGGTCGGAGATCTGACAACCTGCGAACATAAGCATACTTCGAGATCAGGGAGGACGCGGAGGACGCGAACGTTAAGTTTTCCGGTTGCGATCGCCAGTCGTTTCGCGCGGCGAGCGCGCCGTTGAAGGGATTGGCGATGAGACAGCGAGTGCCTTCGGTGTCGAATCATCATCCAGCACACCCTGAAGGGAACGTCCGATCAGCGATGCGCATGACGAGATTAAGAGAGCGATTGGGGCACGTCCAGCTGAGCCGGAAAACGAAAAGACCGTTGAAACGCACAAATACTAATCGTCAAATTTGAGCACCTAAGGAGAAGCGGGATGTAACAAAGGGGAGCGATGCTTCCTGCGGTGAGTCACGATGACATTTTGAACCGTCGCGCTACCAGATATTCTCTGTCTCTGTGTCGGTGGCGTTACTGGCATTAACACGAGCAGTCTTGACACTTTGGACGGCTGGCGACTTCATCGGAGGCTCAGTGTTGATGGTGGTGAGCAGGGCCAACATATGTAGCATAAGGAGGAGGCAGACGAAAAGATGCCGGACGTTAGTGAGCTGTCAGCATCTGAGGCTGACGTAGAAATTAGGTCGTGCAGAGACGACGCACGAAGATCAAAGCATCTTCAGGAAACGGGACCATAGCACGGAAGACCTCCTTGCGTCGTCGCGCCCTGAGACAGCCGTCGAATACCCGCGCTTTATGGAGGGCACCCTTTCAATGAGGTACGAGGGATAGATATCATAGATCAAAGAGATCAAAGACCCACCGCAGCAGTTGAACTCACCACTCACCCATCTCTTTGGATGTCGAAGGACACCTTCCCCGCCCTTATCCCACACCAGACCGTATATACAGCACGCCAACGAAAGTACGCCGCAATGCGACACGGTGACACAACCACTAGATCTGGATGCGTCGAGTATAGTCGCAGGGGCGGAGAACAGCATGGGGAGAGGACGGTCACCTCCGTCGGTGTAAGGACTGCTAGGATAGCACAGACGTGGCACGATGATGATTGGCTACTAGAAAGATCTCAGAGCGATCGATACACAACCCCAAACAAGCGCTCATAGCGCTTCACCTGTCACGTCACGGAGGCGATCTTGATCTGTGGCTCCTTGAGTCAGCTCTCTCCTCCACCTGCTTTGCAGGGTATTTTTCATCGACGCCCAGTTCCTACTCTCCGGGCAAAGAATATTCGTTTGCCAGCACCAGCGGTCTTCTGGCGTGATATCAGACTAGTGCTGCTGCTTGTGTGGTCGATTCCATCCACGTATGGCCTCCACTCATCCTGTTTCTTGGCTCGACTATCCGGCGGCTGGTCCGCGTCTAGTATTTATTTAATATGAAACTGGCGTGCTTGCCATTGATCTCTGAGTTACCAATACACTATCATTGACGAATGACCTGGCGACAGAGCTTGATTAGCCATACCTCCTGAAGTGCACCAGGAGCAGAAACGCAGTGGCTTTTAGGCACAACGGACGGGAAGTACGCGATTTTACCATGCCGATTGCGCTTGAGCTCGGATATCGCGAAGACTTCGAGGTGTCGTATATGTTCTCATCGCGACCTCCCAACTTTTTCTGCGGTCCCTCTGGTATACCTGTACCCCGGATTCTACATTGGACATTTCTGATGCTGATATCGTGATGAAATGAAGGCGAAAGGCACCATGATCAGTGCTCGAGACTGATTCCTTTCCCTGTGCGCCTTCGTCTACGTCTTCCCAGGCCCATGCAAAATATCATCACCGACGAATAGTCCCTGGCGCCCAAATTCAAATGCTGTCTGATCTTCGACAAGTGCATCCAATACTCCTATCGTGCCCCTCTCGCGCTAAGCATTCATCTTGTTCGATCACCACACGGCACGCAGTCAACCTCCCCGTACTCCACAACCATGGCCCACCTCAGTTTATTGTTGCACCATCGAGAGCCCCGCTTGTATTTTCTGCCAGAGAGGCACCCAATAGTGCAGATCCATACAGCCCATCGGCATCGCCTGCGTTCAATTCAACGCTGGTGCTCGGGACTTCAGCCGCGATTATTCGACTGACCACACGTCTGTTCTCGTCTGCTGTGCGCAGTATTGCGTGAAAGCTCGAAGTGCATTCTGTTGCGGCAATTCGTGATGCAGAAAATGTGAGGCCCATCTCCAAGTTCCCGCCAATACGCTGACTATCATATGCAGCCGCTATCCATGTATCTCCCTTTGCAATTGCAGAAGTCCCGACTTTGTCCCGCAGTAATTTCCATCACTCTTGCTGTGCGACTCTGCGAGCTTCGATTTATAGTGACCAGCGAAGCTACTTGTCGGAGGACAATTCAGATAGACTGTTGTATCTGCTGGGCATCGCGGCTCGAATGCGTGTTCTTTTTTGTCGCTGGGGGCATGCAGGATCTAGATACGCAGACGCATTTTGCGGTGAAGACCACCTTTCTGCACGTCCCCCAGTCAAGAATTTTCTGATGATTCAGTATGCACCATCAACATTATGCGGCTCATGTCCTGTTATGGTTGTTGCAGGCTGCTATATTTCGTGATTCAATGAGATGTGCTGATTCAAAGATTTCCCAGAAATTCTGCATGATGCATTTTCTAAGCATGCATATGATATTGGACTTAGTTGCGAGTCGTCATGTGAAGGACTGCTAACAGATTGCTTGGTCGGACGGGTTCTTCATGACGCACCCTTCGGACGGATGGACATACTCAGGTACGCAGAAAAGAGCTGATTTATTATTCTCTCGTATTCGTGCGATCGCAAAGATCTATTCACATAAAGGTAAATGCCACCTTTCGCACTTCGACAACAACATGGTCAGCAAATCTCGCGCATCGAGCGCATCAGCGCCGCGATCAGTGCGAAGCTTACACGCCGATATAGTGCGGACGGTGAACGTCACGCAACACTATCCGTTTGCCGCATCACAGCTGAGGCAGGTGCCGGATTTTCCCCGCTGCTCGTGGTGCACGACACGACCTACTTCGTCTTCTCTATCCGTCCTCCTCCCATCCGGGCCTTGGCACTGAAAACTCCGCCATGATGCCAGCATCCCTACTCAGGATTGGTGCTCCCGCTGGGGCCTGGGCATAGAATGAGCAGGCTAATCCCTCGAGTGGGTAGGGGTGATGGCGCGAGGGACGCGGCGAGATGCTGTGTTAGTGCAGTAGCAATACCATTATCATGTCGGCCTCGGCGGTTGGTTCATGGGTGTCTGACCATCCATAAGTAATCATTGCGGATTTCAGGGTGATTTGGTATGGAGGATTGATTAGAAGGTGTAGCTTGAAATCACTTCAAGGTTCTCGTGCAGGGATGGGTGATGGAGAGGACCAGGAGCATACGACACCAGAGACTACCGGGATCTTAAAGATATGGTAGCGTAGCATTACCATGGGTGTTGTTGTAGTATAACGCCTTCATACAGGACGAAACAGAGGTACATCCATGGAAGAAATCGAGGCCCCGATTTCACCACTACGGGTGCAACATGTTGACGGCTCTCTTTAAAACTGGGACGTTCGAATTCGTGTAGAATGTGGGGCGCCAGGTAATTTCGTCCTTGTTAGTCCTGCGCCAGGTTGACCGTCGCCGTCGCAACAAACCGCACAGCTTACACCGTGGGCGGCATCAGTCAGATACTCTCCATACTCAAGATTTTCAATCAAGGGACACACCTTTGCTAATTCCTTGGCATCCAAAGACAGGTTAGCACCCATGTCCGCATCCTATACTCATATTCACCAACTGCAGCGCTCCATCCTAACGCATGGTAACGAAACGCACAACCCGAGACGTGAGTGCAAGACACCTGAGGAAGTATCGAGTCTAAGGCTAAATCAAATACGTAGAGGCAGAACAAACACACAGGGTAGGAAAATCGGGCAATCAATGGCTGTAAGCAGTCGGTTGGTGCTCAAGAAGAAGATTGGTATTAGGGAGAAGAAGAAGCTATGATGTAATGTAGTTGCATCCACAATGAACGTTTGGACAGTTACCGCCCTCGATAACGCCTGACGAAGTATGTGTATAGATTGACATAATGGCATAAGCTGTATTCGATTCCATCCATGAGACAAAGTAGTACATGCTGCGATATGGCATACAAACGACACCGCTACATTAGATGTAGAACATACTCTCCTTCAAGTCGACGTGAACCCCATTGCCCCAGAACTTCATAGCCCGATCGTCTACTTGTTGCGTCTGCTCTTCCAAGGTCTCTCTGCCACCCATCGTTGAAGTTTTGTCCTCGCCTGCATCAAGGATGGAATTGATGTAAGATCTCCCCCTCTTGCATGCAAGAGTAGCGTAGTAAGCCGGGGGCACCAAGCTCACAGCCTTGGTCGCACACACGTAACCATAACTGGTCGTGTGTGTCCCCTGCTGTATCTGGTCAGCGGACCAGTGCTGCTCATCATAAATGACCACATAGTGCTTGGGGCGGGCATGGCCTTGCAGTCCAGGGTGCGCCTAACAAAGTGGTCAGCCCTTTGTACGACTCTAGATATATGCATCGCAACGAGCCTGCAAGTAGAAGTCGTTACTGTACACATTAGTTATACCCTTGTCAATGACTGTTCCAGGCTGGGTATTGCCCTTGTGGTCCATGACATTATAATCCATGGGAATTATACGAGCGCGGCGTGTCTTGCCGCACACCGTGATCGTTAACTTCGGGCGGTATAGCGCCTCCGGTGATACCTTCTTGAAGGCAACCAGAAGTTTCGGAAGTTCATGCTGAAGGACCAAATTATACTCGCCCTGTATGGATTGTCATTAGTATTGCACTGCATGTGAAAAGTGCAGTACTAACCTCTGAGACACCATTGCGATATACAAAGATACGTTCTGGGAGAGACTTATTTTTCTTTTGATAGAGGAGTAGTCGCTCTACCATCAGGTCATCAAGTTTCTCAACCATCTAAAGTAGAGTCTCGTCAGTGAACAGCTACTACTAGCATAAGCCAATGCACCGCACACACCTCTTTGGCACCTTTGTTCAAATTGGACTTCTGGGGTTGCAAGCTGGCAGGAAATTGTACGAAATCGCTGTCCACACTGGCGACCACAGCAACGATCGATAGAGCACAGAGCTTGCTTGTAGGCCCAGGATCCGTGAGGCTGATACCCACGAGCATCGTCCTCTTCTCCGTCAACCACCTCATCGACTGCGGATCCAGCAAGTGGTTCGTACCCCCAAGCTTGGCATTCACTTTAAGGGCAACGTTCGAGAAGTACTGATCTTGGTTGTTGCCTCTCGCCTTTTTCAGCTGCATGTGGACGGTATGTATGCCAAGGACAGTATCACAGAGTTTTTTGATGCCGGGATAAATATAGCTGTCGATCTTGGATAGTAAAACAAGCACGAAGCTGGGTTTGTTGTTTCTATCAAGGTTCTGCGTAATTGCCTTCCGAATCTGCTCCAATGCCTGAGTCCTTGATGGGTCGTCCCGCGGATGTGGTAATCGGGACGTTGCGATGGAGGTGGGCAGGGTCGGAACATTCATCCCGCTCGATCTGCACTTCGCAGCGAACATTTCTATGAACTGCTGCAGAGCAGGATCGTTCGTTCCAGTGAACTCCTCGTCACCTCCATCCTGAACTAGGAGAACAGCCCAGTTCCTAAGATCCGACCCGACGTGGAATTTAACATTCAGGATGTTCCAACTCCCATCGTGAACTGCACAATTCCCGGACCTGTACGTGATTCTCGGAGCAGGAAGGACACGGCTGGGAACAGTAACCATCTCCGGGTTCAGAGTGATTCTAAACCCCTGCAGAGGCACTCCCTGTGCATACCAACGTAGGCCCAAAGCTGGAAATCCCTGGCTAACGATGATTTCTGCATTCGTGTCCGGTGGATTGCAGGCATATTTGGTCATCTCAGCATTCTCGCGGTTGCCCAACCTGCCACGGTATGGCTGATTGGGCAATATTTCACATAATTCCGCAGGGAGGCATGTCATGCCGGAGACGTTGATGACCGGAAGGTCATGGGCATGATCGAGGTGAATTCCATACCCTGTATTTGATGGAATTAAACCAGACCAACCGTAACAAGAGACCACACTCACGTCGCTGAAAATACTCTTCCATCGTGACTACGCCATTCAGCTCATCGCACTGGAAACGCATCTGACGAGCAGTAGTGCTCATGATACCCATGACCGTTCTCTTTCTCGTGTAACCGAGGTATCTCGTCGACACTTTCAGGCCCCGGGTAAATGACCCGGGCATTCCTCCAGTCGATCCGTTGAAGGCAATCATCGCGTCCGCGAGATTTCCAGGGGTATAGAATGCGGTCATGCAGACATTGACGTTCACCGTCAGCTGCTTGTATGTTGGGCGAACCGACATGAAAAAACCCCTGTAGGCTTCGAGACCGGGGCCCAGTGGATAAAGACCTGAAGACGGGAAGAAGTACCTGTTTTTACCCACGCGGGTGCCATGCGAGGCTGCATGCTGCTGTAAAATGAGATTCAAAGCGGATATCATGGGACCCGTATCATCGTCGCTATGGTCTGGTTGGCCATCCATGTAACTAGAACAATGTATCGCCAGTGATTCATTCCTTGAGAAGATGTTTGAACTTACGCATTCAGCTCACGCATGTCGAGCTCACGGATAAGCCTTATCTCTACTGTGAACACGAGTGCATTCGGTAGCGGAGCCGTCTGCCCCTCCTCAACGTAAGGAACGGGTATCGAGAGAGGTTGGGGGAGCTTCGTTGCAGAGACAAGTCTCTGACTACTGTCATGGGCAATGTAGCGCACGTGGGGAGCATAGATAGGGTTACTCTCCAAGATTTGAAAGATGCGAGCTCTGCGCCCCGCACCTACCTTGTACGGAGTGATAGCGACGTGATAATCATATACGATGTTCTTCAATATCTTCACAGCGAAGGAGTTCACCCTAACTTTCATCTCCGTGCCCAGAGTGCCCCAGCCAGGGCGCATAGGCATCTCATCGCGCACGTTCAGCTGCTTGCCCTCGCCACCAGTTCCACGTCCACGAGTGTCGAAGCCTCTGGTAAAACTTGCTCTGGAGGGTCTTCCAATGAATCCGCCGCCACGTCCACTGAGTGTTTGTCCTCTTGGATTGCCGCTGCCGCCACCTCTGCCACCGAGCCCGGCATCAGATCCTGCGATAGAGGTCGCAGGGCTGCCTCTTCCTCTTCCACGACCGTGACCTCCGCGACCTCCGCGGTTACCCTGATTTCCTATTGCGCTCATGAAAGTTAAGGTGCAGCTGCGTCAGAAATGGGGCTCTGGACTGTAATAAGTTGTGAACGGGTGGTGGGCGAGAAGATGCGAGTCTTGTATAAGCGAGTAGTGCCAATCCAGGAAGATAGAAATAATTTGGAGAGGCTGCGCCCTGTTCCAGAATCAAGAGCAAAGGCAAGTGAACACTTCGCAGTTTTCCCAGCCGGCCGTCGTCAGTTCTTTATCAACGGAAACCAATTTCCCAATGTTCTGCGTTCGAACACGTTATGCCAAACTGTTCCACAGAGGAACACACCGCAGTGGAGGGGAAGATTGACTCCAGGCGACAGTACAGGCAGCCAGGCGGTTGCGGTCAGGCTATGTTTGTCAATCTTTGGCAGATACTCCAAATCAGGCAACACTCGTTTACGAACAGCCCGAGAGAACTGCGAATAGAGAAAAAATCAGTGTGGTAAGTACATCTAGAGATCGGGAAAGACACGACAGAAATAGAGAGAAATAGTCCAGAATAAAGAAATGAATACATGGGCTTGTGGAAGAACGAGGCGCTCAATTCTCGCACAACAGAGGACTGCCTTAAAAATCCCTTCAGCAAGTGTTTGCAAGGAGTAAGAGATCATTATTGATAGAGTGATCGCGATACACTCGAGCGCTGTTCTGCTGCCTTATACGGGTGCGAAGAGCGAGATGGACGCACTGAGAGAGCAGTAGATGAGAACCGGACGGAGAGCGATGCGACAACGAGAGAGGAGACAAAGACCGAGAAGGGTGAGAGAACCGGGATGAGGAGGCCGTCGGGACTGCCGCGTCGTGGACAAATCAGGAAGCACTGATAGCGCTTGCAGAGGGACGGGTTGGCCATCTATGACGGGCCTAAGCAAGAGAGCCTCATCGCGTGACGAAGAGTTGGGGAGGAAGTGTCGATGCGAGACTGGTGGTAAAAGCGTTCTGGCACTGACACGAGTGGGCATCGTCGCCGTCCACACAGACGGTAACACACTCTCCATCGGCTCCGTGCAGTTCCACGGCAGTCGCCCAGCTCGACCTCCACCATACACATCCCGCAACTTCCTTCTGCGTGCTCTACCAGCTGAGGAGTCTGTCCGTAGGTCGGGTGAAAGCGAAGAGGAATGTACATTATCATTCTGAATTCCCAGGCTGTTTCATCGCCTTCGGATGTTGGCCCGCCCGATGCTGAGGTCTCTCACTGCGACAGACCGACGTGTGGAACACAAGGTCTTGCAGCCCCGCTTTTTGACTCGCTGGTCACCGTTCCATCCGCAGCACAATCTTTGGACCTGACAATTCCGTGAAGAACAAAGATCCAAACGAGAAAGCTGGTCAGCGCCATATTTGGAACGCTTATGCGTGTGAATGAATACATCCTTGCTAATTATGGGGGATTGTTCTGCGTTCTCCGGCCTGATCAATTTGTAGTACGGTTATTGGACGAATATCAACGCACCACACTCCGCACAGTATCCATCGGGAACTCGCAAAGGTATTCATGATTTAGTTCGTAAGCCACGTCCGTGTCCCTGAGCAGAGCTTGTGTGAGTGTGAACGGGAATGGTGGAGCATCACTGTGATCCTATATTGTCCTGTACAGTATCGTGTTCAAGTCTCGCGTTCAAGTTCGGGTCTCTAAATAAAACCCACGGAAACGGCATCCAAATGCTCCTGATCAATTTCACCGGCCCATGATGGCACAACCCACGCACCACTTTCATCATATCGCCTCTCTGGCCCTCGCATTGTGCATCATCCACCGCCGGCTACGGTTGGTGGAACCACTCCGCCGTCGACCGTGAAAAATGTTGCCAGCTGAAATACCTGAAATAGGAATCTCGAGACTAAAGGGCAGATTGCACCCGAGTCACAGAAACGGCCCTATGTGTCAGAGTCAAAAAGTACACCTGCTTCTCGTTCATAGCCCTTCTGTCCATCCCACGAAGTATCAGGCTTAGATGGTACGGAAAGGAGGTGACCAGCTGGACACGCACGAAGACATCTCGACAACGCAAGTCCTTGAGGTCGCCCATCACCGCCCGCTGCTCCTATGGGCTCAATCGGTCGTCTTCGTCGGGAGTAACAAGGACGCAACTCCCCGCAGGGCGCGAAATCGCTTGGACGCAAGTACGTTACACACGCATTACGCACGCATGCTCACTGGGACTCAGGCTTGAACGCGCGCCCATGAATCCAGAGCTTGCGAATGCGGATGCTGGCGAGACGAGCCCCAGTGTCTCCGAGCACGAGCGAGCGTTGGTACCAGTTGAAAGCCATTGAATCGGTGAAGCTTGAGCTGTTCCGCTGTGAAATATGTAAGATATTTGGCTCTGTTTTCATTAAATTGAGCTAACTTACTATCTGTGAGCGCGTCAAGGTCAGATTTAAAGAATCGAGACCTGTTGCAATCGACTCGATTGCGTCCCCTATTATCGATGTCAACTCTCTAGGCGGCGGCGCCAGCAATCTCTGCAACGATGGTCGTGGAGATGCTCCAAGGAGAGAACGAGTGTTGGGCGACTGCGAAGCACCGAGTCTTGCATTATAAGAGACAAGCGGCGGACGGTGCCCGATGGAGAGCGAAGGACGAATGCGTTGTGTGATCACCGTATCGGTAGGCTCTGGCAGAGAGCTGCGGAGTGCGTTTGCAGTCAAAGACGCATATGCGGAAGGAGCAGAGGATGAGATGTCAGGACATGGGAAGGCCCTGAGATTCAGAAATTGAAGAGCGATGAGCATCCCACAGTATCATGGATGACTGCGTCGAAGGATCCAGACAGGTACAGACCTCAACCCATACTTGTGCTAATGGTGTCGAGCTCCTGCCACAATCATTGTCACGCATCTCAGCGCTCATGCATGGTGCACTGCCACTGCATTGGACACGATACCTGCATGTGCACTCAAGATCATTGCTTGAACGCACTTCTGTCGAAGGTGAGCCTTCCTGCCATAGGTGTGCCTCGATCCCTATGAAGCTATTGAAGCCGCATCCATCAAAGAGGCAGAAATTTCTTCGACCATGATTAGCCGGAGTTCTGGGTGGATCGCCGCGGCGGGGTATCCACTATTTGGAGTCGTGGCAGAGATGTATGTATATGCCTTGGTTTATCTCAGTCTCTGACCTTGCGAAGCAATCTGTACGTCGTAGATGTACCCCTTACTCCCTAGTGTGGAGAAACTGCAGCAAACGCCTGGATCGAAATAGAGAGGAGCGTCAGAGATCGAGAGACGGTACATCGGAACGGACGAAGCTTACCCTGTATCTTCACATTTACGCTGATCTGCAAGTCCATAGCACGCCAATGTCGAGATTGCCCAGCTGTACCTTGCCCGTGTTCTCGTCGCGCATCACGTGGATGCAGTCACGGCAGGGCTCGATAAAATGAATCGACGACGTGAAGATAAGTGTAGATGAGCGGGCCGCGGAGGATGTTTTTGAAGAAATCATCAGATTGTTGAGACGGACGTTGAAGTAATTATGCTCCATCTGCGCTGTAAAACATGGTTTCAGTTTCTACGGCACAGAAGAATACGTCCAGGGTACTCACCGAGGACACGTTGGACTCGAAACGATGGTCGTTCGGTTTGGCAGGACGTTACAATGAGGTCATTGACGGCGAGGCTCGAAAATAAAACAGCGAGAGAGAAACTCGCGTCTCGACGAGAACGGGTAGCCCCAAAAGTTGGCCGCTGAGCTTATCCTTCAACACGCTAATTTTTGCGTCGACTTCGATGGTGCCCTCTCCATCCGAGCGAGAATTGATCGAGGCGTGGACGAAGCCTGCGACCCCGTGGACAAATTCATCGAGGAGCTCGCGCCTAGGACAGATGGTGAGAGTGGAGGAGCGGCGTTGCGAGAGACGTGTGTTGGCGCATCCGCTGAAGAGGGACGTGAGGGATGATCCTGCGCTAGCCTTGAATTTCGAACAAATTGCACTGCGAAGCTCATAACGCATCGGGATCGCATATGCAATGATTGCTGAAAGTGTTATTCTGCGATTGTGCTGTATGAGCGTACACCTATGTATTTGAACCAGATATGGAACAGATGCAGTCTCATCAGTGCTCATACACCTAGACAAAATAGAGCGGCAGCTACATACTATTTGTCCTCCTCTGCGTCAGCCAAATTGGAGTCGCCAGCAAGTTCAATCTTTCAAAGCTGCTTCCTGCTCTGTGGGAGCATGCGGGTGAATAGTAGCTTGTGATGCCACCGAGTTATCGTGCGTATTGCTAGGACAAGCTGATAGAATGGAGTCCATACACCAGGGAGCCACGAGCATCCGACCAGCCAAGCAGGAACGTCCAAAGAAAATATGATTGGAGGTATGATGGTCATCGGATGGTCATACGTTCTAGCAGGACTTCGTGGCATGAGCAAGCGTTCGCATACCGGTACTAAGTAGAGGGCACCGAAGCAACGAGGTCGGGACCCGCCTTGACCTCTACGGATAGGACTACGGAGATGCGCCGAGCTTTCCAGTTAGGTACGTCCGAGTACACATGGACCTTCGAGCACCAAGAAAGTTCATTTCCACGATTCTGCCTAAACGTCGGAGAAGATTAATGCAGAATGACCACTGCCGCACTAAATGCCGCGGGTTGCAAACTCACCCGAATTTCAAGACGGCCAGCTAACTACTAGCCTTCCCTGACTTAATGATAGTTGAGATGCGCCTCGAGCAGCCACATCCGATTCCTACAGTCACATCCACTAGTCCACCGTTTCACTTCCGAGGGCCAACCAGACTGCGGGAAATTCCGCAGCAGGCGTGTGTGTTGGACGACTGCGAAGTACCGAGTCCTCCTTCATAAAAGACAAACGGCAGACAGTGGGCCCTATGAAGGACGTAGGATAATCGATGATTATGCGGTCACTAACTCAGGCTGAAGGGTGTCGACAGGCTCAGGCACAGAGCTACAGATAATAACTGTGGCTTCAACAGGATGCCGTCAAGGACGCGTATGCCGAGGGTACAGAGCGAAGGGATATAGTATGGTCGGTATTACATTGCGAAGGTCCTGAGGGATTCAAGTAGTAAGGAGCTCACCGCGAAGTCATTGAACGACTGTGAAGACACATACAGGTCAACGCATACTTATGTGGAATGGAGTCGAGCGGGTACACTGGCAGTACTGTACGGCTCGCTGGCACCGTGATGGCACGGACGCGTGACTTCTCGCGCCTGTCACAATCACACGGCTCCGCCCCGCCACTGCAAAGCGCTCAACAAGTACCGCATCCAACAAGTACTGCGATACCTGTATGTACGCCCAGGATCGTTGCATGGGCGCAAGCACTGCTGGAGAAGGTGAGCCCTCCAGATAATTTCGTTTCGTTCAATTCCTCTAAAGCCGTTGAAGATGCATCTAGCAACGAGCCAGGGAGTCCTTAGAGGGCCGTGATCGGCCGGAGGTCTGGGTGGATCGTGGCAGCGGGGTATCTGCTATCTGGTGTTGTTGCAGAGGTAGGTAGGTAGGTAGGTAGGTAGATTACCGGCATTGGTCCCATTCAGGAACGCCGGGTTGTCGCACCTAGACCTCTGCTATGTACCCGTGCACAGTACACTACAGAAACCTAGGATACAACACATCCAGGACAGAAATTGCTCCGATCAATGCCTACTCATCTACACAGCTCCCAGTGCATCGAAGTTGATTTGGGGGCAAGGGAAAACCCAGTGGAAAAAACCCCAAACTCAGGGAGCTGCTTCAACAAGAGCACTGTCCCACGAAATCCATCAAGGATGCATGAGACTAAGTAGGCTCTCCAGCTGTTGTTATATGTGGAAGAAGTGTATGCTTCGTTGTGTGAAACACTTAGGATGTTGTACGTGGATGTGCAAGATATTCTGCACCATACGCAAAAAAGCCAGCGGGACATGGCCGCATGTTCACACATCAAGTGTGACACTTCCACATGTAGCAAAGAGCGAGAGCTGCACGTCATGATTTGAAAGAGTAATTACAGGTTGCATGAAGAATGCCAGCACAGTCACTGTGCATACTTAACCACACTCACCACGATGCCCGATGCATGATGTGCACATGGAGCATAATATGGAAGTGATGCACACTGCTGGACTCTCGAGCTGGGGTATACAGGTAGCGCGACGGCTCGCGGACAAGGGGTCAACAACAGCAATGCAATGGATGAGAATGCTCGCATGCGAAAGAACTGCGCACTACGAAGGTTGCCACCTCAAGTCCGTGTATGGGTGGTGCGGCATGTGAACATGATATGCAGGCATCCACAGCAAATTGTGGGCATCCACAAGCATTGGTGGGTATCACCACCATTGGTGGGTATCCACCAGAGCAGCGGGTACTGTGTATGGATGCTGTTGAGATACTTCAGCAAACCATAACATCGTGTTCTGTAAACACACTTCTCATGTCACGATAGTCCACGGTGTTGTCAGAGTAGCAGAGGACGATATTCGTGAACAACACAAATAGGGGTAAGGTGAGTGACAGGTAGACCACTACCATTGGTTGGCTTCCGCAGTCACAGGCAGGAGCAGTGGGCACTGTGCGTCGACGCTGGTCATAGAGCCATCGGTAAACACTTCCTCACAGTCTGAGGGCATCCACCATCGGTGGGCATCCACCACCATCGATGGGCATCCGCACTAAAAGGCGGGTAGCAGCGGACACTGTGCGTCGACACTGGACATGGAAGGTACACAATAAATGCATGCCTTAGAAGCAGGCGGGAGTAGTGAGCATTGTGCATCGATGCTGGACATATAGCTGCCATCTGTAAACACTATCCCACAGTATAAGGGCATTGACCGTTAGTGGGCATCCGCGCAAAAAGGTGGGCAGCAGCGGATGCTGTGCGTCGATGCTGGACATGGAGCCATCTTCCGCAAACATGTTGTATACGTTACAATAGTCATCAGTGTTGTTTTAGCAGTAGAGAGCAATATTCTTAAATATCAGGAATAGGGGTAAGCCGAGATGATGGTGGTCGGGTGTACGTGATGGTGTATGCGTATTTCGTTTATCGTCACTAGTCCCAAGCTTCGCAGTCCTCCAAGATAGGTCAACGGAGCGTGAGCACGGCCTCTCCGAATCTATGCAGCTGCCGCGATATATGCACATCTATTCGGTCATCTGCCCCATTGGATCACTGAGTTATCAAGCTTTCAAGGTTCGGTACGGCCAAAATTGCTTTGTCGGACGTTTCTCAAGGCCTCTCTGATAGCTTCACTCCAGTTTCGTGGCTTCTATGCCTGTGCACAATGCGTGGTCTTCGACGCCTGCTGTGCTCCTGTAGCTGCGGCAATCGCTGCGTCTCACTGTCCTCCTGTTTTCAAACCCTGTGAGTTCCTCGCCTTCTCTCACGTCCTTCCTTTCACAGAGTCGGCGGCGTCAACGTGACACATAGTAAGTCCCGATTTAAATGTGTAGCTATCACCATTGATCATCTCGTGTGCTATGCACTTTGCAGATGATACAAGTCGCACGGACGTGACATGTACTGAGTTCCATATCTTAATCGACCTCACACTAGGTGAGCTTGGCCTGTGGGACATGGAGAGAGTAATACCGCTGGAGTAACACCAGGGAAACGGTCTTTGTAATGCATCTTTCGGAGGCGTATTGAAGATTTCGGGGATAAATTCATAAAACTGCACCGCAGCTCGCTCGCTCGCTCTGCGACCACGACACGATCCATATTGTGAAGGCAGTAAATCGCGCAAATCTAATCCCCTCCTCACATGCCGAGCACTCCTAGGTCCCATTGCGCGTACCAGAGCTCCGCGAGATCGCAGAGTGTCTATCACATAGCCTCGATGTCAATGTAGCGCAGATCAAGGAAGTCACACAGTGCCGCCAGTTCATCCCACCATGTCCACAGTTACCTCTGATACCGCAGGCCAAAGCAACGACATAAATTTTGAACCGAAACTGCGATAGAGGGGCTGCTATCCACAAGGTCTGGCGGTAGACGCGGTCAGGAGCCTTCATCTGTGAGACTGCTTGCGCGGATTGCCCGGCCTATAGCCTTCGGACACTGGGTGGATGGAGCTGTCACCTGTTATATTGATAGCAGAGAAATCGTAACCCGCACCTTTCGGTAATACAGCTGCTCTGTTCCCTTTGAATAGACTTCATATATAGAATGGATTCAAGAGGTCTGAACTGCGAAACGCTTGATCGCGACAAGTACTGTATAAGCCCTCAGTGGGTGTGTGTGGACAAGCACGGCCATGTCATGCGTGCTTAGAAAAGGCTGTAACACTTTTAAATAAGGCTGTAGTGCCGTGCAAGCACGGCAGGACCCGCTACCTGTAGGGTGAAGGAGAGGCACGAGGAGATGAGGAGATATATTTGGCATATTAGAACGCGAGGAGATATAAGTAAGTACATTAATGTTGTACATACGAGTATAATACAATGAATCTGGTAGGCAAAGCTTACATTTGGACCGGCAGAAGGTATGAGCAATACAGTAAAGCTGGCAGAAAATTTGAGTACAATAGGATAGTGGGATGGTTATGTTGTGAATCAATCAGTCTGCGTTGGCATTCTTGGGTGGAGAGGCGTCGAACTCGGTGAATGCCGCAGGAGGGTTGGAGGAGTGGGCGGATGTGCAATTGATAGAACTGAGTGTGGGACGGGGAATGATGCAGAATTGGTCGGATTCAGACTCGGAGACATTGATGACAGTGCCGATTTTTCCACCAAAGAATCAAACAGAATTAAGGCGGGAATTCCAATATAATCACCCAGAAGTGAGAAGAAGGCATTTCAGTGCAACGAATATTATCAGCAAGCAGAGGGTTGGCGATAAATGTGGACAATTATTTAATGTGAGCGATACACAGAGTCGACGTAGAGGATGCGCGGCGAAAGATTCGTAAGGCTTATGAAGCATCCCACACTTAGTAAAGCTTAGAAAGCATTTTGTAGACCTTTCAATCTTTTGTATAGTTTAGGGCAGGACCTCCAAAATTGGCATGACGAAAGACGCAGCAAGACCCACTACCAAAGGTAGCGGGAATCTGAGAACAAGTGAGCATCGGGCCCTCATGCAGAGCGCACGTAGATCGCATATTGCACACTTTCCGATCAGAGCGCTAGGTTGGCGACGGGTGACACGGGACACAGAGCACATCATCCGCATGAATAGAGAAACAGTTATTCGAGAGACACGAGCTGGCGAAGCACTCACACACGTGTACCTCCAGGAAGATGCATGTTGACGAGCTGGAGCGACCTTACTGATGAGGAGCGCACGTCGTGTCGCCTCTCATTATCTGCCTCTGCAGTCGATATCGGAGCCGCCCTTCATAGATCTTCCTCCCGGTCAATCACAGCGTCAGCGTATGTACTAACTTAGAATAGACCAGCATATTCAGGTGCATGCCAGCGCGAGATGGCGACACAAATGATGCTGTATTAAGCGGGCATTGTGTAAGAGAATCAGTATACGATATCAACACATAGGCAGAAAAAGACTAGGTACGACATGCAAAGGTGGAGCACTCTCGAATAAGCGGTGTCTCTGGCAGAGCCTAGATCGTCGTGCTACCGGACAGGTACAGTGTCACCAAATAGAGGGCATGCGAGACGATCAGAGGTTGAATGTTACCTTGATCATGGGTGGAGCATGTTGAGGTCTTTGCCAGAAATGCCAAGCCTGCATCCTAACGTTGGTAAGTAGAATGGGTCCTGCGTGTTAGATGTAGTGTGGTGTTGCAACACCGACATGGTAGAACCAGTAAGTTGCCTACGTCAAGCCGGTGAAATAGTTACCCACCTTTTCTGATCATGATACGTCCACATTCAACAACACAACCCGCACCCACGTCCACGTCTTAGACGTTCAGGTCTGAAATCCGTACCCATCCATAGGCCTCCAGCGAGCCAAGAAGTTGCGGGGGAGATGAGAGCATTGAGCCTAGCATATAGAATGAAACATAATCCAATACTGCGGAGCATGGGAGGGCGGGGGTGGCTCGAGGGAGCTCGTCGAGCAAGAGCAGGGCGGAGTACTGGTAGCCCAAGGCGTGCGGCTGCGCGACGAGCTTCCTCCGCCAGATTGACGGTCCTGTCATGCCGGTCACGCGCGGAATTACAGTCCATTTACAGTCCCTTCTGCCTAATCCGTCCACGCGCGTCGCCTGACCGAGTGCCGGTGCGAGTCCCCAGCCTCGCTGAACGGAAGGAAAACGGACGTCGGACATGAGAGGACATGCGAGCGCCGCACGCGAAGGTCGCGGTGCGTCCGCGAAGGTCGGTTAGCCAGACTGCATGCTCCCCATTCGGCGCGATGCAGTAGATAAGGCCCCAACAGGGCGGTGCATAGGATTAGCGAGAGTACTACAAGTAGACAAATATACACGTAGTAGACTAGGTACGAAATAAACTCACGGGATCATAAGCTAGTAGGAAACATTTCCGCGGTGGAAAGGAGTGGAGAGCTGCTGTACGAGAGACGAACAGCACGTGACATTGCGTCGTGAAATGACGGTGAGTGGGAGTCAGAAAGCCGCCGCCGCAACCGACCACTCAGGCGGCGGCACGCGCGTTCGCGCCCATGTTCGTGCTGCTGCTTGCAGAGGGCATCGACATGACCTGCATCAATGCCCAGCTGTGCGCGATCTCCGGGCTGTTCTTCAGGAGAGACCTCCAATGCTTCGCGATGTCGGCGTCCTTTGAGTGCGTGTACCACACGCCACGCTTGTGGTATCAGAATGCACCATTCGCATCCGCTCGTTCAAGATTCCCATCGAAATACGAGCGAGCGGCGGCAGCATTGCAAGCACTCCGATCCGCCCGTCTTGCCTTGAGCTTGTCGAGGATTTGCTGATAGCGCAGCCGCTCTCCATTCTCGTTGCTGTAGACGTCCCAGAATGCGTCGTCGGAGCCGAGCTCATCACGCTCCTCGACAATAAACTTCCGAAAGGGGTCAGTGGAGGAAGAGGGATAAGTGGGAATGCAACATACCTTCCAGTTCCCCCATTTCATCCTCACTCGGCCCCATGCCTTCTCCTTGCCAGGCACACTGCTCTTCTTCTTGTAGAAGAGGTCCCAGTACTTGATGGGGATACTGCATCCGGTGTTGATGGGAATTCGGAGCACGGTGGAGGAGTGCCACTCTCGGAAGAGCCTCGGAATGTCATCGGAGAAGTGGATACTGGGCGGATCCGGCACTTGAGTCTTGTCGAATGCGAAGTCTTCGCCACCAAGATTGACAACCTTGCAATTCTGAGAAAGTGCGGCTTGAGGAGTTGCGGAGGGAGCCGGCAGAGGAGTAAGATTGGAGGCATAAAGGGGCGCAGAACTTGGATTCCATGGAATTGTCGGCTGCTGAATGTTAACGACCGGTCTGGAAGGGACGAGAATGGGAGCATGGCAGACAGGAAGAGTCTGCACATGCGGCGGAGCAGGGGGGATCCTTGTACCAATCACGTTTGCAATTTTGCCCAACATGGATCGCTCGAACCGGTGAAACTCACGCCGGACCTGTCTGATAGGAACCAGCTGCACACAATTGGCAACTTGGGTTCAGCACAGCGGTACAGTATCATGATTTCGAAGGGAGAACCTACCTGGTGCTCCTGTTCTATGCCCTCTATGCCCTCTATCTCGACGTCATCAACATCCTGTGGGCTCTCGTTATTTCTTGCAACAGTTGAGCCCTCCCTGGCTGACGGTGCAACCGGTCGTGCGGAATCTAGACTAGGGGTTGCGGCACGCTCTCATTCTTGTCTTCTGCTGGTGGCAGTGTCCCCAAGCACAGCATCAGACTGCAAGATTGCGGCGTTAGTTCATTATCACGAGCCGAAAGTCTGCAACGTACCCAAGTGTCATTATGCGCAACGACAGAGTGCTGCAAAGGCTGAGGTATGCATATATCTCCACTTCTCTTACTCGGATACTCCACGACAGGTTCCCTCTCTCCGAAGAGGGTCACGATCCGCTTCGAGGAGTGTTTGTTCACTCGGGAGCCTGTGTAGTCACCCCTCTTGCGCTTCCGACTTGCCTGAAACAACCTGCACGAAAAGATCAGTCACATAGACAGTGCTGCAGATCGAGATTCAGGACTCACCCCGCCCATTGCTCGGGATCATTGGCAAAGTCTCAGAGACGGGTTCGAAGCACTCTTCTGTTCCCACTCACTGGCAGCCCATACTGTGCAAGATGCTGTTTCAAAATCTTGTTGGTAGGTGTGTTACCGGTGCTGGTGGGTATTTATAGCTGCTAAATCTCTCGGAAATTTGTTGATTCCGTCATGTACTCACATAGTGACCTCGGTCAGCTGGAGTTGATGGTCTCCTTCTCGGAGAGTCTGCCCAGGCAGCGGCAGCTTCAAAATCTCGGTCTCGGGTTCTGATTCATGAGAATGAGTGGAAGAATTTTTATTAGTATGGGGAGCCATATTGTAGAGTGGTACGAGCCATGGAACAAAACTGATCCATGTGCGTGCAGTCGATCATATGTATGGCGATCGGTCTGCACTGTCAGAGCCGACCCACCTTGTTCAGCTACATACAACTCATAACTATCTTACATCTGACAGCAGCAGTTCATCCCTCACCTCATGGATCCACAGCATCTTCAGCAGCTGCCTGGTGCTGCAGCATGCCTACTGGAGGCTCAGATGGTCTGCTTCCAAGAAGTAGTTGATGAGCAGATTGAGGAGCAAGAGTCCATGGAGCAAGCTATGGATGTTGACAATCGTCTGGATGCTGACTCTCATTATCTGCGAGAGCCCGATCCTGTTCACAAGAAACAGAAGCTATCTGCTAGCAAGGAGAATCTCGTTGAGAATCTGAAAAAGGCTTCTGCTCATGTTATTTTGGAAAACACACAGAACGAGTACCGAAGGTGAGTCTCATGTGACTCGAAGATCAAGATCCTGGACTCATATTTCCTCTGCAGAAATTGGACACAGTTCACCGAGTTCTGTGCTGAACTTGGGTATGTTGAGGAGCCCGAAGATGTTGACAATCTGTACCCGAACATTCCGAGTGATTTTCCAATGTGGATTGCTATCTGGATCATGAATAAGTAAGTGAACTACACTCATCCACTGAGCATTGAAGGGACCAAGATCGTTGCCAACAATTTCAGGGCAGACGAGTTGGATGTGCGCACTGGAAAACTGAAGGACCCGTCCATTGCCCGTGTTACCTATGGAACTGCTCAGAAGATGCGTGCTGCCATCAGTCATAAGTTCGGACACCATTATGGGCTGGGTACTCAGCAGTGGATTGAGAATCCACTCAAGCCGGGAGAGTACACTGGGAATCCATCATTGTCTGTGATCGTCTCGCAGTACATGGTCAGTCTGCGATGGCATAAGGTGTGTACTCCACGTCAACATGTACCCAGTGCTGAGACCATAGCTATACACAGATTCGTGGAGGGGAGATTGTGATGAGCGCACGTGCTATTGACCAAGAGACGATGAGGATGCTGTGGGCCTTCAATATTGAGTTCCCACAAGAGCAGTATGCACCTGTGAGCTGAAAACGAAAGGCGGAGCAACCCGAGCAGTGGGCTGGATGGAGGGTGAGGCAAATGCTGCACCTTCTCTATGTTGTCTCCATGCTGTGTCTTCTGCAGTATGACGAGGCACTCAGGATCATGTGGAGTGATGTACATCTTGAGACATGTGACGGCACCTCTCGTGTGCGTCTTGACCTTCCCTTTTGCAAGACAGCTCAAAATGGAGGTGAGCAGCTTACTTGTGTTCTGCACTGTTTGATGTGGTTTGATAGTAGTAATCAGGCATCGCACCCTTCTATTTGTATCCGGATACAACACGGCCCTGGATGTGTCCAGTGCAAGCATTCGCACAGTGGTGGGTGATATGTAGGGAACTAGGCATTGAGCCACAGGGTTATGTCTTCTGCAAGCGCATTGGGCAGGATGGGGTGAGTGTCAATGCAGGTGATGCAATGGTCAGTGTTTCCATCTTCAATCATGTTGGGCAGACTTACTGGTATGGCATTTATCTTAGTCAAATGATGCCTTCCTCGAGTGCTTCCGCAACAACCTCTGTGACATCAAGGTTGATCCTCGACCATATGGCACACATTCATTTCGCTGTGGTGGTTGCCAGTACCTTGCAATGGTGCTCCGCTGGCCACTGCAGCACATCTGCACCTGGGATGGATGGGCAGAAGACTTTGACAACCCGGGAACAATATTCAAATACCTCCTGTCTTGGACTGACACTCCGATGCTCGAGCGTCAAACTATTTCAATCCAAAACGTGCGGAGAGCGATCCTTGCACAGCCTGTGGTCGCACCTGTCCATGCGCTTAACACAGTGCAGTCAAGGGTGCCAACAGACATGCAGCTGTGTTTGTGCATTCAAAAGGAAAAGAGATATTTTATTTTATTTGTTCTGGCCCAACTGGCATAACTGTACAATACGAAAGCTTTCAGCTATAATACATAATCAATCACCATGCAGATACTAGTACAGTGGGAAGAAGAAGCATCAATTATCATCAATGGTGAGATCAATAACAACTGGGTCATCCATTATCAGAGAGATGACTTCCTGCTGCTCCACATCATCATCATCATCATCACTGGTGGTCAGGTTGATGACATCAGAGAATGTTGATGGGTCTACGCCACAGGAACAGGCACGCGCATGATGAACTATTGTCGAAGGAACCCAGAGCTTCAGAGGCCTCGCACTGTAGTTCAGTTGTTGCGTGCCCGACGGGTGAGGAGACAGTCGTACACCAAAGAGGTTGGAGATGGCAATGTCAGCAGAACTGCAGTCGATTGCTATCACACGGACATTATCCTGGTCCGTGGAGTGATCAGGTTGCAGCCAGACCTCCAACGGTGGTGCTGCGAGAGTGGAGTGTGCACCCTATGTAGAGGAGGCGTCAGAAAATGTCCACTCTTATAGACTCCCGCTCACCTGTTTCTGGTGTCGCCGGTCATAGGCGACTGCTTCAGCGACAAGGAGTTTGAGGGCCATACCAGGCCACAGCCACTCGCGGACATGCTTGATGATCCCCGACTTTGTTCTCCAGCCAAAGTGCAGCTCGCAGAAGGTGCTGAGCTTTGCCAGGTCAACAGGCAGGGGATGAGCTGGGAGGTGCGGGATATTTGCTGATGTTGAGGGGCTGAGGTATGCTCGGAGCACAGCGACATCAGGGAACAAGTCAGGGACTGAGTTTGACAGTGCGATGTGATGGTGGCCAAGGTGATTGTCGGGATCAGTGCTAAGGATGGACCGCAGCCTGTCACGCCAACCAGACAGGAATGCGGACAGTTCGGTCTTGTTGTTGCCGAGCACCATGGCAGCATCACAGAGCGACTCGCCAAGTCCATAGCGCATGATTGCGAGGGCAGTCTGAGGCCCGCATCGACGCAAGCCATTCTAAATGGACACACAGAGAGTGTGGATGGTCAGATGTAAGGCGAAACACATGAGCATCGCCATACTCACCTCATCATAGTCACCTCTGCAGAGAAGTGCGACAAGGACCAGGCCGCCGCGCGAGAGCGAAATCGCGCTGTGTGCATTGATAGTGCATTGCTAAAAGGCATGCACCTCATCCTCCGCGTCCACTTTGTAACTGGAAGAGGGACCGATTAGGGTAAAATCGGCCGCAGGTGGGAAGGTGAGACTCACTTTCTGATCACGGTGCGGGCGCCAAAAATGAGTGCATCGCTATCGTCCGTCAGAATGGCGTCGACAATGCCGAGCTGGTTCAGCTTAGCCAGCTCAGCCTCAGCTTCACCAGGGGCCTGGGCAGAAAACAGTGCGAGGGTCAGTAGTGCCAGCGCGGAGAGCACAAAATACATACCATGCGCCACTCGTACCCAAATGCATCGAGGAGCTTCTGTGTGTTTCCGACCATCCAGTGCATCCCGACGACCTTGCGGGAGCATTTGTGTGCAGGTCGGCCCGGTCCATCGAAGACGAAAAGGGGGCGCACGGGTAGCTTGAGCAGTCTTGCGAGGCGGTGGAGCAGGCTGCGCAACTCCAGGTTTTCACTTGAGTTGGCGTGCCTGGCCACGAACTGTTCCTGAAGTTGATGGAACCAGATGCTACCGGCAACCTCGTGTGAGATACCCACTCACATTTGAGCATGGGGAGGGACATACCTTGTGTCAATACCAAGCCGATACAGCCGCTCGCCGGGACGGCCTTCGAATCTGTCACGCAAGGCGAGCAGCTTGAGGGATGTTTCCTCTCGAGTGGGCTTCAGAAGCTGGGCAACACGGACGCATGTGTGAGATCGCGTTGCTACCAAGGTACAGCGATGGACGTACCTCCCAAAGGCCATTCACGCCCATGTTGAGCACGTTCCCACGAGACTCAAGTCGTTGTCGGAGGCAGGTGCGTCGGCACGGTGAGGACAGGTCGAGGACCCGGTTGAGGTGACAGCGCGCAGCGCGGGGCGGTGCTCGAGACTGGGCAGGGCAGCGGGAGCCTCATCGATGAGCACGCGAAAGACGAGTAAAAATAGATGGGTACGCGGCATCGTTGCTGCATAGGGCGATGCGTAGAGAGTCCAGCCTGCAGGAGACGGCGAGGGGACAGCGGCACCGCTGGTGGGAGGTAGCGCCGGGAGTTGATGCCGGGGAGCTCGCCGAGGGGATGTAAATTTGTGGACTGTAAATCTGTCGGTCAGTCGCGCGTTCGTGGGGGGCCGCAGCGTGATTCCCCGCGAGATTCAGCCCCCAGCCCAGCTTGCTTCGGGTCGCCAGATTTACAGTCCTGGCGGGCACGTTTACAGTCCAGCGGGGCGCTTGCGGGGCCTCCCCCTTTGGGCGATGCCAACACCAGGGCGCTTGTCTTGTTCTCCCTGACCCTCCCTACTGGACGCGCCCCTCCTTCCTGGCCCTCCCTTGCCCGGAAAAAGGACGGATATATTCGACGTGCACACCGCGCGCCCTCCCGCCGTGGTCTCTTTTTGCTGCTCCCTCTCGTGCACCCCTCACGCCCTGCCCTTCATGTCGCGGCCTCCAGTTCACGGGGTCCTTCTCGGCGCCGTTCGGCTTGTTCGGCTCACGCGTGACGTTTCCAGGATTAGGCGCCGGTGGACTGTCAATTTGGCGGCGATCAGCCTTTCTTCCTCCGCCAGATTGACGGTCCTGTCACATCGGTCACACGTGGAATTACAGTCCGTTTACAGTCCCTCCTGCCTAGTCCGTCCCGGGCCAATGTCCTCGATATCAAATTACCTGGAAATCTGCAAATGACTACAGAAAATTAAACATCCCTGGGCCGAAAGGTATATATGATACTGCTCCTGCTATTGCACTAACGCAACACCTTGCCGCTCTCCACTGTCTGAGCATGCATCAGCATGAGTCCAAATGCCCCTTCTCGATTGCTCCCCACTGAGAACGCCTCAGCATCGTCATCGTCCACAGTTACTCCTGTACATCCCCGCCCCATGACCTCACGGCCATCTCAGAAGAAGAAAGGCTGATCGCCGCCAAATTGACAGTCCACCGGCGCCTAATCCTGGAAACGTCACGCGTGAGCCGAACAAGCCGAACGGCGCCGAGAAGGACCCCGTGAACTGGAGGCCGCGACATGAAGGGCAGGGCGTGAGGGGTGCACGAGAGGGAGCAGCAAAAAGAGACCACGGCGGGAGGGCGCGCGGTGTGCACGTCGAATATATCCGTCCTTTTTCCGGGCAAGGGAGGGCCAGGAAGGAGGGGCGCGTCCAGTAGGGAGGGTCAGGGAGAACAAGACAAGCGCCCTGGTGTTGGCATCGCCCAAAGGGGGAGGCCCCGCAAGCGCCCCGCTGGACTGTAAACGTGCCCGCCAGGACTGTAAATCTGGCGACCCGAAGCAAGCTGGGCTGGGGGCTGAATCTCGCGGGGAATCACGCTGCGGCCCCCCACGAACGCGCGACTGACCGACAGATTTACAGTCCACAAATTTACATCCCCTCGGCGAGCTCCCCGGCATCAACTCCCGGCGCTACCTCCCACCAGCGGTGCCGCTGTCCCCTCGCCGTCTCCTGCAGGCTGGACTCTCTACGCATCGCCCTATGCAGCAACGATGCCGCGTACCCATCTATTTTTACTCGTCTTTCGCGTGCTCATCGATGAGGCTCCCGCTGCCCTGCCCAGTCTCGAGCACCGCCCCGCGCTGCGCGCTGTCACCTCAACCGGGTCCTCGACCTGTCCTCACCGTGCCGACGCACCTGCCTCCGACAACGACTTGAGTCTCGTGGGAACGTGCTCAACATGGGCGTGAATGGCCTTTGGGAGGTACGTCCATCGCTGTACCTTGGTAGCAACGCGATCTCACACATGCGTCCGTGTTGCCCAGCTTCTGAAGCCCACTCGAGAGGAAACATCCCTCAAGCTGCTCGCCTTGCGTGACAGATTCGAAGGCCGTCCCGGCGAGCGGCTGTATCGGCTTGGTATTGACACAAGGTATGTCCCTCCCCATGCTCAAATGTGAGTGGGTATCTCACACGAGGTTGCCGGTAGCATCTGGTTCCATCAACTTCAGGAACAGTTCGTGGCCAGGCACGCCAACTCAAGTGAAAACCTGGAGTTGCGCAGCCTGCTCCACCGCCTCGCAAGACTGCTCAAGCTACCCGTGCGCCCCCTTTTCGTCTTCGATGGACCGGGCCGACCTGCACACAAATGCTCCCGCAAGGTCGTCGGGATGCACTGGATGGTCGGAAACACACAGAAGCTCCTCGATGCATTTGGGTACGAGTGGCGCATGGTATGTATTTTGTGCTCTCCGCGCTGGCACTACTGACCCTCGCACTGTTTTCTGCCCAGGCCCCTGGTGAAGCTGAGGCTGAGCTGGCTAAGCTGAACCAGCTCGGCATTGTCGACGCCATTCTGACGGACGATAGCGATGCACTCATTTTTGGCGCCCGCACCGTGATCAGAAAGTGAGTCTCACCTTCCCACCTGCGGCCGATTTTACCCTAATCGGTCCCTCTTCCAGTTACAAAGTGGACGCGGAGGATGAGGTGCATGCCTTTTAGCAATGCACTATCAATGCACACAGCGCGATTTCGCTCTCGCGCGGCGGCCTGGTCCTTGTCGCACTTCTCTGCAGAGGTGACTATGATGAGGTGAGTATGGCGATGCTCATGTGTTTCGCCTTACATCTGACCATCCACACTCTCTGTGTGTCCATTTAGAATGGCTTGCGTCGATGCGGGCCTCAGACTGCCCTCGCAATCATGCGCTATGGACTTGGCGAGTCGCTCTGTGATGCTGCCATGGTGCTCGGCAACAACAAGACCGAACTGTCCGCATTCCTGTCTGGTTGGCGTGACAGGCTGCGGTCCATCCTTAGCACTGATCCCGACAATCACCTTGGCCACCATCACATCGCACTGTCAAACTCAGTCCCTGACTTGTTCCCTGATGTCGCTGTGCTCCGAGCATACCTCAGCCCCTCAACATCAGCAAATATCCCGCACCTCCCAGCTCATCCCCTGCCTGTTGACCTGGCAAAGCTCAGCACCTTCTGCGAGCTGCACTTTGGCTGGAGAACAAAGTCGGGGATCATCAAGCATGTCCGCGAGTGGCTGTGGCCTGGTATGGCCCTCAAACTCCTTGTCGCTGAAGCAGTCGCCTATGACCGGCGACACCAGAAACAGGTGAGCGGGAGTCTATAAGAGTGGACATTTTCTGACGCCTCCTCTACATAGGGTGCACACTCCACTCTCGCAGCACCACCGTTGGAGGTCTGGCTGCAACCTGATCACTCCACGGACCAGGATAATGTCCGTGTGATAGCAATCGACTGCAGTTCTGCTGACATTGCCATCTCCAACCTCTTTGGTGTACGACTGTCTCCTCACCCGTCGGGCACGCAACAACTGAACTACAGTGCGAGGCCTCTGAAGCTCTGGGTTCCTTCGACAATAGTTCATCATGCGCGTGCCTGTTCCTGTGGCGTAGACCCATCAACATTCTCTGATGTCATCAACCTGACCACCAGTGATGATGATGATGATGATGTGGAGCAGCAGGAAGTCATCTCTCTGATAATGGATGACCCAGTTGTTATTGATCTCACCATTGATGATAATTGATGCTTCTTCTTCCCACTGTACTAGTATCTGCATGGTGATTGATTATGTATTATAGCTGAAAGCTTTCGTATTGTACAGTTATGCCAGTTGGGCCAGAACAAATAAAATAAAATATCTCTTTTCCTTTTGAATGCACAAACACAGCTGCATGTCTGTTGGCACCCTTGACTGCACTGTGTTAAGCGCATGGACAGGTGCGACCACAGGCTGTGCAAGGATCGCTCTCCGCACGTTTTGGATTGAAATAGTTTGACGCTCGAGCATCGGAGTGTCAGTCCAAGACAGGAGGTATTTGAATATTGTTCCCGGGTTGTCAAAGTCTTCTGCCCATCCATCCCAGGTGCAGATGTGCTGCAGTGGCCAGCGGAGCACCATTGCAAGGTACTGGCAACCACCACAGCGAAATGAATGTGTGCCATATGGTCGAGGATCAACCTTGATGTCACAGAGGTTGTTGCGGAAGCACTCGAGGAAGGCATCATTTGACTAAGATAAATGCCATACCAGTAAGTCTGCCCAACATGATTGAAGATGGAAACACTGACCATTGCATCACCTGCATTGACACTCACCCCATCCTGCCCAATGCGCTTGCAGAAGACATAACCCTGTGGCTCAATGCCTAGTTCCCTACATATCACCCACCACTGTGCGAATGCTTGCACTGGACACATCCAGGGCCGTGTTGTATCCGGATACAAATAGAAGGGTGCGATGCCTGATTACTACTATCAAACCACATCAAACAGTGCAGAACACAAGTAAGCTGCTCACCTCCATTTTGAGCTGTCTTGCAAAAGGGAAGGTCAAGACGCACACGAGAGGTGCCGTCACATGTCTCAAGATGTACATCACTCCACATGATCCTGAGTGCCTCGTCATACTGCAGAAGACACAGCATGGAGACAACATAGAGAAGGTGCAGCATTTGCCTCACCCTCCATCCAGCCCACTGCTCGGGTTGCTCCGCCTTTCGTTTTCAGCTCACAGGTGCATACTGCTCTTGTGGGAACTCAATATTGAAGGCCCACAGCATCCTCATCGTCTCTTGGTCAATAGCACGTGCGCTCATCACAATCTCCCCTCCACGAATCTGTGTATAGCTATGGTCTCAGCACTGGGTACATGTTGACGTGGAGTACACACCTTATGCCATCGCAGACTGACCATGTACTGCGAGACGATCACAGACAATGATGGATTCCCAGTGTACTCTCCCGGCTTGAGTGGATTCTCAATCCACTGCTGAGTACCCAGCCCATAATGGTGTCCGAACTTATGACTGATGGCAGCACGCATCTTCTGAGCAGTTCCATAGGTAACACGGGCAATGGACGGGTCCTTCAGTTTTCCAGTGCGCACATCCAACTCGTCTGCCCTGAAATTGTTGGCAACGATCTTGGTCCCTTCAATGCTCAGTGGATGAGTGTAGTTCACTTACTTATTCATGATCCAGATAGCAATCCACATTGGAAAATCACTCGGAATGTTCGGGTACAGATTGTCAACATCTTCGGGCTCCTCAACATACCCAAGTTCAGCACAGAACTCGGTGAACTGTGTCCAATTTCTGCAGAGGAAATATGAGTCCAGGATCTTGATCTTCGAGTCACATGAGACTCACCTTCGGTACTCGTTCTGTGTGTTTTCCAAAATAACATGAGCAGAAGCCTTTTTCAGATTCTCAACGAGATTCTCCTTGCTAGCAGATAGCTTCTGTTTCTTGTGAACAGGATCGGGCTCTCGCAGATAATGAGAGTCAGCATCCAGACGATTGTCAACATCCATAGCTTGCTCCATGGACTCTTGCTCCTCAATCTGCTCATCAACTACTTCTTGGAAGCAGACCATCTGAGCCTCCAGTAGGCATGCTGCAGCACCAGGCAGCTGCTGAAGATGCTGTGGATCCATGAGGTGAGGGATGAACTGCTGCTGTCAGATGTAAGATAGTTATGAGTTGTATGTAGCTGAACAAGGTGGGTCGGCTCTGACAGTGCAGACCGATCGCCATACATATGATCGACTGCACGCACATGGATCAGTTTTGTTCCATGGCTCGTACCACTCTACAATATGGCTCCCCATACTAATAAAAATTCTTCCACTCATTCTCATGAATCAGAACCCGAGACCGAGATTTTGAAGCTGCCGCTGCCTGGGCAGACTCTCCGAGAAGGAGACCATCAACTCCAGCTGACCGAGGTCACTATGTGAGTACATGACGGAATCAACAAATTTCCGAGAGATTTAGCAGCTATAAATACCCACCAGCACCGGTAACACACCTACCAACAAGATTTTGAAACAGCATCTTGCACAGTATGGGCTGCCAGTGAGTGGGAACAGAAGAGTGCTTCGAACCCGTCTCTGAGACTTTGCCAATGATCCCGAGCAATGGGCGGGGTGAGTCCTGAATCTCGATCTGCAGCACTGTCTATGTGACTGATCTTTTCGTGCAGGTTGTTTCAGGCAAGTCGGAAGCGCAAGAGGGGTGACTACACAGGCTCCCGAGTGAACAAACACTCCTCGAAGCGGATCGTGACCCTCTTCGGAGAGAGGGAACCTGTCGTGGAGTATCCGAGTAAGAGAAGTGGAGATATATGCATACCTCAGCCTTTGCAGCACTCTGTCGTTGCGCATAATGACACTTGGGTACGTTGCAGACTTTCGGCTCGTGATAATGAACTAACGCCGCAATCTTGCAGTCTGATGCTGTGCTTGGGGACACTGCCACCAGCAGAAGACAAGAATGAGAGCGTGCCGCAACCCCTAGTCTAGATTCCGCACGACCGGTTGCACCGTCAGCCAGGGAGGGCTCAACTGTTGCAAGAAATAACGAGAGCCCACAGGATGTTGATGACGTCGAGATAGAGGGCATAGAGGGCATAGAACAGGAGCACCAGGTAGGTTCTCCCTTCGAAATCATGATACTGTACCGCTGTGCTGAACCCAAGTTGCCAATTGTGTGCAGCTGGTTCCTATCAGACAGGTCCGGCGTGAGTTTCACCGGTTCGAGCGATCCATGTTGGGCAAAATTGCAAACGTGATTGGTACAAGGATCCCCCCTGCTCCGCCGCATGTGCAGACTCTTCCTGTCTGCCATGCTCCCATTCTCGTCCCTTCCAGACCGGTCGTTAACATTCAGCAGCCGACAATTCCATGGAATCCAAGTTCTGCGCCCCTTTATGCCTCCAATCTTACTCCTCTGCCGGCTCCCTCCGCAACTCCTCAAGCCGCACTTTCTCAGAATTGCAAGGTTGTCAATCTTGGTGGCGAAGACTTCGCATTCGACAAGACTCAAGTGCCGGATCCGCCCAGTATCCACTTCTCCGATGACATTCCGAGGCTCTTCCGAGAGTGGCACTCCTCCACCGTGCTCCGAATTCCCATCAACACCGGATGCAGTATCCCCATCAAGTACTGGGACCTCTTCTACAAGAAGAAGAGCAGTGTGCCTGGCAAGGAGAAGGCATGGGGCCGAGTGAGGATGAAATGGGGGAACTGGAAGGTATGTTGCATTCCCACTTATCCCTCTTCCTCCACTGACCCCTTTCGGAAGTTTATTGTCGAGGAGCGTGATGAGCTCGGCTCCGACGACGCATTCTGGGACGTCTACAGCAACGAGAATGGAGAGCGGCTGCGCTATCAGCAAATCCTCGACAAGCTCAAGGCAAGACGGGCGGATCGGAGTGCTTGCAATGCTGCCGCCGCTCGCTCGTATTTCGATGGGAATCTTGAACGAGCGGATGCGAATGGTGCATTCTGATACCACAAGCGTGGCGTGTGGTACACGCACTCAAAGGACGCCGACATCGCGAAGCATTGGAGGTCTCTCCTGAAGAACAGCCCGGAGATCGCGCACAGCTGGGCATTGATGCAGGTCATGTCGATGCCCTCTGCAAGCAGCAGCACGAACATGGGCGCGAACGCGCGTGCCGCCGCCTGAGTGGTCGGTTGCGGCGGCGGCTTTCTGACTCCCACTCACCGTCATTTCACGACGCAATGTCACGTGCTGTTCGTCTCTCGTACAGCGGCTCTCCACTCCTTTCCACCGCGGAAATGTTTCCTACTAGCTTATGATTCCGTGAGTTTATTTCGTACCTAGTCTACTACGTGTATATTTGTCTACTTGTAGTACTCTCGCTAATCCTATGCACCGCCCTGTTGGGGCCTTATCTACTGCATCGCGCCGAATGGGGAGCATGCAGTCTGGCTAACCGACCTTCGCGGACGCACCGCGACCTTCGCGTGCGGCGCTCGCATGTCCTCTCATGTCCGACGTCCGTTTTCCTTCCGTTCAGCGAGGCTGGCTGGGGACTCGCGCCGGCGCTCGGTCAGGCGACGCGCGTGGACGGATTAGGCAGGAGGGACTGTAAACGGACTGTAATTCCGCGCGTGACCGGCGTGACAGGACCGTCAATCTGGCGGAGGAAGGTGATGGGGAGGTAAGCACGGTGACTCGGAGTAGCCGGACCGTGGCATCTCGTGTCTGTCACGATCACGTGCGACGTGACGTGCTTCCGAGACTCCTCACGGCACGCTGTATGTGTCCCAGGTGAGTATTCCTGGCCATGGGGGAAGGTGCATCGTTCAAAGCTTGTCCTGTTTTATGGCTGACTAGGGTGCCCTCAGTTCGCCTACACCGCTGACGGGAGGATCGCCAATACGCACTGACCCAGGAGTTTCTTGGACTACAATTGTAGTTTCGAGTGCGGCGCAGAGGGAAGGTATCAGCCATTGGGACTTGGGATAAAGACGTACGTTTCCTGGTTTACGATCACCCGTCTTTGACTCTACCTTTTCAAGGACTCAGTGACAGCAATTTCGTGTATGTGATTCTGCAAGAGATTTGTGCATATATCAGCTAGACTTGTGAATACATCGATTCTCCCTCGTTGCGCTATTCCTATTCTCTCTCCTTCATGAATACCATCTAGCTATGCCCTTGACCCAATGCTGATGTTGAACGGACCGGAGGAAGCAACCCGAAGTGCGTCATGGAAAGATATTTTTCGACTCTTGTTATGATAATTGTGACTTATACGCTGCACGCAAGACCTTCATTCCAATTCCTTGTCCGTTCGCCTATACTATCGGGGACACTTCGCCGACACCGAGATTTTCCTTTCGTCCTCACTTTCAGCACAACCGTTCCAGCTACGATCGCGAGGCTCGCGGACGCTTTGCGCAGTGAGCGATGGCTATGTGTACGAGCTAACCTTCGATTACGGCCGCTCTTACGCGTTCCGGTTATGCAGCGATTGTCGAGCGGGATACATGTGAGTTCTCTAACTATTGTAGTCCCTCCCCCTTAACATCTCACGGCTCCCCCAATTTCCCAGAAAATGGGATTACTCGACACGCCGTAGATCTCTCGTCATGTCAGCACACAACGTGAGCTCCACGGACCGGCATCTCAAAGCATACAATCCCTCTCCTTCATCTTCGAAAGGTTAGCCACTCGTCGAGCGCGAATAGTGACAGCAGGCGCACCCCCTGCACATTCTTGTGCAAAAGGTTTCAGTTGCACGAGGACCTCTCCTCCGCTCAGTCACCTTGTGTAGAGATCACCTTGTAGGTCCCGGAGTATGGGCATAGGTCTATCGCGAAGCGAAGACGATGGTGTCAGTGCGCACTCAACGTTCACTGCATGTTTTCCAGTTCATGATCCCCTCGCTGACGCCATATCTGCGACGAACATTGCCTGCAGGGCTTCGTTGTTCAGCGCACTCATGCACGGTTGCATCCAATATTAGATATAACGCGAACCCTAGGACCACCCAGTTAATTTCCGGAGCACGGGTTCTCACCTACACACCCTCGCCGGTGTGCAATCGATCCAGTCCCAGTCAGCGGTAATAGCCGATGTCTCATAGGTTCTTCCCCGGGTAGGTGTGTGTGGTATCCGTTAGTGTTTGTTCCGCAGTCGCGGACAGCCTTGCGGTGTAGGGCAGGCTGATAAGGAGCTCGAGGAACTGTTCGTAGCAGCACGTCCTGTGCTCCGGCTCTGCAGCAGTCCTTCTCAATACAAGTCGATGGAGCACGCGCATGGCCTCTTTCAAATTTATACAGATATGCGTGCATCTATCTGCTATTTGCCGTGATAGACCACCCATTTGTTAAGGTTCATCATGTAGGAAGCATGTTTCGTCGTGTCCCGTTCCTCTGGGCTTGGATGGCACCACTCCGATTCCATCGCTTCCATACATGATAGCCTATGCGCGTGCTTTTGATGCATGGCTATCAACACACCAAGTATGCATGTTCGAGGCACGTGAGTTGATACCTTGTCTTTTCTTGAGTTTGTCGTCCAACCCCCCTTCCTTCACTTCTCGAGTTCTTCCTCATCTAAACCCCCTCACTCGACACAATGAGCTCCTGGTCCGAACTCGCTTTGCCCGAACTCACCGTGTCCGAACTCGCCCCATCCGAATTTGCCTCTCCTGCACTGACCTCGCCCGAACTCACCTGGTCCGAGCTCCCCTTTCCCAAACTTCCCTCGTATGAATTTGCCTATCCCGAATTCAACCCGATGAGTTCCTCCCTGGCTGAACCTGCCTTGCCCAAATTCGCCTCGCCCAGTAGGTCCCTATTCCTAAATTCTTGAAGGGTATGACTGACATGACACGTTGTCCCACATCCTCTAGTTCAGAAAGATGTTCATCCTCGTAGTATGTACAAACGGTACCTTGAACATTGGGAGGCTGCAATCTGGGAATGCATACCGGTACGCCACCTAAATCTTATTCCCCGATCCGAGTATTGACTGCTGTCTGTGTGATGATCAACATTCTCATCCATAGTACATCAAGATACCAAGGCTCCCCCCCGAGCTGATGGACTGCATACTTGACTTTGTGGGCGGCAAGCCAGATTTCAGCTTCCCCGATCAGCAGACGCTGTACAGCTGTGCTCTTGTTTGTCGTGCATGGTTCCCAGCTAGCCGTTATCGTCTTTATGGCTCTAGACAAAGTGTGCAATCCAACAAGCACTTCGAAGCCCTTGTGCGGGCATCAAGGATCCTGCATATGGCATGTAGTCTGCGATCGGTGCGCACACTGCATCTGGAGGATTCAAAGCCTGCATGGGTCCATCGATTACCCTTTGTCCTTGGACGAGCATTCTCAGCAGTCCAGGAGTTGCATATCCGATACATCAGATGGGATGCAGTTGTTATGCATCGACACATACTGCTAATTGGCTTCACTCAGCTTGGATGCATTACCAAGCTGACATTATCTGACTGCAAATTCCGCAATTTCTGCCAATTTCAACGTCTTATCTGTGCACTACCTCGGCTGCAGATGCTAGGGGTGAAGAATTTATCAATGAAGACATCTGAGGCATTCCCAATTACTACTGCGACATCGCGATTTTCTGCACTCACCAGAATTTCCCTCTTCTGTGATCATGGTTACAAACGATCACTAAGTTTACAAGCCGCACTTCTCGAATGGCTGGTATTGATGCCAGCATCCATCCGGAGTCTACAGTCACTAGCCGTGAATAATTTTTCCCGCAAAACTTCAGCTCCTCTGACAAACTTACTCCAACACGTCGGAACTAGTCTGGAGTCTCTATATTTAGCTCTGTATGCGCTGACTGCCTCTGATGGTGAGTATTATAACCTACATTACAGTGGCATCCTGAGACATAATATCATCCACAGTGCAGGACTTGTATGTCGGCCGTTTCACTGGACTTCGCAACCTCAATTTGCGGTGGGTGCATGGGATGTCTTTGGCAGAGATCCTGCACATCATTTCACCAAATTGCCGCCTCCATGAACTCAGCATAGTGATGTATCTAGGAAAAGCGGAACGCAAGTGGGAGAGTGCGGCCCGTATCCTGGACGAGCAGCAGTTTATCACACTACGGAAGTTCGAGCTGGCGATTCAAGACAGAATCTTTACCGAGCAAGAGAAGCGGTGCATTTCGGGCAGTCTGGATGCCTTGCGACGGCGAGGTGTCCGTGTGATTGTGGTGTTCGCTAATGATCTGCCTCCACGTTGCCACTGGGGGGAGTGTGGCATCCAGTTGAACGATATCTCCCCAGGCGGCATACAACGTCATATTCGAGCAAAACACGGCAATGGAATCTGGGTTCGGGAGCGCCCTGGGGAGTGTAGGTGGAACACCGAGCAAGGACTATGCGGACGTCGGATGATGCAGGGCAGCTACGGCATACACGTAGCATCGACCCATTTGCGGCCTGCAACTATGATGTGTGACAAGTGCAGAAGGACCTTTTCGAGGTTGGATTCGCTTTGGAGGCACATGAACCATTGCAAGGGTGTCACTGGTGGTCTGTGAGGTGCACAGAGCCATACTACTGTCTGGGGGAAATGGTTTTCATATCACATTAGAAGTTGAAGTACATACGACTGCTTTGTATAACTCATCTGCCCTTATTTTCGTTTCGAGAATATCCAACAACCATACAGCTGAATGACTTCCCCTGTGTGAGAACAACATGGTTTGTACTATGATGACAGTAAACCGACAGCATGCAGATCTAAATTCACCTCACACAACACAGTGTAACTGTATCCACCTCCGCATACTTGCGCTGCTCGAGGTCGCAGAGTGGCCTTGCAGCCAGCACTGAAGCCGTAGTACCTGTACAATGTCGGGCTGAAGCACGGGATTTTAATCTAGTCCCAGCTCTCCAAATGAACTTAGTGGCAACGAGAACAAGTGAAGAAGCTGAAAGCGATAGACAGAATGCCTATCAAAGGGGTTTGCGATACAACGAGGTCCGACGGTGGAATCTCAGTCTCCAAGTTACTTGCATGGATTACCTGGCCTCAGACACTCTCGGGTATATCGCTGCGCTCGAGGGAACGCCGTGAAGTGGTACGCCGACAGTAATGCAGTTGTATTCCGCGAATTGAGAGGGAAGGGTATGCAGAACTTGTGGAGAGAAGATGCGCGGCGAAAGAAGTCGGGTGATGTCAATATTGGTGCAGGACCAGCTCTTACTGTGCAGTAGTCTGAATGAAGACCTGAGTCAACTTATGAGCCAGAAGAAGAACACGAATACACGATGAACTTCTTCACTGCAAAAATGCGCGCCATAAGCTGTTGGTCCAGCTGTATGACAGACCTTCGGTAGTCTTCAATCTTGGATCAAAATAAGCCTTAGGAGTCATTGCAGCTGTGAAGGACTCACCGCCTGAGTTTGAGCGACCATACCCGAAAACAATATCTGCTCGTAGTAAATGTTTGCCATGGTCCTTTGGCAGCCGGAAGCCAGGCGGCATAGGTACCGCATTGATGGAGATAAGCGCACTTTTGATACCTAAGCTGCAGACGTGGACACTTGTCCACTGTGACCAACGACCTCACAGATGTGCGAATGGTCAGCATGGTACATACCATCCTTTACCTTTCATCATTATCTTGAGAACGACGAATTGACTTCAAGATCCGCTGCAAGGATGCTGGGCCGATCCATTAGCATCCGAATTCTGCTTACAGAAATACGACGACGCTTCGTATCAGGAGGAATCGGAGGAAGTCGAACGACATTTTTCGACTGCGATCACGAGTCAGCTTTCGTGCGGCAAGCGTGCTGTTGAGATCGCGATGAGAAAGCCGTTGCCTTCGAGTGTCTTCTGTGCCGGAGTCTTAGTATCGGGATTATACCAGTGCACTCTGCGGGGGTAGAACATCAGATCAGCAAGGCGCGTGATGAGACGGAGAGAAACGGGGGCATAAACGCTAATATGAGCACCTCGGATAAGCGCGACTTATATCAGATGCATGTGCGGTGTCTTATTCTCGGTCACAACGATCTTTCTGAAGATTCGTGCCCTGCAATGCTATCAAATGTTCTCGTTCGGAAGTTCTCCTGCTTCGCTGGAGGCTCAACGGGCAGCGGTTGGCAGGAAGGGTCGAGGTACATACCAGCGGGAGGAGACAGATGAAACGATGCCGACTTGAGATGCAAGTGTCTGGAGGAGGAATTAGAACGAAACACAGGGATGAACTACGAAGAATGAAGCCTTGAGGACTCCTCATTAAACAAAACCATAACGAAGGTTTACCCGCGTGCCGTCGCAGGGAACGTTTCGAATACCAGTACATTGGGTAGCGTTCGGTACACTCGCGTTGACATAGATTAAAGGAACCCGGGTTAAGGCAGTGCGCAACTTCTACGTACGACAGACTTAAAATTACAAACTGCCAACGCTGCCAGCCGTATGCACTGTTACTGACTCAAGCTCTCGGAGAAAAAGTTCACCATTCACACACCTCTTTAGATTTTCAAAGACTCCTCCATACACATATCCCACACCCGACCTTATACGGCACGCCAACGAGAGTACACCATAATGTGACAGAACCGCTAGATCCGGATGTAGCGTCGACCGTTACAGCAGAGCGTCACAGGGGCGGAGAATGGCATAGGAGAGAGGACAGTACTCACCTCCGTCCGTGTAATGACTGCCAACCAGCGACAGAATAGCAGGCTATACTAGGTCCTGGAGAGATCTCAGAGTCAGTACACAATACGCGGGAGAGTCCGAGGCAGTGTTCGCAAAGACAAGTCACGGTCATGACCGGGGTCATTGACGATTTCTCAATTTTCCATTTTCACCGGTCACTGACCGGTCAACAACTGGACAGATGACAAAGATATACACACGTGTATTACTCTATATGGATGGATTGCTATTAAGTACTGCGAGTTGGATGACTCAGACATCTCGGACCTACTCACGGACGGGTGTTTCGCATCCATTGTAAACCTCGCTCTTCGTGGATGCCGACGCCAATGCTATTGTTCCGGCACCACCAGTGGTGATCGACGAGGTGCCCCTCAGTCAATCTTCATGCCCTTGGTGCCTCATTTGCAGGCACCTTGCGACAAGATCCTAATATTTTCGGAGGCCATCCTACTCAAGAACATGTTTACCCGGACTTGCTCGGCTTCTGTTGGCATGGTGGAGCTATGAGTCTTCGTGTGAATGACAAATGTAGTGAGGTTAACACTAGTATCTAGTAAATTTCTTTTCGTTGTAACGTACTGTATATACATTGAGTACTGGAGTACATTAATTAGTTTCTTGATCATATCACGTAAGCTGACCATCCCTTGACCGGTCAGGAACTGTGGGTGAAAAGTCAATGACCCGTCATGACAGGTCAGTCGACCGGTGAATCCCAGTGAAAAACGCATATTCTAAGAACGAACCAAGACGCACCAGATCGCGGCTTGACTTGGACTATTGCAGGAGGTCGAACCAAATCCCACCTAGTCAAACACGTGTGAGAGATCCTGTGATTTGGCGCCTCGATCCTGTACGAGATCCTGTCTGCGTAGCACTTTGCTCGATGTCCCTGCCAGGCCTGCCATCAGTTGAAACTTGTCTACACATATGACTTGGCTTTGGTGCATCTCTAACTATACACGATATTTGCTCTTACTAGTGTACTTGTCTCCCGCACATGAATATCATCGCTTTGCCTGCCACACCGAACTCTTCTGCGCGATCATGCCTGCAAGCAAACGTCAGTATCAGTGCGACTGTGAGAAACACTGTGGTGGCCGACAGAAGGTGGTTAGTCGGGCTACATACTATGGGCATGCTGAGTTTTGCGCGAAGACATCCCAAACATTCGTGGACTTTGTAGCAGACCTCTCTGGTACACGCATCTTCTCGCATGCCGCTTCATGGCCTTCCAAGGGGAACACAAGTCAATTGCGAGGGAGAAAATGTGCTCGTGTGGAGAATGAAATCTATGAGATGTCGGAACAGGTATGTCTCCATGCTCCTACATTTCAGCAAGCTGCCTGACATATTTTCGGCTGCACACAGATGGAGAGCTCGACAATCGCACCTTCGTTTGATGAACTTCCCGGGCCTGATATGGATTGCGAATCTCCTGGTCTTGGACCAAGTACAGAAACCTCCGAATTTACACCTACATGCACTCTCCACCTCGCACATGATCACATCACCCTATCCGATGTTGATGAGCATGAGGATGAAGACATGGATCCTGGGAGCATAGCAGCCACCCGAGGGTCAGAGGATGCCGCATCTAGTTCTCAGATGCGAGACGACACACGTTCGGGACTTGGACCAGAGACGGAATTGGAAGCAGACCGCACGGCAACGATAGAGGAGATCAAGATAGCAGAGGAGTTTATTCGTTTACTGAAGCAGGCTTCACTAGAGACTAGCGGGCTTGATGCTAATACCATACATCGCCTCCACCATCCCATCGAGGCCCCCCTTGATATCGACGATCCCGATCTGCTGCTATCGATTGAAATATTCCTCTCCGTGACTAACGCATCACAAGTGACATACACAGCCGTGCGCAGTGCAATCCTCCACCATTACCCCGAGAATACCATCCTCACTTTTGACCAGGTGAAGAGCAAGATTGCCGAGCTGAGCGGCGTAGTCCCCATTATCCAAGACATGTGTGTCAACACATGTCTAGCCTACACTGGTCCATTCGCCGAGCTAGACCAGTGCCCGACATGTGGAGAACCGCGCTATGATACTACGAGCAATGGCAAGAAGCGCATCGCTTGCCAAGAATTTCACACCATTCCAGTCGGTCCTCAGTTACAGGCTCTGTGGAGATCTCGTGAAGGTGCTACGGCCATGCATCATCGTAGTCGTCGCACACATGAGATTCTGGAGTGGCTTCGCGAGCATAATAACCAGCTGTACGAATATGACGACATATACCACGGATCTGCCTATCTCAAAGCTGTTCTCGAGAATCAGATCGGCACCGACGACATGGTCCTTCTTATGTCGATTGACGGTGCGCAGCTTTATGAAAGCAAGGCCTCGGATTGCTGGATCTACATCTGGGTAGTTTTAGATCTAGCACCGGAGCTTCATTACAAGAAGAAGCACGTCCTCCCTGGTGGTTTCATACCCGGTCCGCATAAACCCAAGAATCTCGACTCCTTTCTGTTTCCTGGCCTTGGGCATCTAATGGCACTACAGAAGGATGGTCTTTACATCTGGGATGCTTCAGATGAACACACTTTCCGATCGAATCCATTTCTAGCCATGGTGACGGCTGATGGTCCTGGAATGGCTCATGTAAATGGTCTGGTGGGTCATCACGGAGCTCAAGGTTGTCGTCTCTACTGTCCACTCAAAGGACGTCATAAAGCCGGTGGCCCACACTATTATCCAGCTCTTCTCAAGCCAGTAGACTACGAGGTTGATGGTTGTGATCACGATGATGTCTCCTGGTGTACTCTCATGCCATTGTCTCCGGAGCAGTATGCAGAGAACCTTGTTTACGTGCGCACATCCCCTAACGATACTCAATATAAGGCGCACTGCAAGCAAACTGGTATCGCCAAGCCGAGTATTCTCAGCGGCCTCTCTCGTATTCTGCTTCCACCTACATGCTGTGTGCTCGATCTCATGCACCTCGCATCTCTCAATATTCCAGACCTGCTCATCCCTCTATTCCGTGGAATGCTCGAGTGCGACAAAGATGACGATAAATCAGAGTGGGATTGGGTAGTTCTTGTAGGTGAGATCTGGCAGATTCATGGCAAGATGGTTGCAGATGCACGCCCGTATCTTCCTGGGTCATTTGACCGACCATCGCGAAATCCTGCAGAGAAGATATCTAGTGGATACAAGGCCAAGGAATTCCTGAATTATGTCTATGGCTTTCTCCCGGCTCTCTTGCGACCGATTCTGCCTGAAAAATATTGGCGTAACTTTTGCAAACTCGTACTCGCTGTTCGGATATTTCACCAGTGCAAGCTCACTTCTGCACAGCTCAAGCTTGCACATACAACAATGCTCGAGTTCATTGAGGAGTTTGAACTTCTCTATTACCAACGTCTTCCTTCTCGTCTACATTTCTGTCGACCTTGCACTCACACCCTCGGACATCTGGGCCCCGAAGTAGTTCGTCTTGGTCCACTTATTTACTACACTCAGTGGAAAATGGAGCGCACGATTGGAAATCTTGGCGAAGAGATCAAACAGCCATCTAATCCTTACGCCAATTTATCACAACGTGGTTTACGGCGTTCTCAAGTCAATGCGGTGAAGATTATGGTACCTCATCTCGGTGTCCTAGGAGAGAAGGACAATTCTCAGGATGAAAAGACGGTGCAACTTAATAGTGGGTACAATCTCCGGCATCCTCGGCAAAAGGCAGGACAGCATATTCGGGCTGTAGGAGAAGTTAATGCAATTCGGAGGTACATGATAGACCACAGGCTACTCACATCCATGGCGGCGAAGGATTGGGATCCAAAACTGGCCAAGTGGGCTCGTTTGGGCCTACCGAATGGACAGATAGCACGTTCGGTATATGGCGAGGGCAAACGTACTGACGAAAATGTGCGCATGTCTCGCAATGTCAAAGTACGCACGATCCACTTGCAATCATATATATTGACATCGAGGACCTTTTTTAAGCTCGATATTAATGGGACAACTCATTTCGGTGAAGTTCAGTATTACTTTCAAGCTGAAACAGGTCACGCACAAAGTTCGGCCCTTGCAGTGATACGTTTATATTCTGAGCCAGATGCGATCATCTTGCAGCGCTCCTACAACACCGTATGGATGTGTCATCCTCAAGGGGATGCTGCGCTAATGGTTGTGGATATTGAGAATATCATTGCAGTCGTTGGCATGATTCCAGAACCATTCTATGGTGGTGCAGGAGCCGGAGAGCAGGCGGAGAGATCAGATCGATTTTTTGTTGTTGAGAAGACAGGCTTGGAGGTTGGACTGATGGTGGGCAAGTTGCAATCAGTGGAGAATGATTGAATTAGTAGAGAAATATTAGGTTAATCGATATAGTCGAAAAATGTGAGGGTTTGTTCAAGTGGATCAGAAGTTGGTATAACAGTAAATGGAGAACTAGCGGAAGGTGTGCTATGAGCGGATATACAGAGTTCAATCTCTTCAGGACAAGACGTAGGTACTGGTGTGAACCAGCCGGATGGCCGGGGTGGAGTTGCTGGCAGGAGATGTAGGATGGGTGCTAGTGCGATAGCTTTGGTCTCTTCCTCTTCAATGGAGTCTTCCTTGGCCACAGCATCTACCTGGGGTATGAGGTCTTTCTCAGCTACGATGTCTCCCTCAGCTACAGCTGCTACATTGTCTCCCTCGGCTACGGCTACGATGTTTTCCCGAGCGGGAGCATGTTCCTCGGCTGCGAGAACTACTCCTACTGCATGCTCTCTGTTAATTCTGCATATTTGTAGGTGTCAGTCAGTTATTGAGAGTGACACAAAGGAGCACACTCACCCAGATTGTAGTTCTGTGAGCTGATTGAATGCCGGTGGAAGGATACTCTGCAGAAGAGAGATGCCTTTGCTGATTTCGACAGAATATAGTAAGCCGAGAGTGTTAAGATTATGAGTCTGATCTGCGAGTTTGAAAGCCAGGAGTTCACAGACACGGGATAGCTCCAGAAGGCACGAATGATAGTGGTGCATGGTAGGATCCTCGGGAGAGGAGTATTGAGATGATGCCTCGAATGTCTCAAGAAATGCACAAAAAACTGGAGGTATATGAATGCCAGGAGAAGAGAGATTTTCAGGTTCTAAAAGAGATTCTTCCTCAGTGTGGCTGGAAGTAGACGACAGCATAGTTGCAAGTACAGTCTACGAAGTATGAATTCTGTGACTCCAGAGCACCCAAGCGAAGAACGATCACGTGATAGCGACTCTGCTATTCGAACGCGTCATAGCATGTCATAGTAAGGCCACTACAATCCACGATATTATCCTCCTGCATCCAGTCGAACAGAACTCCAGATCATTATGCCCATTATACCAGCGGCTTTTTCTGCACATTCACGTTCTCCTTGCAATGTCAGTCAACCGCACCTTCTTAGTCCCATTAGGTATCACTCACAAGAGCACTGCGATGACGATGACATCACTGTCATGCCTGGCTCATCTCGCCCATCAGACACATTCACACTCTCGGGCCCAGTAAATCCCGATTTTACACTGCTCATATATCATAGCAGACACACTTCAAGATCAAATACACCTTTTCCATCCACGCAAGGACAGAACACACCCAGTTGGGAGTTTTCTTCGCGCAGAGTATGTGTATTTATATATTAAGCTGGAAATTACTGACCATACAAAATAAGCCATCATTATCTATGCCAGGTAATGCGGTCCCACAAACAATCGCCAACGCAAACCATGAAACTCTGTTGAAATTTCAAAATCAAGCATATCTTGGCCTGCGTGATGCTTATATGCGCCAAAAGATGGAAATACATGCGCTGAATGCACGGGAACAAATTCTAAAGTAAGTTCGAAGTTTTATCTCTCACTTTTTGTGCATATATGCTGCTTATTACCTTGTTCCGCAGGGAGACATATTCGAAACTTGTTGAAGCCGTGCCGCAAGCAGTCCTCCTCATGAACAGCGAACCCTCTCAGCCATCAAACTTTCCCGGTTCTTCTGACATCTCAGGACCACGCGCTCTGTCTTTTTCGACTAGCGGTGGAGCACCCCTTTGCAAGAGCGACTATCCGGGTGTTCGTTTCTGGATGTTTGATGAGTGGAACACATATAGGAAGATTCTAATCATGGAGGGAGGAATTCTACAGATCCCTGAAAGTATCAATGCCGACCACAGCACAGATGAACAGCAAGAAAGCGAAGATTGGCGGAGCAAGAAACCCAATGCTACCAAGAAGAAAAAGACCATACGCCGGGCACTGTACCTGGAGGATGAACACGGTGAAACCGTCAGCGACAATCGGGCTGGCGAGATTCGGCGCGTTGCCAGAGAAATTTGGGCACAACTATGGAACGAGGGCCATGCGCCGGAGACTTGGGGTGCAAAAACTGCGAACGTCGCAGCTTTCTATTATAAGCAGATGAGTCTTCGCTGTCCTGAACTGAGACTTTGCCATGGAGACTGGAAAGCCGAACGCCTTGTGATCGACTCCTACTCTCAGTGGCGCACTACTCGGTCTAAAGGCGACGAGATGAAATCTGCCTCTTGGTCTCGTTCTCGTGCTCATTCCCATGCTCATTCGAAATGTAAGGCCCGCTCTGCATCAGACATGGACTCTTCCAAAGACGACTCTCAACCAACCAAGCGCGTCAAAGCAACCATGTCTTCTTCCACCCCATCTTCGAACTCAATATCGATATCTAATCCTACTCCTGATACTGTACACTCTCGAGAGTCTGCAAATCCTGCCGTGAATGTTCAATCGTCTTCCAGTAGTGCTGTCGCTCTTATCTCTGCTATCGCTATCACTCCTGCCGAATCCGGATCACCTGTTGCCAACGAGAACGACGAAGAGCTTGAATATATTGATGCTAGTCTTGGACTTGCCGGCTCTGCTTGTGACCCCACTACGGCTTCAGGACAGCGAGATGATACGGACCCTGGCACCCATGAACGACAGCAGACGCCTATCGCAAGCACTTTAGTCCCGACCACAGCTCGAAACCCGACAAACTCAATGGTGCGTCCTTGAAATATATTATTGTCCGGTTGTTCTCATTGTAATGGGTGCCGTCGCATCTCAACTCAGCCTCTTGATCCTCTGTATGTACATTCCATCTTTACAGCAAACTCATGCTGAACTTTAGATTCAAGTGCCGACATGTTCGATATGACTCCTGCTACAGCACAAACAGCAACAACCTCAACATCTGCTGCTACTGTAATCCCTCCGGCATCCGAACTTCCAGCACTTACTTCCAGCGATATCGTGATGGACTCGGTTCGTACAGCGGTACCTACAATGCAACCGAAGAAGAAGAAAAAATCGCCCAAGATGTTCGCCAACAGCTCAAGCACCGCATCGTGAGTCTCATCCCCTCTATCATTTATGCTTATTGTCGGCTTCCAGGAATTTGTTTGCAAAAGACTGGCTCAAGACTCATGAAGGAGAATCCCAAGAACAATTCCAATCCGCGTGGGAGGCCCTCAAATCAGCGGAACGGAAGGTGAGTTATCTATATCAACGCTTGAATCTGCGCTGATCGCAGTTTTATTACAGATGTATGAGGACAGGAGTGCAGCCACCATCGCTGCACTGAAGGCAGAGAAAGCTGCTGCAAAGAGAGCTGAGAAGGCTGCGAAGGTATCGGGAAAGAAGAAGGCAGGGCAAGTGACGCTCCCTGCCAGCGCGGGCACGAAAAAGGTACCTTATCTCACTCTTTATCTATGCTATGACACATATTCACTGACTCTACTTATATTACAGGTGTTGGGCAGCATCCAGGTGTGAAAACGGGGACGACGGTGAACACAGGGAGTGCGGATGTGTGCGGTTGCATGCCAGTGCGCAGGTGCATATGCGGGCAGGGGGATGGGCGCACGCATGCGTGCGGGGGTGTGTAGGTGCGAGGGCAGGGGTACGGGCAGGAGCGGGAGCAGGGGCAGGAGCGGCAGCGGCAGCGGCGGCGGGGGTGGGGGCAGAAGTGGGGGTGAGAGCGGGGGCGGGGGCAGGGCCAGGGGTGGGAGCGGGGGCGCGGGCGCGGGCGTGAGTGGAGCACGCCGAAGTAGATCGTGCGATGTCGCAGGAGCTCGCATGACGGCGAGGGTGCTCACATGACGTCAAGTGTAGTCACAGTGTATTAAATCACAACAATACAATGTTTTACAGCGGCTTAATATTCGACTAGATGCGAAATGCCTCAATTCTCCTGCTTGGCACTGTGCTAGCCTGCGACCACGTTTGATTGGGCTCGCGCAAGATCGCATATAGTCCAAATTTTCGCAGCTGGTCGCAGCTGGTCACAGCCACGACCTCGTGCGACTTGCTGCGATCTCACAATATGCGTTTTCCACTGGGGGTGAATGCGAACACTGGTCCGAGGAGTCAAGCCCAAATAAGCGCTCGTAGCACATTTACATCACGAACGCGATCTCGATCTGTAGTGGTGTATTTACCGGCATGGGTCCCAGTCAGGAACGCCGGGCTGCCACTGTAGTAAGTACGTGATAAACTAGACCAGTAATAATGTACTACGCAATCACGATGTGTATTACTACAGCGACGCATCAGTAATCAATGCCGCTCCGAAAGCCTCATACTCCTCAACCGCAGCTCACGGCCAATTCCACAAAAAGAAGGCAGATCAAAGGTCAAAACCTGGCAGGAAAAATTCAAAAAAAAAACCTGTCCAGGAATCAGATGTGGTTCGCCACTGATCTGATAACACTCACCTCTGACCAGTAGAATACCATCCCTCCCGCGCTGGCTTGCAAGACTACTCACTGACGACAATTGGCACGCGTCTCACCGTTCTGCTTTCCAGGTTATTTTCCATCGACACCGCTGCAGTGTTTACGACCGCTCGGATAAAGATATTATAATATTCGTTTACCAACACCGATTTCGGACCTGCTCCAGGTGCTCGTTGTATACTGGGCGACTTACCAGATTCACCGCCCTCCTCCTCTTCTCCATCTGTCTCCTCTCCTCTTGTCCTTGCCACTCAAATTCTGCCACAATGACAGCACCCCTACTCAGGATTGGTGCCCCCGCCGGGCCTTCTATGCTCCCTAAGCACGCCAGACCAGCAGTTCGCCTCTGCAGGCAATACCGTACTGCCTCCGGTGCGTGTGCGCGTGTGATGGCATGGGGGCACGGCGACGTGTACGTACTTCCACTGACTGGGCGAGGGCCAGTGGGCTCTCATGTATTTAAGTCGTCACTGGAGAATTAGCGGTACTACTTCGTTCGACTCATGCAAGTACTTACTGCGTGCGAATGTAGGACGAGGGACCCTCAAGTCGAATCCGCTCTGTGACACGATCACCGCGCTCGAGTACGTAGATGCCGAATATCGAATAGTGTCGCCGCACGCACGCACGCGCGTACGGGATGGCACAGTCAGGAGGATTGGCTGTGCGGCGATGATTGTGTAAGTTGGTGCGGGTGCAAGTGCAGGATGAGGTCCCGGATATCCGATTCGGCGCTCAGTGCTCGACGACGTGAATGACACCGTACGCATACGGGATGGCGTGGTGCACGCGACAGACTCGCGGTGTCCTGGTGCTTGTGCTTGGTGAAGAACGAATAAATGACGCATGGTTATTCGATCTGAGATGGGATGGCGCCGTTGGGAGGATTAGTGGTACGGCGAGGACTGCGTAAGTTCCTGCGGATGCGTATGCAGACCTAGGGTCAGGTCCCGGATCCGCTTCAGCGGTCGAGGACGTACCGAGGACGTGAATGAATGCATGACGCAAATGATCGAAGGGTGCCGGCGTTGCGCTGGTGGGATGCTCGAGTTCGAGGGTATCGGAAGGCGCTCGATGTATGCCCGAGCTCTGACTCTCAGAAAGTGGAAGACTGAACGTTGGAACGCATTGAGGGCGACGTTGAAACTTGGTAGAGCAATGGCGTGGGTCGTATAAAAAGGGCATGAATTCGTACATAAGAAATGTAGCCGAGTACAGCATCGACAGCGACTAAAACAACACTGACAGCGCAAGCGCGCCGAAAGCACAAGAAAAAAGAACATAGAAAGAAATCTTATATCGGAGGGAGCCACCACGGTCAGGTATAATGCGCCACGCGAAGGGTAGCTCGACGGAAAGCGCTGGGTAGCAGACAGAACCGAGAACAGACGGGATTGCGCGCGGCAGGCGGAGCGAATGGGGGCCCGCTCAACGTCTATGGGCACAGCGCGCGGATTAAAGGGCGACGGTACGACCCCGGGCAGCGTCTCCGAGCTACTGCTGCTGCTGCTGCTGCTGTGTGTATCCGCGAGGGTCTGTATGTGCACCGCGCGGGGTCTGCGCTTGTGCTGGACCCGGCGCGACTTCGGACACTCACACCGCCGCGCGCTCATGCTACACCAACAATAGCAACAGCTGAAAAAGAAAACAAAAAGAGAAAAATAGAAAAGCGAGCAATGCCAAACGCCACGCAAAAAAATACTGTGCACGCACTAGCACACCACAGCCCCAGGGACAGGCGGCCCACATGCGATCCTGGGCTTGCGGCAAAGGCAGGCCGTCGCGGGATTCTTCTTCAAGGGCTCGCGCGTGCCACCCGTTGTCTTGAGCCGGAAGAGCGCCCGGCCGGGCTAGTCCTCGCGGTCCGGCATCGGGAGCTCGTCGAGTGAGAGCGGAGCGGGATACGGGTAGCCTACGGTGTGTGTTGCGCGACGGGCTTCTTCCGTGGGCGGCGAGGGCGCGGGGCGGCGGCAACGCGGAGGCCTCAGGCTGCTGCGTCTCGGCGGGAAGGGAGATGAGTATTTGCGCTCGTGCTTGGGCGCAGGCTTGGAGAGCGGGGTAATGGTGGCGGCGAGGGTAGAAGCGGAAAGTCGAGGTCCTCGCTGTCGCCGTAAACGGATTCGCTGAGGGGAGAGATCGGGGTGGTGTCGTCGTAGCCATAGTCGGCGTCACGGCTCTGCAGGCCGACTCGGAGCGAGACGCGAGCCACGAATTGGAGTGTCTACACCTCTCGCGGGTAAGCCAGCTAACCCCTCGAGTGGGTAAGGGTTATGTTGCGAGGAGTGTCGCAGGACGTTCTGTTAGTGCAATAGCAGGAGCAGTATCATGCATACCTTTCGGCCTCGGAGTTGGTCCCAGGGACCTCTGGCATCCGTAGTCATTTGCGGACTTCCGGGTGATCTGATATCCAGGACCTTGGACGCTGTAACTTGAAATCTTTGCAAGGTCGTTGCGCGGGTATGGCGAGTGCAGCAGGGCACTGAGGGCAGGTGTTGGGGAGGTGAGCACGTTGGTAACTCGGAGTAGCCGGACCGTGGCCTCTCGCGCCTGTCACGATCACGCGCCGACGTGACGTGCTTCCGAGACTCCTCATGTCCACGGCCGCCACGCCATATGTGCCAGGGGTGGTCCCAGGTGAGTATTCCTGGCCATGGGGGAAGGTACGTCGTTCACTTGTCCTGTTTTACGGCTGACTAGGGTGCCTTCAGTTCGCCTACGCCGCTGATGGGAGGATCGCCAATATGCACCGACCCAGGAGTTTCTTGGATTACAATTGTAGTTTCGGGTGCGGCGGGTATCGGCCGTTGGGACTTGGGATAAAGACGTACGTTTCCTGGTTTACGATCACCCACCTTTGACTCTAACTTTTCAAGGACTCACAGCGATTTCGTGTATGTGATTCTGCAAAGAGATTTGTGCATATATCAGCTACACTTGCGAATAAATCGATTCTTCCTTGCCGCAACATTTCTGATTTATCTTTAACAAATGTCATCTAAGCTATCGACGAAAAGCTAACCGACATTAAACAGAATGGAGAAGCGACTCGAGGTGCGTTAGGGATAGACTCTTGCGATGATAATTGTGACTGATTACTCTGCGAACATGGATCTCTTTCTTCAACTCTTCGTCAGCTCGCTCACCCCACTTCGTGACACCGCGATCTCCCTCTCGTCCGCGCTCTCAGCACAGCCATCCCCCAGCTGCGATAGACGATCACAACGATTGTTGACGCTGTGGCTATGCATACGGGCTAACCTTCGACCACGAGTGCTCTTACACATTCCCTAGTCCAGGTTATGCAGCGATTGTCGAGCGGGATGCATGTGAGTTCTCTAACTATCGTAGTCCCTCGCCCTGAACATCTCGCGGCTCCCCGATTTCGCAGAAAATCGGACTGCTCGACATGAAGAATTCCAAGCTTCCTCACTACGAGGATATTTATAATCATCTCATCACGCAACCGTGAGCTCCTCGGACCGGCGTCTCAAAGCGCACCTCCCTCAACTTCATCTTCGAGGGGTTTGCCGCTCGTGGAGCGTGCACAACGACGGCACGCACAACCCCTGTAATTTCTTATGCAAGTCAGTTCAGTTGCACGAGGACATCTTTTCCGTTCAGTCTTCTCGTGTAGAGACTTCCCTTCAAGTCCCGGAGCATCGACAGAGGTCTATCGCGAAGCGAAGATGAGGTGACAGTGCGCACTGTATATTTCCCAGTTCATGTTCCCTCGCTGACGCCATATCCGCGACGAACGCTACTTTCAGCCCTTCAGAGCACTCACGTACGGTCGCACCTAATATTAGATACAACGCGAACCCTAGGACCACCCAGTTAGTTTCCGGAGCACCGGTTCTCACCTAGGCGCCCTCGTAGGTGCGTGCGCAATCGATCCAGTCCTAGTCAGTGGTAATAGCCAACGTCTCACAGGTTCTCCCCTGAGTACGTGTGTTGCAGTGTTCGTTGGCGGTTGTTCCGCAGTCGCGGATAGCCTTGCGATGTAGGGCAGGCTGATATAGAGCTCGACTCGAGCAACCGTTGGTGACAGAACGTCCTGTGCACAGGCTCTGCAGCGGTCCTCCTTCTCAATACAGGGCGACGAAGCCCGCGCACGGCCTCTTTCAAATCCATCCAGATATGCGTGCGTCTATCTGCTATTTGCCGTGATGGACCACTCATTTGTTCAGATCTGCTAAACATGATAACCCACGTGCCTGTTTTAGGTGCGTGGCTATGAACGCATCAAGTTCTTACGCATGTTCGGGGTGTGAGAGTTAGTGTCCTATCTTTTCTTGAGCTCCTCGTCGTCCAACGATCCAACCCCCCGTCCTCCACTCCTTGAATTCTTCCTTGTCTAACCCCACTCACTTGACACAATGAGCTCCTCCTTGTCCGAACTTACCTTGTCCGAACTCACCTCGCCCGAACTCACCTCGCCCGAACTCACCTCGCCCGAAGTTACCTCACCCGAACTCGGCATGTCCGAAGTCGCCTCATCCGAAGTTGCCTCTCCTGAACTCGCCTGGTCCGAGCTTCCCTTTCCCGAACTTTATCCGTATCAAATTGCCTGTCTCGAATTGAACCCAATGAGTTCCTCTCTGACCAAAACCGCCATTCCGGAATTCGCCTCGCTCAGTAAGTCCCTACTCCTAAACACTCGAAGTGCATGACCGACACAAGTGGTAGTCGTGCGCCCTCTAGTTTCAGCACAGGATGCTCACAGATGGGCCCTTTTGGCTTGGTGGGAGGCTGCAATCTGGGAATGCATACCGGTACGTCGCTCAGATCCTACTCCTCAATCTGAATATTAACCACTGTCTGTACAATGATCAACATTCTCATCATAGTACACAAATATACCAAGACTTCCTCCCGAAGTGACAGACCGGATAATTGACTTTGTGGGTGGTGACCCAGCTTTCAACACCACCAAGCAGTGGACACTGTACAGCTGTGCTCTTGTTTGTCACACATGGTTCCCAGCCAGCCTCTATCAACTTTCCTGCCAGCATCTGCTGAGGATCTATGTCAACACCTTCGATGCTTTTGTACGAGCATCGCGAACACCAAGTTACTCCTCTGCAGCTACTTTGCGTGTAGTGCGGGAAATAATTCTAATTGATGCAGAGCCTACATGGGTGCATCAATTTCCCCTTGCCCTTGGACGAATGTTCTCAGCTGTCCAGGGATTGGATATCCGTAACCTCAATTGGAGTAAAGTTGTTATACATCCACGCATACTGCTAATTGGCTTTGGGCAGTTTGGATGTGTTACTGAGATGAAATTAGCCCGCTGCACATTCCGCAATTTCTGCCAATTCCGGCGCCTCATCTGTGCACTACCTCGGCTGCAGACTCTAAATGTGCATTACTCAAGATTAGAGAGATGTGAGACATTTCCAATTGCTCATGCAGCATCACCATTTCCTGCATTCACCTGTCTTGTGGTGGACTCTCATTCTGGTGAAGATGATAAAACACAACTAGCCCTATATTCAGCACTTTTTGAGTGGCTGGCATTGATGCCAGCATCCATCCATCGTCTGCAGAAGTTGGAGACATTCCTTAACCACACAATTCAATCTCCTCTGAAAAACTTTCTCATGCATGCCGGAACTAGTCTGGAGGACTTAGAGTTGCATTTAGTGTATCCTACTACCGCATTCAATGGTAAGTATTACACCCTACATCACAGTAGTATCAACCTAATGCCACCCACAGTGCAGGACTTGAATATAGGTCAATGCACTGCACTTCGCGACCTCACTTTTCGGGTGGCGCAAAGCATCTCTTTGGCAGAGATCCTGCGCATGATTTCCCCCAATTGCCGCCTCCACAAACTTGACATATTGATGGTGCCAGGAGAAGTGGATTGCGAGTGGGAGAGCGCGGCCTGTCTCCTGGACGAGCAGCAGTTTCTCACACTGCGGGAGTTCAGGCTGGACGTTTCAGGTGACGAAGTTGCCGAGGAAGAGAAGCGGCGCATTTCGGATCGTTTCGACGCCTTGCATCGGCGAGGCGTTGATGTTAAGCTGCACCTCAACCCCTGGGACTGGGAGCAGTATTCTGATGATTCATCCACAACTTGAATATTGGCATGCAAATGAAAATTCTGCGGGTGCAGTTTGAAGACAGACAGTTATCTGGAGTGCCTCTCATATCCACCGACAACGAGCACCAATCGAGCATCTGAGCAGATGAGGTCAGGTTAAACAGGACGGCGGAGGCACTCTGGTTTGGCGAGCGCACCTGGCAGGCTGCAACGTTACGAGGAGGACAGGTGGGTAACTCGGAAGTTGGAGTGTCCAGCCGGTGCGGGTTGTTTTGTGCAGCACATCATTCTTTGTCCGGTGCTATATGTACTCAAGTTTCGGAAATAGGTTGAGGTACCGGAGATATGTATGATTTTTACCACTCTACTCTCGATATTGTTTTTCTTCCTTTGTAATTTTACAGACCTACAAGTGACTCACGAAAGACGTGGGCTGCGTGTACCGGATTGCAAACAGTTTGTACTTAGATAGTGGCCGAGTGCGCTGTTTGTAGATTTGAAATTCTGATTGGATTGAATGTACACGTACAGAGATACGTATACACGAAGTCGGTCACGCGATAAAATCAGTATGAAAGCACGTACCGGTGGACAATGCCTTGGTGAACAATATGGTCAGGCAGAACTTCGAGGGCCAAAAATGCGCAGAATATGTGGTGACGTACCTGATTACAAGCACTAAAGACCGCTCTGCTTGATGTAAGCAGCGTACCACAGTATTTTTCCCGAAGGGTATAGTGTGGCTATATACTCAGAAGCATTGCACGACATCGGAATATTCGTGTGTTGCTGTCACTTCTGAAATTCTGGAAATCGCACCGATAACAGTAGGGCAGTGCTTGGGATGGAAGCGCAGTCGTATTTGCGCTCACTGACAGGGAACGGATGAGAGAGAAGACACTGAGCGCAGGATCCTTGGTGATGTGAGAATTCATAAAATACTGCCGTTACTATACAGGAATCCTAACGGCGAGGAGAGTCAATATTGAGCCCATGATATGAGGAAAAGACGAACTCACAATGAGGCCGCTTGGTAATGTCTGATCCTGCGGCACGATACGTTCTGTGCAATCTCGAATGTGAGATCAAAAATCTTACGATTCTTTATTGCGGCGAACGACTCACCTCGCGAGCTCGAATGATCATCCCTGAAGACAAGATTCGATTATAGTACATATGCCATAGCATCTTCGCAGCGGGCAGCCCGGCGCGACAGGTACCCGCACCAATGCGGGGAACGGCACTTTGTGCTACTTGCGCTGGGATGTAGACACGCGGTTGAGTAAGGAATAAACAGACACACGAGACCCTGATCCGAAGAGACAGTTTTGGGAAGATGAATTGATTTTGAGATGATCGACGAGAACTTCGGCTGTGTTGTTGGTAGGAGTGCCGAAGTGTCGTACGTTGGTACAACCACGGACGGGTGCTCGACAGGTCTGAGATCTGCTAATATGCGAATATAAGTATGCTTCGAGATCAGGAGGACTCCGAATACTCGAAGGTTGAATTTCTCGAATGCGATCGCCAGTCGGGCATCGCACGGCGAGCGCGACAGCGAGTCTTCAATGTCGGATCACCATCCAGCACACCCTGAAGGAACCATCCGATCAGCGAGGCGCAGAACAAGATTGAGAGAGGAATTGGGGCACGTCGGTTAGCCCGCCTGAGCCGGGAAATGAAAAGGACATCGAAAACGCACAAACGCTAGTCGCCAAAGCATCTCGGGAGAAGCGGAAATTGAGAAAGGGTTGCGACGCAACATGCAGTGCGTCATGACGTTTTGATCTTTCGCGCTACTAGATATGCTCTTGTCTCTGCGCCGGTGGCGATACTGGTGTTACACGACCAGTCTTGAAAGCTTGGGTGGCTTGCTATTTCATCGGAGGCTCAGCGGTCAAATTGTGGTGGGCAGGATCAACGTACGTACCGCCGGGAGGAGGCTGACGAGACGACGTCGGACGCTAGTGAGCTGTGAGCGTCCGAAGTTGGCGTAGAAACTAGGAGGATGTACAGCAGCGACGTACGAAGATCAATGCATCCTCAGTAAACGAGATCATAGCACGGAAAACCTCGTCACGTCGTCGTAGGGCAGGCCGCCCGGAGAGAGCCATCGAATACCTGTGTTTTATGGAGGTGACCTATTCAACGAGGTATGAGGCATCGATATCACTGCTATAAATCAAAGACCCGCACCGGTTGAGCTCACCATTCACCCGTCTCCCTAGATCTTCAAAGATACCATTATCCCACACCGGACCCTATACAGCACATTAACGAAAGTGCACCATAACGCGACACGGTGACAGAACCACTAGTGCTCGACTGCAGTAGCGCGTTGCGGGGGCGGAGAATATTTGGCATGAGGAAGGACGGTCACCTCGGTCGGTGTGAGGACTGCCAGGATAGAAGACGACGTGGAAAGATCTCACTGCTCAGAGTTGGCTCAGAGTTAGGCTCATAAATACAGCCTCTAGTTAGCGGAAGACAATCGTTCCTTTCTAATAGAGCTCAGAGTCACCAGTGCGATTTCGGAGGACCGGCGCCAAATAAGCGCTCGTAGCGCGTTTACCTCTGACGTCCGAGTCACCGTCTCTTCAATTAACCGTCACCAGTACTACTCAACTACTGCCTAGGTTCTTTCTCTATGAGTATGACCGCCTTCAGAAAGTGACTGGCTGCCTAACTTCAACTGCATTGTCGGGACTCCGAGGCCTATACGAAGATTCACCGCCGCGCTCGGACAAGATTCTGCAAATCCGCCGCCTATACAATTCGTTCCACCCTACTGGTGTATAATGATGTATGTTTTCTATTCAACCCTACTGTTATTAATTGCTGGACCACCAAACAGAGCGCTACGCCTTCCTGTATTGCCGCCGTATGGCATTCTAGTAAGCTCCTTGCTCTTCCCATTGCCGTCCCTCCGTGTTCTTACTGCACTAATGTCGCCCTTCAGGAACTCCTTCAAACTGAATCCTCGCAGACCTTGCCTTATCCACTGGATGCAATGCCCCCAATCCCCCTGTGCGCCACAAAAGCCTTACATGCAGCAGCTGCTCTCGCGTACTTGCTTCACCTGTACAGTGAGATAACCTCAAGTCCCACAAAAAATTGTATGTGAAGATACGACATTACTCGATATCCTTTGGTTCTCAGCGTAGCACGCTCTTTCGCGGTAAGGCTTCAATTCAAAATTCTACTCTCCGCATATATGCATTAAGGCGCCAGATCTGAAATAACAATGGCTACTATGACCTACATCCACTCATTTCGATGGCTGATACAATAATTCTTGCGTCCGATTTACTGTCAATGCGCGGCTATCCCTGTTATGTGTGCGACATGAGGGGCTGCAGTCGAGCAGCAGAACAGACTTTGTATTCCACATGTTCGCAACATCTTGGCCCAGCGACGCGATGACGTCGATCGGTTCTATTTGACCAACTTCCATCTGCCTGAAAATCGGTGTAGAATTCGCATTTCCTACTCCCGAAGCAAGGTGGCTTTCGGGCCGATCAAGCTATGTCGCAGATGCACGGCTCAATTCCGCGCATAGCATCTTCAAAATCAGAGGAACAGCATCAGAGATATTTACAGGTATCGACTATACCGCGAAACGCGTCGCATGTGGATGCTTTCACTCCCCGAGGTAGCAATTTGTCCTTGCTTGCATAGAATAAAGTATTTAGTGATCTACTGTCTCGCCCGTTCGCAGTGAGAAATAAAGCATTTGCGCCAAGAGAACTAATGATGGCGCACGATCGAGAAGAGTACGGTACGTAGGACCGAGCAATTCAGAGTGTACCAAGGGGGCGCTGCATGCGTGCGGCCTGCATTGCCGTGCAACAGTTCCAATCGGAACGCGTTCGTTTGGTGAATGATAACGTATCGAGATGTCCACCGTTGCACGGACTTCACAGAGCATTGAGGATGAAGGATATCACTATCACACTGGTAGTAGACACGCACGAATGAGCCGGCAAGACAAGGCGACAAAGACACACCACAACGATCGAATTGCCTCCAGGTGGACCATACATGCAACGTGCACGCTCTTCGATGTGTGTGTCTCACTCGCCTGGACCGGACTTGTTTACTCATGGGGAAGTTTGAGCTTTCAGTGGACCAATGAGATGAAATCATGATCGATCTACCTGCACGGTGCAAAGATCGTATCCAGATCCTCCTACAGCCAAAGCGAGACAAGGTCGAAGCTCGGTGCGGCGTGTTGACCCCTGCGAGCAACAAAATGGGTTTGGATGTCGGAGGTTCAGCATGTTCAGTGGATTTACGGAAACCGAAGATCAGAATAAATATACTACATGCCTTCAGATGGGGGCTCCATCATTTGGACAACGTCGAAAACTTTCGTGCGTTGCACTAGGCATCTAACGGAGAAAAATTAGGAATCGGAGAGCTGAAGGAGATCAACTACGTATAATGAAGTCTGGCTGCGTAGTTTCAGTGCTGCAGCTGGAGGGACTCGAGAGTTGCTGTAGGTTGTTGTCCGATCGAAGTCGATACGGTGATAGAGGGCGGAGAATGAGGAACGAGCGGACGGAAGCCTTGTGTAGGTAAAGGATCACTGAGCATAATGCATAGAAGTCACTTGTTAGTGTAATAGTGAAAGGGACTGGAACAGCTACATCTTTTGATCGGTCCATCTGCATTCATTCGCAAATTTTAGTATTTGATAGATCTGTCGACTGATGGTAGTTTATGCTGCGATCGCTACGAGGAGTCTCCTTGGGAAGTGCGGAGAGCGTGAGGGATTCATGTTCAGTTTCCTCCTTACAAAAGCATCTTGCAGGAGAAGTAAACAACGAGGTGGAACTGAGAATGTCAGTGCGTGAGGGTCATGCATCTGGATTGAAAAGAAGACTCACGGAACTAACGCCGAGGCCGATGACTGAGAATCGAGCATCTCGAGTCAAACACAGACAATGAAGAGGCACCGCGCTAGAGCTCCGGGAAAAACTCCCTTCGAGGTTCTTCACCAGGTTATTACCATGCAGTGATCACATGGGCAGTTTTTCACCGAGTTATTAACCAGTAATTCACATTATTCACATCTAATTGTCTGAGCCCTTTATCAATAGATACATGTAATTTATGGCCTACATGGTCCAATCTACTTTAGTGAGCATTCACTTCGGACCTGAGACCAACTGTGGTGCAGAATGTGCAGGGGTAGCTTCAGAGATGGAAGTTATGTATATCTGAGATGTAATCAAGCAGAATGGGTGATCAAAGGTTAAAGCTGACCTCCAGATTCAGTGCATTGCTTGATGGCTCAAATTATCACCTTCGTCCTCGCAGTCATCATTGTCCAGCCATAGAAGGGTCAGGGAATGATGGGTGAAAAGTTTGCTACATCTACTATACTTGGAGTTATACACACCCATTTTGGGAGGCTAAGTAATTCACCAGGTAATAACCCGGGTAATTAACCGGGTAATAACCATGCTGCGAAGAACTGGTGTGTTATTCCCGGAGCTCTACACCGCGCACCTTTGCAGAAATTGGCGTCAGCTACAGTGTCCTTCTCAGCTAAATTATCCGCATATCCCAGTACAGATCGCTGCCCTGCGACTCTGCGTTGCATATGTCGGCTTTACCAAATGCAGGCTGGGAGATTTCAGTTTTCGCCTTGCATTATTGGAGCACCGAAGTGCATTCTAGTTCCCCTGGGAGGGTACACTATACCTCTCAGCCCTGCGCCAACCTCTACGTGGTCCAGGGGACTAGTACCTTGCCATCCTTCGGGATAACAAGAGAAGCTAACAGGCGCAAAGGCAATCCATCAATGGACACACTTAACACACTCAGTGCTGCCCTACAATCCCCACTACACACGAAAGTGCACTATGCACAAGGACTCTCATCCTGAGATCCACACACACATAGTCACATAACCAGCCCCAATGAAACCAGGCTCCTAAAACCAGCCGTCGCTATAGCGTTCTCACTCCTTTATCCTACGTTCATGTTTTAGGAGATCATGTGATAAATGTTTTATGAGACTTACCTGATTGAGCAAAAATTACTGTAAAAGGATAGCTGAACAAGAGGAGGAGAACACTATAGGACGGCTGGCCAAACTTGTTACGCTGCAGCGAAACACGAGCGTCTAGTCGAGTTGTTACGAGACAAGGTCTTAGTCTAAGACACAAGTCCATTCAAGTGACACTTCTGGCGATGTCCTCGCACTGAAGGTCGATCAGAGTTCGTTCTTATGACTCGTAGTAGCTGTCTGCTACTAACGGTCGATCTTAGTCAAAGGCAAGTGAAAAGCTGGTTTAATGGTAACCAGGTCGAGATGGGGATCCAGCTCGACGAGGTCGTCTACTTATACAAAAGGTATCCGCAGTACTACACAGTAATACGAGATCGTTCATTGGCTAGATAAGGTGAAACGATGTCTGGGCAAAGTAACAGCGAGGAAGTAATATGTATGAGAAAGCTGAGTAAGATTGTGAGAGATAATCAGTATTAATGGGGATAATGAGTCATGTATCAGAACGAGGTAAAGATGAGGCATACAGGCACGTCTTGCATGTGCGATAAGAAGAAGGTCCGGAGTTGGATCCGGTGTAACCCTAGACTAGGGGTTCTGGACATCTGGGTAAAGAATTGGAGGTTGTGCTCCGATGAGTCAGGTATTGGATCACGTGGTTTGGTAACGTAAAGGGAACAAGGAAAAGAAAAAGAAAAGACGCGCCACAAGTGAGGAGCGTTGTAACATCAGCTCCCGTCTAACATTTCTTGTCCCACAAGAAATATTGTGATCTTCATCGTCGCCGGGGGCAGTCACGGACATAATGATCTCCTCCACATCTGTAGCATGTTCACCGGCTGGTTCGTGATCCTTGTTTGGGGATACGCCCATCCCTGTAGGGATGACTGCGATGCGAAGAAGTGGATGCGGTAGAGAAAGATGGTTGTGATAACGGAGATCGTCCACTGGGTGCGTGCGAACGAGGAGGGTGAGGTCGAACAGGAATTGGTTCTGGCGACGAGCGAGGAGTGGATGCGGGTATTCCATTAGTGGTGTATCTGAGGATGTGTCCGATGTCTTCGTCCCCATGCTCCCTCCAAATCTCCTGTGCTGTTCGAGTGACCGTACTGCACATCAATGACCAAACTTGATCGACTCTGGTTCGGGCTCTACTCGTCCTTTCCTCTGCTGCGATGAGCTCTTGTCTAGCCGTCTGCATCCACTCGACCATTTCTAATGCTCGTTGCATAGAAACCACCACCTGTCGATCTTGCGGGCGATTTCGTAAGGTGACAAGGATATCTGTGAAGTCGACGGGGGTACGGATGGCTGAGATCAGACGTGTAGCAAATTCTTGTTCATCCGATGCATGACTGAGTTCAATCGAAGGTGAAGGTGATGAAGTGTGGATGAAGGGTGTCTGTGTTCGGGATGGTACTCCATTGACAAGCGTAGGTGATGCGGAGGTACTCATAATCGTCAAAACGACTTCAGCGAGTATGTTGTGAACAAGGTTGTCTATAGCAGAAGTGGGCATTGGTGATACGTGGTCTTCTCCTCCTTTTATACCTTTCAGTCATTAAGGGGATCGCGGTTATCTGTGATGTGAAATAGAATGTCGTGGATCCGGGTGACAATCAAATAGATGAAAATCCATTGGGCGATAAAGAGTATTCCCACAGAGATAAGAACTGCCTGGTCAGTTCCAGGCATCATTCTGATCACCCCAGCTGTCAGCGCGCGGGCTGTCACGTGTGAAGAGTGTGTGTTCGACAAGTCGTCTGATAAGGATTCGGTGGACGATCCAAAGAAAAGCGAGGGTTGTGCAGTGGAGGACGATTAGGAAGATGATGAGGAGAACCGTTGTGGTAGTCATTCCGGGTTTCTTCTCCTCTACTGGATTCCCCTCGTCCTTTTATATGCATCGAGGATTCGCTTGGCATTCTGTAAATTATGGGTAGGTTCCCATGAGTTTTCTGCTGAAGAATATCCCTTCCACTTGACTAAGTACCTCAGATGACCTCGGTATGTCTTGTGATTCAGGATGGCTTTGACTTCATACTCTTCTTTGTTATCAACAATATCAGGTGGTGGGTTCACGTAATTCGGACCATGTATGTTGTTTTCGCGATAAGGAGATAGAAGGGCGGCGTGGAATACGGAATGAACTCGCCAGGTCTTTGGGAGTTTGAGACGATAGTTGGCTGGTCCGACGACTTCGACAATTTCGAATGGCCCCTCACGCTTTGGTGCTATCTTGCGCGAGGCATAATTGACCTTCAGGTTCCTTGAGTCTAGCCAGACCTTCTGTCCTAATGTAAACTTCGGCGATCCTTGTCTGACTCGGTCTGCCATCTGTTGTCGGGCTAACTTGTGCATGGCTAGTGCTTCTAGTCTTATCTTTTGCAACATGTCAAGCCTGGATTCAACCAATGGAATGTTCGTGGTTGGGAATACGGAAGGGAGTCCACGTGGTTCGTATCCCATCATGATGCGGAATGGGCTCATCTTCCGTGCCAAGTGTTCCCTTATGTTATGACAAAACTCGAGGTCTGGCAGGCGGTTGGCCCATGTTTCAGGGTTGTTTCCGCAATAGAGTCGAAGATAGATTTCCAGCTCCTGGTTGACTCGCTCTGTTTCTCCATCCGTCTGAGGGTGATAAGCTGTGCTCATCGATGATCTGATCTGGAGTAGTCGATTTAACTCTTGGAAGACCTTGGATGTGTATTGAGATCCTCTATTCGAGATGATTCGGTTGGGTAATTCAAATCGCGAGTATACTTTGTCATGAAAAATCTTGGCCATTCCTTCGGCTGTGATCATTTTGAGACAGGGCATAAGAATCACCCCCTTCGTAAGGTCATGGTCTACTATGACCATAATTGAATCAAAACTGTTGGAAACGGGGAGGTCGGTAATAAAATCGGTGGTGCAACAGGAAAATGGTAATGCGTGTGGGTCGGCAGGAATTGGTTCCAAAGGAATACGAGTTGGATGAGTATTCGGTTTCATTTGTTGACAGGCGGCACAGCCTTCAACATAATTGTAGACAAATGTATACATGCCGGGCCACCAGAATTCACGGCATAACAGTTCAAGAGTATTGAACTTTCCAGGGTGACCCATGGCAGAGGATTCGTGATGTAGTCGAACGAGGTCATGACGAAGAGTTTCAGATGGTGAAACGTAAATTTTTCCCTTGTAGAGGACGACACCATCACGAACTTCCCAGTCGGAAAGTGATGATTTCATGGGGAATGGCCCTTTGTGCGCAATTGCTTTGAGGGCTTCATGAACAATGAGGTCTTTTGCTGCGTGATTCCTGATTTTGTCGAATAGTGTCGGGGAAGTGGATCACACGAATAATGCGTTGGGTAAAAGAATGCGATCTTCGTTGTCACTTTCACTGTCATCGAGTCCGTTACGATGAGATAGCATCAGATTGGATCATCTGAGTGCCAGGGACATGAATGAGGTGAAGATCAAATTGTGATAATTTGAGACTCCATCGTGCTTGTCGGCGGTTTAACTTCTGAGCTGTACGGAAGTACGTGAGGTTCTTGTGATCACTGTGAACTTCGATGGGATGGGGAGAGCCTTCAAGATAATGATATCATTCAGTGAGGGCTCGAATGATTCCGAGGAGTTCGCGGTCATAGATTTCGTAGTTCAGTTCAGCTGGATTGAGCGTCTGTGAAATGTAGGCCAGCTGTGGTTCCCACTTTTGTATAACAATGGCCCAGGTAGCTGGGCAAGGTGTTGTTCACTACTCACCAGTTCTTGTCAATTGTCAAAGTTATTGTTAACAACAGTCTGAGAGGATTGTAATACATTAACAACTTGTACAAAATAACTTGCATCCAGCCAGGCTTGAACCTTGGTCTTCCGGTCACCTGATTACATAAGCATATGTCACACACACAATCTACCAACTGCTCCATTGGGCCATGCATTTTTTTCAGCCTCAATTCTATATAAGGCTACTGCCTCCTCTAATATACATATTAGAATCTCTTGTAATAACTACTATATCCTGTTGTTACTGTGGCTTCTAACAGTGATTGATGTCCCTGTTAATAAGTCTTTGAGTGCCTAATATTAATCATTTCCTTTTTAGTTCAGTAAATATTCAAATAAGATTAAAACTGTAATATCAAAATTTATAGATGTAATAAAGCTATTAGAAGAGTGAAATAAATAGAAAAATGTAGGCAAATAATTATTAGAAGCCACAGTAACAACAGGATATACTATCACGTGGAGGGAGTTGCGAAATCCAAAAAATTGGCAACACTGTCGTCGCTGCTTCCACACTCAATAAATAAATCAGATAAAATTGTAGGATGATACTATACACCAGTAGATGTGTTCTACCAAGCCAGGGGTTCAGGCATTCCGGGATTGCTGAATGAGACATCAAATACCGTGTTTGCAACTATGGTAGGTGTACTAATATCAAAGATCTCTCTTGATACTGAGAATGACTGACCCAAGTGATGTTTGGGTGATAGCAATATGTGCTACAGCACTGTGTTCCACCATCCCGATAAGTGTTTTGGGCAATCAGACATGCTTCAGCCTGCATTTTGTAACACTCCCGATGAAAAGCGTGACGACGTATAGCCCGATATGACACCCGCGTGAGCGCTCCGTCCGCGAGATGAGCGTGACATCTATGTGACAAAATCAGCAACACCACCCCCCGTCAACACCCACCACCGGCATCTTGCCGTCTCTCCCTCCTCACCACGAGAACATGTAAAAAAATTTGCAAAATGTAATGTGGAAGTGCATACATCTGCCCATGTAAAAATGAAGACAAAGCATCCCGGAATACAGAAGAGGAAGCCCGAGCGCTCAAAGATCGGTAACTCCCCCCTCATGATAGTAGTAGTTATTATAAGAGATTCTAATATGTATATTAGAGGAGGCAGTAGCCTTGTATAGAATTGAGGCTGAAAAAAATGCATGGCCCAATGGAGCAGTTGGTAGATTGTGTGTGTGACATATGCTTATGTAATCAGGTGACCGGAAGACCAGGGTTCAAGCCTGGCTGGATGCAAGTTATTTTGTACAAGTTGTTAATGTATTACAATCCTCTCAGACTGTTGTTAACAATAACTTTGACAATTGACAAGAACTGGTGAGTAGTGAACAACACCTTGCCCAGCTACCTGGGCCATTGTTATACAAAAGTGGGAACCACAGCTGTGTAGGCACAAGGATGGAGGTCTCTATTGATGTCGGCTTGGTGTAAAACTGCACCCATAGCAAACTTGGAAGTGTCGGATTCAACAATAAAGGGTTTTGCCTTGTCAGGCAGTAACAGTACTGGGGCAGTACTGAATCATTGCTTCAATGTGTCAAAAGCTGTCTGACATTCTGTCGTCCATTCAAAAGGTGGAGATCCAGCAGTAGTGCGTGTAAGATTTGTCAATGGTTTGGCAATATCCGAGAAGTTGGCAATAAACTTCCGATAGAAATTTCCAAACCCTAGGAAAGAGCGAACACCTTTTACTGTGCTTGGTTCAGGCCATTCTGCAATTCCTTTAAGTTCGATAGGGTCCATGCCAATGTAGTTTTCTCGAATGATCATGCCTAGGAATTCGACTTCTTTAACATCAAAGAAACACTTTTCCGGTTTAAGGAATAAGTCGTTGTCTTTGAGTCGTTGGAGTACGCGTCGGGTTCGAATGTGATGTTCTTCCAAATCGTTTGACAAGATGAGGATATCATCCATGTAAATGACTATCCATCCCTCATCGATCATGTCCTTGAAGAGTGCGTTCATCATCATCTGGAAAGTTGCTGGGGAGTTGCAGAGTCCAAAGAACATGACCATAGGTTCGAAAGTCCGCAGTTTGTCTTAAATGCGTCCTTCCATTGGTCACCATCTTTGATTCTGACATTGTTATATCCGGAGCGTAAATCCATTTTCGTAAAGATTGATGCACCTTTGAATTGATCCATAAGGTCAGAAATGAGCGGAAGAGGATAGGCGTTCTTCACCGTCCCTTCATTCAGGTATCGGTAATCCTGACAGGGACATAGTGCTCCGTCTTTCTTTTCTACAAAGAAAAATGGTGAAGCCATGGGAAATTTCAACGGTCGGATGTATCCTTTTCGCAGATTTTCTTCCAGGAAGTCATCCATCGCTCCTTGTTCTTTGAGCGATAACGGATAGACTTTACAGTCACGTGGAATAAAATTGGATTTCAAATCAATGGCGTGGTCCCAAGGCCTGGTTTCTGAAAAGCGTTCAGCTGCTTTCTTTCAAAAATGGACTTCAAATCATGGAGGTAGTTAGGGACCAACTCCTCGACGGTTTTGGGTTTGTCTACAGCTGATGCTTCCTTGTGTGCCTGTTGTGCCAATTCTTGTGATTTACCAGATGGTTTGTAAAAGATCGTATTCTGTGCATTACAGAATAATGGGGATCGAGTACTGTGTGTCATTCTTCTAATGGCGGGGCCTCTTCGTATGGTAAAGACTGCAGTTCCAGTCTCTTCATTTGTCAAAGGTGACTCCTTCCTGATGGGTTCAAATATCCCAATAACTTGCTCTCCTGCGATATAGGAGATAACTAGATCATCATCATTGAGCTGATCCATAGAGGGTTCTGATGGTGGGTCATCTGGTTCAGTATCATTCCGCACTGCGGGTAACTCACCACGCTCAGTGTTATCGGCCACGATTTCTCTGATAGATTCTGAATGCCCAAACGAGGTAGGGGAAGTTTCGGTGGTGATTAACTCTGGGAGTCCATCTTCCTTGAAAATCGAAACTTCTTCATCTGGTGCATCTTCGACGGTGGGTTTCGGTGGCCATTTGGCGTCTTTACCAAACCAAAAGTCGCCGGTTTCCCAGTTGATCATCGGATTGAGGCGTTTAAGCCACGGCATGCTGAGAAGTATGTTTTCTTTACCAATGCCGGTTAAGAGGAAGCGAGTAAGTGTCTTCCTTCCTCCGATTTTCATCATCTTCCAGGTACAATGAGTAATGGTACCCATTTGATTTGGTGTGCCATCTGCATTCATGACTTTAATCGGTTTCGGTAATTCCTATCTGATGAAATCATTTTCTTCCGCAAGATGAATATTCATGAATGTTTCGGCTGCACTGGAATTGATCAAGGCTTCTGTTGTAATGTCTTCCTTCTCTCTCAACGAAATATTCACAGTGATTGAATTTCCGCTAGTGTTACAAATAACGAGGGGAGATACGGTCAGATATGATGGTCCATGCATTACTAGTGGCCGTCGTTTCAAAAACCCAATTGGGTTCATTCTTCATCAGTCATGTTGTTGAAGACGTTTCGCACATAGGCGATCTGTTCCTCTCTGGTTTCTTCCTTCGATGTCTCCTTCTTCTGTGCGAGGTCTTCTCGCATCTTCTTAATCCATGTGATCGTGTCTGTGTCCAACCTGGGCTGTATCATTCTAGCACGGGTGAAACTTCCAGACTGGGGATGAAATTGTCTGTCGTTGGCTATATGGCCCTTCTTTTCACATAGGAAGCATAATCCTTCTCTCATTCTCTTCTGTCGTTCGTCTGGGGACAAGCACGAGATATTGATACGATCAACATCCATCGTGTTCGGGTCCTTTGCAGGAGTCGAGTAATAGGGACGATGGGCAGATCGGCCTTTTCCTCGTGTCATCGTAGTGGCTCCTCGTTTGAAGATCTGAGCAGATCTCCATTAGTTGTCAAACCGTGAGGTGTATTCATACCACTTGTCCAGTATCTTGGGCATGCTCTCCATTCCATATATTCTTTGTCGGAGTGGGTCGTTAAGTCCCCACTTGAAATATTCGATATTTCCGGCATCTTCCAATTTCGTTTTAGGTACAAGCGATCAAAATTCGGCAATGTAGTTGTCCGCAGTATGAGTTCCTTGCTTGATGTTACGCAGCAAGGTACGAGCGGTCTCTTCAATGTTTTCATTGCTGAATGCTTTGTTCACATCCGTGATGAACTCCTTCCAACTTCCATAAGAAAGGAAATTGTCATTGATGAGTTTCATTTCTATGAAACTCTGCGCCCATGATCCTGCTGTTCCTCCTTGCATGTGCGACAGCACAAATGCAATCCTCTGATTGTCCTCCTGGTAGATATGGCTATTGCCAGTCATATAATTCTTGCATTGGTTTATGAACTCCCTAAGCTCGAACGGTCTGAGCCATTGAAGATTTCGGGTTTTCTGAAACCAAGTTCCTTCTGACTGACATGGTGACGACTTTCATCCATGGTAATGGTAGCCACTGGTGGAACGCCAACTGTTATGATTGGTGCAAGAGTCGGTTGTGGTAAAGGATTCTGGACAGGGGGGTTCTAAGGGGTGTCTGGTCTTTCTCCTCGATAAGAGATCGGTATACCGCTGTCTGCGATATGTAGCAATACAAGCTCTCCAACATTATGGAGTAGAGTTGCTTCGTAGTCACCACCTGGGTGGTCAATGTGTTGATCTGGTCTGATGAATAAAGGTCGTCCATTTAAAATGTGTACGTTCCTCTGTGCGTCCCACTCTGCCTGAGATGGGAGAAGATCGATGTACTGCTTAGGAAGAGCAGTCGGGTTGATAAAGTTCAAATCCAGTGTGGATAAATTCTTCTGTGTGACCTACGTCTACACGTAGACTGCACACTGTCCTCAACTAAGTGGGTTCGTTCGTCGTCGGCTAACAAGCACGTAGAGTGTCTTCTGTCTTCAAACTGATACACCTATCTTGCTGATTGCTCGAGTGATTACCTCAGCCTCCTCGGCCTATTGGTCTCTCGGACAGACCCCTCTCCGAAGATCAGTGATCAGTCTATCCCTTCAGCTGCCTCGATTACAGAGTAATCTCAAACGGCGCTTTAGCAATCAAATCAGATGTATCGTTCAGCCTTCGAGGTTCGGTCCGGTCGGTAGTTCGTTGTTAGACTTTGGGAAGTCACAAAGAGTAATAAGATCTCGACCTAATGTTACGCTGCAGCGAAACACGAGCGTCTAGTCGAGTTGTTACGAGACAAGGTCTTAGTCTAAGACACAAGTCCGTTCAAGTGACACTTCTGGCGATGTCCTCACACTGAAGGTCGATCAGAGTTCGTTCTTATGACTTGTAGTAGCTGTCTGCTACTAACGGTCGATCTTAGTCAAAGGCAAGTGAAAAGCTGGTTTAATGGTAACCAGGTCGAGATGGGGATCCAGCTCGACGAGGTCGTCTACTTATACAAAAGGTATCCGCAGTACTACACAGTAATACGAGATCGTTCATTGGCTAGATAAGGTGAAACGATGTCTGGGCAAAGTAACAGCGAGGAAGTAATATGTATGAGAAAGCTGAGTAAGATTGTGAGAGATAATCAGTATTAATGGGGATAATGAGTCATGTATCAGAACGAGGTAAAGATGAGGCATACAGGCACGTCTTGCATGCGCGATAAGAAGAAGGTCCGGAGTTGGATCCGGTGTAACCCTAGACTAGGGGTTCTGGACATCTGGGTAAAGAATTGGAGGTTGCGCTCCGATGAGTCACATATTGGATCACGTGGTTTGGTAACGTAAAGGGAACAAGGAAAAGAAAAAGAAAAGACGCGCCACAAGTGAGGAGCGTTGTAACAAAACTGGTCATCCGAGGATACGCTGAGCATGCATACCCAGCATTTCTCGCAGGAAATCTTGAATAAACCCTAGCATAGGTCTTGTTTTCTGCAACACCGTCAACCCAAATTTGGCATTCGCGTAGGGCACCATCGCGCGCTCCCCGCTGCAGTGTTGCAGAGTCATGAAAGCCATACAGTGTACTGTGTCTTTCTCTCTTTACCACTTGTTAGAAATTAACTGGAATGCTGTGGTTGTTAGGTTGTATGTAAGTGCACATCAGAAAATTAAGTACTATCTAGTGTAACAGCTTAATCTTAGGGTTGTTAGTTGAGGGTAATCTGAATAATCAGTTCCTGTGGATTAGACAACACAGTGATCTATCAATTTTGGTAGTGCTCGCCCCAAATCAACATTGCACCTTGCATTCTGCGACACTGCACGACGGTGCCCTACGCGAACACCAAATTTGGGTTGACGGCGTCGCAGAAAACAAGACCTATGCTAGGGTTTATTCGAGATTTCCTGCAAGAAATGCTGGGTATGCATGCTCAGCGTATCCTCGGATGACCAGTTTGGCCAGCCATCCTATAGCGTTCTCCTCCTCTTGTTCGGCTATCCTTTTACAGTAATTTTCACTCAATCAGGTAAGTCTTATAAAACATTTATCACATAATCTCCTAAAACATGAACGTAGGATAAAGGAGTGAGAACGCTATAGCGATGGCTGGTTTTAGGAGCCTGCAACGAAACACACATTAAACCTGTAGACCCTCCTCTATATGAAAATTTTACACCCTAACCCTACTCACATCGCTCACAATGGCAATATTATCTAACCAACCCTGCCGAGCGCTCTGAGACTCTGGCGGCATGTGATTAGTTAACAGTGTACATAAGGAAAAGAAAGGGAGTTAGGCACTCTAAACACCCTCTATCGGAAACCTAAAGACGAATATCCATATATCCTAGAAACTCCTATAAATCAACCCTTGTGACTGCCACTTGAACCATGTTGATAAAAGAGCCAAATCAATATTGATTCCAAATAAACAAGTGCCTCGCATAATTACGCGACAAACGCGCACCCACAGAATATTAAAGCAGAGATGTAGGGCCATCATGAACGAGAGGACGATGACCATGCCAACCTCACCCTACTGGCTACCCCCCTTCCATCTTACCACAAAACCTCCATGTGATGAACCGCTGCTGCCCCCCAATCCAATCCTAAAGTCAATCCAAGGCCTATATGTTGCACTACCACACCCGTCCGACATAACACCCCTGGGGGAGATCTGCCCACGACCTGACACATGTATCTCCAGTAGACCCCTTATTGAATTCTTTGCTGATACACTTACCTTATGGATCGACAGGCCACACCAAATCTCTACCCCATCTACTCCATGGATAGTTGTCTTCCCAACATATTGACTCATTGAAATTGGATCCCTGGTTAAAGTCCACCCCTTGGGGAAAGGGACCATCACAGAGATATGTTATGTCGGGACTCACAACATCACTCTCAAGATTCTTGAAATAACATGCAGCGAAATGATATATATCTCCATCAAATATGATTGGATGAGCATCTTGGATGCTGAAGTATCGCACTTTCGAAAATGCAAAGCACAAAACCCCCGAGTGGCCCGGGCCACTTAACATGGCTTCCGAACAGCACGTGTATGCACCTCCTACCCTCATGTACCAGACACTCGTCTAACACCAACAAATAGAGACTATACTCACCCACGATACCTAACTTGTTGTACCAGCCTGTATACATGAATCAATCCTACTTCTGAGGCCCTGTAACTCTGTGAACCATCTTGTCAACAACTGCAAAATGGCTCCTATGTGGCATTAGGAGAAGTCGTGAACACTGTCTGCTGGCCGGTGACTAGATTTTAGTTCCGTCGCAAGCCGAAAAGAAGGAGTACGAGCAGAATCAAGTCCGCATGGGGTCTGAGATGCAATGAAGGAGAAGAGTCTATTCCAGAGGTATGAGGTGGGTGGCCCAAAAATGTAGCTAGAAAAATCTCTGTAGTCACAATAATCGCTGGAAAATGCGTCGGGGTAAAATCGCACTGCTCTAAGGAGAACGCTGAAATGCAGAAATGCAAGACTGCCCAGAAAATGCACAAATGCAAGACTGCCGAAAGATGCACTAACTGGATGGGATGGAAATGTGAATGAGGCTTTTGCAAGCATACCTTCCGGGACGGTGGTTCTACCCCCACCTCTTCCCCCGCCATTATACTTAAACTGGTCCTGACCTTTTCCTGCCCTTCCGATACTGCCCGCATCTGCTTAACAATCACTCCGCTGAATCACTACCCATCATACCATATCTCGCAATCCTGTCCCCTCATGCTCCTACTCAATCCGAGAGGTCATCCATCACTGGGCCTGCCTGAGCGCCTGATAAACACCCGCTCGCCTCGGAGGCATATCTCCCATCCTGAACTCAATCTCCCATCTATGGACACCAGTGTCATCCTTCACAAATACACTCTCACCGAAGCTCTTCTTCGCATTGAGATCTTTACCAAGCCCTTTGACCCGATCCTGTGGAAAGCATGGGCAGTCCGAATGCACATCCTGCTGGTGAGGCTCCTGCGAGCATATGTCCCTTCGCTGTCCGGTCCTCACATGTCCCTCAGGTCTTCATGGTCCAAGCCCAGTCTGAAGCAGCCAGCGTGAGGATCATCCTACCCCTTCCACGCGATATTCCTGTCCTTGCCCAAGTGGAAATACATCTTGTGACAGCTCGCACCATGGAAGCTGGCTGTTGGATGGTCCCTCAGATTGCTAACCACCTTCCTGCTGTCATTCCTCGTGGTTTGACTGCACACATTCTGTACGATGACCCCGCTGTCCACGAGGACTTCGGTTTGGGTCACCCACCGGATGGTCTCTCTGACATTGGTGTGCAGTCATCCTGTCCCCATTTCCCTGGGATCGCATTTCTTAGTTCTGCTATATTGCCATCAGGAACCTTGCACCTTTGGGTTGAGACATTGCGCAATGCGGCCCGCGAACTGTATGATGTCATGCGCAGGATCACTGGTAGATGCGAGTTGGCGGATGGTACTTTGAGGCAGTTGCAGATCATAGTTGAGGAGTTAGAAATAGCATTCGGGCTTGTAGCATTCCCTCCTCCGATAACCAGCTTCCAATTGCTGTCGGACTAGGGTCTGTTGTGTAGCACTCTGTGGTATCTCCAAAATGTGAGACCTCTTCGCGGACACGATTCCCACCTCAGCGCGCTATACGTCCCTTCATCTTCTCAACACTTCAAATACTGACCACCCTCGGTCAGGGTACCTGGGCCCCCCATACAAGAATGAGTCGCGGGTACCACACGACATCAGATTGTGCCCGCAAGATTGTCTCAGTTCGACGCTAAATGAGGTTCTCTCGGTTGGCGCCCCACGAGTATTACTAGTCGGGCGCCTCAGAAGACCGGCCCTTCATCACGCACCCTGCGAGACTGGCACAGGCGCCCAGGCATGCAGCATGAAGAAATGCATGCAAGTAGTGCCCACAGTCTCACGTGTGGTTCCCTTGCACGCAGGGCACCTTGTACCCCAGCCTACAACCCTGGACAATCCGCGCTGAGATGGCTCAACCCTTCGATGCCTGCATTATTGCTGAATACGATGTGTGCAATGCCATAGCAAATGTGAATCATCATTTTGCAAAGGCTGATGAGTCCGGAGGAGATGAGGTGCAGAAGGCGTGGATCGGTGAGCTGTCCCACCTAGTGGTGAGTGTCTCAGTATCCTCGCTGTCTGTTTTTGACCCTCGCTTCCAGGTCCTCACCGCCTTCGGGGAGTCAGATTTTGATCCGAGGGAGGTCAACAAGATATGCACGACCTTCGTCGACGTCGTCTTGTATGCGCGCATGCAATCATTCACCAGTCTGCATCTTCTGGACCCATCCCAAGAGGAGGCCGATGCTGTGATGACCCGGCTGGCACTGGGCCAGGACTTCTTCGCTGCGCTCAAATGTCGTGCGGCCCAGCCTGCATTGATTCACGATCCCGGATGCGAGGCATGCCAGGAAACTGAGGTAGATTGCATCTTCAGCACCTCCGAGAGAGGCGCTTGTGCCAGGTGCCAGGCGAGAAGGTGCAGGTGCACCTATGCGAAGCAGAGGTCAAAATCCCAAGGTGCGCCCACACTTCTACCCTGCAGATTGCTCTCTCTCACTACTACCTTCCAACTAGCGACTTCCGCAAACACGGGCAGATCACTGGGGCCACAGATGAAATGATCCTGCGGGAAGAAGGCTGCCTCCTTGGGTGCCCGCAGTCACATTGCGGAGTCATCCTCTGCCGCGAGTGCAGCTCCCATCATCAGCTGTGGCCCCTATGTCGATGTGCCCCCTATGCCTCGCCATCACCACGATGTGCTTGCTCGTGAGTTGCAGAAAGGGCTCCTGCAGGACCTGGATGCTCGTATCACAAGCCTGGAAGAAGAACAGGACTGACTCAAATGCGACAACAACAAGGCGACTGCTCTCCTCAACAAGCTTCGTGGCACTCCCGCCCCTGCTGGTGGTGCTGATGACCTCACCGTTCATGTCAATGGCTTCGAGACTGTGCTCTATTTCATCCGAGAAAGGCAGGGTCGGGTCGCCACGGATGTTATCACTGTCGCGAATGCGCTGCATCAGGCTGGAGTGACGATCCTGGCTTTGGGTGTGGAGGAACACGACTCCAATGTGGATAGTGTGCCCGGGGGTGAAGCTGAAGATGATGACGGGGACGCGAAGGTCTGAGCGGAATCATTTCCTTTACGGTCTTTCACTGTATTAGTATTACGCCCCGCGATCGAGCTGTAGTTATATTGTTGCCACTCCGCATTCCCTGGAATTGTGAGTTTCCTCCTGACAGCATGTGCAGGGCACGGGCATGTGCTTCAGGGTGCATGCGTGTGCCCATATAGCTTCCGGCCTCCTGGGAACTTCTGCGCATCGTGTTTATTTTCATCCCTTTAGCCATATCTCGCACTCTCCTCCCTTCACATTATGTCATCGGAATATCCTGACCTCCAACTGAAGGACTATGCAGTCTTCATTTTCGGCCTGGTGACTGAGATGAAGGTCTCATGCACACAGGATCGCGGATGGGCTGAGGGGCTAAAAGATTGTATCGTGCATCGCGCCCTATTGCTATTGACCATCCAGGACTGACTGTGGTCCTCTTCCAAAATGCCAGGAGCGTGCGAGGGCTATGCATGCTTATTTACTTGCTAAGGGATCGGAAGTCCCCCTCACTCTGGATGGACGCGCTGATATCCGGGACGTGTTGGCAGCATACGACTCCCTCATGGCACCCGCGCCGGCCTCATCAACCTCGAAGAAACAGGGAAAGGCGAAGAACTGCCCACGACTGCCCCTCCCATCTGGTGCCAAGGTTCCGACTTTGGGCATGCACAGTAAGCCCACAATCATGTCACCCATTCCTCAACCTGCCCTTATGGGGTCCACTCCATGCACCGTACTGCCTACATTGAACCTCGAGATGGGCAGTGCTCATCTGATCGATCGCGCATCTGGCATTCAGTACATGCCTGACATCGCTACAATCACTGGTGGGCCGTCCTTGCAGAGTCGCCAACCATCTCCACTACCGATCGGATCGATCGCGGGAGATGAGTGTCCGGTGAAGCGTCGTGCTGCCTCCCCACAGCTGGATCCCATGGTGATCGATGACCTGCTGACAATTCACACCGCGGCGTCGGCCATGCCTCCCCCACCACTTCAGATGAGTGCACCCTCACACTCCCAAGCTGTCACTGCAGGTTTGATGGATGAGCCGTATGCCCGCCCCTCTCCTTGTGTCACGGCTGCACTTCCCAGGCGCTCATCCGATCATTCCCTTAGTCGACAGGCTTCCGCGCGGTCCCTTCACATCGCGTCATCCCCAATTGAGCGCAGTGGGTCCCAAGGTAGCTATGGCAGTCTGATGCTCCCAGCCATATCTCTTGATGATTCGCCCTGCCCTCCAGCTTTTCACTCTCACTTTGCCGACATTCTCCCCACGAGCTTCCAGTCCATGCAACCGGGCGAGCAGATCGCGATGCTGGAAGTGGCACTCCATCGCAGCTGGCAGTGCACGTGTGCACTTGAGGACAGCCAGCATGTTATGCGCTCCCAGCTGGATGCCATCATGGGTGCCCTCGGGGGCAATCCCATCGCGTTCGCCACCCAGTTTGGGGTGTATGCCACTCGTGTCAATGCGATCCTGTCTAAGCAGCGCGAGCTGAGCCAGAGTTTGGCCGAGTTGGAGGAACGTGTCAGCGGGCTGGAGGGTTCAGATGCAGAGTTCCCCTCGGAGAAGGAAGATGAGGTCATCCATAGCATCTCCACAGGTGCCTTCGACCCCAGTATGGATTCACGTAGCGGTGGGGACGAAGGGCTCAATTTTGACGAGGAGAATTAGGGGCTGCAAGGTGAAGAGAATGCGAGGCCTCGGAAATGCATCAGCCGACTTGTCGCAGTAGTATACGATATCTTTGTTGTGTTCCGCGAAACTCGCTTCTGTGGTTATAACTTGTACAATATTCACTGGATCAAAATGGAGCGTTCTCAAGGAATCTCATAATCAATTAAAAACAAGGAGTAAAATTCTTGAGGAGATAAACTGGAATGGATACATGCTGATGTCAAGGCTCATCATCTGATCCTGCAGTGCTGTCCGTCTCATCTGTATCAGACAATGGGGTGAAGTGGAGATCGGCACGGGTTCGGTACTTGTAAGGTATGATGCAGAATGCTGCAAACCATAGCTGAGACACCGCACCATCCAGTTCCGCGAGGATATACGATCCTCCCTCAGTTCATCGAATGACTACCATGGGTCCCAAGTAATGTGGCTTTGTCTTACGATTGAGCTCCATGTTAATTCGGGAGTTTTGAACCAGCACGATATTACCCTGCTTGAAGTTGTAGGACCTAATGGTCCTATGAAACTCTTGTGCGAACTGCTCCATGGACTTGTATCTTGCTCTGATGACACGCTCCCGTACCCCCACCAGGTCCTCTTCCCATTTTTGGAGCTGACACACCCGGTGTGCTAAAAGTTCAATTTGAGTCATCTGTACACCCTCATATGGAACCAGGTAAGTTGCTTCCGCGATGTCGAAGGGGAACAGAGGCTCGGTTCCATGTGCCATGTAATATGGGGAGTATCCTGTAGATCGCTGAATCGTGATGCGCTCTGCCCAGAAAACTGCGGGCATGACTGTAGGCCACTTCCACTTGTCTCCCAGACACGTTTTCATTGCAGCCTCGCACACATCCAGATGTCAGCATTCCACAAGCCCATTTGCCTGGGAGTTGTATGGGGAAATTCGGATATGATGAATCTTGTATTGCTGAGCCAAATAGTCTAGTGCCTAGACAAAAGTGGAGCCGTTATTGGTGACAATTTCCGCAACTGCCCCCCAGTGACAAAGGATTTCTTCAAAGGTGAATGCGCCAAGGGTCCGCCCATTCTCCTGTTGGAGCATTCGCCATTTGGGATATGATGTAAGTGAGCAGCATGCTTGTACGATATATCAGTACCCTCCTGCCCGTGGCATGAGCATCGTGTTCATGTGCACCTTGTGAAAGAGTGCGGAAGGAAGCACAACCGTTGGTGAAATGTGCACCTTCATCATCTGGCGGACCTGGCATTCGTGGCATGTGCCCATGCACCATCGTACATCCTGGTCTAAGAGTGGCCACCAAAAGCATTCCAGCAAGCGTGTCCGCACCGTGAAAATTCCCTTGTGGCCGAGGTCATCATGCACCTGTCAGATAAGTGTGTAGCGTCTTCCCTCATTAACAAATAGTTTGTGCCTGCTGCTCAGGTCCTTTCACCAGAGATTCCCATCCCTGAGGAAGAAGTCTGATGCATATCTGAGGAATTGATGGCGTTCCTAGTGTATGGCATGGGTATCGCCAACCCACATGGGTTGTAAGTATGGGTATCCATGGGTATGGGTGTGGGTCAGCAGTGAGTAACCCATGGAAACCCATGGGTCATCTTATGGGTTTGTTATAAACATAGGGTTCCAGAAGTGTGGTGATAACATAACTGTACAGTACCTCTATTAGGTAATTCAAACCTGATATCACACACAGCTCAGAAGACCCATCTCATCACTCTAATAGCATGGCAGGTAATGGCACAAAGACTTGCCTGCTATTGTACTATGACTCTCACACTGCAACCCATGGAATACTCATGACGGGTCTCGACCCATACAGACCCATAGCTGACCCATACCCAACCCACATAAACCACATACCCATGTGATGGGTATGGGTTTTCCGTGGGTATGGGTGTGGGTATATTTTGTCAGACCCATGGAATACCCATGCTAGACACTAGGCGTTCCTTCATTGGCACACTCATAGCAACCTCGGGATCACATAGAAAATCGCGGACTTTGAGAATGCGTGCATTCCTAGCCATGGCCTTTATCATTCACGGAATCTCGACATCTTCCGGGGCCGAGGTGTAGACTGCAACATCTGGTGTCCTAGCACTCAAGCCAGTCAAGACAGTCCCTGGAGCACAGGCATGCCGCCACCCTTCACACATTATCCCGGAATTTGCGGCATCAATAGTGAAGGCATTAGCTTCATCTAACCACTGCTCGAAGTCATCATCCTCCTCGGGGTCTTCGTTTGCGCGGGGGTGATGTGATAAACCGTCAGCCCCAGTGTGGCGTGAACCTGGTACGTGTACGAGGCGGAAGTCAAATAGTAGGATACCAGTGATCCAACGGTTGATTGTAGCATTGGGTTGGATGTTGGGGTTATTTAGCATTCCTTTGATGTATTTCACGTCGACTTCTATGACCAGGTTTGCGACCCCAATGACGTAGATCCGAACTGTGCGGTGACGTGATTGTTGTTCCATCGCAAGCCGGAAAGGAGGAGTACGAGCAGAATCAAGTCCGCATGGGGTCTGAGATGCAACGAGGGAGAAGAGTCTATTCCAGAGGTATGAGGTGGGTGGCCCGAAAGTGTAGCTAGGAAAATCTCTGTAGTTGGAATGATCGCTGGACAACACGTCGGACTAAAAATCGCACTGCCCTAAGGAGAACGCTAAAACGCAGAAATGCAAGACTGCCCAGAAAATGCACAAAACACAAGACTGCCCAAAGACACACCAATTGGATGGGATGGGAATGGAAAATGAGTCTTTTCGCAAGTGTACCTTCCGGGACGGTGGTTCTCCCCCCTCCCCTTTTTCCCTGCCATCATACTTAACTAGCCCTGACCTTTCCTGCCCTCCTGATACTGCCTGCATCTGCTTAACAATCGCTCCGCTGAATCACTGCCCATCACGCCATATCTCGCAATCCCGTCCCCTCACGCTCCTACTCATTCTGAGGGACCTTCCATCACCGAACCTGCCCGAGCACCTAATAAGGACTCGTCCATCTCGGAGGCATCTCCCATCCTAAACTCAATCTCCCATCCATGGACACCAGCATCATCCTTCGCAAATACACCCTCGCAGAAGCTCTTCTTCACATTGAGATCTTTACCGAGCCCTTCGATCCAATCCTGTGGAAAGCATGGGCGGTCCAAATGCACGTCCTGCTGGTGAGGCCCCCACGAGCATGTGATCCTTTGCTGTCTGACCCTCACATGTCCCTGAGGTCCTTATGGTCCAAGCCCAGTCTGAAGCAGCCAGCGTGGGGATCATTCTACCCCTTCCGCGCGATATCCCTGTCCTGGCCCAGGTGAAAATACACCTGGCAACAGCTCGCACTGTAGAAGGTGGTCATCGGATGATACCCCAAATTGCGGATCACCTTCCTGCAGTCATTCCTCATGGTTTGACTGCCCGCATTCTGTATGATGACCCTGCTGTCCGCGAGGACTTTGGTTTAGGGCACCCACCGGATGGTCTCCCTGACATTGGTGCGCGGTCGTCCTGTCCCTATTTTCCTGGAGTCGTGTTCCTCAGCTTTTTATCGCCATTAGGAACCTTGCGCCTTTGGGTTGAGACATTGTGCAATGCAGCCCGCGAACTGTATGATGTCATGCGTGGAATCACTGGTAGACACGAGCTGGCAGATGGTACTTTGAGATGGTTGTGGATCACAGTCGAGGAATTGGAAGTAGCGTTCAGGCTTGTAGTGTGCCCTCCTCCGATAACCAGCTTCCAACTGATGTTGGACTAGGGGTCGGTTTGTGTAGCACCCTGTAGTATCTCCAAAATGTGAGACTGCTTCCCAGATGTGATTCCCACCTCAGCGCGCTCTGCGTCCCTTCATCTCCTCAACACTTCAAATACTGACCGTCCTCGGTCAGGGTACCTGGGCCCATACACAAGAACGATCCGCGAATACTACACGATGCCAGACTGGGTGCGTGACATTGTCTAAGTCCGCCACTATACGAGATCCTCTCAGTCGGCGCTCCGCCACTTAATCCAGCGCTCCGCGAGACTTCTTGGTCAGCACTCCGTGCCACTGGCGCTTCATCTGCCATTCCGCAGTACTGACTCTAGTGCCCGGTCTTTCAGCACGAGTAGATGTTTGCACATAGCACCCGCAATCTCATGCGTGGGTTCTGCGCACCCTCGGGTCGGTTGCCTGTAGTATAGCCCCCCCCCTTTTTCACGATTTCCCACTGAAATGGCTGAAGTCTCCACTGCTTGTATTATCGCAGAGTACGACCTCCGCGACGCTGTGGCACAAGTCCAAGGTCATCTCGCTAAGGGAGATAGGTCCGCACAAAATGAGGTGCAGCAGGTGTGGACTCATGCGCTGTCTGAGTTGGTGGTCCGTATTCCATCTTCTTCACTGTCCACCTTTGACCCCCTTTTTCCCATCAGGGTGTCCTGGAGGCTCACTTCAAGACCCTCACCGACTTCAGGGAGTTGGATTTCAATCCCCGGGAGATCGACGCAATTTGCACAGCGTTCGTGGACGTGATCATTCATGCCCATGCGCAGTCGTTTCCCAGTGCTCTCCTTCTGGAGCCTTCACAAGACGAGATCGATGCCACCATGGAGCGGCTCGCGCTGGGCTGTGATTATTTCACCGAGGTTGAGCGTCGCACTGTGCCACCTCCATCGATCCACATTCCCGCTTGTGATGCCTGTCAGATCGCTGAGGTGGATTGCGAGTTTGGCACCTCCGCATGAGGGTCCTGTGCCAGATGTCAGGCACGGAGGTGCAGGTGCACATATGCAAAGCAGAGGGCGAAATCCCAAGGTGCGTCCAAGCCGATATCTCCTTGATCACGCTCTCACTAATTCCTCCCCCACTAGCAACGTCCACCTGCACTGCGGGATCACCAGGACTGCAGACGAAGCGATCCCGTGGCAAGACGGCTACCGCCTCGGGAGCTTATCGTGCAGCAGAATCATCATCTGTGGAGGACGCAGGTCCTGTTAGAGGCCACGTCCCGTATGTCGACATACCACCCATGCCTCGCCCTCACCACGATGTGCTCATTCGCGAGTCACAGAAGGACCTACTGCAAGACCTCGAGGCTCGCATTATGAGTTTGGAGGAGGAACAGGAGCGTCTGAAGCGGGACAACAACAAGGTGACCGCCCTTCTGAACAAACTTCGCAGTGCTCCCACATCTGCCGCCGATCCTGATGACCTCGCCACCCGCGTCAATGGCTTCGACACTGCATTGTACTACATCCGCCAGAAGCAAGATCGGATGGCTGCCGACTTCGCGACTATGGCAAATGCACTCCGCGGAGCCGGGGTGACCGTCCCCACTTTGTATGCAGAACAGCCCGACTCAGATGCAGACAATGAGGTTCCGGCTGGGTCGGAGGAGAATGACGATGATGAAGAGGTGTAGATACTGCGTTCGCATAACGTCACCGCTTGTATTACTATTATTCCTGGCCTCTGAGCTGCCCAGATATTGTCCCCGCCCCACACTCGATAGAATTGCGAATATTTCTGGGGGGGTGTGTGATCAGCGCGACGGGGCGCTTCTACCCGCGTTCTCGTGCCTATACAGATTCTGGGCCTCCTGGGAATGTCGGCCACATGTGTTCCTTTTCAGCCCTTCAACCTCATCTCCCAAAACTCCTCCACCCACACCATGTCGGAATTCGCTGGCCTGCAAATGAAAGACTATGCAGTGTTCATCATGGAGCTCGTCGCAGCGATGAAGGTCCCATGCATGTGGGATCGCGGATGGGCTGAGGGTCTGAGGGATCGCATTGTACATCGCCATCCCTCTCCAGTATTCAAGGGTTAAGCTATGGTGGATTCCAGATATGCAGGAGCGTGCGCGGGCCATGCCCGCACATTTAACCGTGGAGGGGTTCAAGGTCCCCCTTACACTCGAAAGCTGCACCGAAATCAAAGATGCATTGGCTGCGTACAAGTCCCTCATGGCGCCCCTGGCTGCATCATCTATGTCCAAGAAAGAGGGGAAGAAGGTAATCCGCCCATGACCCATCGCTCCACCTGCTCCAAAGATTGCAACTTCGGGTACTCGCAGCATGCAAAGTACCAAGCCCGCGATCGCATCGCCCCTCCCGCAGCCTGCGTTGACTGTGTCCACTTCCCAACCGATGCATCTCGCTTTGAACCACGAGATGGGGAGCGCAGGTTCAATCGATCGTGGATCTGTCATTTCGTCTGCTGCCATCATCGGTACAGCTCCTGTTGCGCCATCCGCGCAGAGTCGCCACCCATCTTCACTGCTGATCGGATCGATCAATCGTGAGGAGCATCCAGTGAAGCGTCGCGCCGCCTCTCTGCCAACCGATCCGATGATGATTGATGACCCGGCGCCGATCCGTGCAGCATCGTCCATGCCTCCCCCTCAACTTCAGATGAGTGCGCCCTCGCACTCGCAATCCATCATGGCCGACATGATGGACAACAGGTACTCCTGTCCCATGCTGCGTGTTACCGCTACGCTTCCCAGATGCCCGTCTGACCACTTCATCAGTCGCCAGATGTCTGTGTGGTCCTTGCACATCGCGCCATCTCCCATCGAGCACACCGGATCGCAGGGAAGTCACGGTAGTCCAAGTGTCCCTGCCATATCTCTTGATGACCCACCACGCCACGCGACTTTTCATTCGTATTTCACGGACGTTCTTCTGGCCAACTTCCGTTTGCTGCAGCTGACCGAGCAGATCGCGACACTCGAGTCCGCGCTTAGGCGTAACTGGCAATGCACACGGGCGCTTAAGGATAGCCAACATACGATGCGCTCGCAGCTCGATGCCATCATGGGTGCACTCGGCGGCGACCCCGCTCTCTTTGCCACTCGCTTCGGTGTCCTCGCCACTCGCGTCGACATGGTTCCTGCCCATCACCATGAGGCGATGCAGGGATTGCTCGAGTTGGAGAAATGCGTCAGGGATTTGGAGGGGTCGGATGACGAGTTTCCCTCTGAGGAGGAAGACGAGGTCGTTCATAGCATATCGACGGACGCAGAAGGGGATGAACATATCAATTTCGATGGGGAAGATTAGGAGATGCAAAGCGAAGGATGGGAGATGCGAAGCGAAGGGGATCATTGGTCCAGGTGTTTGTGGTAGTGTACGATAGCATTGTGGGGTTCCGCGCAACTCTGTTCTGTTATTATGACTTGTACAATATTCATGGTGTCAGAATGCAGTATTCTCAATAGGAATGTCATGATCAATTAAACAAAGATTAAAATTTTTGTTCAAACAGCTGAAACGGGTACATGCTGACATCAAACCTCATCATCCGATCCAGCAGTGCTGTCCGTCTCATCGGTGTTGGACAATGGGGTGAAGTGGAGATCGACACGAGATCGGTACTTGTAAGGAACAACGCGGAAAGCTGCAAAACATAGCTGAGATACCGCACTGTCTGGTTCCGCACGAGGATGTACGATCCCCCCTCGGTTCATCGAACAACTACCATGGGTCCCAAGTAATGCGGCTTCGTCTTGTGGTTGAGCTCCATATTAATTCGAGAATTTCGAACCAGGACTATATCGCCCGGCTTGAAGTCATAAGACTTGATCGTCGCATGAAACTCTTGCGCAAACTGCTCCATCAACTTGTACCTTGCTCGGATGACATGCTCACGTACTTCCTCCAAGTCCTCTTCCCGCTTTTGTAACTGACGAGCCCGGTGTGCCAAAAGTTCAATCTGGGTCATCTGTACACCCTCATATGGAACCAGGTACGTCGCTTTTGCGATGTCGAAGGGGAACAATGGTTCGGTCCCATGTGCCATGTAATATGGGGAGTATCCTGTAGATCGCTGAATCGTGATGCGCTCTGCCCAGAAAACTGCGGGCATGACTGTAGGCCACTTCCGCTTGTCTCCCAGATACGTTTTCATTGCAGCCTCGCGCACATCCAGATGTCAGCGTTCCACAAGCCCATTTGCCTGGGAGTTGTATGGGGAAATTCAGATATGATGAATCTTGTATTGCTGAGCCAAATAGTCTAGTGCCTGGACAAAAGCGGAGCCGTTATCAGTGACAATTTCCGCAACTGCCCCCCAGTGACAAAGGATTTCTTCAAAGGTGAATGCGCCAAGGGTCCGCCCATTCTCCTGTTGGAGCATTCACCATTTGGGATATGATGTAAGTGAGCAGCGTGCTTGTACGATATATCAGTACCCTCCTGCCCACGGCATGAGCATCGTGTCCATGTGCGCCTTGTGAAAGAGTGCAGAAGGAAGCACAACTGTTGGTGGAATGTGCACCTTCGTCATCTGGTGGACCTGGCATTCGTGGCATGTGCCCACGTACCATCGTACATCCTGGTCTAGAAGTGGCCACCAAAAGTGTTCCAGCAAGTGTGTCTGCACTGTGAAAATTCCCTTGTGGCCGAGGTCATCATGCGCCTGTCGGATAAGCATGTAGCATCTTCCCTCATTAACAAATAGTTTGTGCCTGCTGCTCGGGTCCTTTTGCCAGAGGTTCCCATCCCTGAGGAAGAAGTCCGATGCATATCTGAGGAATTGACGGCGTTCTTTTATTGGCACACTCATAGCAACCTCGGGATCACGTAGAAAATCGCGGACTTTGAGAATGCGTGCATTCCTAGCCATGGCCTTTGTCATTCACGGAATCTTGACGTCTTCCGGGGCCGAGGTGTAGACTGCAACATCTGGTGTCCTAGCATTCAAGCCAGTCAAGACAGTCCCCGGAGCACAGGCATGCTGCCACCCTTCACACATTATCCTGAAATTTGCGGCATCAATAGTGAAGGCATTAGCTTCGTCTAACCACTGCTCGAAGTCATCGTCCTCCTCGGGGTCTTCGTTTGCGCGGGGGTGATGTGATAAACTGTCAGCCCCAGTGTGGCGTGAACCTGGTACGTGTACGAGGCGGAAGTCAAATAGTAGGATACCAGCGATCCAACGGTTGATTGTAGCATTGGGTTGGATGTTGGGGTTATTTAGCATTCCTTTGATGTATTTCACGTCGACTTCTATGACCAGGTTTGCGACCCCAATGATGTAGATCCGAACTGCGCGGAGAGCGCGAAAGAGACCATACAACTCGACCTTCGCTTGTGAGTATCACAACTCGCACTCATTCCAAGTGATGGATCCGAAACGGTTTGGGCGTCGCTTCCCATCTTCGCCAAGTTAGAAAAGGACAAAACCGACAGCAATGTTTGACGAGTCGACCGCGAGGATAACGATGCGCAATGATGCATAATCAATGGGAACCAATGCCCCACAGGACTGTACAGCCTGTTTTATCTGCGCCATGGCTACGTCCTCCTCGTTGCCCCAACTGAACTCTGTCTCCTTATGCATCAGGGTAGTCAGAGGCTGCACCATCTTTGCATAATCTTTGATAAAGACCCGAACGAGACCGCAGGTCCCAAGAAATCCACGGACTTCTGTGACAGTCGTACATGCTGGCCAATCGACAATCTTCTGTATATGAGATGGCAAGGGCCACCGACCTTCGTAGTTGTACAACCCGCCAAGGTATTCAAGTTCCGGTCTGCAGATGTTGCATTTCTTTCCCGACAGCGTCGCATCGGCCATCTCCAGACGATGAATCACGTGGTTGACATTCTCTGCATGCTCCCAGATGAAGCGACGTATTCCGGAGTTCTGGGGGATGACTTCATATCCTCTGTCAGACGTCTCGTATCATGTTGTCCCATTCTTTACAGGGACGTTGTCGATGTAGGGAATCGTAACATGTGGTATCTCATCTTGTAAAATGAAGGTCACATCGCCATGCATGATCTGGACTGAGTTGGTATACCCCATCGGAATGGTGGTCAGGCGGAGTGCTCCGAGCAGGCTCTGGAAGGTCGTCAGGTCATGAGAGTCCGGGTGAAGAGTCCTTTGGTCGAATGCAATGAACAGGTCGAAGCTCGCATAGCAAAAGCATCCACCAAACGCCTCCGCTATATCCTCAATCTGCGGTGGTGCTGCCGAATCTCGAATCACAATGGCACTTAGTGGCTGGAGATCATGTACCAAACGTAGTGACTTCCCATCCTTCTTCAGGATGCAGAACCAGTGTGATCGGTAGGATGAGTTCGATGGCTCATATACACCTGATGCGATTTTATCGCGAATGACTTGAATAACTTGCTCGCGGATTCCCGGCAGAAGAGGAATGTTGCGCAATGCCCAAGGGACATGCTGCTGATAGGGAATTCGGATCGGTTTGAAATATTCATCGCTAAATTTCCCTTTTTCGGACTCATCCCAGGCGAATGCTTGCTCATGGAGATAGAGGATGTGATCGAACAGCTTCACCTCCTCCTCCCAGAGAAACCCATCACTGTTGATGTTAAGGTCCCGCCGTCATTCCTCTGTATAACATGATCCGCCAACAAAGTCTGGTGGGTGAAAGGGGAGTGATGGGAGATTCTGCATGGGGTCGCGGGGAATGCACCGCATGATCCGGAACTCATCTGTCAGTATTCCTGGAACAGGCTTGACGCACTTATCAACCTTTTCATATTCATAACCGTGGACTACGGCCTCGTGCTCTATCTGGAATGCGCCAGGGGCCACTGCAGGTGTGGTCACACCACTGGCTGCTCCGATACTGCAAAAAGATGAGGAAAGGGTATAAAGAACGTGGGGCTCTTCAATTTGCAATGAAACGATCCGAGGAAATAATTCTTCAGAGGAAGAGAGGGAGGAAACCGAAGCCGCAAAGGACGAGAGAGAGGGAAACAAATTCATAGAGGAAGAGAGAGAGGAGAATGCAGCCATAGAGGAAGAGAGAGAGGAAACCGAAGACGCTGATTCTGGAATATGGGGAACTCTACCATCCACAAGGGACCGCTTCCCGATGTGTCCTGTCATTTTAAGAGTATCGCTAGCATGCTGGTGCCTGTTCATTGTGGACCCTCCTCAGATCAAGCCCGACTCCTCGAGTCTTGAAAACCCATTCCTGGAAGTGGCGTTGGCCGTGGCCTTGGGCGATGCTCATGAGTGGGAAGTGTGACTACTTGACGCGTGTTAGGGTCGCGCAGAGTAATGTGTTGCTCACCATTGGTAAAGTCGAGTGTTTTGCATGCCGTCAAGGTAAAGAACAGCCGGCCCAAGAGTACCTCGAATGGGGCATCATTTAGAACATGGGCCTGAAGATACAGCTCCATCTCGCTGAATCCAAATTGAATGTTAGTGAGGTGTCCGAGCATCTGGTTGATACCCATGTTAGCCGATTCCATGTTGAGTGTTTTCTCGGACTACAGTGCAGACCTGATGCATTCCCAGATGTCCCGTCACATTGCGATGATCTGTGAGCCTTGGTCAAGGATACATTCCGCTGATTCCTTGCCTTCAACCAGGGTGTCAATTGCTCGCAATGGAAGAGAATCGTCAGCTACCACGAGTGGTCCACCGCCGTCGCTCACATCCACTAAGAGAGCCTTCGCAACCTCCTCGCCATCCGCAGCCTTGAAGCTTCCCATCATCGCTACTCGCTTCACAGTAATCTCCTCCTTCTCAAGCTTGCAGATCTCTGGGCACAATGCCATCAGTTCCCGATGTGTAAGCGAGATGCGGACTTCATTTTGGATGCGCTCGAATATATCCTGCACATTCACCTTGTCTTCCACGGGCGTCTTATAGCTGTATTGCATAGTGCGGTTTCCTGCAGATGGTAGAGATGCCTTTGCGCCTCCTCTGGGCGCCGCAGATGGATCTGATGCCGGCTTGAGAATCGACGCGGGGACCTGGGAGGCCGGAACACCAGGAGGACACTTTGCAGACTTCCCCGCGGTGCTGTCATCAAACTGAACTGTCTTTTTCTTCAGAGCCACATTGGCTTCTAACACTGACATTGCGGAGTCATCAAGACATTCCTCAATGTACACCAATGATGGTTCCTTGGGGTTAAGTGCCTCCTTCATGATCTCCCATAGGCTGACCATATGCGGAGGCTGGTCATGTCCATCCCTGGAAACGTTGGGCGGAGGCGCTGCAGACGGCCCCGGACCATCACCGAAAAGGTTCCTCGGAGACATATCATGCCACACATCAACGCATTCTGCCATGCTACGTCCTGGTAGGTCACGAGGAACGAACTGCCCATTCGGGAGAATGATCCTACTAAGCGCATCACGATTAATTTTCCGCACCCTGATGTAGTCCTCGATGCATGGACAGTTTCGCATGAAATGGTCAATGGCTAGACAGAAGTTACAGGCATGCAGAGCTTGTGGAAGAGGGTTTTGTGTGACTGCCACCTGAATGTTGGCCTGTGTTACCAGTGCCTGTCCCCCTCCCGATGTTCGCATTGCTTGCTGCAACATGTTCGCTAGAAACTGCATCGCATCCGTCTCATTCCCCTCCAACTTCACCATCCCTGTGCTCAGCTTCGACACAGCCACAGCGCTCGATGCACTCCCACTCCCACTGAGAATGTGCTGTGCTGCGGAATGGACTTTCGATATTGCATACAGATTGTCCGGGTTCTGATCGGGAACCTTAATCGCCAGTCGATTCTTGATAGCATGTAAGGGGGACGCTTCGAATCCCTCAAGGTACAGCCGGTCCCGCTCATAGGTCGATAATTGACCCCTGGACAATAAGAACAATGTGACGTGAGTAAAGTCCTGATAGTACTGTCCCTCCTCCGTGCTGACATGATTGTTGTTCCGTCGCAAGCCGGAAAGGAGGAGTATGAGCAGAATCAAGTCCGCATGGGGTCTGAGATGCAACGAGGGAGAAGAGTCTATTCCAGAGGTATGAGATGGGTGGCCCGAAAGTGTAGCTAGGAAAATCTCTGTAGTTGGAATGATCGCTGGACAACACGTCGGACTAAAAATCGCACTGCCCTAAGGAGAACGCTAAAACGCAGAAATGCAAGACTGCCCAGAAAATGCACAAAACACAAGACTGCCCAAAGACACACCAATTGGATGGGATGGGAATGGAAAATGAGTCTTTTCGCAAGCGTACCTTCCGGGACGGTGGTTCTCCCCCCTCCCCTTTTTCCCTGCCATCATACTTAACTAGCCCTGACCTTTCCTGCCCTCCTGATACTGCCTGCATCTGCTTAACAATCGCTCCGCTGAATCACTGCCCATCACGCCATATCTCGCAATCCCGTCCCCTCACGCTCCTACTCATTCTGAGGGACCTTCCATCACCGAACCTGCCCGAGCACCTAATAAGGACTCGTCCATCTCGGAGGCATCTCCCATCCTAAACTCAATCTCCCATCCATGGACACCAGCATCATCCTTCGCAAATACACCCTCGCAGAAGCTCTTCTTCACATTGAGATCTTTACCGAGCCCTTCGATCCGATCCTGTGGAAAGCATGGGCGGTCCAAATGCACGTCCTGCTGGTGAGGCCCCCACGAGCATATAATCCTTTGCTGTCTGACCCTCACATGTCCCTGAGGTCCTTATGGTCCAAGCCCAGTCTGAAGCAGCCAGCGTGGGGATCATTCTACCCCTTCCGCGCGATATCCCTGTCCTGGCCCAGGTGAAAATACACCTGGCAACAGCTCGCACTGTAGAAGGTGGTCATCGGATGATACCCCAAATTGCGGATCACCTTCCTGCAGTCATTCCTTATGGTTTGACTGCCCGCATTCTGTATGATGACCCTGCTGTCCGCGAAGACTTTGGTTTAGGGCACCCACCGGATGGTCTCCCTGACATTGGTGCGCGGTCGTCCTGTCCCTATTTTCCTGGAGTCGTGTTCCTCAGCTTTTTATTGCCATCAGGAACCTTGCGCCTTTGGGTTGAGACATTGTGCAATGCAGCCCGCGAACTGTATGATGTCATGCGTGGAATCACTGGTAGACACGAGCTGGCAGATGGTACTTTGAGACGGTTGCGGATCACAGTCGAGGAATTGGAAGTAGCGTTCAGGCTTGTAGTGTGCCCTCCTCCGATAACCAGCTTCCAACTGATGTTGGACTAGGGGTCGGTTTGTGTAGCACCCTGTAGTATCTCCAAAATGTGAGACTGCTTCCCAGATGTGATTCCCACCTCAGCGCGCTCTGCGTCCCTTCAGCACGACTGGACACTCCTCTCATCTGGGCCGCCCGTACAATCTGAGTTAAGTCAGACTGCATGTAGTGATGGTCATCCTCTGCCCCCAGGTACAATGCAATGACTGCAGTCTTGAACTGCTCATAGGTCTCTCATTCCGTCACACCCATCCAAAGATCTGCCTCGTCCAACGAGATGTACTTGCAGGCTGCTCGGATTTTTGCATCGTCATCCAACTGTGCTCACATTGCCAAGTCTTCAAGATCAGCGAAATATCGCATCAAGGCTCACAGGGATCCATTAAAGGTGGGTGCCGTCGAGTGACCACGTGCCAGCATTGAGACTGGTCTGGGGGCAGGTTCCTGGTCTGCCATGGCTATTGCTTCTCGGCATTGTGGTGATAGAGTTGGGGATGGGGGATGAGACAGAATGAGTGAGACATCCTCTGGGAGTGATGAAAGGGGAGACAATTTGTGAGATCTCGAGGAAGAGGGAATCGGAAGATGGGGGTCAACAAATGGGTTCTCTGAATCGTCGAAGTCGATAGGTGGTCGGTATGCAAAATTGTCAGGAAGTGGACCCGTGAATGCTGGGGACCCTGGAGTTGGCAGCTGGGAAGCTGCCAAGGTAAGCTCCTCTTGGAGCAATCTGGAAGCAAGGCAACTACTCCGCCATGTCACACGAAGACCCCTCGCAGTGGGCTCCAGTTGACTAGATTTTAGTTCCGTCGCAAGCCAGAAAGAAGGAGTACGAGCAGAATCAAGTCCGCATGGGGTCTGAGATGCAATGAAGGAGAAGAGTCTATTCCAGAGGTATGAGGTGGGTGGCCCAAAAACATAGCTAGGAAAATCTCTGTAGTCGCAATAATCACTGGAAAATGCGTCGGGGTAAAATCGCACTGCTCTAAGGAGAACGCTGAAATGCAGAAATGCAAGACTGCCCAGAAAATGCACAAATGCAAGACTGCCGAAAGATGCACTAACTGGATGGGATGGAAATGTGAATGAGGCTTTTGCAAGCATACCTTCCGGGATGGTGGTTTTACCCCCACCTCTTCCCCCGCCATCATACTTAAACTGGTCCTGACCTTTTCCTGCCCTTCCGATACTGCCCGCATCTGCTTAACAATCACTCTGCTGAATCACTACTCATCACGCCATATCTCGCAATCTCGTCCCCTCATGCTCCTACTTAATCCGAGAGGTCATCCATCACTGGGCCTGCCTGAGCACCTGATAAACACCCGCCCGCCTCGGAGGCATATCTCCCATCCTGAACTCAATCTCCCATCTATGGACACCAGTGTCATCCTTCACAAATACACTCTCACCGAAGCTCTTCTTCGCATTGAGATCTTTACCAAGCCCTTTGACCCGATCCTGTGGAAAGCATGGGCAGTCCGAATGCACGTCCTGCTGATGAGGCTCCTGCGAGCATATGTCCCTTCGCTGTCTGGTCCTCACATGTCCCTCAGGTCTTCATGGTCCAAGCCCAGTCTGAAGCAGCCAGCGTGAGGATCATCCTACCCCTTCCACGCGATATTCCTGTCCTTGCCCAAGTGGAAATACATCTTGTGACAGCTCGCACCGTGGAAGCTGGCTGTTGGATGGTCCCTCAGATTGCTAACCACCTTCCTGCTGTCATTCCTCGTGGTTTGACTGCACACATTCTGTACGATGACCCCGCTGTCCACGAGGACTTCGGTTTGGGTCACCCACCGAATGGTCTCCCTGACATTGGTGTGCGGTCATCCTGTCCCCATTTCCCTGGGATCGCGTTTCTTAGTTCTGCTATATTGCCATCAGGAACCTTGCACCTTTGGGTTGAGACATTGCGCAATGCGGCCCGCGAACTGTATGATGTCATGCGCAGGATCACCGGTAGATGCGAGTTGGCGGATGGTACTTTGAGGCAGTTGCAGATCGTAGTTAAGGAGTTAGAAATAGCATTCAGGCTTGTAGTGTTCCCTCCTCCGATAACCAGCTTCCAATTGCTGTCGGACTAGGGTCTGTTGTGTAGCACCCTGTGGTATCTCCGAAATGTGAGACCTCTTCGCGGATACGATTCTCACCTCAGCGCGCTATGCATCCCTTCACCGGCCGCCCGATCTAAAAATAGCAACGACAACACTGCATGAACAGGAGAACGATGATGGCCACTCTCCTGCACCTCATCCAAACTGACATGATGACACCCACTCTCCAGGATGTGAGAGAACACCAGACTGCAGAGATACACGATTGACTGCCACAAACTCACAAGCTAAGTCCCATCCACCCCGGACCCTTTGCATATCCCTGATGATGATGCCTTATAGCATGAGGCAGTCGAGCCTCTACACGTGCGCTGACAGAACAGCTCAGCAACTGCATATGCCGTGGAAGAACGGTCCTCAGAGTCAGTAAACAAATACTTGCGCAAATCCCCAACAAACGACACTTCTCTCCAATGACTCACTGCACATGCCAGCAAACAGCTCTTCTAGCAGCAGCCTGCCAAGAAAAATGAGCTCTAATGAACCAGGAGGAAATTGGTAGATAAAACTGCTCTAGTAACTTCACACCTAATGAAAAACCACAGATCTGGAAGCTATGTTGCAGCCGCTGCTGTTGAAATTCTCCAAAGTTGGCCGTCATGCCCACAAGGCAGCCACTATGGTGCAGGACAAGCCTGGTACTGGTGAGGGCAAAACTGCGACTGTGACAACGACTTCCCTGCAGCCACTGCATATGCCCGCGACCCCAGCCTCCATATCAATAATCGCTAACATGACCACCATTGCACAACCCTTGGCACCTAGTCAGATCGACAGCATGCCCCCTCACAATGCCTGAGTGACCCCCCATCTTTCGTCGGCAACCCTTAGGACCTCCGGAGCATACAATGCCCCGGGACTAGATAACATCTCACTGGAAGAGATGCTCGTCAAGATCCAAGGACTCACAAAGATGCAACAACTGAAGGCACTCGAGACGCTATCCAAGTATGTTGACTCCCAAGTGGAGCAGCTGAGACAATCCCAGATGAGCATCTCTGGGCCGATGGGTCCCGCTCTACAGATGACCACTGACACTCGCGCTAACCACCAGACCCCTGGAGGAACTGAGCTGCACAACCAGGGCATAGCCAAGTGCAACAGAAGTATTGAATGTGCTCTCGAGGAACAACCTCAGCCGCAGCATGCTCCGCACCTAACACTGTGTGACGAAGTGGAGATGTGGGAACAGATGGAGCATCTCATCCCTGATGACCAGCTACTGGTCGAGCCTGCCACCCCTACACAGCAGATTGGACCGATGCAGAAATCTGCGGAGTACCAGACCAACGGCGATGTCTCCCTGATGACTCCCTCCCCCCTCTCCCAATCTGACGACTCTTTCCTCCCCTCGTCCCCCACCGAGGAATGCATGCAGAGGGACCCCCACCGCCTCATCCCCCACCAGCCGAAAACTCCACTCGAGAGCATCTCCACTCTTACCAGTACCCAGATACCCAACACTGTGCCTGCCCCAAATGCTCCAACCGTGGTGCCAATGAGGAATGCTCTACGTGCCATGGCGGAGAAAGTGGACATGTCGCACCCATGTACAGGACGTTTCCTCAATGCGCTAAAGGATTCCACCCATGCCGATCTCATTTCCCAGATCACTGCAGCTAACCAGCAGCCGGTGCAACCAGAGGCCGAAGCTGATGGCAACACGCAGAACGATGCATCTCGCACAGATCTTATAGCCCAGATTGCCGCTCTTGCCCAACACCAAACACAACTGCAGGCTACTGCTACCCCGAACACTCCAGCCCTGACTCTCATGCCGACACCAGCGGAAGGCTTCCCAGACATCTACAGTCACCAACCATACTTCTTCATAGATAACTTGACGAGAGACCTCCTGGACACCTGGAGCAAGCACGACATGGCCCGTATCGCCATTATGCTGCTGGGCTCCAGTGTGAACGATCAAATTCTTCAACCTTACCTGACGATGAAGATCGCAAGGGCTCTAGAACGCGCACACCAGATCCCCAAAGTAATGATGATGAGCCCACGTCCCCTCTACGACTCTAAACTCATCAACGACACCCCGTACTCCTTCATCGCTTTCAACATGATGAAGTCCCAGAAGAAGGACATTGTTACCCAGTACTGTTACCTAACCCCCGAAGTCTCCTTCATCGCAATGGACTTCATCTGGAAGGTGCCACAGTATGTCTGCACCTTTGCAGGCTTCACCAATCATTCCTTCCAGGACATCCCGAAGCTCATTCTCAACTGCCTCGTCAACCTGCAAAGCATTCAACATTTCCTCAGTGTGGTCGGCTATGATGCGTGAGGCCAAAAGCAGATGGATGACGTGTTCTGCTCGATCCAGATCTGCACGGTTGATGTTCGCGGTGACCTGGGTGAAATCTCAAAGGCCTACAACATATACATAGACATCCCCCCGATCAATCTCGAGCAATGGAACAGATGGCACAGCTTCGTTATCAGCCTCACATTCAACACACAGTGGCAAGGCACTGGTTGTGCACTCCCTCCTCACCGCTGCTCTTACTGTCATGGTGCTGACCACACCCTCGACATGTGCCCGTTCCCTACCCTCCCCGGATGGTTCGAGCCTCCGAACAGTGACATGATGTGCAAACAAGGCAGCACGCAATGTCGGCCGGGGCGTGGTGCCTATCGCGGTTTCTCTCATGGGCGCAGATATGACAATCACCCCCACAGATGGGGAACGGGATGCCCCTGAATTTTCGCCAATGCTCTAACACTTTACAATGCTCTCTTCACCTAGTTCCCCTCTCTTTTCTTATGTCTACACCCCAACTCACTGAACCCTTCCTCTTGTCTAATTATTTTCTTAGTATCATGGTGAATGCAGAACCTCCGTGTAGTTTCTGAGTAGCCACATACCCGATACAAATATATTACTTTGCACTTGCAACACACACGATGAAGACTATAATGCAACCTCTAGACCCGGATCTCCCTTGAGATTGCATTCCGTTACCCCTCTCCACTCTGGCCCAAATACACTGACCACAATGAGACAGGAAAGCCAGAGTGTCCCCCAAAATGCAACCACGTTTCAAAGCGGAGGCCTATTTAGGCCCTGATGAGCCGCGCTGAGAGGCTGAAGTCATAGAAATGAACCACTGCCTACCGTGGAACACAGCATCTCTCACCACATGGCATAGTCATTTTTGGAGCCATAGGTAAATGGCGCCCCAGTCCAATGCATAGCTGTAAGTCGATACCCGATATACTCAGCAACCATATATAATTCAGAAAACCTCACAAACCCAGTTTTGACACATGATAATGGCTCGAGCCTCCCCCGTCCTAGAGGTGGAACAGGGCTACCTGCTGCCCACTTCTCCAATGACAGGACAGGAGAGTTAGGTGACGGGCACCAGGATCCTTTCCCCCAACAAACGCCAAACTCACAACCAATACCACCAAGGGCACACCCAATGAATGGGAGCAGCAATCACCGTGGCAGGCGCCAGCGCAAAATTCAATGAAAGACTAAAGCACACCTTAAGATTGCATCCCTAAACATGCGAGGCAAGGGACAGACACCAATCCCTCAACCTACAAATAAGTGGACTCAGATCCACCAACTCATGCGAGACAATAAAATAGGCATCCTAGCCCTCCAAGAAACACACCTCGACCAAGAATACGTAGACTGACTGCATCGACAATTTGGACGCCATCTATGTATCCACTTCTCATCTCCCCCAGATGTCACCAATGCTCAAGGTGTCGCCATAGTCCTTAATAGAGAACAAACAAACATAAAAAATGTAAAAATCAAGGAACTTATTCCCGGACGAGCACTTTACCTCTCCCTCCCATGGCATACAGACCTAACCTTAAACGTCCTCACAATATATGCACCAAATGACCTCAGAGATAATGCAGACTTCTGGAGACAACTGGATGACACCTGGGAAATTCATGACCTCCCTTACCCAGACATCCTACTAGGAGACTTTAACATGGTTGAGGATGCTCTAGATTACTTCCCAAGTCACACTGACCCAACTGAAACCATGCAAGCCCTAACGGACCTTAAACAACACCTCCTCCTGCAAGACGGGTGGAGACATGAACATTCAAACACAAGAGCATTTTCCTTCCATCAACAGAGTACAGGGAGTAAATCTCGGCTCGATCGCATATATGTAAATGAGCAAATAATGGAATCTGCCTCTGACTGGACGATTAATGACACTGCAATACACACAGACCATAAGCTAGTATCTGTCCATATATCGAACAAGCAAACACCATACATAGGAAAAGGAAGGTGGACAATCCCACTACATATACTACAAAATGAATGCTTCCTCAACACAGTTGATTATCTTGGCAGGAAACTTGCACAAGATATACAGGACAATGAAGCTGACCGCACCATTACAAAAAACCCACAAATATTATTCAAAGACTTTAAAGACCAAGTTCTAAAAGAAGCTAAACTAGCAGCATGGAAAGCTATCCCCAGAACACAAATACAAATAGATAACCTCAAGACACAACTTGACCTCCTACTTAATGACTCAGGCTACATAAATGATGCTAACCTACATCTATCAGCTAACCTAATTCAACATCACATTACAGAACTCGAGATAGCCCGCAGCCACAAGGCACGAAAAATGTCTGCAGCACAATATCAACTAGTCGCAGAAACATCAAGTAAATACTGGTCCAAAATAAATAAAGAAGTACGCCCGAGAGACATCATGTTCTCTTTGAAGATGCCTGGCTCATCACCTCCAGAATATGTAACCTGCTCTGACAAAATGGCCAAGCTAGCATGTGACTACCATGAATCCATCCAGTCAAATGGCCCCCATGCCCCTGCGCAGAAACGTGAAACTGCAACCCTACATACTCTGGGAGCAATTCCAAGCAAGGCAAAGCTGAATACCTCATCCCACCTATCTGAAAATATCACAGAAGACACAGTTCTTCAAGCCCTCCTTGCCTCACAAAATGGGAAAGCTTCAGGCATAAATGGAATCCCACATGAACTGTGGAAAGCCCTCCACTCACGCTTTCTTGCCAAAACAAATGAAGGACTCTCAGCCTTCAATGTTATTCATACCCTGACCTGGACATACAATGACATCAAAACCCATGGAACTATACCAGAGGCAAGCTTCGCCACAGGCTGGCTATGCCCAATATACAAAAAGAACGATCGACGAGACATTGCCAATTATCGGCCCATCACATTACTAAACACTGATTACAAAATATTCACCAAAGCCTTGTCCCTACACCTATCGGTAATTGCGCCCAAACTTATTCACCCTGCTCAAGCAGGATTTGTCCCTGGCTGGAATATACATGACCAAATTCGTCTGTCACACCTTATGATTGACTATGCAGAAGCAGTAGAAGAAAATGGAGCCATAATTGCATTAGATCAGGAAAAAGCTTATGATCGCATTGCACACGACTACCTATGGCGTACCCTTGAAGCTTTCAACCTCCCTACCCTCTTTATAAACACAATTCGATCACTCTACCACCATGCAGAAACTGTTGTTATCATTAATGGGGAAATCAGTGCCCCCTTCCACATTACTAGAGGAGTATGCCAAGGTGACCCAATATCATGTCTCCTTTTTGACATTGCAATTGAACCTCTTGCATGCCTTCTCAGATCCTTATCACTCCATGGTTTTCACATCCCTGGTGTACCTGATCGCCTGATTACCACACTTTTGCAGATGACACAACTGTATACCTAGCAGAATCAGATGACTTCCACACTCTACAACAAATACTTGACCTATGGTGCATAGCCGCCAAAGCAAAATTCAATGTTCACAAGACTGAAATCATACCAATAGGAACCTCAGAATACCGCACTGAATTGATCACCAGCCAGAAAACCCACCCGGCAGCCTTGTCCTTTCCATCTAATACTCACATTGCCAAGGATGGGGAAGCAATCTGAATTCTCGGTGGCTGGATTAGGAACCAAGTTGAACCCACTACACAGTGGCCCATGGTAATAGAGAAAATACAAGCAGCTCTCGCACGATGAAACAAAAGTCACCCAACTCTCAAAGGACGCTGCCTTATAGTGCAAATTATTGTAGGTGGTATGACACAATTTCTTACTACAGTTCAAGGAATGCTCAAACATATTGAGAAGAGCCTGATCTCAATAATCCGAAAATTCATCTGGGATGACAATCACATCCCACTCATTAACATTAAAACTTTATACCTCTCAACCAGCCAAGGAGAACTTGGTCTCCTTGACCTCACCAGTCGCAACCTTGCAATTGACCTCAAATGGCTATGACCCTTCCTAGACCTCTCCCTATCCCACCCCTTATGGGCCTTTCTAGCCAATGTTCTCATCAATAAATGTGTTGCATTCAGCTCCAGAAATGTACAGAAACTCTCTCAGATTAATGTCTTTCTTCAGACCTGGGACACAACCACTCACTCATGCTCCAAACTACCACAAGACCTTCTCAGAATGCTGCATGCAGGGAAATTACACAATGCTAACTTTGCTGCACTCAAACTACCCCCATCTCTCAAGAAGCAACTCCCATTTTGGTATCATATTGGAGCAAGCTCTCTACTCCGCTGCCTAAATAACATACCAACCTCTAAATGCCTCCACAGTGTACACAATGTTCAATCTGTAGGCGACCTTCTGAATGTCACCAAATGACAGCATGATCCAAACATGTCCCCTTCACACCTCCCTCATAGAAACTGTCGCTGTACACAATGTGTAACTGACCGGTCCAAAGGGTGTGAACACCCGCACCACTGTATGAAGGCTGCCCTTCATGCCATCTCTCTCTTGGGCCCAAAATGGAACCCAGAGATAAACCCAACACCGGACAACCTCTCTCTTACTAAACAGCAGAGAAGATGCAACTGGGAAGCAGTGCAAAATCAGGATAGAATACTCTTTGACCCATCCACCACCACCTCCGGCCCTCTAGCAAATGTCTTTCGAGTCTTCACAGACTCCACCATAGTCAGTGCACAACCCCCAAAAAGATTGGGAAGAGGCATCCCAAACGATGCAGTCACGATCTACACTGATGGATCCTGCCTCAAAAATGGAGAAGCAATAGCACAAGCAGGTAGCGGAATTTGGTATGGACCTCACGATCCGCGCAACAGAGCACTTCACCTTCCGGATAATATGGCACTCAACCAGGCAGGTGAAATCGCCGCAATTCTATACACCATCCAGACAACAACAATGAATGCCCCCCTCCACATCATTAGTGACTCCCGATATGCTATAGATGGCCTCACAAAACACCTCCCACATTGGGAAAATGAGGGATGGATTGGAACCCACAATGCACCTCTCTTTCAAGCAACAGCTGCATCCCTCTGCCAACAAGCAGCGGTCACTTCCTTCAAATGGGTCAAAGGTCATTCAGGAGAGGAAGGAAATTCAGGAGCAGATGAGCTTGCACATCAAGGGGCCCTCAAAAACACCCCAGATGACCTTGACCTATCAATTCCCAATACCCTGCAATTGACAGGAGCAAAAATCTCATGCCTAACACAAAAATTAGCCTACCGCGGCATACGGGCCACTCTCCTAACCCCCCCCCCCCCTGCCGATCTGCAACCATAGCCCATTTAGACATCACCAGATATGCCATACTGTCCCACATGGAAATAACCCCAACAGACTCTACCATTTGGAAATCCCTCCGATCTCCTGCATTTACCAGACCCATATCTGATTTTCTATGGAAGTGCATGCATAATGCACTCCACTGCGGATCCTTCTGGGATAAGATACCCAACTATGAACATAGATCCCTCTGCCCAGTATGCAACACTCTAGAATCTGTCGAGCATATCCTCTGTGAATGCTCTGCACCAGGCCAACAAATAATCTGGAATCTTACCTGGCAACTCTGGGGAAAAAAGGACCCCTGATGGTATCCCCCTTCACTCGGAACCATCCTAGGATGCGGCACCATTGTCTTCCACTCAGAACAAGGCAAAATACGACTTGGCGCCACTCACCTTTACCACATTCTTATCTCGGAGGCTGCTTACCTCATCTGGAAACTACGATGTGAACAGAGAATATCCAAGGAGGACGACAAATCACAATGGCACACACCGGCTGAGATAACCAGCAGATGGAAGTATGCCATAAACAAGCACCTACAACTAGACTGCACCATGACACGCACCCGATTCGGCGCCAAAGCCCTCCCCAAGCAACTCGTTCTCCAGACTTGGAGCGGCATCTTGGACCACGAAGATCAACTACCTGACGATTGGACTCTGCACAATAAGGTTTTAGTGGGTATGGATCCTCCCCGTGTCCCCAATACTTGAGGAGGATCGAGCCCCACACTGCCCCTCGCGGCATGCGTAAATGCATTTTCCTCCTTGGAGGCCGGGTGAAACTCCCGACTAAGCAGGCGGATGGGGACAGATCAATTATCTGGCTGCCCATCCTGCCGTTACGCTCCTCCAAAAAAAAAAAAAAAAAGTGCATTCTAGTTGGGACAGGCCATATGACTGACTCGCACTGCTGGAAATCCACTACGGCTCAGCACGTCGTCAGCTCCCGACGTTCTCATATGGACCAACACAAAATGCAGGGCCTACTTACCATGGATAGCCTCTCCAGCATTCAATATTCAGTACTGCTGTAGCGCACAAGTACTGTGGCATGCGTCCATGCAGGGTGTGGTCTCACAGGCGGGACCTCGGCAGACATGTGTCTAAAAGAGGGCATCCAAGGTAATTGGACCCCAGGCGTCGTATACGGGCGCGTTCTTGGGCGCAGGCTCGGAAAGCGGGGTGATAGCGGCGGGGAGGGCATAGCTGCAGAATGGGAAGCCGAGGTCCTCGCTGTCGCTGTAAACGGATCCGCTGAGTGGATAGATCGGGGCAGTGTTGTCATAGCCATGGTTCGTGTCGGGGTACTTCTGGAGGTCGAGTCTGAGTGAGACGCGAGCCAAGAATTGGAGAATCTACGCTGCCGGCGCATGAGCCGGCTAACCCCTGGAGTGCGTAGGGGTGACGTTGCAAGGAGCGTGGCGAGGTGCTGTGTTAGTGCAAGAGTAGAATCATGCACACCTTTCGGCCCGGGGTTGGCAAGCGACGTCTGACCATCCGTAGTCATTTGCGGACTTCCGGGTGATTTGATATTGAGGACATTGGACACTGTAACTTGACATCGCTGCGGGGTCGTCGTGGGGGGACGGCGAGTGCAGCAGGGGAGGTGTACAGTATTAGGGAGGTGAGCACGTTTGGTGTGACGTCTCGCGTCTGTCACGATCACCCGCCGACGTGACGTGCCTTAGGCTCCGCCTCATGTCCAGGGTACGCCATTGTATGTGCCTAGGGTGGTCCCAGATGAGTACTAGCCTGGGAGAAGGTGCGTGGTTCAATTTTCTCGTTTATGGCTGACTAGGGTTTCCAATTCGCCAACGCCGCTGACGGAGGGATCGCTAATACGCAACGACCCGGCGCCTTGGCGGGAGTATCTTGCAATACTATTTTGCAATACTATTGTTCTTGTTTCGGGTGTGTTACAAAGGGCGGGTATCTGCTGCTGGGACACGGGAGAAAGACGTGCGTGTCCTTTTTTATGGTCACCCATCTTCGACTCTAACTTTGCAAGGACTCAAAGCAATTTCGTGGTCTTACCGTCTTTGACGTGATTCTGCAGAGAGATTGTGCATGTATCACCTACACTTGCGAATACATCCCTTCTCCCTCATTGTGATATTCCTATTCTCTCTTGAATGAATACGGTCTATCTAAACTCTTGACCCAATGCTGACTAACGTCAAACAGACTGGAGAAACAACCCGAGGTGAGTCATGGAAATATATTTTATGACTCTTGTTATGATAATTGTGACTTAAAGCGAATGCGCTGCCAGCAAGGATTTTTCTTCAATTCCTTGTCCGTTCACTGGCGCTACTGGAGACACTTCGCACCACTGCGGCTTCCCTTTCATCTGCGCTCTCAGCACAACCGTTCCTGGCTGCGATCGCGACGATTGCGACGATTGTCGACGCTTTGGCTAGGCGTACAAGCTAACCTTCAACCACGACCGCTCTTTCACGTTCTCTTTCCCTGGTCATGCGGCAATTATCGAACAGGGTGCATGGGACATGTGAGTAATCTAACTATTGTAGTCCCCCCTTAACATCTCACGGCTCTCCCGATTTCCCAGAAAATTGAGTCTTTCGACACGAAGAATTTCATACTTCTTCACTTCGAGAATGCCCTCTAGATTTCTCGTCCTTTCAGCACGCAACACGAGGACGCCGGACCCGCGTCTCAAAGCGCACCTCGCTCGACTTCGTCTTCTAAGGGATTGCCGCTCGTCGAGGACGAGTAGTAGTGGCATGCACACCCCTTGTACGTTCTCGTGCAAAGCGTCTCAGCTGCACGAGGAAGTCTTTTCCGCTCACTTCTCGTGTGGAGACCTCTCTTAAAGTCCCGGAGCATCGACAGAGGTCTGTCGCGAAACATGACGAGGGGCGACAGTGCGCCCTCGACTTTCACTACATGTTTCCCAGTTCATGATCCCCTCGCTGACGCCATATCCGCGACGAACATTGTCTGTAGGGCGTCGTTGTTCGGACCACTCACGCACGATCGCACCTAGTATTAGTTACAATGTTGAACTCCACTCAGTTAATTCTGGAGTATCGATTCTCACCTAGACGCCCTCGCAGGTGCGTAATCGATCCAGTCCCAGTCAGCGGTAATAGCCGATGTCTCATAGGTTCTTCCCCGAGTAGGTGTGTTGTGGTATTCATTGGCGTTTGCTCCCGCGGACAGCCTTGCGGTGTAGGATGAGTCTATTCAGAAACCCCCCGCGGGAAAATAAACCCCCTTCCCCCGGAACTGCTGAAGAGAAAAATGCGAAGACGGAAATACCATCGAAGAAATGTCAATGGGCGCCAATGACGGCGTCAACCACTGACACCGACTACCGCGCGTCATTGCTCACCGTGTCGCACAGGGTGGACCGCGTCGGCGCCGTCATTGGAGAAGACGAGCAATGGCCGGTAGTGGAATTTAGGTGTGTACCATCTCTTTGGCTCCTGTACGACATAATGCCCACTTATACAAAGCTTTTTCAGCTCACCTTTACAACGATGGGACACCACTGCTCGACGTGGTAGGCGATGAGCGGCACCCGATGAAGACATGGGGTACACCGGCCCACGCTAGCACCCGGCCAATGCGTGCGCCCTCACCGAGCTCGACAGCGGACCCAGGAGACCGCTGTTAAACATTGACAGGTGAGCGTCTTCGACTTTTTTCAGAGCCATCGCGGAATTGCCAAAAGCAGGGGGGGTTCTGCATAAACCGCGGTTCTGAATAGACTAATTCTGCTGTGTAGGGCAGGCTGGTAAGGAGCTCGAGAAACTGTTCGTGACAGAAGGTCCTGTGCACAGGCTCTACAGCGGTCCGCGTTCTCATGACAGGTCGACAGAGAGCGCGCACGGCCACTTCAAAATCTATACAGATATGCGTGCGTCTATCTGCTGTTTGTCGTGATGGACCAGTCATTTGTTCAGATTTGCTAAACATGATAACCCACGTGCCCGTTTTAGGTGCATGGCTATGAATGCATCAAGTTCTTATGCATGTTCGGGGTGTGAGAGTTAGTGCCCTATCTTTTCTTGAGTTCCTCGTCATCCAACGATCCAACCCCTCGTCCTCCACTCCTTGAATTCTTCCTTGTCCAGCCCCGCTTGCTCAACACAATGAGTTCTTCCTTGCTTAAACTCACCTTGCCCGAACTCATCTCGCTCGAAGTCACCTCACCCGAACTCGCCATGTCCGAAGTCACCTCATCCGAACTCGCCTCTCCTGAACTCCTCTGGTCCGAGCTTCCCCTTCCCGAGCTTGTTCCGTATGAAACTGCCTGTCTCGAACTCAACCTAATGAGTTCCCACCTATCCAAAGACGGCTTGCCCAAATTTGCCTCACCCAGTAAGTTCCTACTCTTAAATTCTCGAAGTGCATGACAAACACGACTGGTCGTCTTGCATCCTCTAGTTAAGAAAGGGTATTCTCGGATGGACGACCGTGGGCGGTGGGAGGCTGCAATCTGGGAATGCATACCGGTACGTCGCCCAGATCCTACTCCTCAATCTGAATATTAACCACTGTCTGTACAATTGATCAACATTCTCCTCATAGTACACGAAGATACCAAGGCTTCCCCCTGAGCTGACAGACCTCATAATTGACTTTGTGGGTGGCGACCCAGATCCCGACACCACCAAGCAGAAGATACTGTACAACTGTGCTCTTGTTTGTCACACATGGCTCCCAGCCAGCCGCTATCAACTTTTCAATCAGGATCTGCTGTATATCAACACCAACTTCTTCAAAGCTCTTGTACGAGCATCGCGAACACCTAGTTACCCCTATGCAGCCGCTTTGCGCGCAGTGCAGGTAATAATCCTATGTGATGCAGAGCCTACATGGGTGCATCAATTTCCCCTCATCCTTGGACGAATGTTCTCAGCTGTCCAGGAATTGCATATCAAGGACCTCCATTGGGATAAAGTTGTTATACATCCACGCACACTGCTAGTCAGCTTCGGGCAGTTTGGATGTGTTACCAACATGTTATTAGGTGGCTGCACATTCCGCAATTTCTGCCAATTTCGGCGCCTCGTCTGTGCACTACCTCGGCTGCAAACTCTAAGGGTGGTAGACTCAGAATTAGAGAGATGCGAGACATTCCCGATCGCTCATGTAGCATCGCCATTTCCCACATTCACCTGTCTTGTTGTGCAATTTGATGATTATGAAACAGAACAAGCCCTATGTTCAGCACTTTTTGAGTGGCTGACATTGATGCCGGCATCCATCCATCGTCTGCAGAGGCTGGATACATTTCCAGATGGCCAAATTCTGTCTCCTCTGGGAAACTTACTCATGCATGCCGGAACTAGTCTGGAGGATTTAGATTTAGGCTTGCGTGCTGCTACCGCATCCGCAGGTAAGTATTACACCCTACATCACAATAGTATCGACCTAATGCCACCCACAGTGCGGCACTTGAATATAGGTCATTGCACTGCACTTCGCAAGCTCACTTTGCGGTGGGTGCCAGACATTTCTTTGGCAGAGATCCTGCGCATCATTTCCCCCAATTGCCGCCTCCACAAACTTGACATATTGATGTGGCCAGGAGAAGTGGATTGCGAGTGGGAGAGCGCAGCCCATATCCTGGACGAGCAGCGGTTTCTCACACTGCGGGAGTTCAGGCTGAATGTTCAATTTGTCGAAATTGCCGAGGAAGAGAAGCGGCGCATTTCGGACTGTTTCGCTGCCTTGCGTCGGCGAGGTGTCAAATTTAGGCTGTTTTTCAATGGCCAGCAGTATCGCAGCGATTTGCCCACTATATCAGCATGTCAATCGAAGACTCCCGAGCTGCAGGTTGAAGACGGACAGTTGCCTGGAGTGCCTCTTACATCTCACGACGATGTGCACCAATCGAGCATCTGAGCAGACGAAGTCGGGTGAAACAGGATGGCGGAGGCTCTCTGGTTCGGCGAGCGCAGCCGGCAGGCTGCAACGTTGCGGGGAGGACAGGTGGGTAACTCGGGAGTTGGAATGTCGAGGCGCTGCGAGTTCTTCTATGCAGGACATCATTCTTTGTCCGGTGCTATATGTACTCAAGTTTCGGAAATAGGTTGAGGTACCGGAGATACGTATGATTTTTACCACTCTACTCTCGACATTGTTTTTCTTCCTTTGTAATTTTACAGGCTTACGAGTGTTTCGCGAGAGACGTGGGCTGCGCGTACCGGATTGTAAACAGTTTGTACTTAGATAGTGGCCGAGTGCGCTGTTTGTAGATCTTAAATTCTGGCTGGATTGAATGTACACATACAGATATGCGTATACACGAAGTCGGTCGCGCGATAAAATCAGGCATACTGACGGTATCGCATACCTACGACAGCACACACCGGTGGACAATGCCTTGGTGGACAATATGGTCAGGCAGAACGTCCACGGGTGAAAAATATGTAGAATATAGATGGCGACATTCCTGATCACAAGTACCATAGACTGTTCAACTCGGTGCACGCGGTTTTCCACAGTTTTTTTCCCGATGGGTATGGCGAGACCATATACTCAGAAGCATTGGGCGACATCGGAATATTCGTGTGCTGCTGTCACTTCTGAAACTCTGGAAATCGCACCGATAACAGTAGGGCAGTGCTTGGGATGGGAGCGCAGTCGCATTTGTGCTCACTGTCACTGACAGCGAAAGGATGCGGAGAGACGACGCCGAGCGCGGGATCCTTGGTGATGTGAGAATTCATAAAATACTGCCGTTACTGTACACGAATCCTAACGGCGAGCGGAGTCAATATTGAGCCCATGATACGAGGAAAAGACGAACTCACAACAAGGCCGCTCGGTAATGTGCTGATCCTGCGGCACGATACGTCCCGTGCAATCTCGAATGTGAGATCAAAAATCTTACGATTCTTTATTGCGGCGAACGACTCACCTCGCGAGCTCGAATGATCATCCCTGAAGACAATACTCGATTATAGTACATATGCCATAGCATCTCCGCAGCGGGCAGCTCGGCACGACGGGTACCCGCACCAATGCGGGGAATGGCACTTTGTGCTACTTGCGCTGGGATGTAGACACGCGGTTGAGTAAGGAATATACAGACGCATGAAAATCCTGATCTGATCAGATAGACTTGGAAAGATGACTTGATTTTGAGATGACCGACGAGAACTTTCGGTGCATAGGAGTGTTATTAGGAGGAACACCGAGGTGTCGTATGTTGGTGCAACCACGGACGGGTCCTCGACAGGTCAGGTATCTGATAGCCTGCGAATATAAGCATGTTTCGGGATCACAAAAGTTGAACCACGAATTTCTCGATTGCGATCGCCAGTCAGGCTTCGCGTGGCGAGCATGCCATTGAGATCGACATTGAGACAGTTTGGATTTTGTCTCTGATGCTGAATCGTCGTCCAGCGCACCCAGAAGGCGACGTCTGATCAGCGAAGCAGACGACGGGGCTGAGAGAAGGACTAGAGAGCATGTCAGTTAGCGCACCTGGGCCGGAAAATAAAAAGGTCATTGGAACGCACAAACGCTAGTCGTCAAAAATTTGAGCACCTCAGGAGAAGCGAAACTTGAAAAAGGAGTGCGATGCATCATCAGGTGAGTCGCAATGACATTTTGACTCGTCTACCACATATTCTCTTCCGTCTCTGTGTCGGCGGCATTACTGGCGTTAACCGAACCAGTCTTGATGGCTTGGGTGGCGACTTCATCGGAGGCGGTGGCGGGCAGGGTCAACATAAGTACCGCAGGGAGGAGGCAGACGAAAAGATGCCAGACGCTGTGAGTGTCTGAGGTTGGCGTAGAAATTAGGAGGTGCAGCGACGACGTACGAAGATCAAGGCATCTTCTGCAAACGGGACCATAGCACGGAAGACCTCCTCGCGTCATCGCAAGGCACGCTTCCCTGAGAGAGCCGTCGAATACCTTTATGGAGGGAGGTACGAGGCATGGATATCACTGCTGCAGATCAAAGACACACCGCACCGCTTGAATTCACCACTCAGTCATTTCTTTAGATTCAAAGACACCTCGCGCACTCTTATCCCGCACCAGACCCTATACAGCACGCCAACGCATAGCGCAGAATCGAGTCACTAGATCCGGGGGTGTCGACTACAGCAGCGTGTCCCAGGGGCGGAGAACGGCATGGCGGTCACCTCGTTCGGTGTGAGGACTGCCAGTAGCTATAAGCGATACAGAAGAGGATGATATTGGCTACTGAAAAGATCTCAGAGTCGATACACAACCCCAGATAAGCGCTAGTAGCGCGCCGAGTCTTGAAAATGCACTCCACTGGTACAGCATTTCAGTTCCTGCTCTCGTCTCACTCGCAATTCGTCACAAGATTTGCAATGTGATAGTACTAGGTAACATCAGAACTCGTTGTACGAATCTCAGTGCACGTATCTGGATGCTCGCCAGAAGCACCACGGTCTGTAACAACGCGGGATGAGAAGTGCATACTACCAGTTGCTGCGCAGATCGCGATGCCTCCAAGTCGCCGACGAAACGTTCCGCAGCCTGAATAGTCGCGGTCCACCAATCTCGCTCTGACCCAAGCTCACATTATGCCCACAGATCTCTCGTTGCATAGTGCTTCACCACGTCTTCTCTTCTTACTGACGGTCTGAGGAACTTGGCGACGAGATCTGACGAACGCTCGGCCGATCGGGAAGAACGTCGAATTGGACATCCAGTTCTTTCGAGTTGAATTTTTCATGCCGCCATCAGATGACCAATCCCGCATTGTACTACATCCCGCCCTAAGAAGGGAGCAGATTCGATGTCGACGACGGGGCTGTACAAGCTGACGATGGAGTAGGCATCATGGCAGATTCTGCGGTGTCTGAAACTGATGCCTGATATTTCTTCCAAGATGTCCATTGCGAGTGTCGCTCTGTCTCCGTGCGGCCCGGGCAGCAGCTGAATGTTCAGCGGTGCACCGCCGCACCATCGCAACCAGGTTGAACCGTGGTGGGTGTCGTGCCCACGGTCATCGCGGCAGCCGCACAGGTATGGAAAGCACAAGATTGGGACAGGGTGCGATGCACCCTAGCAGGAACAATTTTCGCAGGTACAGGACGTCTGCTCGACATGGCCGGCTGGAGATATTGTGAGTGGAACGGGGAGGAAATCGACGAGATCGTTGACGAGTCGGTTCGTCAAGGCGTCCGCGAAGAAGTACGATGCTCTTTTCTGCGATTTTGTAGTTTAAAACAAATGTCCTGGATAATATATCAATGTTTTTGCGGCATTGCCACTTTGTTTAGACCGCAGAACATGGAGTTCTATCCCTGCATGTCCACGTGTAAGAAGTGAATGCAAGGTATTATAATTACTGGAAAAAAAATCAGGCATCTGACGTACAACAAAATGTCCTCACAATACTGTTCCGGATGCGCGCCGATCGCTACTATACCTCTTGCTCCCCATCCCCGCCCTCCTGCTCATCCTCCGGATCCATCCAGCTCTCCTCGACTGTCGCGCGCACACGATAAACATACTCCTTCATATTCTCGCGGTACAACTGCGCAGCCTCGGCGTTCGCAGGGCTGGCCGGGTTCGGGTCGTGCAAAAGACTCTGAATGGACGTGAGGATCGCAGCGACGTCGTACGTCGGTGACCACCGATTCTGGAGGATATCGAGGCACAATTCGCCGTTGGCGTAGACGTTGGGGTGGAACATGCGCGAGAGGAAGCGCACGGTTGGCGGCTTCGTCGGGTAGGACTCGTCGAACGTGAGCAGCAGCCGGAAGGTGCCATCTTCGAACGGCGTCTCCGCTGTGTGGGCTCGGATGTGAGGTATTTGAGGCTTGTAAAAATAGCGCACCTGGGCCGAAGATCACCGCGTTCCATAGCATGATGTTGTCGGGGCATGGGCTGCCTGAGATTCCGCTGGGCGGATCACTCGACAAACGCTTGAAGTCACGGATAAGACGTCTTCGGCAGCTGGTGGACTGTTGAAAGGCTTAAGTAAGACTTCAATACTATCAGAAAATGTAGTTCACCATGACGGTTACAGCTCAGAGGGGAAACCTGAGACAGGCTGACGATGGTGCGCGGAAAGCTGCAGTTTACTAGTCACGTCGCGTGATCGTGACCTTCGCGAAGTCACGCATCCCGGTGACATCGAGTCGCGTCGTACATCCCAGTTGATACCTACAGTAGCGGACGCGTCTCCAGATCCCCTGCATAACAGGACAAGAGCGCATGCGCCCACTCTGATTTTCCGTCACGTCTGATGCTCCGCGCGGTCCTGGAAATCTCCTCCTGCAGGCTGAAATGGCACAGACATCGATATCGCAGATCCTAAATCGATTGCACCCTGTTCAGACCCTTTCGCAGTCCTCTGACCGCGCCCTGTCACTTGTATTGCCAACACTTGCACTCACGCCCGCCCTGCGGTACCTGCGATTAGGTCGATCTCCTCTGCCTACTCCCTACACCGAAATTGGCCTTCCGCGTGGACTCTGTCCTCTGTCTGTATCGTCCCCTTCGCCCCTGGGCTCGGTTTTTTTGTTGGTGACGTGGTGGGCCATGGAGTAGGATGCGAGCCATGGATACGGGCCGGGTGTTTGTATCGAAAAATCCGGGCAGCGGTGATTTGTCCTTTAAAGAGCTACGAATTTGGCGAGTAGATGACTGGTCGCATTTGTGATGGGGGCATTCTAAGATAACTTCCTACATCCAGCGCGCACGAATCACATACCAATTTTGCGAAGGCCAATTATCCCGGGGCTCCATGGTCCACTACTCTTGTCGCAAGTGAACTGTTTGTCCTGGCGCGGTAATATTGGCCCTCGTTGTACGGGTCTCAGTGCATATATCCGGAAGCTCGCCAGAAGCACCGTGCCCTGCGACAACGCGGGGAAGGTCTTCCTTGCCACTCGAATGCTCAACAATATTCTGTCTTTGTACGTCGACCTTGTATTTCCATCTGGTCCGCATGTTAATGTCCGGTGCTCGCAACTGCCAGTGGCTGGATAACGGTTTTCATTCATGTTCTCCTCCTGCTGGTGCGTATTTGACGTACGTCCGAGAATCTTTGAACCGTCAATCCTGGTGGTAACGACTCCAATATCACCGGGAAGGTCATTGCAAATGAAAATTAGGTACTGCATGATGCATTGCTGGTCCCGCGTTCCATGAGGTGCTCTGCTACCTTTTTTAGTGATTAGCACTTGCTGACCCAGGTGCGAGCTCCAGTTCTTTCAATATCCTCATGCCGATCTGACGTTCTCCTTGAAAGGCGTTGAATATGCAGGTTCTCGTGTCCGATGGGCAAAACTACTACCGTTCATCCGCAGCTTTCCTTGGCCCAGTGCCCTCGCGATTCGGACAGTGCTGCTACTGCTCGGAGCTCGGGCCTGTCGACAATACAGCGATATCAATGGACACAGATCAAGCTTGTTTCTACAGAACAATCCGACGCTGAAGATGCTCAAAGCTCGAATTGGTCCCATCGCTGATTTCGACCGTGCCCTCTTCATACGAAGCGTTACCAGCCGTCGCGGTCAGGATTTTCGCTGGTGTAATTTTTTTTAATTTGCCTGATCTTGTATTGTGCCAGTGATTTAAGGTGGTTGGATTTCCGTGCGCAGTGCGCAAAATCCGTGTAAGATTTTCCTAACGTCATCTCAATGCTCCTCCCTAGAACCTTTACTACGCGCCGAGGACTCTCGTCACACCGTGGACATCCGCGCTAGAGATCTCAAAATCGAGACATCGCCTACGGGTTATTATATATCCAAAATAACGCTTCAGCAGTCTATTTGGCGAAGAGGGAGGACAAGTCTCAGACTTCGTACTGCCGGTGGAAGAAATATACTCAGGAGCAACGGGAGATACGTGTTGTGAATGATAGTACGTTTTCGGAGGGAATTCCGTTGAGGCCACGTGCTGCCGGAATCGGTTCCGCGACCTACCTCATTCTCGTCGTTCCAACCATCTCGAAATGTTTCTGGTGTCAGCGTTGCAAGCCTGTGCATCAGTTTTGCACTATCTTACCTCGATGAACTTCAGGGCACTCATCAGTGGGAATGTCAAACCTGAGGTTAGCACCCCTATTTTCCGAATAATAGTACCGTACCCTGCATCAGTGTCCGGTGGTCTTCGTCAACCTTCCTCAGCTAACTCGCATCTATTCTCAGACAAAACAGGTGGAGAGCAAACGTGGGCAACGCTATCTTCTAGCTCTGCTCGCGACCACCGACGTTAGGAAGGACGAGTGGATGGCCCTTGATTTTGCGGCGTTGCATGCCTTGCTTCCGAATGATAAGGAACACTCCCAGTGGTTGTGCCCGCAGCCCATCCGTTCTGGAGCGGGTTTTTCCCATGCATCCAACCAGTCGGACATCGACATCATCTCGATGTTTCCTGCATTTGAGACCGTAATCAATCAGTATACTGCTGGTTCCGTCGCCGAGTACTTCTGGTCCAGCTTGGAGGATGCCACTGAGAGTTTGGCTGCGGAAGATACGCTCGTGATCGCACTCATAGGGTGCACTCCTTCTGGTACAGAGCTCTTGATGTCGCCGTCGGGGGAGTATTTGCTCAACGCTGACACACTGGAGGGATACACGGAGTGTGCAGAAGGCAGAGTCATTTTGATCATTCCATACTGCGACCCTGATTACTGGCAGAGTGAACACTGGTCGCTTGTTGTGGCTGCGGAACCAGTCACTACTGCTACTGGACCCCAGACTCCTGCCGCTCCGCCCGACATTCTTTCTGTGTCAACCCCCGCCGCGGTTTCGTGCAACAGTTACCGAGGTGTCTTCACTCGTCTGTGCTGCGGACGTAGGGATGTTGGACGTTCAACTGTCTCAGCAGGGTTGCACCCAGCAGAGAAAATGTTTGTGGAGCAGGCAGCGGAATTATCCGATGGACGGAGTGCTGCCAATTGGAATCTGCTTGAGTGGATTGAGCAGCAGGGTGCTGCGGGAAGTCTCGAGCCAGTTAGCTCCTCCGCGGACTTGAGTTCACCTTGTCCTTCAAGCTCGTACCCTCCAGGTTCCACTCCTCACAATATATCAGATCCTTCGCAGCTCCTCCGCTATATAGCCCCGACAGCTTCCAAAGAACTCCGGCCGCCAGTGCCCCTTCCGTTAACACCAGAGCAGACAGACCAACTTCTACTGTTATGTCGGAATTACTGCTCCTTCGAGCCGGCGGATTTCATCCCAGAATGCTCTATATGGCAGCAGTGTGGAGATTGTCTGGACGGCACCCTCTCAGATGGGGTAAGGCCCTGGCTCTTCCGCATATTACAAGGACGCAAGGCGCGAAACCAACTTGCGGCGCGTATCGCCAACCGTCTTCATTGGGTGGGGGAAGGGGAACACCCATCCGAGCACGTTTTGCCTCCCAGTATCCTCAAGGGTCTACGAAACCGCGCGAACAATCACGGGTGTCATGTGTCCAGCCTTGAAATGCAGGAATACCAGTGGTGGTGGACCGGTGCTGCCGACTGGCTTGCAAAGGCATGGGAGTCAGCTGGATGCCCCGAAGTCTCAATGCAGGACTGGGAGGATGCTAGTGCATAATAGCCTGATCAGTAGCAGGGCTTGGAGCATTACAATAGGTGTGTACATATTGCCCTCGCGCATCTCCGGTTGTAAAAACTGTCCCTTTTTATAGTATGCGTCTGTACGATAGTGGTTACTCTGGTTTGCATATTGATATTCAGCGTCAAGTCTTTCGTGACAAATATTGCCCAGGCCAATTCAAGAATAGTATGCATATTGTAATTTTCGTCATCCGGCACATTCTTCATCTCCAGGGAATATTGGTTTGGCAGTCACAACAGTGATTGTATTGGATCTTCGTACGGATAATAGTATCTGCATATGACATAGGAATAGCGATCATGTATACACCGAGAATTTTGATTATTGGGACTAGCAAACGACGGAAAGAAAAACAGAAGTGCTTCGCGCGGATTATATAGCACATTTCGAAGTAGAAGACAATGATGGCTCACTTGCGGTCTTATGCAGAGCATTGGGAGTTGGGAGTCGCAGTAAGGGTTCGTCGTAGATGATACAGAGTATTTGGACATGAGCAGTGTGGCACGGCGTAGTCGGGGAGCATTCGCCATGGGATGGAGGGTTCAAGGGATGAATACGCTCGAATGGCCGTTCCGCCTCGGCTCGACAAGAAGCATCCAGTAGATACATGTTAGCAGATGGTGGGTTGAGTGCGTTGATAATGGAGGTACGAAGCAGTTCGATGACGAGGAAGGCCCACTGGTTCTGCCGCGCAAAACGGCCGCGTATGTCTAGCGCGTATGGCCGGTATCGGAGGCACATCCACGGCGGATAGGCAGGACTATGCGAGAGGTGTACAGGGTCGGTACGGGAGTCGCACCAGTTGCTTTGGTCCGACAATGCGGCCCCCGAGTCGATGCGTGGATACATGCACAAACACCCGGCCTGAATCTGAGAAAACAAATGCGCGCAGACTTCGAGCTGACATCTTCTGACTGTAGTCGTTCCTAACGGGAGCCTGGAAGCGATATGATCGTGGCAAGGACGGCTGGATCTCCGACCACTCGTGTGAGTTTGAGGGTACTCCTGGCTGCGACTACTATTGCGCTTAAGCTCGTTACTCGGAAGCCGGGCATGATAGGCATTGCGCGCGCGTGCACGCATTGCGCCCCGCTGACTAGCATAGTGGTCCATGCCTCATAAAGAACGCTATGGAACAGACGTGTCATCGAAGAGGATTAATACCGGGTAAAATGAACTCACAGAAGGGTCAATAGCGGACCTTCTCCTTCCGTATACTGCGACATCCAGAGTCTCTTCGTCCAGCACGAGGAGACGGCCCTCTGAGGCGCAGATACAAGTCAAGTGAGGAGAGTATGCCTGTGCCGCGGCTTTTCGGTAGATTCACAGTGACTTGAAATGCATAGGGCTGACGTGTGTAAGCGGCGATGTTGCAAGAGAGGTCATTTCTTCATGTTGAACACGGGGAAAACTGAAATGTCCGGATGAATTAGGTATAGCGATCACGTACGTAGTCAAGCAGACAACGCGGCTGAGTGTGAAGCCAAGCAGATGTCGCGGTCGGATACAGACTCGGGAGCGAAGTGAGTGAGGAAAGGGGAGCAAACCACGGCTTATATATTGGCCATCTACTGTCGTACTTGTTCTCAGGCTGCGCGTGCAGCCAGAGGCTAGATGAATGCGAACACATAACGCAATACACGCACTGGAGCTAAAGACGTTGGCTGTTCTCCCATCAACTGACAATGTCTCAGTCACCTGCAGGCTCAGACATGCCAGTAAGGATCCGGCACATGGGTCAATACCAGTCCTAGGAGAATTTGACATTGAGCGTGACTATGCATGGGCGTTCAAAAGACCCCGAAGCCGAGTGGAGTCGACTTTATCGTGGATAGAGCATACACACCAGGTCCTTCCGACATCGCCTACTCTAAGAATATCAGTGTAGAAAACTCAGAGGAGAGTTTGTGCGCGCTACCATCCTCGTTTCGCCTCCGCCTCGTCGCAGGCGTTCGTTGGAACCTCAGGAACCAGTCGTGAAGTCGCCAGGAGACAGGATCGAGCAGAGAAACGCTTCGCACAGCTAAGACGCATAGCACAAGACATTTCCTGAGGTACCCACGGCATCAATGCCCCGCTCGACCAGTACTATAACCCGAACAGACCATTAATTGCATGATCGCATTTTCGCCGGGGCCAATCCTGTGTCCTCGTGTTTGCGCTGCTACTGGGAGAAATTTACGAAACATGGCCATTTATACGAAGGCAGCTAGAAGTTTTCGTGTCGAAGGGGGATTAGGAGCCACAAGATGTCGGGATGAATGGAATAGGATACCTTGGTCAATGACATGTGCCTTCTTAGAAACAGTTCTTGGCAAATCTGGGAGAAGAGGACATGTAAAACTGCCCTGGACTGAGGTGGGTACCGAAATGAGCGTAATTGCGCACTGCTTCTGCAACAGAAAAATCAGCATGGCCATAGCTGCAAAACGAGTGTCGTCACAGGCGTGACTAGAGCACGGGCAGACTGCCATCGAGCGGACAGTAGATATCTGAAAGGCTCACCTTCTGCCAGGAGTACTCACATGGAAGAATCCTGGGCGCACACGCGAGTACGTTGAGGGATAAAACGTTGAGCGCTACAGTGGTCGACTCAGAAGAGGCAGTCACCTCTGCTCATGATCGTGACACACGCGAAATAAGTGACGCGCTTGTAACTTCGTCACGCGCCGTCACAGCACATTGCCGCCGAAATATGTCGGTGAATTTATCTGATTCACCATACAGCATTTTATTAAACATACCTGCAAACCATGATGCCAGAGCTCCCACCAGAACTGACAGACCGCATTATCGACTTCCTTTGGGAGGACCGTCAATCACTGTATAGCTGCGCCCTCATATCTCGATCGTGGCTTCCAGGTAGTCATTTTCACCTGTACAGTAACATGCACCTCCAATCCCGCGAAAATCTTGACTCTCTTGTGCATATATCCAGAATATCCCATGTCGGAGCTTCCCTTGGACTTGTACGCTCGCTCAATCTGTCGGATGCATGGACCGGGTGGGTACATCGCCTTCCTCTCGTCCTAGGACACGCTTTTTCCGCCATCGAATCCCTGCGCATTGAAGACACAGACTGGAATTCCGGGGCGATCCACCCCGCAACTTTACCCTTAGGCTTTGCGCACTTTCGAAGTCTAACTGGATTGGACCTATATCATTGCATATTCCGCAATGTACGGCAGTTCCAGTACCTCGTGTGTGCACTCCCTCGATTACAAAGCCTTACAATGTTTGACGTGACTCTCCGCCAACCATTCCTCCCTGTAACTAAACCTACATCTGTCCGACTCCCTCCCCTAAACAATCTCTCCATCTCTTTCCGGGTTTCTGATACACTGCTCTCGTCTCTGTTCGATTGGTTGCGAGCACTGCCCCGATCATCATTGCGGAGGTTGGCAGTGCGACCACCTAAGGAGTTGTCATTGACGATAGGAGAAGCAATTGAGTCATTTGCAGCACGTCTCGATTCTTTAGACCTGACCCTTGACGACTCGTACACGCTCACGGATAGTAAGTTCACTTCAATGTAATGGAATCAGAGCCAGATCTCTTACCCATTTCGCAGTGGAACGGCTCAACCTTCACAGATGCACTGGGCTGCGAACACTCTCCATCTGGCACCAATGCTCAATCCCGCTTGCGGAGATCCTGGACCTCGTCGCGCCCAGCAGCCGCATTCACCAGCTCCGGCTGCATGTGCGGGTGTCGCAACCTGAGCCCGAGTGGGTACGCGTGCGTAATGTCCTTGCGTCCGAGCGATTTTGTCAGCTGCAGGAAGTCGTGTTCTTGTTACCCCCGGACGAAGACGACCGATTGGGCCCACAGAAGCAGCGGACGGTGATGGGCGCTGTCGAGGACTTGCGCCATCGAGATGTCTCTGTGCGCGTGTCCAACTGGTCACCGCCTTTCCGTACCATTTAACCCGGATACTTCGCGGGACAGACCGAAGGCCATTGAATGAGATGCAGGTGCAGCTATTTTGCACCTCCGTTCTATAACTCGGGTACATCCTCATGCTCGTTCCCTGGTTTCAGATTTAATAGTAAGAATTTGTTTCCGACTCGAAGTCACGATTCAGGTCATTAGCGCAGTTCGAGTGCAGCTTGGATGAAGCAGTGACGTACACACCGTGCACCGTCAATGTGTCCGGTCTGACCCTTCATTTGTTTCATATTTGGTGGCGCTTGGTGATGTTGTGCCGGGTGCCTGACGTAGGAGGCGAGCGGCCGAGGTTGAGCGCCTGCCTTAACTTTGCTGTTTCCTTTTTCCGGGTCAGTTGATGAAGAATGATGACCCTGCAGGGACTTTGACACTACGTGAGTGCCGCTCATTGTTCTCCAGTGGGCATTCTTAGGCTAATTTTATACGAGTTGGTCTCTCTCAAAGTACTAGGTTTTACTGTAACGAGTTTCTGTCTTGGGCTAGTACTATAAGTTTAGAGAAACATAATCCAGAGAACGTCGCACCATTTATGCAGGCTCTTGCTGTGGGGTCTAACACAGGCCGACGCTGCAGTAAGTCGCTATTACACTACTCATCATATGATTTGGATATAATGTTCGCTAACACGCTATAGCCACCAACCTCACGTGCGGCGAATATTCATCTTGTTTCATGTCTGTATGTGCTGGCTATTGCGAGGCTACAGGCGGCCCGTCGAGGTATAAATGTGACGCCGAACTTTGTCGTAGTCCTCGGGGGTTCCAGGTGGACATTGATCGCGCCATACCAGTACAAACCATGTTCTCTCCAGTTGCACTTGTGTCATTGGCGATCGTTGCCCTCTCCTCAGCATCTCCCTTGAATATCCGTCAAGCCACCTCCGGTCCATGTGCCGGCCTTGGTATCGGGGCGTATGACAATGTGTCCAACTTCACGCTGGGTGCATATAACCTTACGTTATCCAATGCGAATGCCACAGGAGCCCCGCTCGTTCTCGCGTTCAAGCAATTCACGGGGAGTGCCACTGGGGCGTACTACTCGACGCTCTCGGTGGGTTCTTTCCACAGCTCGCTGTCAACGTTTGAGCATCCTGACTCGAAGCCTTGACAGACGTACTACTCGGTGCATTCGAATGACGAGCCGATGCTGTCGCTCGTCAATGGCTCTCTGCTCCCGAGCAATCCAGCGGAACCGAACATCTATTCGAGCAACCTTGCCGTCTCCTCGGGCAACGAGCTCCTCTTCGAGTTCTCCACCGAAGAGTCCGAGCTGCCCACCCCCGCTCAGAATTACTGCATCGTTGTAAGTCTCATATCATCTCACCCCTCAGTGCCTCGTCAGTGGTGCTAAGCTAAGCTCTGTCTTTCCTGTAGGATCACTTTGACCCGGCTGGGAAAGGCCCGTACTCGATGCTGGCTTTGAACGGGATCACCGACGGGTTTTCGCTCTGCGAGAATGACATCCCTTACGATTACGGTAACCCGTATGACGTAGTTTTGGAGGCGACGGAGGACAACGGCCATATCTATAACTACACTACCTGCTACCCTGTGTGCTTGCAGGTACTCTATGGACTGTAGGAGATCGAGAAACTTGGGTTTCTTCGTATACTGAATTGTGGAGACGTTTGCGGACACAAATGCAAAGACTGCCTATCTTTGTAGTATGACCAAGATGCTATAGTGAACTTTATTCGTGCAGTTTACGGCTGGCATCATTCCATGAGGAGCGATACCTTGCACGGAGTTTCCATTCATGTTCCGAGAGAACTTCTCGAGAAATATCCACCTTCAGCAATCGTCCGTCCACTGCTTTCCGTATTACCCAGCTTGCTGTCCATGGCGTCAAGCTTACTTTCAACATTGTCCATCCCCACTTCCACATTCGCAGTGTCCTGGACGAGTTCCTGCGGACGGCCTTCCATCCCGACCCATGGCCTCTTCGTCCTTCACATCCGTCAGTCTGACAATCGGACCGCCAATCATGTCCTTCAGTTCCACGCACAACGCCATTGCCTTCTTGTGGTTCGAACGGTGCTTCGTCTCCAGCGCGTAGATAGCTTTAAACGTGAGTACAACCACTGTAAACATAATCAGTCAACAATCTACGACAAAACCGAGGAAGATCCACCTCCGGTGAACTTGCGGAGCTTTGCAACCGTAAGGAACAAGACTGTAATCGCGTCTATCTCCCGTTTAATTGAGAGCGCACCGCGTGCAAGCTGTTGCTGTTTGTGTGTTGGGGTATTTCCGGTGTAGGACGACGACTACGGTCGGCATCATGCGCATAGCGGAATTGGACAGTGCAGCACGTTGTGTGGGCGAGACATCTCCGAACCTCAGAGATACAGAGGGAGATGGAAAGGTGATTACGCCTCCATTGGTAACTGAGTGAAGTCAACGGCGGAGGCGGTGATGGTGGCGGCTCGGACTTCCGCCTCTCATACGTTTTATGTTTCTTGCGGCCCCGTAGTTGTAGAAGTTAGACAGAGGCGTTGTGTGCCCGTCACCTTAGCTCAGACGATGATGTCCACCAAATCTCCTCAACCCCCGTCAGTTGGAATATCCCACACATCCACTCACACGGTCGTCCAAAAGCTCCTGCAGCTTGAGCTCAAACTGAGATTTTGCACGGTGCGACAGCTGACGAAAGCGCGCGCGCAGGAGGTTGGTTAGCGAACGAGAGGTTGTAAGTCAAGTTGACACGGTAACCGGACTCAACGTACAGGACTTCGTGCTCTACGTCGCTGAAGAAGGCGGCGTAGGCGCGTGCTTTCTGGGACGTGTGACAGAGTCGATCGTCCATGATCGGCCTGTGTGATGTAGCATGAGAGGGCCCCCGGCGTGCCAAGTGGGGAACGTGATGACGAGCGAACTGAACATCCTCTTACTGCGCAGAGTGTTGAAAAAGGTGGACCTGCGCAATGCTCTCAACTGTTAGCTACATTCAGCGGACCAACATACTACGTACATTCAGCTCGTACAAATCCGCACGAACAGACGCCTTGTGGTTCTTGTCGAAGAGCTCCGCGAACACAACTTCCGGGAGGCCAAGGCTTCTGGCACATGGCGAAATTCGTGATGTCCAGATTTCCCGCCTTCCTATATGATTCATCGCGGATGTCGTCATTACCGACACCGAAGGTAGCAACATCGCGCACATCAGCCAGGTTCTTCAACTGATCCTCAGGTGCGTTCAAGAGGTGGACGCGCCTGTAGGTGGTTTTAGTGAAGTCTGAGAGCTATACATAGTGAGCGCTTACCCTGCACTCTTGCGTTCATCATAAAATAGGATGTGGTCCGCCGACAGAACAGATAGTGGTATGGTCTGTCGACCAGAGTGGACACAAGGGTGTTAAGCCGTTTGTCCATACTTGACGCCCCACGGCCTGGGGAATCGAAAGGAACCTCCGCACGACAGACAGTGAATGCTGCAGTAACAATCCATTAGTTCAACCCGAACTCGATTGAGCACGAACAATATGATACACAGTTAGCAAACCCCCCTTGGAGCAGAGATATTTCGCAGTTGATCCTACGCAGGTGACGGGAGAATGACCATACACTGCGGCATGTTCTACCAGTCCGGCCTCGAGTACGTGGTATGGTGGCTCACAGAAAGTTGGAACTCATGACATGCTGGACGTTCTGATACCGGAGAGAGCGGTTCCAACAGGTTACGGAATTGTGCAGTGCATCTGCTCCTACGTGTCAATGGGTCAACCTTCACGTAAATTTGAACAGATACACGAAACACGCTGAGCGACACACAACCAGACACTTTAGTACAAATCGATTCTGAACAACAGAGGGGATCACTCGAAGCGTTTCATGATGGTCTCCGGCAGGCAGCTGGCTTCGCTGACCCTCTCTAAGACCTGCAACTTACCCTCACGGAACACCAGACTCAACCGCCCGCGCCTCCCATGAAGCATGACGAGATCCTTGATCTCCTGCAGCGCCCGCCGCAGCTTCCTGAAGCTCGCCTGTGCGTCGTCCTGAATGCGCTTCAGCTCCGGGTCGCCCAGCTTTCGCTTCGTGATCGTCTCGAACCTGCCACGGTCGTGGGTAGCGAGATAATGGTTAGAAGTCTGGGAGAGGAAGAGCTGGGGAAACGCATCGACCCAATCAAATAGGGCGACGCGATGCTTGGAGCGCGTCGTCATCTCAATGAGCGAGCTCTGAGGCACCTGCGAGCCGGCACGCTGGACCTCAAGTCCAGTGCCAGACGCAGTGTCCGTCTTCTTAGACGCGGACGGAGTCTGAGAGTCCCGGGCGACATTGAGACCTGAAAGCAGGTCGGAAAGGCTGTCGGCGTTCACTGTGGAGGTAGGTGCCTGGGCTGCACTCGGCTGGGCAACACACGCATCCACCTCGAAGCGCACCACGAGCTGCAAGCCATCAAAGTCCTGTGGCTGTAGTCAGCAATGTGTACTGGACGCGTCTGATAATTGCCACTTACATATTTCACGATTCTGTGATGCCCGCTGCTTTGTTCGCAGCCCTTGGCAGGTGTAGTGCTCTCGCGTTCAAAGCTGAATCCGTAGCTCCAGATGCTAGGATCAGCTTCTTCGCGGGTCCGCTTCTCCCACCGATTGAACAGGATGGCACCCTTACCCGCGAGCTGGGTGTCGATCCTGAACTCCTTCGCGGACCCATCCTTATCATTGATCCATCGCAGAAGCTTGCGTAGACCATTCCGGTCGGTAATGAAGTCAACTTTCTTCCAGTCAATACCACTCGTGCCGTTCTGTTCGGCTACCACGTCGGTCGCACGGAACAAGGGAAGGAGGATGGAGGAGGGCATGCGGTACCCGCTCTGGTCCACGAACCTCATCCCAGTATCGCGTGGGACTGCATACGGGGTCGGGCGGTTACGCCAAATAGGGGGAGAGCCTGATGAAAATAATGAGTACCGTGGTGATCGCTCCATCAATGGACAGAACGTGTACCGGGGACGAGGATAATCGGCTCTGTGCTGTTAACCCAGTTGTACGATCCGAGATATTCCAGATTCTTGATCTCTATCGCCTTGCCTGCTACATCGGCAGGCCTTGCCAGAGTAAGGATGGGTGTGGAGATGAGACCATCCATCATCTCTCGGTCGCCTGGGAGCGATGTATTGGGGAACGCGCGAGCTCCGCCTCGACTACCACGACGTGGACCGTAGGACTGGCCACGACCGCGGTTATCGTTGTATGAACGGTAGGACATGCTTAGACGGGGGTTGGGGAGACGAACAGGGAGTGTGGGAGTTGTGAAGCTCCTGTTATACTAGTAGGATTGACGCCGAGGGAAGAGTCCGGCATACCAATCTCCCATTTGTTGAGCCTCTGACTTTAATGGACTCGAAGTGTATAGGTCGGAACGTTCGAGAGAAGAAAAGTTTCTTCTGCATTGAGCATCGATAAACTGTGCAATTATTACTGTTTCCTGGACTTGGCTTCAAGGCCTGAACGTCCCTCAACATCTTGCCTTGCGGCAGAACTCAAACAGTGAAGAAGATTGCGAATACGACTAAATAACCATATGCGCAATCTTCGCCCTCATTCTCTATCTGCATACACTGCGGCAATTACGTTGCGACGCTCTTGGCATCGATTGCGGGCGACTGCAGGATTCAGCGGTAAGAGAAAAATGTCTCAAAATAATAATCTGACCTATGGAAGACGAAGAGCGCTGCTATGGGGTTCGATATCAGGACGGCAGAACACACGAGGAATGATGTGATTGATCACTATCGCTGTCGCTGGTCAGCAGTACCATGACAAGAAACAAATACATGCTGTAGCGATTTCGTCGACAAGCACTCGTCGCCGTCCGACAGTCAGGAGTCAGTTCCAGTAGACTCATTTTCAATCACTCACAGATATTCTGTTCTCGCTTGATAATGGACATCTTTCGAGTTCGGCTAGACATGAGTAACGATCACCAATATTACCTTACACTCTACACAATTAGGAGGGCGACCGAGACGGGGGAGGCGAGGAGGCGAGAGTCCAATTGACCGCTTATGTCAGCAACGTATGTAAACATCGCTACGCCACGGTACTTACTCTGCCGCGCTCAGATCCATGTCGTGCGTCTCGACCGCCAAGAATTTATGCAAGTTTGCTCACCACAGGCAGAAGGACGCACAAAATTTGCTGAAGGTATGTGAGGATGGGTAAACCACCGATGTATGACGCAAACTCCCCAGCTGTCGAGAGAGATCGCAGTGACCGTGACTCTAGCCTGCTGGTATCTGGCTGACTTCGGATGGCATACATTTGGCAGCGGTGTAGTAAGTGCGAGAAACCTCAGGCAAGCGCTACATGTGCTGGAATGTGACCCGACCGCAACTGTGACGTACCGCTCAGCTTCAAGTTCTAGCAGATATGATGGCCCGCTTTATCTGCATGGACCGCACTAGAAGACATTGGTGCATGCAACACATTTGGAACGCCAGTCGAGTACAGCCTACACGTCTGGCTAAGTCCTCCCTTTCATCTTGGAGATTTACATTAGAATCTTTTTCTCTTTTAAGTTCCTTGCGACGTCATTCATCGTTGAAATGAGTATCACCTCCACCAGGAAAACCCTTTCGCCCACGCCACCCCTGCTATCGGTGGACACAGCGACATTCTTGAACTCTACGAGACCACTCACTTCCTACCGCACGCCCAATATGTTCCGAAACCTCTCGAGCACGTTTAATATGTCAGGAAGGGCGTCCTCCACATCTCTTTCTCGAACGAAATCTTCGTCTTTGAAGTCGATGTGCTTCCCCCGGAATAATGTTATACTCTATTCCGAAGCGCGTGCCGGTCCTTCCAAGAACTATGCCAGCTTAGCGCCATCGGACGGGTTTGTCGTTCCAATCGGCGAGCGACCATTATTGCACTTTGTAGATATAGGTGAGCGACAATTTAGAAGGTTTTTTTTTCACGAGGAGAACCTTTGGTGTGTTGCTGTCGGAGTATGTGTTTGGTGGTACGGCGCCGTCGAAGACTGCGAGGAAGTGTAGATGCTTCATCCGCAAAACCAGCGTCCACGCGTGCAAATGCGCACCATTGTCGTATATCGAGTGAGTCTGAATAGGTAACAAATCCGACTCTGAGTTGACCGTGATACTTTTTCCTAGCCATGCATGACTCGTTATGCCTCGCTATTATCTCGGACGGTCAAAGCTCGCCGCCACCTTGCGATCTGCGAATTTCCACCTTCCGTGGATTCGCTTCCAGAAAGGCTTACCTTCACGATAATAGCCTAGGCTGCTGCGAATTCACTCGACAGCGCCTGAAGTACCATTCATTGTGCGTGTTCTCATCCAACATGTCACACGTTTGCATAGCTTTATCGAGCCCCGTCGATACGCTACTGCTGCGATTGTCAGGATTGCCGTTTGCTGCAAATCGTCTCGGTGGACATTGTCTACCAACATAAATATGTATGTGTGTATTGCACGTCCTTGTGGTAGTCGTGGTTCAAGATCTATTCAAGATACATGTAATGCGTCTAATAATAATCAGTATGCACGTCTGCATCATCATACTCTACAGTTGTCTAGGTTGAAGATCAGAATGTCCTCCGCACCTATCATCACTGGCTTGTCCTTGACATCCGCCGTCTTGCTCTTCTCCGCCATGCTGCTGACAGCGACCCATTCTTCATCTTCCGGCGGACTGATGGTCAGGGAGCGACGGCCGGGCGTGATGCTGGTCGCCGCGTGGAGCTTGGAACGGAGAATGTTTAACTCGCAGACAATATATTTACCTGCGGCGACAACACCCGCTAAACGGCTAGTTATGAGCTTGATGAGCGGCTCCAAAGTATTCGTGCCCTGGTTTACTAGACTTGATAAGTACTGCCTCAGTCTGCAGGACGGTGGCAACGGCATGGAGACCCGCCGCACACATCGCATCGTCCGATTCTTCGGCAGACACGTCAGGAATCAAGTCAGCAGCTAGAGTCGCCACTACCGACGAGATCCACTGCACCGAGCGCCTCAATGGGGCCATCAAAATGCAGGCACAGGTCGCGCACCAATTCCATCAGCCAGACCTAGCGCACACGCTGCCTCGACACTGCCTCCAACATACTTGATCTTGGTCCTGTTTTCCCCAGTCAGCTGGAGATTGTCATCGATCTTGCTGAAGTACTGTCCCAAAAGCACTTCGAAGCCCGTGACGACGCGTTTACTAGAGAGAGCTTCTGACGTCTGAATCGGGCCCGCTTCTGGGACTTATAACTGCAGCGCGCACTTCCCGAAACCAAGCTGCAGCACTTCCGTTACGTGCCTTTCCATCTTTGCTTCGAGGATGACGTCTTGCTCGGTAATTCCGAGGTCGACGTTACCCCTTGCCAACGAACGACAGTATGTCTGACGGAGGGAGAAAAACGCTGCACAGCATTCAGAGAGAAACACCTGAATTGCGTAAACGGGTCTTACAGGGCGATCGGGTGGTTCTTGACGAGAAGCCATGTCTCTTGAACTGTATGTCCGCACCTTAAAAAAGTGCTGAGGATGCACAACTGGCTTGCACCCTAGTTACCCACCCGCTAGCAACTCTAGGCATTTCTTGTGGAGACGGCCCTCCTTCGGAATAGCAAAGAGAAGACGACCGTCAAGAGACTCGGCATCTGCACCCGACAGGGTCAGCACTTCAAAACTACTGCTGCAACTATGGTGCTGGTAAAGGACAAGATCTGGCGTGGGAGGTAGTACAGTAGAAGTTTCAGCAAGTCTCATTGGCAGCGCTTCGCTGTTGATCAAACAGTTGCGTGACCGCGTTCAAGTTGCGGCAGTACTGATGAGATAAGATTAGATGACCTGTAGGAAGCAGCGGCAGATCCAGATCTGACTGAGTGGCGTGTGCGTCCGAGGAAGGAGCTTGAGGCGCTCAAGGGAGACTCCATAACTTAGTTCTCGCTTCTTCGCGAGACTGGCAGACGGATCGCAGCCGATCAAGGCATGGTGTGCTGGGACTTGTCAACATACAACGTGCGGCAAGTCGTAACCTACTTCCTAGCTGTAACTCGTTTTCCGGCCTCTCCAACGTCAACAATCAGACAGACATGAGCGTAGCTGCAACCAAACGATGCTTGATTCCCGTACGCAAGGAAAGTAGTCTTGATGTGATTTACCTGGGGCGTCTTCGTGACCCAGTGGACGTCGACATCCGTTTCTACCCTCTCTCGAAAGAATTTACTGCGCTTCATCAGGAGCTCTCCGTTGTAATGTTCACGTATGTAGGACCATAGCTCCGTGTCCAAGTGGGCACCTTGGAAGTTCAGCACCTGGTTCGTCATTACGTCGGCTATGTAGGAATCGCCAACGTCTCTGTAGACCATCCTGAACGAAGTCTTCAATGAAAGCTCGCCGCACACTCGCGCTAGCAGCGCATCACTGCCTTTGAGGTATTGGCGCACTGCGTACAATGCAAGCTTCCTACTCCTCGAGTCCCTGCCCGGCGCTTTGCCGTCAAGAGGGTATTGGTGGCGTAAACCGAAACCTAGATAACCGCCCTTGGGCAAGAACGTAGGGTCGTCGAGCAGAGCTTTGAATTGCGCTTTGAATATGGCCTCGTTAGTGACGAATGGGCGAATGGTAGACGGGTCGGGAACATGTGCGGGTTTGTCGACGAAGTAGAGGTTGTAGGTGATCGTGATGCGATAGCCGGACTCGACTTTCAAGACTTCATGCTCAACGTCGCTGTAGAATGCGACGTATGCGATGGAAGGTTCGGCTTGACCGGACAGGAGCTCGGAAGAGTTGAACGTCCATTCCTTGCCCCCATGACGTAGAGCAAGCGCCCCACCCTTGTGGGGAGTGGGCAAGACGATGACGAGAGAACCAAACATGGTTTCGTCACGAGGCGTATCCAAGTGCGGCTTGAAGAATGACTCTTCACCTATACATGAGCACATCCAAGTTAGTTGTTGAGAAACAAACCTAGTGGCTTGGGAACACACCATACACGTTTAGCTTATACTTCTCGGCGCGGATCGCCTTCTCCTCCTTGTATTCCAAAAGGTCCGAACGAACAGCTTCCATGAGTCCAATACCGTCCACGTCAAAGTTTATAGAGAACTCGACGGAGTCCAGTTTGCCCGCTTTCCTGTACGACTCGTCTAGAACATCTTCATGGTTGACACCGAAGGTGGCAGCATCGCAAGTCCGCGCAAGATGCTGCAGATCGTCGGTAGATGCGTCACTCAAATTGATTCGCCTATGTCGATGGAACTCCGAATCAGACTTTGTGAATTGAGGAAGGCCTCGAACATGGCTTACCTTGCAAGTCGGTCCTTCCCAAAGAAAAGGAGGAAGTTATCCGAGGGCAGGGAAAGAGTGCCACTGCAGTACGGCGGCTTGTCAACGAGGGCGGAACTGAGAGTTTTCAGTTGTTCTGCTGTGGTAGACATGATGGTTGTTGGAGAGCCGAATCGGTCTGGAGTCCTTGCCTCTTTTATAAGTGGAGGACTGTGGACAAAGGATCAACCCATGGGGCAGAGTTGATGCGACAACGTACACGTGGAATTCAGATCTGGCATTCTCCTCGCTTGCCGGCAGATCCTCTTCAGATATGTTCTCTCAGCGAGTCACCCTGTACAAAAAAGGACGAGGACACCTTTCGTCGTGTTTTCCCATCGCAGCGCGCAATTGATGCTACCCGTCTCCTCTGTAAAGACAGACATAGCGTCGAGACTCAAGATATATGATTATTCGTGGCAAGAAAGCGAAGTAGAAGCTGTAAACTGAAGCGCAGCTTCGTTAGACTTTCAGGGCCATGAACGCGTGTCAGTGATGTCACGTGGCTGTGACGCGACGCATCTCGAGGTTCGATCTCAAATTTCTTTCGATGAAGAGAAAACAAAAGAAAATACTATGGAAAACGACTCTGAGCTAACTCCAGTGCTAAACAGCAGAAATAATCAGCTGGGTAACAAATATTGCATTAAGAAAAGGTATATGTTTTACTTCCGAACCGTGGCCGTCTTCCGGGTTTCCAACCTTCCCGATGTCGACTATCAGGCAAGGCTGTATGTAAGTGAAGGATAAGTAGGCTTCGTTGCCATACGTTACGAAAGTGGACTGGGGACGCTCTGTCTGCGGAGGGAGGGTCACCCAGTTCATGACGATATCCCTCCCATCCTTGTCTTCATCGTCTCCTGCGCCGTCATCAGCGTACCAAACGGGAGACTGAGGTGATGTTTCCATTAACTGACCACTTGCATTCTTCCGGAGATACGACCAGAGCAGCTCCTCCGGCTGCCAGAGAATAGCATCATCGGGAAAAAGCACGATGTAGGAACACAACGCATGTACCTCAACGTCCGAGCCAAAGTCCTCGTAAATCACATGAGGATAAACTTTCAGGGAAAGCTCCTTGTAGGATTGGAGAAGTTGATAATCCCTCCCCTCAAGGTATTAGGTCAGATCGGACAAAGGGATGCTCTGCTGTGGACCAGACTCTTGCACCACACTCATATCGATAGAATATATGTGACTCAGACCGAATCCGAGTGACCACCTTCTGGCATAGATGTCGGATCGTCCAGAAGAGTCTGCAGCTCGACTGTGAATTCAGACCTCGTCCGAGCGAATGATTTCGTGGTCGGAATGGACATGCAGTCGTGAAATAGAGGTTGAACGTGAGAGTGATGCGACAGCCTGTTTCGACAGGAAGGACTTCGTGCTCGACGTCGCTGAAGAATGCGACATACGCAACTTCTGGCTTCACGAGAGTCGAAGGTCCACGATTGACCCCCATGGCGTAACGTGGGGAAGATGACGACAAGAGAACCGAACATTTTCTGACTCCGTGGGGAATCTACGTGTGATTTGAAGAAAGACCTGAGTCCCACCCGCTCTCAACATGCAGCAGCTCAGAATATGGAACACTAAGCACATACCATGGACGTTCAGCTTGTACAGTTCTGCACGAACAGCTGACGTTTCTTCTTGATCAAACAAATTCGCAAAGGCATTATCCGTCAGCCCAGGTCGACTGGCATCAAAATGCACGGAGAAACCCGGAACATCAAACTTGCCCGCTTTCCTGTATGACTCGTCGTGGACATTCTCCTGACCAACACCGAAGGGTGCTGCGTCGCATGTCTCTGAGAGGCGCTGCAATTCGTTCTCAGTAGCATGCAGTAGATCCACTTTCCTGCATGTTACAATGTCAGCGGGGCTCGTAAATCAATGTCCATAACTGGCGCACCCCGAGATCTCTCCCTTCGCATAGTCCAGTAGCAAATCTGTCTCAGCTAACGTGCCGCTGGAGAACAGCGCTTTGGCAGTGAGAGTAGACGCAAGGTTGAGTAGTTGCTTATCAAGGCTGGACATAGTGGAAGCGGTTTAATCGACCTCGGTGGAACTTGGAGATTGAACTTAAAAGAACCTTTGCAGCTATAATCGTTTCATCACTCGAGCTGCAGACTAGGCGATGTGCACGGGAACTAGAGTATTCCATCGCAAGTCATTTGGCACACACGGGGATAGCGTGTCCCCTCATACACGTACTTCAAATCCTGCGTGGCCGATTAGTCTAAGAAGGACAGTAAATCGATGAAGCACCTACTCCGGGCCTCCGGCACGTCGCTAGGCCCGTTGTCGCTGTATATGGATAGCGTAAATACGCAAGAACAATGGTGCTCCCTCACCAGAAACCCAGATAGGATATTGTCCTATGCATTAATGCTCACAGCAACATAGAACTTAAGTGTGCTGAACTGGCGAAGCGCCGACTCGGACGCGGGTAAATTTAAGGCACGTGATCGTGTCACAAACGCGGTCTGTGCGCCACAAGCATCGGGGAACACAGCATCGAACAGCGATATACAGGCGAGCTAGCGGAAAGCAATGAGTTGGGAAGTTGGAGGAAATAAATGAAATAGAGAGCTGGAGGAAAGCAAAGAAGCAGGAGCGCTGGAGGGAAGTGACGAAGTGGAGGAAAATAACGAAGCAGGAGAACTAGAGGAAAGCAAGGAAGCGGAAGAGCCGCAACAAAACGAGAGCACAGAGGACGTCATACAGAAGACGGTTGCCTTCTACGCTGTAGCCCGCTTTCCAACAGCGCCGACATCAACAATGAGGCAAGCCTGCATGTAAGTATAATCTAAGCCGGGCTCATTACCGTACGTCAGGAAAAAGCAATCTGCTTGGTCCGTCTGCGATGGTCTAGTCACCCAGTACACCGTCACATCGGCACCATCATCCGAGCCAGAGTATTCTGAACCCGGGGGAGTATTTAGCAGCTTTCCTCCCTCCTTCTCGCGGAGGAACGACCAAAATGGATCGTTCTCGAACGTTTCATCACTGGGAAAGTCGACGATATGGTCGCAGAGCACAGAGAGCTCTTCACTTCGATCTTTGTAGATAACTCGAGGGGATAACTTCAAAGAGAGGTTACTGCAGGACTGGCGGAGCTGACGGTCGCTGCCCTTCAGATGAGACATTAACTTGGCCAGAGGAATCGTTCTCGTGGGGCCGAAATCACGTAACACGTTCGCATGGATAGGATACAGGTGAGAGAGACCGAAACCGAGGTGACCGCCTTCGGGCAGAAACGTCGGGTCATCTAGAAGCAACTGAAGTTCAACCTCGAACGGGGATTTTGCCTGAGGGAATGGCCGAGTGACCGGCACGGCCGGGACGGGACTTGCGTCAGCGAAATAGAGGTTATAGGTCAACGTAACGCGGTAGCCCGACTGGACAGGGAGAACCTCGTGCTGGACATCGCTGAAGAAGGCGACGTAGGCAATTCGTGGTTTCTCAGACTGCCGAGACAATGTTTCCGCGGAGTCAAACATCCACGCTTCACCTCCGTCGCGCAACACCAGAGCACCCCCCTGATAGCGCGTGGGAAATATGACCACGAGTGAACCAAACATGTCGTCGCTTCGCGGAGTGTCGACGTGGGACTTGAAGAAAGATTGCGGTCCTGAGAACCCTGTCAAAATGTTTCACACATAAGTGTAGTGCCGACGGACATACCGTATACGTTCAGCTTGTATAGTTCGGCACGGACAGACGAAGTCTCATCTCCGTCAAACAGATCCGCAAATACAGTCTCGGCCAGTCCGACAAGTGTGGCGTCGAAATGCATCGCAAACTGCGTAACGTCAAGCTTGCCCGCCTTTCTGTATGACTCGTCATGGACACTTTCCTGGCCCATACCGAAGGTGGCGACATCGCACGTCTCGGCGAGGCGCTTCAGCTCGTCTTCAGACGCATTCAGAAGATCCACGCGACTACAAATAACATCAATAAGCCACAGAAGAAGACATTCAGGAACTTACTTACTGAGCGTCCTGCTCTTTCCCATAAAATAGGACGAAGTTCGTCAGAGGAATGTCCAACGTGCCACTGCAGTACGGCAGTCTACTGGTGAGGCTAGATGCGAGATTCTCTAGCTGGTCATCGATGCTGGCCATGGCGATAACAGCTGGTTCGAACTTGATGGGGATCCTAGAATACTACAGCGGCAGCATCTTTATACGTCTGACTCACAAATGAGCACAAGCGTCATAAGACATAACACGCACCGTCTGCCCTTCGGTAAGTCGAGGAACACTGAACACGTGATTAGGGATCTCATCGCGAGTCACTCTATACTGAAGAGGATAGATGGCCCTAAAGCATGCCCACATCAAGCCCACATGTTTTGATAGTCGAACGGTGTATCAGAGACTAGCATATCCTGGGAGAGCATGAAGTCACAAGCAGTGACCGGTACCGACTCACTACATTCATTGTGGGTCCACAACTAACGTGCGTAGGGGCATTTCGAAGACGTCAAAATCACGTCGTAGGTGGTCGGAATCCAGCGCACTCATGGTCTGTAATGTGCGTGTCAAGATGCACACGACAGGTTTACGACCAAGCCGTTGCGGGAACACATGGTCCGCTAGCAGAACATCTTGCCAAGACAAGGTACAATGTGTCGACGCCATCCCGAAGGACCGAGAGAAGATTAAGATTTAAAATGCAGTGCTAGCGGTATTGTGCAAGGGCACTCACTAAAGACCTTGCCACTCAAAAAAAACATTGATACAAAACACTCAACTACACAAGCCAGTCGCAGTCACACCATTATGCCTTCTGCAGCATTTGGAGGATCGATGGTCATGGAGACATCTCCTGCATCATCTGGCCCACTAGATGCCTCGGCCCTCAGACGAGCTTCCTGCCTTGAAGCAGCCTTCGCCTTCAGCACATCAATCTCGGCTGCGAGCTTCGCCTGCGCGTGACCGTATACTGTGAGCATTATGAGTATGGACTGGGGAAAGGGGACTTACGGCCTTTTCTTCAAGTTCGTCCTTATTGAATATAGAGTATGGCGGGGCACGCGGTGCGTTATCTTTCAGTTTACCTAAGACGAGATGATCTCAGAGTCAGTACTACGTGAGACTGGGCAAATGTGAAGACTCACTAAACGCGGCGTACATGAACACTTCATTCATCAGCTCATGGTTTCGCTTATAACGTGTTAGGGCCAACGCGCGTGTCGAGATTAAGTCAGACTCGTCTACGCAAAGCAGAAAAAAAAATAAGTGATGTTCCCATAGCCGTGGCAGCACACCACTCACCTGCCGAATCCTCGTCTTCCGTACGCGATGGAGGCAACTGCGTCTGGCGCTGTACAGCACGGTGAGTAAGACATAGCCCAACACCCGACATGGTCCTCACCGTACTCATGCTCCCACTCCGGTCCCGCTGGCTCCTCCGCTCGAGCGCCTCCATGTTGCTATTCTGCGCGGCCAGGAGCGCTTGAGCATTCCCACTCATGCCAACGCCGAAGTTCATGTTCATCGCTGCCATCGGAGGAGGGAGAGACTGCTGGCGCTCGCCCGGCGGCGCACTGCCGCCACTTCCAGTAAAGACCTTCTGTCCCATCTTCTCTCCCATAACGAAGATGGATGGCTCGTTCAGCGGACGAAGGGGATACACGCGTGCGGGCTGGTTCAATGAGGGAACGATGGCTGCAAGGCGAAAAATAAAGAAATCGGAATTTTTCGCGGGGAGAGTGGCGTGGAAAGGACTTACGCACGTTCTGGCCCCGCAGATAATGGATGAGCATAAGCTGCGGGTGTCCGCCTTTGTGCAGCCGGTACCGCCGGCGCATGCGGAACGCAACGCTATCTTGTCCGGGGATGAAGCCGAATTTCGTCTCCATTACCTCTAGTTCCTGCATGGTCCGTTAATATGAGGCTCCGAAAAAAGCGGGGAAGCTGAAGGAATGAGCGACGCACGCGTCCCGGGCCTGCAGGGAGAACATAGCGCTGCTCCTGCTCTTGGTACCGGAGACCATCCTGCAATATTGGTTGTTGTTGGGTAATGAAGACAAGGAACAGCTGGCCCTCTGGTGTAAGTGGAGAATATTATCAGCCGGACGAAACGAAGCTGAAGACGGACTGACATACAATCACGGTCACACTTACCGGATGGCTTGTCGATGTATCCCCACGTAAATGGAGTCGTTTGGGCGAGTTGCGTGGCGCGCAGCAGCATGGACACCGCTACCTCATGGGTGATAGTAGGATGTAGGCCCAGATTTTCTGGATAACGTAGGCATGGGCCGTCTTGGTGGAGAGACATTGCAGACGAAGGGGAAGACAGAACAGAAAGGTTTGAAGTCGCAATTACAATTGGAGTTGCGACTGTCAGCGGAGGTTGAAATGGTGTTAGTCCCATTCTTAGTGAGTTTCTGATCACACTTTTATTCTAATCTAACCAATGGCAAACTTGCACCAGTTACCGCATGCCTGGCAGCTTAAAACGTCGAAGGGAAGTCCATTCGTGCAGTAGGAACGACGTCTCCATCACCCTCTGTTCGGTATGATAGGAAGTCGCGAAGGTTGCTACGCTCAGGCTGGATACGAGAGATTCGAATCCACCTACGAACTATAGGCGAGCTGACTGGAATATCTCGTCGATGTCATTTGTTTCTCCCTCCATTGAGCTGGGGTTCTCATGCGCGTCGCTCGATGCAAGCGATCTTGAAGGTCGAACAGCTCTCTATTAGTTGCTCTGGTGCGACTCTAGCGCTGATCTTCCTAGCTGCTCTCATTCAATTGTTTTAGTAAGTGGACTCATCCGGTTCAGTTGTGCCAACTCTGAATCATGTGGATAGTGTTTAAATAAGTTGGAGACTTCGGACTGTCGTGTGCGTCGTCCCTCCTCGCCATCACGCGCTTCAACTCGTTGCTCATATATATGTCAACGGTAGTGCGTGCGGACGAAGCTGAGGCCAGCGTTTCCTGGGCTCCTGCAACATTTAAACCGGATAGGCGCCTAGATCATGGTGTTTGCACGCTCAGCCGTGCCAATCTGAGGTGCGTGCTGGTATGGAACTTGCGAATTCAAACTAAAAGAAGCTATCGACAATATTTTGGGCACTATGTGCCAAAGCACTTAATCATAGCCTCGGAAAGCGCCGCCATGTTCCCGTCGTCTTCCCCAACCTCGACGCTGACGTCAACCCGACGTCCAAGAGGTTCACCAAGGAACACCAACAGTGTCATACGTCGCAGATGGGAATTTTTTCTGTCGACGATCTGGTGTCGGGCATTATGAGAGGTTAGTTCCTCTCATATCGTTTCTGGCCGGTGCTCACGCATTCCTACAGCGGGCTCCTCTTTCCGTAAAGGAGAGACGTGCTAAGGGGACGAGCATCGGCACGACAAAATCATTCCTCCTCTCGCCAAACATCTGACGAGGACCAAGAGCAGTTCTCCCGCTCCACCGATATCGCTGAGATGCCCACACTGTCACCTTCGGCCGTCCGCGTGCGACGTACCTACACGGCTACCTGAACCCCTACGACAGCAATCATTCATATCTTTGCTCGCGGATGGAGACTTCCACAAAGCTACTGAGAAGCCTTCTCAGTCGGTGGTCGATTATCCGCCGTTGAGTATCGAAGAAGTTCACTCAGATCATTGCCGAGGAGAACGAGATGTACTATGACGCCAAGACGGACTTCATGAGTGTTAACAATGAGATTGTCAGCGTACAGTATTACTGACTCTCGCATCAATATAGGCTTACTCGGAAGAGGCAATTTGTCGACATGGTATACGACCAGCTCGATGCGCGTCGCCGCGCAGCGGCATGGATGTCAACACTGTCTTGACCACTTCATCGGCCCCAGCCCCGATGATGCTCAAGGACATTCAGACTTTCGACGACGGTCCCGACGTAGCAGCAGTGGTAATTGAAGATCTCGACCAGAACTCATGATTGATTATGACGAGCTCGAAGCAACTCTCGCAGAACCGTACGATATGGAGTGTACCATGGCGCTGCGAGCTCATTCTGAGCCTTTGACACATGTTCCAAGCATTACCGATGAGTATCTTCCTCGATCATTCCCCTGATAATGGACGAGGACACGTTCATGCATAGTTCTCATGTTCCTTCCCAAGCTCACGCTGAGTTTTATGCTACCCACGAATACCAGTCCTCGGCGTTCCTGGACGCGGCCGAAGACGAGGCCCTCACCCCCCCGCTGCCCTCTCTCCATGCATTTGTTGTCTTCGATACTGGACTCGTCATAGTGGACGAGGAGGCCGTGTCAGATATTCTGAGCTCCCCATTGCCGATGGGAGTGCCGTACTACGACGATGTCCTCCCTTGTTGGCGATGGCGAGTCTTATACTGACGTTTCGCAAAAGAGCGGAGGTGACATTCTGGAAATCTACTGGTCTTCCGCCGTCATCAGCATAGAGGTGAGAATGTCACGTACATCGACCCAATCGAGCCACTCGCCGTCTCTATGTTACCCTGTCTCCCTTTACCTCTCCCTCTGTCTCTTTTTTTAATCGCTTTCTCTGTTTCTGGGTCTCTGTCCGTTTCTCCGTTTCTCTCTGTCTACTTCTCTGCATCTCTGCCTCACCCTTAGTATCTCCATCTATTACGTCTCTCCCTCTACTGCTGCTTCACTCTATTTTCTGTCTTGACTTAATCTGGATTCTATCTCTTTGTCTCTCCGGTCTTCACTCGTGTCACATGTCACATGTCTCCCACATCGCCCGGTCATCTCTGTGTGGCCCACGAATACAGTTCGTACGGATGCCGGTCGCTACGCACGTCACGGTCTTCCCAACTCACGTTAATGTCTTTCCGATGTGGAGGGTGCACCCAACGTACCCTTGCCGGAAGATCACTCCCCAGATCGCTGACAATCGATTGAAAACTGCGCTATCGGGACCGTCGTTATCGACCACCACTTCGCCGTTTCTTTGTCATGCGAAACATTCCATCATTCTTTGGAGATATACTGTAAGCTTCCCTCATTGTCCGGAATCGCACCATGAACTAACGATTCTCTGTAACAGTTGTCTCATCGGTCGATGAAGACCGCACCTCAGCACCAGACCTCGTGAAGTGCTTATCGCCACGATAATATGACTATTGTAGGTTTCTCATCTCAATTCAATCAATGCGACTTTCATTTGGAACTTCTATAAATCCGTAATCTGTACTCATGGTGCGACATGATGGCACCGCTAACTGAACTGTCAAACTCAGTTTTCTATAGCATTTCTCTTTTTCTTTGGAGTAGCGCAGGCATATTGTGTACTCCAAAAGAATCATGTAATCCCCTTCCTTTACGTACTTATGTCGCAGTTCGACTTGAACTTGATCATGAAGGATATTTATGCACCGCTGCGGCACCCAGGCATTGTTTGCGCTTGTGTGGCAAGAGCTTCAGTTTTCAACAAACCGCAACAATGCGCGAGCGTCACTTACGTAAGTCACTAGCATCCCGTGAAGTTTATAGCAGGATCAAGAGTCAAGACGTGATCGATCTCATTTTGTACCGTATTCATAACTTGAACGACCTATTCATCTAGACATTAGTATGGCATCTTTACAGTCGACGCAAGCACCCTTGGTCTTCAAGTTAGGCTCCGTTCTTGGGCACGGTGCCTATGTCAGTTAACTGCGCATTGTGCCAATTTAAAACTCGGCTGATCTTCTCACAGGGCAAGGTATATCGTGCCGTTGAGACGAGGGAAAGCTCGCGCGGAGCCGTGGCATTGAAGAAGTCCCGCGTTTCCTTACGAGTCAAGCGGACAATCCTTCAGCACGAAAGCCGTATACTCCAGCTTCTACAAGATCATCCAATGATTCCAGCGGTTTATGCGTACGGTCGATTTGAACATTTCGAATACTTTGCGATGGAGCTGCTTGGCTCCAACGTCAAAGAATTGTCTCCCCATCCTCGGGGTGCCGCGCTCAACACTGTTCTACTACTGGCAGACCAGATGGTGAGGGTTCTCTTTCTCTACGCATCTTCTATATTCTGACCATGGTCTTTCAGCTATCTGTTTTGGAACACATCCATTCACGTGGAATAATTCATCGCGATATCAAGCCTGAGAACATGCTGCTTTCCCTTCAAAATCCTTCTCGTATATGTCTGATTGATTTTGGAATCGCCCGTTACTATCCAACGGGAACACCTGCCTGTCACGATCCAATCATCGAGCGAAAGCACATCATTGGAACGCTGAACTGGGCAAGTCTCAATGCACACTATGGTCTAGGTGGGTAATCGCATTTACCTTCTCTACCATTTCTGAGCATGCGCGTTCCACCAGACCTTTCCCGCCGTGATGATATTGAATCGTTGGCGTATACCCTTCTCTTCTTGATTAGAGGCGATCTCCCATGGCGCAAAGATGACCACCGCGGGACCGTTTTTGGCACTATGGCACATGTCCGCGAACAGAAGAAGGCGTGGCCGGGCTCGAGGCTCGCTGAAGGATATCCCGCTGAATTCGGTCAGCTTCTCGACCACGCTCGTTCATTAGATTTCAATGAAAAGCCTGATTACTCTCGTTTTCAACGCATGTTCAAGGACTTGTATCAGCGCTCTGGCTTTGCTGACGATGGGGTATTTGACTGGTCCTCGGCATTACCCTGTCAGTTTTACTTCATTGAATGAATGTCTCGTGTCCGTGTTGACATCTATCCGTAGCTCAGACCGACAGTGGTTCACCGCCTGCTCGAGAGACACCTGATCCAAGTCCAGTCCTTACCGCCGGCCAACTTGTTTATGTGCAAGTTTTGGCTAGTCCTACGATTGAAGGTGACCTACGTCTGAAAGATACTAGTCATTGGCACGACCCTTCCTTCGCAAAGGACGAATGGCAGTCACCTCCACGGCCTGCCGTCGTAGTTCAATGTATCTTCAACCCGGAGCATGGTCGACATGAAGCGGTAGTGGCCGCTCTCAAACGCGGTCAGCCGCCGGACCCGATTCTCTCAGTGCGCATAAGTCATGGACTCGAACGACAGGATGTTGATGCCTCGAACATCATCTGCACACGTCCGCCTTGGATCCTTCAGGATACTTACTGCTATACCTTTTCTGAATTGAACAAATTCGCTCCGGTTGACGATCAAGTAGGTATACACGTTCAATCCTTGCTTTTGCTGTCTTTCAGATCAGGAGAAAAGGCTGATGAAAGTCGTGTCTCCTAGCCGATTCCTGCATATTTTCAGATCCACGCCGATGACGTTCAAATCTTGTCCGAGAAGCTAGCTGTAGGAGACTGGAAACTGCCAAACCAGGAGGACGCAAACGCGCTCGAAAGCATGAGGAAACGATCCGAGTCTACAGTCTTCGCTCGCATTACACCCATACGTCCGGATACAATTGAACGTACGACAGACGGCTCGCCCGTCGATTGGACTAGCCATCGAGGCTGGTTCGATGAGCTCGTCAAGATCAGCAAACGAAGGGCGTGGGACGACGGGTGGCCATGGACTGGCACAATAGAAGCTACCCGAGCTGAGGAAGGGGCGACGGAGCTGTCTGACAGCTATTTCGGATGGGACATCGCAGACTGGGAGATTCAGGAAGAACGCGATCTGTCTTTAACCCTACCGCCGGGCGAGTCGGACCTGCTAGATGCGCAGATTGAACGCATTAGCGAGATTATCGCTGGCTAGAGACGTACATTGATGACGGTGGTTGTATGGTGGTTGGTGTATACTTACCGAAGAAAGTGCTGATGTGCTCTTGCAACTTTATTGCCTTCTAGGTTACTGCTGTCTCGCGTCGTGTCGCTCCAAAAGTGTTCAGAGTCTCTATACCTGTGCCCTCGAAGTTGATGTCGAACTCTGCCCATCCAGCGCCCTATTAGTACAGGCAGATCTCTCACGTTTTCCATCGATTGTGAGCGCCTTCTCTGTCCTTCGGGGGTTCATAGGTCCGGTGCTCAGAGAGATATGTAGCTAGAATTCCCTTCCGACATCTTTGGGTTCACGGGTAGCCGTCAGCTGAACCGCGCGAGCATGAGGAATGGAAGGACACAGACCTACAAGTACATTCAAATGGACACTTACTCGGTTAAATCCCCCACACTCACTCTCTAAGCCAATTACTGCCGTTGTACCACCTTCCACGAGATGTCGAAGACTTCAGTCCCTCTCAAAGATCTCGTCGTTGGCGACATCATCTACGCCAACATCATAATTGATAAAGCAGACATGGCAGACCCGAACTCGAAGTCGGGCACAGCGAAAAAGTAGGTATTCTGCACTGCAGGATGCTGAACTCTGACCAACGATGCACCTCGTGTACAGCATCAAGGCTGGCAAACCTGTTAGACGGCTCTGCGTCGTGCTCGTCGCTGGATCTTCGAGCGTCGTGGTCACCTATCTGGCCACCTTCAACCAGTCTAAAACCTTACCAGCGAGTTTTACTGACAAGTCCTACTGGTATCCCGTGAGCCCTGCCACGAAGGAAGGAACGTTAGATCCCCTTCCTTCACTGAATGGTACCGCTCAATGGGTCAGCTTGCGGAAGAAACAGACTGTGACTGAAGACCCGGTGCGTTCTGCGTCGTTTCCTGTTGCGCCCATAACTGTGTCTGAATCCGCCCGTCGCGTCTTCTCTCATAGGTCGAAAAAGTTACGGAGAAGTTCAGCGCGGCGTCGGTTAAACTCATTCTCGCTGCAATGAAGGCTTGATGCGAGATCTGAGGATTTTGAGTGCGTCGTCCTATGCGCCGGTTAGATCTAATGGATTGCTCAATCATGCTGTGGCAGAATCAAGGATATGCGCAAGAGTCTATTCGATCGCGTGGCGAAATTGCCAGCTGTGGTTCCGTTAGATGTGTCTAGACGTGAGGCATGAGCGGCGGAATTACAGAGCACTTATTGGATCAGACTTGAGAAATGCCTATGGTCGCTGTTCGGAGTTTGCGAGATATGCAGGCTGGAGAATACGCGCCTGTCCAGGATTTTCTCGACACGGTGATCGGGGGTGAGATCACCTCTCTGTCCAGGGAACTTTGCATCCACTGGAGAGTCCAATATTAAATAAATGAGCTAACACATTGCATCTGACAGCCGAACGTCCCATCCCCGGGTGACGTCTTGAATGGAATGCCTAGTAACAGAAATGATGCTGGTGAAAGTGCGTAGGAAATATTGTTTCCGCATCCCCCGTCACGTTCGATGCAGTATGGGCAGGGTAAACGCACCGCTTAGGGCGGACGTGACTTCTGTCAGAGCTTCAAATGCTGAAATCCGTGAAACCCTGCATACCCGGTGCGCAGGAACAATATCTATTGAGATGAGGGTACATACAAGTGCGGTCCTAGTACAGTCGCAAGCCTTCCAATCGTCTCGATCGTTCTACTGAGGATATTCGTCGAAGACGTCAAAGTCGAGACCCCAGCCCTTCGAAGGATTCACGACACGCTGGGGAGGGTGCGAAGTCGCTGCCTCCTCGAGCTTCTCGAACAGATCCTGAGGGAGGGCATAGACTAACAGCCAACGACTGAGCTTTACAATTGAGGCTACGGCCCAATATGACTTACTGTGATAGTTCTCCTCGACGCGCGAAGGGGTGACGCTCTTAGGAAGTACGATAGTCTGCGCATGGATATTCAGAGTCAATAACTATGAAATCAGACAGTCGCACTCACCCCCCTCTGGACGTGCCAAGAGATGATGACCTGCGCGGGAGTGATATCGAGCTGTTTTGCGATGGCCGTTACCTCTGGCAGGGATAAGGCCTCTTTCACTTGCTTGTTACTGCCAAGCGGGGAGTACGCCTCGAGGAGCAGTCCGTTCTCCTTGCTCCACTGCAGGCAAAATCAGTGCCGGGTTCAGGATGCACGCGCGCACAACACACCTCGAGCAGCTCAGGCTGTGGGTTGAAGTAGTTCAGCTCGACCTGGTTCACGGCCGGCTTGTACTTAAGCTCGTTCGCCGTCAAGTTCTTGATCCTATCCATGCACATTGAGTCTCGGGCAGCGGTGTACCAGCACTCTGGCTTACCTTGCAATGTTGAAGCTACCCGAGAATGTCAGCGTGATGCATGAAGAAGATTAAAAAAATTGAGACACACTTGCTGATGCCAATGTTGCGGACCTTGCCCTTATCAACCAGCTCCTCGAGCTTCTGCCACGTCGGGTAAGGGTTCGCAGTGAGCTCCGGGTCAAGGGTGGTCGTGCCTTTCTTGAAAGCAACCGGCCTGCATGCATGATCAGCAGTGCGGCCGATAGATGCGGGCGTGTGAAGTACCAGTGCATCAAGTAGAGGTCGAGATACTCAGTGTCGAGCTTCTGGAGGCTCTCATCCAGTGAAGCCTCGACGTCCTCCGGGGCATGGAAAGTGTTCCACAGCTGCAGCGTGGAAGTCAGAACCTGAGCACGTACAATGTGTGTGCAAACACACGTACCTTGGAAGTGATCCACAGCTCGTCGCGGGGCACGCCGCTTTCCCTGATAGCCTGCCCGACCTCTTCCTCGTTCTGCACCGCAGTCAGTAACGCTCACCACGCAGCCCAGTTGAGGCACGCACCCTGTAGATCCATGCGCCGTCAATGTGCCTATAGCCCGCGCTCAACGCGGCCTTGACTGCAGCGCCGACTTCGCCTTGACCGGCCTGCCAAACGCCTATCGACGAGCATACTCAATCATCACCACCCACAAAACAGCTTAATCTACAGTACCCAGTGCGACCGAAGGGATCTTGTCTCCCGAGGGCAGAGTGTAGTGCGTCGGGAGCGACGAGAGGTTGCGCATGCCAGCACCCGTACGGCAGCCAGACCCGAACCGCTTGCTGCTCCGCGCAAGGAGTCTGACCCCGTAGAATACTGCGTACATGACCGCGGCGGCGGCAACGAAGTGAAAGAGAAGTTTCTTGGTGCGGCGGGGCTTGCTGGTGGACTCGGGCTGCGCTTCGTCCGGGTCGGCTGTCGAGAGGAGTTTATAGGCGGGAGCCATAGGTAAGAATCGGAGATACTTTCGCTCTAGAGGCCGAGGGTATTATATCCACGCTCGTGGGACGAAGATGTTCTGCCGGGCAGCTGACAGAGATGATTAGATAGCGGGTGATTGTGGAATATGACGCGAACGTCTGCGCACGGACCTCTGAGTCTTCTGCTGGCAGTTTCACCTGTATCTTCGAAAGGCTTGCGAAGGTAGCTACGCTAGATGGACGCAGTTCTAGCTGTGACGATTGCGATTACAGACTCGCCATGCACTCATGAAATTTCCTTTCGTGGACCTCTGTACTGAACGCTGCCGGGCCGCCTGCCCGGTTCAGACGCCCCGAAGACTTGTCTACTTGTGTCGCTATGGTCGTGCTTGGTTGTGCATCTTCGTGGATAGATGCCTATCGTAACAGAATACATTCCAGATTCAGACTGTGCCTTGAGTAACCAACGGCTTGTCTCCAGATATCACATGAATCTGCAAGCAGATGAAGGAGGTTCAACATTTTTGGTCACCTTTGCATCTCTTGCATGCATCTACTAACACACTGTAAGCGACTTCAGAACTATGGTCATTATATCCCAATGCTCCTCCCATGATTCTATCTTAGGTATGTTCCATTGAACGAATCACGGAGAGGACCGTGCTTTCGTATAACGCAGATCAGGAGTATGGAGGTGAAGATTGAATCTTCACCTCCATACAAAGTTGATAAAGTTTGATGAGAGAATCGACGAGGATTCTCTCATCAAACTTTATCAACTTTTTCCTGAAATACTTGTCTGCATTGCCAGTGAATCGCAGGGTGAAGATGGGTATATCATATTTTTTTCCGGAATCTTTCACATCAGTGGGCTTAGACAGTGAAAGCATCAAGCAGGGGTGCTACTCAAATCGAACCTTGAGCTCTCGCCATCGGTACGGCAGTGTCTTACTTCTTCATGTTAAGACGTATCTTTTTTTTTGTCATTGGTATGCATTTTTCTATGGCTCACTCGGGTCTATTCAAAAAATGCGAAGTAGGTAATACTTTTAATGTGCTCGTCCTGACGGCAGTAGCAGGGTCTCTACCTTATATCATGACGACAAAAATAGACAAACGGTACTCATGCAGAGCCATATGCACAACGGCGAGGAAATGTTTAAAACCATGATCTTATCGCTACTGGCGATGAGGTCGTCCCAGATAAATACACCCAGTGCCCAACATCAAAGGCAGAAGGACTGCGCGGAAACAAATGAGATGTGAAGATAAAATGAGTCGGTACCTTGCGGACATGCATACAAAAATGCGAGCTCGAAGTTATGGAAAATGCTGAAGCAACTATGAAATCGAGTGAGGAAACGACTCATCCGCATACGGAGATGCATTTTTCGATCGTTCTCATTTGCAGATCTCCCGACAACGAAGTCGATTCATCGCCTTCGTGTTCGTACTCTCTGAGCAGAGTCTCGAGGTCGATGCGGTGAGGAGCACGAGCAAATTCGGCAGCCGCTGGGAGGAGAGGATGGCCCTGTCCTCTTGCGTTCAGGTCGTCATGGACGAGGCTAAGAACCTTGTAGAGCGTGGAGTCGGTTGGAGATGGGCGGTAGGGCGAAGCCGAATCGTCTCCGTGATCCGAATTGGCGGCGAGTTGAGGGTATATTGTGCCCGCGTCCATTTCCAAGGACTGAATGTGAACGTCTTCCACAGGCACATTTACGAAAGAAGGTTTTCCCAACTCGGCAATTTCGCTATCAGACTCCGTCAGGGTGGAAGAATCCGGGGTTGATGCTGTAGACTCAATGCGGTGGTGCGAGAGCATGGATCCGTCTTCCGTGGGGGGTTCAGGCACTGGAGAAGCAAGGGTCAAGACATTGGTAACGCTAAGCATGGATAGTACATACAGGATCTTGGACGGGGAAAATACTCTGTGTTGTCCGAGCCATCAGCCCCGCAAGGGAAGGAACGTGCGGTCTCTGCGATGCACCGGTGAGAGACGGGTGAGTTGGGTCTTAAATACTTACTTACCGTTGAAAAAATTCTGGGGGTGTACAGTTGCGCCTGCAGGAAATGGCGGTTGACATACGGGTATATAATGGCCTTCCCTCTGAAGTTTCTTACGCTCCTTAGTCGTGGTGCGTTGCAGGTGGATGTCAATCAATGGTCCAGGATGCAAAATGCGGGTACGTCACTAAAATCGCGGCGCGAAGTTTCTTGACCTGTTCACACAGGTAGACGATTCTGAGGGATAGGCCAGTTATTGCGCCTTTCACCTGGTCATAGATGGTTGTAGCAGAATACGTTTGGGTTCGCAATTCGTTCGCTTGTAAGCGAAAACTGAAGTAGAAGATAATGAGCAGGCCGTCGTCGCAACATGTAAACTCAACCCATACAGAACTAGGTTCCCCTCTGTCGCCTTGAGGAACATTCCAAACGATGGAGAAGCAAGAAGCCCTTCCTCCATGGCGGTACGCCACATCTCTTCTGCCTCACACAGAAGCTCGTCAAGGTATCTTTGTCGGCGTGATGGTAGATAGAAGTAGATGACACCGAAGATTGGACCTAATACAGCCAGAATACTGGAGATAAAACCGAAGATGTCAAAGCCCGATTCTGCCATTGAGGATCAAGCAAGGGTGGTTTCGATGAGGAACATAGTAGGCTGACTCGGAAGTGATATAGCATATTCGCAGCGTGTATCAGCCATACAGTTTCCATGAGGAACTCAACCTCTGCGGCTTGTAGTACGAGTCCGTGCAGCAGACGCAAGCGCAGATTCTGACGGTTGATGATACTAGTATCTGTTGGTCCATGGTCGTGTATGTCGTGTGTGCAAGGCGTGGTGTCGGAATTAGGCACGGCGGCCGCCACTGGCAGCTGCAGCATTCGATCGATCGCACAGACGCCCACCGCGGCCGTGTGCTCAAAGTCATGGGCAACCATTATCATCCAGCTAACGAGTCCAATGGTAGCCTGCCTTCCTACGTGTTTTGCTCCCCAGAACTGGCCCAGCGTTATGCCGAACAACAACAAACACGTAGAGGAATGTATTCTCTTCACGAGGGGGAAATATTTTGGCGAGACAGGCAACCTTACCTCAACGATCGCGGCTATGCGTTGCGTCCTCGCTATCGTCCAGATTGGTCTCCATCGTGGCAGGGAACCAATATAGATCCCATGTTCCGTGAAGACTCTATAACACTGATAGTACGTTTCTCAATGCAGTACAACTTGCGCGCTCTGGATTTCCTCTCATAAAGATTTGTGTCGTCATCGATGCTGTTCGGAAGTCAGATGGAATTCTGGTTTCCATCAAGACAGTAAAGCGAGACAGCGACGAGGTTCGCATTGCGAGTCATGTCTCGAGGCCAGACGTCTCTTCACACCCTTTGAATCGCTGTGTTCGCGTCTTGGATATTTTCCCGGATCCCTTTGATCAGGATGCGGCATTCATGGTCATGCCATACCTTCGTCCCTTTGATGATCCTGAGTTCGGTGCCATTGGGGAAGTTACCGAGTTCGTTCGGCAGACGTTAGAGGTACGCGTACAACTACGTAAGGCTGCTTGAGTTAATCCTTTCTACAGGGTTTGACCTTTCTCCACAGCCAACGCGTCGCACATCGGTGAGTAATAATGGAACCATTAATTCATTTGTAAGATTGACTATCAATTTCAGGGACTGTGATGCCGCTAACATTATGATGGACGGTTCTCTGTTGTATCCGCAGGGTCACCATCCTCAGCGCATGGAGAGTAGTCCAAATGGCATCTTTCTACTCTCTCCATTGTCTCGCATCGATCATCCTGTGCGATATTATTTTATAGATTTCGGCATTTCCACTCTGTTCGAGGATGGCGAATCACCTTACGTTGTCGGGCGGGAGGGACGGGACAAGGAGCTTCCCGAGCTATCGGATGACGTTCCGTACAACGCGTATAAGGTAGACATCTTCATCCTAGGCAATTTGTTCAAAGTGGACTTCTTGCAGGTAGTGGATTTCTCTCTCCGCCACTGACCTGCTTTTTACTTAACCATCGTGCAGAAATATTACGGCCTTGAGTTTCTTGACCCGCTGGTAAAAGCAATGACGGCACGTGATCCGGCTCATCGTCCTGACGCAGAGGTCGCTTTGTCAATATACCACGATATTCGTCGCAGGCTGAATCCTCCCCTTTTACGCTGGCGCCTTCGCCCGCGGGACGAGTCAGCACCGGAGCGTATCATCTATGACTCTGTCGCCGTTGCCCGGGAAGGGATATACCGCCTTAGACATATCGTCGGTTAGGTTGCCGTATACCAAGTGCGCAGTCTGTCGCTTATACTGTTTGTTGCTTACTCCACATCTATTCAGATGCATGACAGGCATCCATTAGGTGCATCCTCAAGACTATATACCATGTCGTTTTCCTTAATATTCGTACTGAACTGGGGTCGAATGTGGCAATGTACTACTGCTATTGTTATTTCAAGTCAGTTTGCTAACTACCTTTCCGCCATCTGTCTCACACGTAAATTTCAGGGTATGTACTCTTCGCTTCTATCGTGGCTGAATCCAGCTGTCATTGTTTTCTGGAACTGCCTGATGGCGCTTCTGTAGGCTCTTCACATATCGAGCAGAAGTCGTACTGAGGAAACGTGCAGTGAATTGTTTCAAAAGCGATGAACTTTGTAATAGTTTCTCGTGCTGAGTCGTGCGACACAGTATTCGGTGCGGCGCAGCTACTCGTCGGGATCCTTCTGACGGCAAGAGGCTAGTCTTCCATCTTGCCGTCAGAAAGATTTCGTCGGCAGAAGGAGGCGGCAAGAATTTTGTAAGTCTTACACTTCATATATGTGTTAGTTCCATCGCTGTCCGTTGCCTCCTGTTGACACCTGTGCTCGCCTACTGGAGACGGCGCTCGTGTTCTCGCTGGGCTACGCCACTGTGAGTTCACAGAGGCGTTGTGCACGGAAGTCAGTCCTATCTCAGATGTAAATCAGAGTACGCAGTTCAGTTATCTTCAGCTTCGTATTCTATCTGAGAAGGGACTGCCAAAGTAGACCAGTTACAGTCTATGTAACCCATGCATGAAGATCTAGTGACGGCTGAGCTAAGCTATACAGACTCATCACGCCCTTAACATGCAATTTCCTTTCGTGAAGCGATGTATTGAAGATATCTCCCCCCGCCTGATCAGATGCGTCCTTGCTGCGACTGCCTACTTGATGCTGAACTGGTGTTGCTAACTTGCAGCTGATTTTCCTCGATGGTGCCTCTTCATAGGACAGCGCTCGGTTGAAGACGATGGTCCGGTTGCCCTCTTTCTCCATATTGGGATTGATCCGCAGTTATCTCCTCCTACATCCTGCGCAACTAAGTCCCGTGCAGTTTTGATTGTCGAATACATTCGGAGTACATGGTACATACTACTGACGAGATGTTTTTGACAAGGCAACAGTAATCTGAGGCGTGTGCACGATGCTGGATTACTGTGGAGCACAACTGAGTAGGAGGTATTATTCCAAGAGCAACTCTTTCTCCAGATACGATACCATAAGCGTTCCGGGTTTGGATTGTCCTCCAAAAATGCGGCCTTGAAGTTATGGAAAATGCTGAAGCAACTACGAAATCGAGTGAGGAAACGACTCATCCGCATACGGAGATGCATTCTTCGATCGTTTTCATTTGTAGATCTCCCGACAACGAAGTCGATTCATCGCCTTCGTGTTCGTACTCTCTGAGCAGAGTCTCGAGGTCGATGCGATGAGGAGCACGAGCAAATTCGGCAGCCGCGGGGAGGAGAGGATGGCCCTGTCCTCTTGCGTTCAGGTCGTCATGGACGAGGCTAAGAACCTTGTAGAGCGTGGAGTCGGTTGGAGATGGGTGGTAGGGCGAAGCCGAATCGTCTCCGTGATCCGAATTGGCGCTGGGCTGAGGGTGTATGGTGCCCGCGTCCATTTCCAAGGACTGGATGTGAACGTCTTCCACAGGCACATTTACGAAAGAAGGCTTTCCCAACTCGGCAATTTCGCTATCAGACTCCGTTAGGGTGGAAGAATCCGGGGTTGATGCTGTAGGCTCATTGCGGTGGTGCGAGAGCATGGATCCGTCTTCCGTGGGGGGTTCAGGCACTGAAGAAGCAAGAGTCAAGACATTGGTAACGCTAAGCATGGACAGTGCATACCGGATCCTGGACGGGGAAAATACTCTGTGTTGTCCGAGCCATCAGCCCCGCAAGGGAAGGAATGTGCAGCCTCTACGATAGACCAGTGAGAGACGGGTGAGGTGGGTCCTAAATACTTACTTACCGTTGAAGGAACTCCGGGGGTGCGCAGTTGTACCTGCAGGGAATGGCCGTTGACCTACAGATATATAACGACCTTCTCTCTCAAGTTTCTTGCGCTCCTTAGTCGTGGTGCTCTACAGGCGCATGTCAATCAATGGGGCCAGGATACAGAATGGGAGGACATCACTAAAATCGTGGCGCGAAGTTTCTTGACATGTTCACACAGGTAGACGATTCTGAGCGATAGGCCAGTTACGGCACCTTTCAATTGATGATAGACGGTTGTAGCAGAATATGTTTCGGTGCGCAAATCGCTCGCTTGGGAGCGAAAACTACGATAGAACAAAATGAGTACGCGACGCTCGCAATATGTTTGTTTAAGCCATACAGAGCCAAATTCCTCTCAGTTGTCCCGAGAAACGTTTCAAACGTCGGGTCAACGAACAACCCTTCTTCGTGCGCCGTGCGCCACATCCCCTCCGTCTCGCACAGGAGCTCATCAAGGCACTTCTGACGGCAGGAGGGTAGATAGAAATAGATGACGCCTAACAAGGGACCCAAGAAAGCTAGAAGGCTCAGTACGTTGGAGAAGAAACCAAAAACATCGACGCCCGATTCGGCCATTGCGTGCTGAGTGGTAGCTGAGACTCTGGGGGGTCCGGGTAGGAAGTCAGAGCGAGGGTGATACTTGGGCTGGGGTTATATAAAAATTCACAGCGTTTATCAGCCATACTGCTTCCATGAGAAAGCCAGCCTGAGGCGTTGACTCGGTTGAGGACGAGTCCGTGCGGCAGACGCAAGTGCAGATTCTGACTTAGTCGTGATAGTCTAGGGCCACACAAGGCGTGGTGCATCCAAATCGGGAGCTCGAGGGAAGTTCGACGGCACACGGCTGCAGTGCCGCACTGCCGGCGCACTGTGCTCGACCGTCCGACGCCATGGATGACCATCATAACGGTGTTAGCCTGCCTTCATATGTATTTTGCTCTCCAGAACAGGCTCAGCATCATGCAGAGGAAACGCGGAAAGGATTATATTCTCTCAACAAGGCGGAGGTATTTTGGCGAGACAGGCAGCCCTACCTCGACGATCGTGGTTATGTACTGCGTCCCCGATATCGTCCGGGGTGGGTTCCATCATGGCAGGGAACTAACATGTATCCCATGTTCTGTGAAGATGCCATAACATTAATAGTGCGTTTTTCAGTGCGTTACACTTGCATGCGCTGGACTTCCTCTGATGAAGATCACGGTCGTCATCGATGCTGTCCGAAAGTCAGACGGGATGCTAGTTTCCATCAAAACAGTGAAGCGAGACGGTGATGAAGTTCGCATCGCGAGTTATCTCTCTAGACTAGAAGTGTCCTCACATCCTCTGAACCGCTGTGTGCCTGTGTTGGACATCTTTCCGGATCCCTTGAAGCACGATGCGGCATTCATGGTGATGCCATATTTTCGGCCGTTTGACGATCCCGAGTTTAGTGCAATCGGGGAAGTTACCGAGTTTGTGCGGCAGACCCTAGAGGTGTGTCCAGGACTATGGTAGAAAGAGCACGAGCTGATGACTTGAATAGGGATTGACGTTTCTCCACAGCCAACGCGTCGCACATCGGTATGTAATAGCGCATGGATGACTTCTTGTGTAAGACTGACTGTCGCCCTTCAGGGACTGTGCAGCCGCTAACATCATGATGGACGGCTCTCCGTTGTATCCGCAGGGTCACCATCCCCAGCGCACCGAGAGTAGTCCAAATGGCATCTTTCTACTCTCTCCATTGTCTCGCATCGATCATCCTGTACGGTATTATTTTATAGATTTCGGCATTTCGACTCTATTCGAGGATGGCCAATCACCTTACGTTGTTGGGCGGGAGGGACGGGACAAGGAGCTTCCCGAGCTATCAGATGACGTTCCGTACAACGCGTATAAGGTCGATATCTTCATCCTAGGCAATTTGTTCAAAAGGGACTTCTTGCAGGTCGTAAATTTCTCTCTCCTACCCGGACCTGCCTTTTATTAACCATCATGCAGAAATATTACGGCCTTGAATTTCTCGACCCGCTGGTAAAAGCAATGACAGCACGTGATCCAGCTCATCGTCCTGACGCAGAGGTCGCTTTGTCAATATACCACGATATTCGTCGCGGGCTGAATCCTCCCCTTTTACGCTGGCGCCTTCGCCCGCGGGACGAATCAGCACCGGAGCGTATCCTCTATGATTCCGTCGCCGTTGCCCGGGAAGGGATATACCGCCTCAGACATATCGTCGGTTAGGTTGCGATAGATTAAGTGCGCAGTCCGTCGCCTACACTCTTTTGTTGCTTACTCCGCATCTATTCAGATGCATGACACGCGTCCATTAGGCGCATCCTCAAGACTGCATACCGTGTCACTTTCCATAATTTGCGTACTGAACTGGGGTCGAATGTGGCAATTTACTACTGCCATTGTTATTTCAAGTCAGTCTGCTAACTACCTCTCCGCCATCGGTCTGACACGTAAATTTCAGGGTATGTACTGTCCGCTTCCATCGTGGTTGAATCCAGCCGTCATTGTTTTCTGGAACGGCCTGACGGCGCTTTGTAGGCTCTTCACATATCGGGCTGAAGTCGTACTGAGGAAACGTGCAGTGAATTGTTTCAAAAGCGATGAACATTGTGATAGTTTCTCGTGCTGATTTGTGCGACACGGGATTCGGTGTCGAACAGCTGCTCGTCGGGATCCTTCTGACGGCAAGAGGGTAGTCTTCCATCTTGCCGTCAGAAAGATTTCGTCGACAGAGGGAGGCGGCAAGAATTCTACAAGTCTCGCATATCGTGATTTTAGACAAGATGGGGCGCATGCGCGAGCTCGCAGGGCGCGATTGTTGCACAAGATGCACATTGTTTTCTACCGACATATTGTTCCGTTAAGATTTCAGATTTGATTCTTGTAGACTACCATGTTTCTAAGCCGTACGTAGAGTAAATGTACGGTACGCATTTGCCTGCTCCCGACACAGGTCCAGTCACCCGCCGGAAACTTCTAAAACTGCACTTCATATGTGTTACAGCTCTAGTGACGGTTGAGCTATACGGACTCGTCACACCCTTAACATGTAATTTCCGAGTCCTTTCGTGAAGTAATGTGTTGAACGCGGGGCCATCTGCCCGCCCGATCAGACCCGTTGCTCGGTGCGACCACCTGTCTGATGCTTAACTCATGTTGCTAACTTACAGCTGGTTGTCCTCGATGGTGTCTCGTCGTAGCACAGGACTAAATTGAAAACGATACTTTCTCTACGTCGGTTTTGACTTGCAATTGCCTTCTCCCACATCCTGGGAGACAAAGTACTGAACAGCTCAGGTCGAACACATTTGGGTTTCATGATCCAAACTACTAACGGATTCTTTTTGACGACGCCATGACAATCCGAGGTGCTGTGCGATGCCTGACCACTGTGGAGCACAACTCAGGAGGACGCATTATTTCCAAGAATAACTGGTTGTCGAGATACTATACCATAAGCTTTCCCACTTTGGGTTGTCCTCATGCATAGCACCCCGTAAAAGATCGGACTCTCTTCCACGAAGCAGTGAAGGCGGCATAAATCCAACACAACCAAGAGCGTACATCCTGAAAGTACAACGTGAGACGAGATGGAGCCTGAGAAAACGTGATCGGCAGACAGACCTTGAATAACGATAGCTGTAATAGAAGTACATGTTAACGACAGCGTTCAGCACGAAAGCTACGCAGAGCGATCTGGTATATAGTCTTGAGGACGGGCGTAAAGGAAGCAAGTCATGTGGCTGATTGAATGTAAAGTAAGCAACAATGAAGAGTTGCAAACGGATTGTGCCCACCTGATATACGGAAGCCTAGCCAACGATATGCCTGAGGCGGTACATACCTTCGCGCGCAACGGCGACAGAGTCATACAGTATGCGTTCGGGCGCTGATTCGTCTCGGGGCCGGAGCCGCCAGCGCAGCAGCGAAGGATCCAGCCCGCGACGAATGTCGTGATATATCGACAGCGCGACCTCCGCATCAGGGCGATGTGCAGGGGCTCGTGCGGTCATAGCCTTCACAAGGGGCTCAAGAAAATCAAGACCGTGATACTTCTGCATAATGGCGAAGTGCGTGAGCATAGGTTCGCGTGAGAAAACGAGACTTGGGACCTGCATGAAGTCTTTTTTGTACAGATTGCCGAGTATGAAGATGTCGACCTTGTACGCGTTGTACGGAACGTCCGCAGATAGCTCGGGTAACTCCTTGTCTCGTCCCTTCCGCCCGACAACGTAAGACGATTCGCCTTCCGCGAACAGGGAGGAAATGCCAAAGTCGATGAAGTAGTATCGCACGGGATGGTCAATGCGAGATAGCGGTGATAAGAGGTAGATCCCATCCGGACTGCTCTCAAGGCGCACGGGATGATGACCCTTTGGATACAACGCCGTGCCATCCATCATAATATTAGCAGATGCACAGTCCCTAATACGCAAATCAAGATTTTTTACCATAAATGAGAGTTGCAGGGGTACATACCGGTGCGCAACACCTTGACTGTGCAGAAAACACAAGCCCTGTAATCTGTGAGACTCTTTGGTACGCTCTGTTGACAAGGAAACATACCTCCAACGTTTGTCGTACAAATTCGGTTACTTCCCCGATGGCACCGAAGTCAGGATCGTCAAACGGACAAAGAAATGGCATGACCATGAATGCTGTCTTGTCGTCAACGGGGTCTGGGAAGACTTCGAACACGGGCACACAGTGATTATCGGGATGTGAAGCTACTGCTGGTCTGGAGAGATAGCTCGCGATGCGAACTTCTATACTATCTCGTTCTACCGTCTTAATCGATACGAGAACTCCGTCTTCTTTTCGAACTGCGTCAATCACACAGTCGTTCTGCACGAAAGGTATTCCACAAGATGGATACATGAATTGTGCATTACTCGAAACGTACCATCAACATGATAGAATCTTCGCAGAATGTAGGATTCAAATTAGTTCCCATCCATGATGGCGTCCAGTTTGGGTCATATCGAGGCCGCAACTTGTAGCCACTGCTCTCAAGGTACGGTTGTCTGTCTCGCCAAAAGATCTCCATGCGGTGGAGTGAATAAAGCCCTCGGCGAGTCTGTTCGGCGTGATGCTGAGCTTTCTCCGCAGAGCAGAAGACATATGATGGTAGCTTGACATTCAAACCGTTTGGAGCAAGATAGTCGACCATGAGCGGAAGGCATTTGCCTGGACTAGCCACGTGTTGGTGTATGGCTGTGGGCATGGCATGATCTTGAAATCTCCGATCTCTTCTTTCCGGATATAGTAGCGATTGCACACCGTCACGGTCCACACATGCACACCGTCCCCACATGCACACCGTCCACACACGCATCACTCTCGCCTGAATTTGATGTCGCCCTCATCAAGCCTACCTCATGTACCAGCAGTGGCAGCGTGCCTATGCTTTCTCAGTATGCTGACTGGCGCAGTGAATATGCCACTCTCCTCTCCTTCCTCTCACCAGTATTCTCAGTCTTCCCCAGCGTCAGCGAGAGCCCTGAAAGCACTGCATGGCTCTCAAAATCAATTTCAACAATTTTGGGTTCATCGTCGGGCTATTGGGCCTGATCGCTCTATTACCTCCTCTCGTTGCCGTCGTGATGTATGTATTACCCTCTCGTCGTCAGCGGGACCTCGATGACGTGCTGTGCAACACCGAGTCACTGTGGCGTACAACTCGGGAGGAGGGATTGTTTCAAGGCTCACCATTTGTCGAAATGACAGAACACAAGCTTGCGCAGTATGAGCTGTATCATGTGTGTCTGCTAGACTATCTGATACGCTCTAATTGCAGTTTTCGCACGCGAGCGACTGATCTGCGCATGGACACTTATCGCGCCACGAATATTTTCCAGGACATGCGGGGAATTCTCACTGGATTGTCGCTAGATATCGCTTTATTATGCAGGCGGGTGAAGAACCTTCGCGCCACAATTTCGGTGACTTTTGTTTCTTTTCTATCGTGCCTTGCCCTCTAACATCTACGTACCCTCCAGACAACGACAACGGAGGAGCGTAAGAAATTGCAGAACGAACATCTCTATACGCTATCTGCCGAAGTGTATAGCTCGGAAACGAATTCGCCTCTCCGCGCGCTCGCCGCAGGCACGTATCCGTCAACCAATGTCGCTCCAAATTCTCAACTATTCGTCACAGAGAGAGCTGCTCCTTCTTCCACATCCTGTAGCGCAGATCTCACACCGCGTTCAGGATTAGGTATGCGGTGTTGATGCTCGTTGATACCTCGTTGACATTCTACCCATCGTCAGCACGTGGAGCACCCACTGACATCGAATCTTCACCTTCTCTGGACGAGAATACATCTATTGAATCATCTTCCGAATGTTCCACGTTGCCAGGCTCGAGGAATAGCAATGTGGATTTAGGACGCCGTTGTTCCGCTGAAGTGGATGCAGAAGAAATACAAGCTCAGACCCTGGAAACGGATTACGGTCTCATACCTCAGCAGCTTTGCATCCCTCCAAATTCAAGGGATGGCACTATTCACATAAAACCCGCGTTCCTGATTGGAACCCAAGCCGCAATATACCTCGCTCCCTCCGCCGCATCATCCCAGCCCTCTACAAGATCCTTCGTCGTATTCAGCATGATCTGAGGACAACGGGACACAGCCATCCACTCCTCCCTGCGGCCACGGAGTTTGCACGTAATCCCCACTGTGTTGATCTGGAATCTCTTTTCAGACAGTATGAAAACGATACGTCGGCGCTGGAGTCCAGCGATCTAGAGACGCAGATGATTAGAGGATAAGTCTCCGTGAGTATGTGCGGTGTAATTTAGAGGTGGAAACCCAGCGTTTTCCGATCCCCCACCAAGTCGATCTTTCATACTATGCTGATGCGAGAGCTAACCATTGTCATATCTCGCATGTGTTGTCGCTATCTCTGTCCTTATATCGAGCCCTGCGGTATTTATGTGTCGAAGTTTCCTTGTGTCGCGGGCTCAGAAACACAGAAAACTTGATGTACGGTGTCTGCACCATGTTCGCCCTGACTGGGTTAGCCACGGACAAGGACGGTTCTCTATGCTGCACGAAAATGGAAACTTATGTGTTGCAATCTGCGAAGGAATTCACGGTAGGAATAAAATATTTTCACTAGGAGCTGTCTTGCAGACGAGAGACCAGAAGAGGTGAGGTAGTGAGCAGCCGCAGTCCTCCGAAAACAGTCCCATCAGCAGCATATTGTGCAGTTTTAATAACTCCTGGTACGACTTGTGGTCGGTATGCATAAGATCAATAATCGCGCGCTTGCTCCACGAAGCGATGAAGTGGAATCGATCCAGCATTAGAGCCGATAGTACATATCCTACTTGGAATAACGATAGTTGTAGTACATCTTGATGACAGCGTTCAGCATGAAAGCTACGAAAAGTAATATGGTATACATTCTTGTGAGGGCGTGGATCAAACGCACGTCCTGTGTTTGAAATGAGGCGAGCGACGAATGACGAGAGAGCAAGACACTGCGTACTTGGTAAATGGCGATCTAACCGACGATATGCTTCAGGCGATATATACCTTCGCGCGCAACGGCGACAGAATCATAGAGAATACGTTCGGGTGCTGATTCGTCTCGCGGACGAAGCCGCCAGCGCAGCAGCGAAGGATCCAGCCCTCGACGGATATCATGATATATTGACAATGCGACTTCGGCGTCAGGACGATGGGCCGGATCTCGCGCGGTCATGGCTTTTACCAGGGGTCCAAGGAATTCAAGGCCATAATACTTCTGCATGATGAGAACGGATTAGAACAGATATGCGGAAGAGAACAAATATCGCTACCTGCAAAAAATCCTTTTTGAATAAATTGCCTAGGATGAAGATGTCGACCTTGTAAGCATCGTAAGGAACATCGTCCGATAACTCAGGAAGTTCTTTGTCCCGCCCCTTCCTTCCCACAACGTACGGCGATTCGCCCTTCCCGAACAGAGAGGAGATGCCGAAGTCGATTAAGTAATATCGCACAGGATGGTCAATGCGAGATAGCGGGGAAAGGAGGTAGATGCCGTCCGGACTACTCTCACGACGCACAGGGTGGTGACCCTGTGGATACAGCGGTGTACCGTCCATCATAATGTTGGCGGCCGCACAGTCCCTAGCACACAGCCTTTGATTTCACACACAAAAAATAGAGCGAGAAGTACGTCGTTACTTACCGGTGTGCAACACCCTGGCCGTGAAGAAAGCACAGTCCCTATCATCAGTATTCAGCTCCTACGATACCCTCAGACACTGTCATACCATAGACTTCACAAACGCACCTCCAGCGTCTGCCGCACAAACTCGGTTACTTCCCCTATGGCACCAAACTCGGGATTATTGAAAGGGCGAAGATATGGCATCACCATAAACGCCGCATTGTGATCAAATGGGTCCGGGAAGATGTCCAACACATGCACACAGTGATTCAAATGGTGTGAGGACACTTCTGGCCTCGACAGATAGCTCGCGATGCGGACTTCCTCGCTGTCTCGTTCTACAGTCTTTATTGACACCAAAACGCCGTCTTCCCTCCGAGTGGCATCAATGACGTGGTCAATCTCCGCAGGAAGAACTTCAGTGCAAGTGTACATGCATCGCACTGGCGAAGAAAATGTACCATCAGCATTATTGAATCTTCGCAAAATGTGGGGTTCATGCTGGTTCCTATCCACGATGGACTCCAATCAGGGTGGTATCGAGGTCTCAACTTGTATCCGTGTGCTTCAAGGTAAGGTTGTCTATCTCGCCAAAATACTTCCATGGAATGTAGACCGTAGAGTCCTCGACGTGTCTCTTCGGCATAGAAATGTTTTCTTTCTGGAGAACAAAAGACATAGGAGGGTAGTTTGACATTGTGCTCGCTCGTAGGAGGACGGTCGACCATTATACTGAACGTAGAACTTCATCTAGGACACTCAGCCACCGTCTGTTGAAGCTTGAAGTCGATCTCTCCTGATTTGGAAATCCCACACATTTCCGAATACATGCCTCTTCCTCAAGTCTGCCACATGCACTGGCACCCGTGTCCGTGCGGGAAGGCTGATTGCCGCTATGAAAATGCCTACTTCCTGCCCATGTTTTATCTCTTCGACTCACCACCATCCTGATTATATACAAGAAGTAGCCTAAGATCATTCACTGAACGCTATAAACGAACTTCAATGCGAGGTCTGGATATTTTCGGTGTTGTTGTCGGCGTACTGGGTATTTTAGGTCCCCTTTTTGCGGTTTTAACATATATCCAGCCATGTCGCCGTCAACAAGACCTTGATGACCTGTTGAACGACACCGAAACCATGTGGCGCACAGTTGTGGAGGAAGGATTGTTCCGTAACTCACCCTTCTTGGAAAGAATAGAGCATAAGCTGTCTCGGTATGATCCTCCATGTACTTTTGCGGGTCAAGCTCATGAATTTTTAATTTTAGTTTTCGCTCCGAAGCGGGCGAGCTGCGAACAGAGACCCACCGTGCCACAACTTTTCTTCTGCAGTTGAAGGGCATAATAACTGGTCTATCCTTACAAATTGCTTATTTGTGCGAAGAGGTTAACCAACTTCGCGCCACAATCTCAGTGAGGTCCTCATGTTCTGAGTGCTGATCCATTCGTTGATAACCATCCTTGCAGACCACCACAACCGAAGAGCGCAAGAAACTTCGGAACGAACGCCGCTATGTTCCCACCGGTCAAGTTAGCATCACCAACCCTGCCAGCATGATTGCTGTCTCTCAGAGTTCCGTGGACGGTAAGCACTATGGGATCGACCTGACACTGATTGCTTACGTCTTCATTGCAGAGGTTGCACATTCCTCCCCTGTGAGTGCATACCACACCGAGACTACGGGAGACACAGACCGTTCTCTGCGCTCAGAATACAGTATGTGGCGTCTCTGCATGGTGTTACCTCTTTCTCAAGTCTTGCTTCTCCAGCTCCTGAGGCACCTTCGGAAGATGGATCCACGCTTTCACACTGTGACAATACGTCTACAGCGTTACACACAAAATTTTCCACCTTGACAAACTCGAATACCGGAGATGCGGATTCGAAACATCGTTCTGCAGACGTAAATGCCGAAGAAGCAGGCACGGACACCTTGAAGAATGATTCCAGTGCCGTATGTCCACCATTGTACATCAGTTCAGAACCTGGAGGGGGAATAGCTCCCCAGAAGCATCCATTACCTTTCGATGCGACACTCTATCATATCCTCCGTCGCATTCATCACGATCTGAATGCCAAGGGGCACAGCCACCCTCTCCTGCCAGCAGTTGCAGAATATGCCCGTGCTCCTCACTGCGTTGAGCTCGAGCCTCTCTTCAGGAGGTACGAAGCGGTTACATCGACGACGCCATCGGGAAGTCTGGAGGTGCAGACGACCAGAGAATGAGTATCAGTGGTACGGCGTAGCGTGAGATGGAGAGTCTGATCGCGTCTTCCTCGATATACGGAGGTATCGAGTTTTATCTATCCTTGTATCGGTTGGTTTCATCTGGTGATGAACCCTTCACTTATCTATTGGGGACCAGGCTCTGCATCTCCCCTGGGTGGTGCAACTATGGACCTGCGTTTCCTGCAGCAATGTTGTACGTACGGTAGTCAGTTTGGCGTCTCTTAGGTTAAAATCGGCGACTCATTTGTTATCGACGTACGATGAGAGGTCGCGTCCAAACACCACTCATGCACAAGCATGGGCCGCAGGAAACAAGTCCATGTCTATTGTGAAAGATGCAGACTGTCAGTACTACTATAGCTTACATCTCGTTGGCACCTCGAGAATAGACTATCGCGTCAATTCATAGTTCTGGATGTCCCAAAGATAACAAAAACGTGCCCATCGTCGGGTGACCACCTTGCTGGCCAGCGGGAGCTGTCTTGGAAACACGAGATCAGAAGAAGATTAGCGGTGAGCATGTGTGACTAATCCAACGTGTTGTCGCATCAGACTGTGCCGTCATCATCAGTATAGTGCAAAATGGAACATTACCGAAGCGACTTGTTTTCAGCATGGGCAGCGGCAACAAACGCATGTACAACCACGAAAATGGGATTCAACAAGCACGAAGGGCAAGAGTGTATATCCTGGTATTCGAGTATGAGACGAGACAGAGATAGCGCGATCGACTGACTGACTTGCAATAACGATAGCTGTAACACATCAACAACACTCAGTCTTGATCCGATACGAAAGCTATAGAAAGCAATACGGTATAAATTCCTGAAAGGTTCGCATCAAACACACGTCCTATATCTGAAACTGGGTGAGCGACAATGACGAGTCACCAACACATCGCGTACTTGGTATACGGCAATCTAACCGACGATATGCTTCAGGCGGTATATACCTTCCCGTGCGGCAGCGACAGAGTCGTAGAGGATGCGTTCAGGCGCCGATTCGTCTCGCGGACGAAGCCGCCAGCGTAGAAGAGGAGGATTCAGCCCGCGACGAATGTCGTGATATATTGTCAATGCGACTTCTGCGTCAGGACGGTGCGCCGGATCTCGTGCTGTCATAGCTCTTATCAATGGGTCAAGAAACTCGAGACCGTAGTATTTCTGCGAAATGCCAAGCGTCAGCGTAGGATATCACCAAAGAACCAGCTGCTCTGACCTGCAAGAAGTCCTTTTTGTACAGATTACCAAGGATAAATATGTCAACCTTGTATGCATTGTAAGGAACATCATCTGATAATTCCGGAAGTTCCTTATCTCGTCCCTTCCTCCCGACAACGAACGGCGATTCGCCCTCCTCGAACAGAGAGGAGATGCCAAAGTCGATGAAGTAGTATCGCACCGGATGGTCGATGCGAGACAGTGGTGAAAGGAGATAGATACCGTCTGGGCTGCTTTCGCGACGCACCGGATGGTGACCTTGTGGATACAACGGTGCGCCGTCCATCATGATATTAGCGGCTGCACAATCTCTGAAACGCGCCGTTCATTCTAACGCAAGAACGAAGAGACCCGTTAGCACATACCGATGTGCGACGCGTTGACTGTGGAGAAAGGTCAGTCCCTGTCGTGGTTATTAGTTCCTGGGCCCCTACCATCCTCTCGACATCTTGAACGCACCTCCAGTGTCTCCCGAACAAATTCAGTGACTTCACCGATCGCACCAAAGTCCGGATCATCAAAAGGACGAAGATAAGGCATGACCATGAATGCCGCATCCTGGTCAAAGGGATCTGCGAAGACATCCAATATGCGCACGCAGCGGTTCAAAGGATGCGAGGAGACATCGGGTCTCGAGAGATAGCTCGCGATACGGACTTCGCCACCGTTTCGTTTTACTGTCTTGATGGAAACCAACTTTCCATCTGCCTTCCGTGTTGCGTCGATAACAACATCTATCTTCAGGGAAGAAATTCCAGCACAGGTGGATCAGGCTCCACTACAGATTTACGCACCCTCAAAGCTATCGAATCTTCACAGAATACGGGATCGAGATTGGTTTCTTGCCACGATGGAGTCCAGTTTGGATGATATCGGGGCCGTAGGGAATAGCCATGCTCGTCGAGGTAGGGTTGTCTATCTCGCCAAAAAATCTCCCCCTCATAGAGAGCATACATTCCTTTGCGTGTTTCTTCAGCATAATACTGAACCTGATCTGGGGAACAAAAGACATAGGAGGGCAAATTGACATTGGACTTGTTCCCTGATTGATGGCTGACCATGACTTCGAACTCGGACAGGCCGGTACCGTTGGGCGTCTACTGTGGGCGAAATTCTGAACTACGTTCCTTCCTGATTCGGCTGTCTGTGCCACGCCTTCCACGCATGGCCCCGTACGTGCTTGCGTCTACAACACGGCTTGGTGCTAAGCGGGGGATGCTGGTTTCCCCGTGGACTCAGTATGGCTGATAGACGCTGTGAAGGACCTATATTATTCCACGTTGCATATGTTCCCCCTTGATTCTGATCCTCCCAAACTCCCAGCACTCTGCATCAAATGACAGAATCGTCGGGTTTCAATACCTTTGGCTTCGTGGCTAGCATACTGAGTGTTGCCGCCCTACTGGGTCCAGTATTTGGTGTCATCTACTTTTATCTACCATCCCGCCGACAGAAATACCTAGATGAACTCCTGTGCGAAACAGAAGGACTATGGCGCACGGCCGTTGAAGAAGGTCTCTTTACCGGCTCACCCTTTATGAAGAAAACTGAACAGACTTTGGCTCAGTAATGCTGAATCACATCGTGCGAGAGTTACATACTAAGTCTTTTCCCTCATAGTTATCGCTCCCAAGCGAGCCATCTACGCGTGCGAACATATTACGCGACAACTCTTTATCGGCAGGTGAAAGGCACCGTGACTGGCCTTTCGCTGAAACTCGTTTATTTGTGCAGAGAGGTCACCGAGCTCCGCGCCACAATCACAGTGACGTCGTTACTTCCGCCTTCTTTGGTTCTATTACTTATGTCCGCGCTTGTAGACCACGACTACTGAGGAGCGTAAGAGGCTTCAGAATGAAGGCCACTATAACCCTTTGGGTTCGCAGAGCATCGCACGCCCTGCAGGTAAGACTGCGAACCCTCGGAATTCCTTCGACGGTAAGTACTGTAGCACCAAGGTTTCTCGCGACTCACCTATCCATTGCAGAGGTTGCATGTTCCTCGTCTGAGAGCGCGCCCCATATTGATGGCACAGATAACAAGGATTGTCCTCACCGTCCTGGATCTCGTATGTGGCGTTGATGCTTAGCTTTGCCATCTTCTTAACCCTCGCTTCTCCAGTAGCTATAGCACCGACGGAAGACGAGTCCTCAAGCTTAGCAAGCTTGGATAGCGAAGATTTCGAGTCGAGACACACTTCCTCTGCCACTGTAAATGTCGAGGAAGTGCCCATTCAGGTCGTAGAGAAGGATTTGGGTGTCATACGTCCATCACTCTGTGCCGAGTCCAATCAAGAAAATGACGCGGCTCCGCAGCAGCACCTTCCCCCTACAGATTCCACTCTCTACAAGATCCTTGATCGTGTCTATCACGACCTGAGCGCCGAGGGCCAGAGCCACCCACTGCTCTCAGCAGCCGCACAATATACCCGCGCTCCTCACACTATCGACCTTGAGTCTCTCCTTCAAGAATACGAAGGCGATGCGTCGATGACACCGTCGGGAAGCCTAAAGGTGCAGACGGCCAGACTATGAGTACCGACGGTAGGAAGACTTGAACACTCCGATCGAGTCTTCCTGACAGTCTTTCATCAATCTGAAGTCCGCCTTTCCTAAGATATCCTGGAGCTACAATAATTTATGTCTGCGCAGCGGTTATTTTTGTTTTGTTCCCTCGCATTCTAAGATCGCAATTGATTACTATACTTACCTATGAGTTAGAGACGGTACCCTACAGGGACTCGACCTGGGCGACGCGATCATCGATCAGCGACGTTGTATCTACGGTACTCTGTTTCATCTGCGTCGTGTGTTAAATGTAGTTGGCAATTCACTTGTCTTTCACGATCAGTCGGGTTACAGTGAGAGCCCATGTCGCACGTGCTTCGTCACTGGACATTCCGGTGCCAGGACATTTAAAGGTTGACGCAGTTCGTTCAAACCGATGTACTTGATCGTCAGACGTTGTCTCTGATAACGAGTTCATTTCTATCTCCAAATGCAAAAGTAGCAGCTCACATGTCTAGTGCCGATGCGATTTGTTCTCAGCAGTGGCAGTGAAACTGGTATTCAATCAGCACGAAGCCAAGAGTAGGTATCCTGGTATTCGAGGGTGAGATGAGACAGATATAGCGCGATCGACTGACTGACTTGCAATAACGATAGCTGTAATACATCAACAACATTCAGACCTGATCCGATACGAAAGCTATAGGAAGCAATATGGTATACAGTCTTGAAAAGGCACGCATCAAATGCACCTCCTGTATATAAAATAAGGTAAGCGCCACTAAGAGTCGATAATAGATTGCGTACTTGTTATATAGCGATCTAACCGACGATATGCTTGAGGCGGTATATACCCTCCCGTGCAACTGCGACAGAGTCGTAGATGATGCGTTCGGGCGCCGATTCGTCTCGTGGACGAAGTCGCCAGCGTAGTAGCGGAGGATTCAGCCCGCGACGAATGTCGTAATATATTTTTAATGCAACCTCGGCTTCAGGACGGTGTGCAGGGTCTCGGGCGGTCATGGCTTTTATCAGTGGCTCAAGAAATTCAAAACCGTGATACTTCTGCGTGACGATAGGCTGTGAGAGCAGGCTTGCGGGAAAAAAACAAAGCTTACTACCTGCAGGAAATCTTTCTTGTACAGATTACCGAGTATGAAGATGTCAACCTTGTAAGCATCGTATGGAACGTCGTCAGATAGTTCAGGAAGTTCCTTGTCCCGTCCTTTCCGCCCGACAACATACGGCGATTGCCCCTCCTCGAACATAGAAGAGATACCGAAGTCTATGAAATAATATCGTACAGGATGATCGGTGCGAGATAGCGGTGACAGAAGGTAGATGCTATCCGAGCTGGCCAGCCGGCGTACTGGATGATGACCCTGCGGATACAACGGCGCAGCGTCCATCATGATGTTTGCGGCTGCGCAGTCCCTAAAGTACACCTTAAGACTTACGCGAGAATCTGAAATCTCATCATCGCCTACCGGTGTGCAACACGTTGGCTGTGGATAAAGGCCAGTCCCTGGGAACAATATTAGCATCTGCGCCCTGCCATATTCTTGCGCGCACCTCCAGAGTCTCCCGGACAAACTCGGTGACTTCTCCGATTGCACCCAACTCGGGATTGTCGAAAGGCCGAAGGTATGGCATAACCATAAATGCCGCACCCTGGTCGAAAGGATCCGGGAAGATGTCCAACACACGCACACAGTGGTTCAAAGGATGTGAGGAAACTTCTGGTCTTGAGAGATAGCTCGCGATACGGACTTCGTCGCCGTCTCGCTTGACTGTCTTAATGGAAACCAGCTTCCCGTCTGCCTTCTGCGTTGCATCGATGACAACATCTATCTTCAGGAGAGGAAGTACAGCACCGATAGGTCTTATGTACTGAAAAACGCACTATCAATGAGATCGAGTCTTCACAGAACATGGGATCTATGTTGGTTCCCTGCCACGATGGAGACCACTCTGGATGATACCGAGGACGTAGTGCATAACCGTGCTCGTCGAGGTAGGGCTGCCTGTCCCGCCAAAATATCTCTCCTTCGTGAAGAGCATAAAGTCCCTCGCGCGTTCGTTTTGCATGATGTTGAGCTTGTTCTGGAGAACAAAATACATAGGATGGTAAATTGACCTGGGCCTTGCTCGCTGGATGACGGTCGACCATAACTGCGAGTGCAGAGTCCTGACCTGAGCCGCCTGAGCCTGGCAGCCTGATAAGTTTCGGGCTTAAGCGAACACGAACTTACCTGCCTAATTGGGAAATTCCACGCCTGTGGATATCAACCATCGTCAGAATCTGCACTAGTGCACTTGCCGCACGGACTCGTACTAACCGGCGCAGGCTGATTCCTCGTGGTATCAGTATGGCTGATAGACGCTGCGAAGAGACTATTTCACAGCCGCCTGCATCTCACAAATGTTCAGACCCTCGCCCCGAACCCCCAGCACCCAGCCCGAATGGCACAATCTGGCTTCGACACTTTTGGTTTTGTCTCGAGCCTAGTAGCTCTATTAGGCACTATGTTTGGAGTCACCTACTTTTCTTTACCCGTCCGACGTCAAAAATACCTTGATGAGCTCTTGATCGAGACTGAAAAGATGTGGCGTATGGCGGTCGAGGACGGGCTGCTCATTGACTCACTATTTGCGAGGAAGACGGAACGAAATCTGGCTAAGTATGACTCAAATCCAGGTCTCGGAAGTGCCTGTACTCATCGCTTCCCATCGTAGTCTTCACACTCAAGCGGACGATCTTCGAACCGAAACATACCATGCCACCACTCTTTACCACCAGGTAAAAGGTGCACTAACTGGTCTGTCATTCAAGATCATCTGCCTGTGTGGACGGGTGGTAGACCTTCGCGCCACAATCTCAGTGATGTCGTCATTCCTACCTTCTCGCTGAGTTATTGATCTGTGTTCTTGTAGACGACTACTACCGAGGAGCGCAAGAGGCTTCGGAATGAAGGCCGCTATTATCCCTTGGGATCGCGGAGAATCGCACGCCCTGCAGGTGAGACTGCGAACCCTGGGAATCCCTTCGACGGTAAGTATTATACAGCAAACCTGTCTCGTGACTTACCTGTCCATTTCAGAGGCTGAGCGTTCCTCCACTGATAACGCTTGTGACAATGACGGGTCTGATAATACGTATTGTTCTCCCCGTTCAGAACCTTGTATGTGGCGTCGATGCTTCGCATTAACCGATTGCCGTCTTCTTGACCTTCGCTTCTCCAGCAGCTGTGGCACCGACGGAAGACGAGTCCTCAGGCTTAGCAAGCTTGGATACCGAAGATTTCGAGTCGAGACACACTCCCTCCGCCACTGTAGATGTGGAGGAAGTGCCCATTCAAGTGGTAGAGAAGGATTTGGGTGTCATACGTCCATCACTCTGCACTAAGTCCGATCAAGGAAATGACGGAGCTCTGCAGCAGCACCCGCCCCCCACAGATTCCGCTCTCTACAAGATCCTTGATCGTGTCTATCATGACCTGAGCGCCGAGGGCCAGAGCCACCCACTGCTCTCAGCAGCCGCACAATATACCCGCGCTCCTCACACTGTCGACCTTGACTCTCTCCTTCAAGAGTACGAAGGTGATGCGTCGACGACACCAACCGACGGTAGAAAGACTTGAACACTCCGATCGCGTCTTCCTCAAAGTCTTTCATCAATCTGAAGTCCGCCTTTCTTAAGATATCCTGGAGCTACGTAATTTATGTCTGTGCAGCGATTATTTTTGTTTTGTTCCCTCGCGTTTTGACATCACAATTGATTACTATACTTACCTATGAGTTAGAGACGGTACCCTACAGGGATCCCACCTGGGTGACGCGATCATCGATCAGCGTCTTCTGCAGTGAAGTCGTATTCACGGTACTCTGTTTCATCTACGTCGATATGTAAAATGCAGTTCGCAATTCACTTGTCTTTCACGATCATCCGGTACATTGAGAGCTCATGTCGCACGTGCTTCGTCACTAGACGTTCCGGTGCCAGGATATTTAAAGATTGATGCAGTTCATTCAAACTGATGTACTTGACCGTCAGACGTTGTCTGTGATAACTCATTTCTATCTCCAAAATGCAAAAGTAGCAGCTCACATGTCACTAGTTCATTGGCACGGGAAGAAGTATTTGCAAACCAGAGACCAGACGGAAATCCGCAGTTAGCAGGTGTCAGGAGAGAGGGATTGCGATGCGGCGTCGTGCCGTCAGCATTGTGAGAGTACAATAGTGCCGATGTGATTTGTTCTCAGCAGTGACGATGAAACTGGTATTCAATCAGCACGAAGCCAAGAGTAGGTATCCTGGTATTCGAGGGTGAGATGAGACAGAGATAGCTCGACCGACTGACCGACTTGGAATAACGATAGCTGTAATACGTCAACAACATTCAGTCCAGATCCAGTACGAAAGCTATAGAAAACGATACGGTATACAGTCTTGAGGATGTGAACATCTAACCCGTGTCCTGTATCTGAAATGGGCTGAGCGTCACTGAAGAGCCTTTAATACATCGCGTACTTGGTATTGATCTAACCGACGATATGCTTCAGGCGGTATATACCTTCCCGTGCAACTGCGACAGAGTCATAGAGGATACGCTCGGGTGCAGATTCGTCTCGCGCACGAAGCCGCCAGCGCAGCAGCGAAGGATCCAGCCCTCGACGGATATCATGATATATTGACAGTGCGACCTCTGCGTCAGGACGATGGGCCGGATCTCGCGCGGTCATGGCTTTTACCAGGGGTTCAAGGAATTCAAGGCCATAATACTTCTGCATGATGAGAACGGATTAGAACAGATATACTGAAGAGAACAAATATCGCTACCTGCAAAAAATCCTTTTTGAATAAATTGCCCAGGATGAAGACGTCGACCTTGTAAGCATTGTACGGAACATCGTCCGATAACTCCGGAAGCTCCTTGTCCCGTCCCTTCCTCCCTACAACGTATGGCGATTCGCCCTCCTTGAACAGAGAAGAGATGCCGAAGTCGATAAAGTAGTATCGAACGGGATGGTCGATACGAGATAGAGGTGATAGGAGGTAGATACCATCTGGACTGCTTTGGCGACGCACGGGATGGTGACCCTGTGGAAACAGCGGTGTGCCGTCCATCATGATGTTAGCGGCTGCACAGTCCCTAAACAGCACGACGTTCATTCTTACGAGATATTTATAAGTGTTTTTACTACTTACCGATGTGCGACATGTTGACTATGCAGGAAAGTTAAACCCTGTAAAGAATGCTGGCTTCAGCACTCTGCCTTACCCTAAATGTCTTAAACGTACCTCCAGCGTTTCCCTAACAAATTCGGTGACTTCCCCGATCGCACCAAAGTCGGGATTGTTAAAAGGGCGAAGATAGGGCATGACCAAGAACGCCGTCTCTTGGTCAAAGAGATCCGGGAATATATCCAATACACGCACACAGTGATTCAGAGGGTGTGAGGACACTTCAGGTCTTGATAGATAGCTCGCGATGCGGACTTCGTCATCGTCTCGCTTCACTATCTTTATGGAGACCGACAGCCCGTCAGACTTGCGAATAGCATCGATGACAACACAGATCTTTATGAGAAGAAGTCCAGCGCATGCAGAACATACTGCACTGGAAACGCACTATCAATCTTATCGAATCTTCGCAAAACATTGGCTCCATGTTGGTTCCTTGCCACGACGGAGACCAATTCTGATGATATCGAGGCCGTAGTGCATAACCGCGCTCGTCGAGGTAGGGCTGCCTGTCTCGCCAGAATATCTCCGCCGTGTTAAGAGAATACATTCCGTTACGCGTTTGTTCGGCATGATTTTGAGCCTGTTCCGGGGAACAAAAAACATATGGAGGCAAATTGGCATTGGCCTTACCAGCGTTGGCTGGACGACGGCCGGCCATAGCTTCTAGGCGCAGACGCGAGTGCTGCAGGTGGCTGTTACTCGCGAACTCCAATATTCTTGCCTGATTTGGAAGCACCACGCCCAAACCACCGTGGCACGCCGCTACCGCATGCCCTGCATCCATCTACACTAGTGTCTGCCGCACGGACTCGTACTTAGCGGCACAGGTTGATTTCCTCGTGGAATCAGTATGACTGATAGGCGCTGCAAAGTAGTATTATAGAACCCCAGGTTGCGTACTGGAAATGCTCTGACCCTCTTCCCGGCGAACTCCCAGTATTCTGTATCAAATGGCAGAATCTGGTTTGAATACCTTTGGCTTCGTGGCCAGCATACTGAGCGTTGTAGCTCTCCTAGGTCCAGTATTTGGTGTCGTCTACTTCTATCTACCGTCTCGCTGGCAAACGTATCTCGATGAGCTCCTGTGCGAGACAAAAGACATGTGGCGCATCGCTCTCGAGGAAGGCTTGTTTGTCAGCTCATCGTTCCAGAAATTTCTAGAGACAACAGAACAGAATCTTGCTTTGTATGGTTTATATACACGTCTTGCGAGAGACGCGTACTCATATCCTTTCGTACCGTAGTACTTGCTCCCAAGCGAGCAATCTACGAACAGAAACGCATCTTGCTACGACTCTTTATCGGCAGCTAAAAGGAACAATCAATGGCCTGTCCATGAGAATCGTTTACTTGTGCGGAGAGGTTATGGAGCTTCGCGCCACAATCTCAGTGATGTCCTTATGTTTTACGCTGTAGCTTCTACATTCATACCCTTACTTGCAGAGCACGGCAACTGAGGAGCGCAATAAGCTTCAGCAGGAGGGCTGCTATATACCCCCGGATTTACGTAGAATCGCCCGTCCCGCAGGTACGGCAGCACACCCTCAAACATTTGTCGATGGTAAAGCATTAATGATTAGCCTCAGCCATTACTTACAAGTCCGTCGCAGACACTGCAAAGTCCTCCGTTAAGTCAACAGCCTACACTAACAGCCCAGATATCGCGAAACGTATACCCTGTCCAGGATGTTGTATGTAGCATTGATGCTTGGCATTCCCGTCTTCTTGACGTTTGGTTCTCCAGTTCCTCAGGAATCGATGGAGAACAACTCCATGCCCTCACACTGTGACATTGAATCTACAGCACCAAATTCACGTTCTTCCCCCATGGCGGACTCTGATGGCAAAGAGATCGTGCTTGAACAACATTCTCGCGCCGATGTGCAGGCGAAGGGAGCACACGCTCAGATCTTGGAGACGGATGCCAACGCCATATATCCGGCACTATGCACTGGTTCAGATCAAGGAGAGGATGCGATTACGCAGCACGCTTTCCTCAGAGACCCAACTCTCTACTACATTCTTCGTCGCATCCATGACGATCTGAAAGCAAGGGGGCAGAGCCATCCTCTCTTGCCCGCAGCCGCAGAATATGCCCGTGCTCCTCATTGCGTTGATATCGAGCCCCTCCTCAGACTGTACAAAGTGGGTATATCGATGACGCCGTCGGGACGTCTAGAGATGCAGACGACCAGAGCATGAGTATTAACGGTAGCCTGCGAACGAGATGGAGCGTTAGCTCAAGTCTTCCTCCACGTCTTCTTCCCTTAAGGTATGCCTTCTCTATGTGTACATGAGGTGTCGCCTTTTATCTATTCCTGCACTGGTTGGTTTCATCTCTATTCTGGTATTAAGCATTTTATTTATCTATCGGAGACGATGCTCTGACGTCCGCTGGGCGATACAATCATAGATTTGCATTTCCTACAGCAATGGTGTACATAAGTTACTCAGTTTACCCATGTTGTGTTCCAGTTGGCGACTCATCCAACTTGCTGGATAGTAAGAGATCGCGTCGAAACACCACTCATAGATACAAGCAGGTAACAAGCCCCTGCCTGTCGTGGAGGTTATGAGCAATAGTCAATATGTCGGCACTTCGTTGGTGCCGCAAAATCTCATTATCAGGCCAATTCACGGCTTTGGATGTCCCAAATATAACCAGACCCCGTTGTCAAATGATCACTTTGCCCGCCGAGACCTGTCTTGCAAGCAAGAGACCAGACGAAGATTAGCAGTGAGCATGAGCCAGAGAATAGTATCTTCTCAGCATGCGCAGCAGCAACGAATGCGGGTGCGACCACGGAAACAGTCAAACTGGGATTCAACAAGCACGAAAGCCAAGAGTGCATATCCTGGTCTTCCAGTGTGAGACGAGACAGACATAGCGCGATGATCGACTGACCAACTTGGAATAATGATAGCTGTAATACATCGACAACATTCAAGCCTGATCCGATACGAAAGCTATAGAAAGCGATATGGTATAAGTCTTGAGAATGTGCGCATCTAACGCACGTCCCTGTATCTGAAATGGGGTGAGCGTCGCTGGAGATTTGGTAATACATTGCGCACTTGGTATATAGCGATCTAACCAACGATATGCTTCAAGCGGTATATACCTTCCCTTGCAACCGCGACAGAGTCATACAAGATGCGCTCGGGTGCAGATTCGTCTCGGGGACGAAGCCGCCAGCGTAGAAGGGGAGGATTCAGCCCGCGACGGATGTCGTGATATACTGTCAATGCGACCTCTGCGTCAGGACGATGTGCAGGATCTCGCGCGGTCATAGCTTTAACTAGTGGCTCGAGAAATTCAAGGCCATGATACTTCTGCATGATGACAAAGATGAGAAGAGATACGCGGCAGAGATCGAATAACACTACCTGTACGAAGTCCTTCTTGAATAAATTGCCTAGGATGAAGATGTCGACCTTATACGCGTTGTATGGAATGTCATCGGATAACTCGGGAAGCTCCTTATCCCTTCCCTTCCGCCCGACGACGTACGGCGATTCACCGTCCTCGAACAGAGAAGATATGCCGAAGTCGATGAAGTAGTACTGTACCGGATGGTCGAGGCGTGAAAACGGGGAGAGGAGATAGATGCCATTGGGGCTGCTCTCGCGACGAACGGGATGGTGCCCCTGCGGATACAACGGTGCGCCGTCCATCATGATATTAGCGGCTGCACAGTCCCTAGAAGATGCAATGTTAAATTTTGCACGAGAATCAAGAATACCATTATCACCGACCGATGTGCAACACGTTGACCGTGAAGAAAACTGAGTCCCTGTAGAATGTATTAGTACTTGCGCTTCTACCGAGCCGTAGACGTCTTGAGAATACCTCCAGTGTCTGCCGAACAAACTCGGTAACCTCCCCGATAGCACCGAATTCGGGATTGTCAAATGGTCGTAGGTATGGCATGGCCATGAAGGCCGCATTCTGGTCAAAGGGGTCCGGGAAAATGTCCAGCACACGCACGCAACGATTCAGAGGGTGCAAAGAGACGCCCGGCCTGGAGAGATAGTTCGCGATGCGGACTTCCTCACCGTCTCGCTTCACTGTCTTGATGGAAACCAGCAACCCGTCTGACTTCCGGGTAGCATCGATGACCATATTAATCTTCACGGGAGGAATTTCAGCGCAGATGGATGGTGCTGCATGACAGAACGCACCCTCAATGCTATTGAGTCTTCGCAGAACATCGGGTCCATATTAGTGCCTTCCCATGATGGAGACCAATCTGGATGATAGCGAGGACGTAGCGCATAACCGTGGTCGTTGAGGTATGGCTGCCTATCCCGCCAAAATATCTCCCCTGGGTGGAGAGCATAAATTCCTTTACGCGTTTCTTCAGCATGATGCTGCGATTGTTCTGAAGAGCAAAACACATAGGAAGGTAGATTCGCATTTCCGTTAGCTGAACGATGGTCGAGCATAACTTCGAGTGCGGATACCTTAGCCGCGCGCGGGGCTGAGCGTCTGCACGATCGAACTTCATTCCTTCAATCCCAATATGGAAATACCACGCCTCACACGCATGGCCACCCACAAGGTGCATTCCACCTTTTTTCCTGGGGAAAAACCTGGGGAAAACGACAAAGTAAGTCTCCGGGAAATATCTGGGAAAAACTGTGAGAAAACAATAGTGTAAATCCTGGGGAAAAACCGAGACCCAGAAAAAGCAACAGATTTCTCGGAGAAAAAACCTTTGTTTCCAAATTGGGATTTCCGCAAGAGGTATGTGGGAGATTCGCAAGATAATTCCCGGGGAAATTTCCCTCGGCCCAGCACCCGAATGTGGCGGGAAAAACATATCCCCGGGAATTATCTTGCGAATCTCCCACATACCTCTTGCGGAAATCCCAATTTGGAAACAAAGGTTTTTTCTCCGAGAAATCTGTTGCTTTTTCTGGGTCTCGGTTTTTCCCCAGGATTTACACTATTGTTTTCTCACAGTTTTTCCCAGATATTTCCCGGAGACTTACTTTGTCGTTTTCCCCAGGTTTTTCCCCAGGAAAAAAGGTGGAATGCACCTTGTGACCGTGACCTTGCCACGACTCCGAACATATCAAGTTGATATCACCGCCGTCAGAATCTACACTCGCGTCTGCCGCACGCACTCGTATTAACCGGCACAGGCTGGAGCCATGGAATCAATATGGCTGATAGACGCTGTGAAGAATCCATATCACTCCAGCCTTAGTAACAGAATTGTCCTGATCCCCCGTCCAGCACTCCACATCGAATGTCAGAATCGGGTTTCAATACCTTTGGCTTCGTGGCCAGCATACTGAGCGTTGCCGCTCTGCTAGGTCCAGTATTTGGTGTCATCTACTTCTATCTACCTTCCCGCCGCCAGAAATACCTTGACGAGCTCCTGTGCGAGACAGAACGGATGTGGCGCACGGCCGTTGAAGAAGGCCTATTTGTCGGACAGTCATTTGCAACATTTCTAGAGTCGACTGAACTTGCTTTGGCTCGGTATGACTTGATTTCCACCTTACGGGGCCGCGTAATCACAGCTTTTTGTCGTGGTTTTCATTCTCAAGCGAACAATTTACGAATGCAAACCCATTGTGCTACGACCGTTTATCGCCAGGTGAAGGGCACTGTAGATGGCCTATCTCTGAAGATTGTGTATTTGTACGGAGAGGTCACGGAACTTCGCGCCACAATCTCAGTGACGTCCTCACATTCTGCGCCCTGGATGACTGATTGATATCCGCCCTTATAGACCACAACAACTGAAGAGCGCAAGAGGCTTCAGCGAGAAGGCCGCTATATGCCCACAATGTCACGGACAATCGCGCGACCTACAGGTGTAGCTGCGCATCCTCGGAATCTCGTCGACGGTGAGTAATTCAAGGCCAACCTGAACGGCTACTTAATGGTCCATTGCAGAAGCTGTACACTCCTCCATTGACAGCTTATCCCATACTGATGGCTCGGATTATTCTGCCAATCCAGAATATTGTATGTGGCGTTGATGCTCGGTATTATCGTCTTCTTGACCCTCGCTTTCCAGTACCTGAAGCACCCGCGGAAGAAGGATTCGCAATTTCACACATCAGCAGTAAACCTACCGCACCGATTTCGGACTCCTCAACTTTGGCTGACTCGGATAGCGAAGACGCCGAATTAAGACACGCCCTCTCTGCCACTGTGAACGTGGAAGAAGCACCCGTTCAGACCCTAAAGAAAGATTTGGGTGCTATAGGTCCACCACTCTGCTCCCACTTATTGGGCGTGGCTCCGCAACAGCACCCATTCCCCACCGATTCCGCTCTGTACCAGATCCTTCATCGAGTCCACCGCGATCTGAGCTCCAAAGGTCAGAGCCACCCACTGCTCTCAGCGGCTGCAGAATATGCCCATCAGACTGTCGACCTTGAGCCTCTCCTCAGACAGTATGAAGGCGATGTGTCGACCTTACCGTCGGAGAATTCAGAGATGCAGATGATCGAAGACTGCGTTTAGCCATGCGGATGATGAGCCAGAGACAAGATTTCCATTTTCCTCCAATGTCTTCCTGGATTTGTAGCCTGCCTTTCATATCCTGGAAGTTCTGCACCTGATACATGTTCGTATTTGTTCCCTTCTTCTCTGTCCTCTACCCTTGTTACTAAGCATTGTATTTATGTATTGATTATGATCTTCTGCATCGCCAATAGCAATGCCGCCATCTGTGTAGATTTTCTGGAGCAATCTTATATATGCGACACTCAAATCTGTACCTTTTTTCTATTTTTGTTGTCAGATACCGGGTCACTATCGGTCCCGTCACCTTTAAATCGCTATCTCCGCTGCAATTCTGAAACGGAACGGAGTGGTATTAAATAGGTGCGTATACTATTAATCGGTGGACAGATACACTTGCACGCAAGGATGCGAAACACCTCGCGTTAATGAGGTTTCCAAATGTCGTCCGAGAAGGGCAAGCGACCTTCCTCTTTGAGCACTATTGATGGCGTAACACGGGTCCATGGCCCGGCGTTTGGTTGGTGTTTTCATGGATTGGACACGTTGAATCTGAATCCCAAACCTTCTGATATGATACCATGACTCCGTCCTGTGATTCTAGAGGTCTCTCTCACGACGACTCGGACCACATTTGCACAGTCAACGACTTACACACAACTACATTCAATCACAAAACGCCTCGGCGCGTGGACAGAACCCGAATACAACACTAGTACCGCCTCCATCGCCTTCGCAGAATCGCAGACTAGTCAGAGGAAGTATTCGGTTAGTCCGGGTCAGCGACCACTGTGGAAGGCCAGTTCGTCAGTAATGGCCATGATACCATGATACATCAATCCCTTGCGTAGCACACTAACCATCAGTATCTGAATCACCAGTCGAATTCGGAGGATACCAAATGCAATAGTGATTCGAAGTAGAAGGCGCTGGGCCAGAAGCAGACGAGGCCGTCGACAACCCCGGTCCAGCAGACATTTTGTGGCTGTAAGGGTCTTGTTGCATTTTTGTGGCTTGTTCCTTCTTCAGGATTTGTTGCTTTGCGGTTATAAACTCCCACAAGCTCGCTTGGCCACTTTGAGGCAAAGCTTGAGGAACTGCACGTGGCAATGCGGCGCGGGCACGATCATCCTCGTCGTAAGTTTGGCTTGTGCTGAGCATAGTTCTGGTTGAGCAGGATGGGAGAGACGGTGGAGGGAACGAACAAAAGAGATCTGAGGAACCGCTGCTGTTATATTCTGTCAGTGGCGGTCGATCGGGAAATTTCAGGAACATCAACAACAGATCTCGTATCCAAACGCTGTGTTCGGAAAGATAAATAGGACGTCCAAACAAACAGACCACGGTTCAAAGTTTGGGCCTGTGGCACGATGTGTTCCGCCCCATGTGGAAGGCAATTATGGCGGCGACGCACCGCCCCAATCCTGTCCCCTGAGGTTGAATAATCAAAAAATTTTGTGGAAGAGAATAATCGGTAGAAGATGGCATACGCACAACAACAGGACTCAGTGATTCAATACGATGACGAGGCGGACAACTTGAAATCGCTGGCGGGAGATGATCCTGTGAAAATCTCCTGCGACACCATGAAAAAAAAAAACTCTGAATCAGACTATAAGTGCCGCCAATTCTACGTGGAAAACATAGAAAGGATTTTTCGGGGTCTTTACCACGTGGTAATTCGGTACCATTGGCACTCCCGTAAGTCGGAAGCGGTGAGTATGAACTGCGTTCCACCTGAGCTTCAACCGTCACAAGCTCTTACTTGCCATCTTTATCGAATAAAATGGCCGTCAAGTGCGCGTTACCTTTGTTGTGTTCGACTCAGCAGTGAACGAGGAGACGCAGGTCTGTCGCTAACTGCATATTCTGCAAGATCATAAAGGGTGAGTCGTTCGGCGGATGTACGACTTCAACTTGTGACGGAACTGACGATTATGCTTTCATACTCATAGGAGACATCCCGAGTTTCAAGCTCATTGAAACCGAGACCACGTTCTCCTTCCTTGATGTAGGCCCTTTGTCCAAAGGTCATGCATTGGTCGTTCCCAAGTGTACGTTGTTTGAACATGCAGTAGCTGTTTTACCCGAATATACTGACGCAAGGCTGCATGATTAGACCATGCAGCGAAGATGCACGAGCTACCAGATGAATACCTCGCGGATACACTTTTTACAGCTAAGAAGATTGCTGCAGCAATTGGTGCGGAGAACTACAACATCCTTCAGGTGTGTGCCCCAAGTTCGTCAATCATATACGTTTATGAAGTTGCCGTGTAATCCGCCAGAACAACGGCCGCATTGCACACCAGGAAGTAGATCATGTCCACTTCCATATCATCCCCAAACCATCTGTTTCGGACGATGACGGGCTGGTTATCGGATGGCCTAGCAAGAAGGCGGATATGGAGGAACTCAAGAAGCTGCACGAAGAACTTAGGAATAAGCTTTGAACTCGTTGAGCTCGTAAGTGCTATAGAGGTCACCCTAGGCAATGTAAGAACAAAGGTGTATTTATTGGGATTTATCCAGCGAGGATGAGCTGTTCAAGTCTTGAACGCTAAGGGGGATGACACTGAGGGTCGTCGTCGCTTTTGGTGCTGCACTGCAATGTTGATTCTATGTTGTGAGATTTGCAGTACGACGGCCCTTACTGCCAAAGGAGCTACCGAAATTATATGACATGTGGATAACCTGCGCGCTCTCTAAGGTGATAGATCTGTGCAGTGCGTACGCCCAGCTTGTGTCTGGTCATCATGCATCATGGTTGCTTCCGAAGATCATGCATGATGGATGATTAATACATGTACCTTGCCAGTGTTTCCTCCGGGAAAGTGATTCTGTATTGAGCGCCACGGGCGCTCACGAGACTCGCTCGCTTTCGACGCCGCCACCACATCCCGTCTTGTAGACAAAGTGTACTGCGTCAGAATCGTACGTGTTTTGGGAAGATCGCTATCAGACAGACATCATAGACGAAAGCTCGTGAAGCTAAGCCTGATCCCGCCCACAGGAGCAACTGAGGCTCGGTATCTCGTGTGACGTGGCGCCCATTTAACCTAGTTACCGACTAATTTGCCGAGCTTTTGATAGGGCGGTGTCTAGGGCATTCGCATTGCAAACGCTCCAGCCGCGACCGATGATCGCGGCCGCCACCACCCCAGCGTCTGACTGTTAGTACATAGATAGGTACGGGGAGGCACGACTCTAATGCTGAATTTTTCTTCATGCCTTTGTCCAGTCTTTTCAGAATACGCAGCCGCAAAAACCTCAAGGCCCATGAGAGGAGGAAGTCCGAGCCACCGGCCCCGCTACCGGTCGCGGCAAGTGCAGCTACCTTCCCTTCGTCTGAGCTGCCATCTTCAGAGGTTACTGCTGCGCACAGCACTTCACCCTTGAGCGCTGCACTCTCCGACTCTGCTGTGCCTACGATCTCTCTATGGACTCATCTGGATTCCCCACCGTTGTCTATGCCAGAGGTTGTGGTGTTTCCTTCACCAGATACTTCTTCTCCCGTTCCACAAGAGAGTGGGGATGGATTGCACGCCTACAGTTTCCATAATAATGCCACTTCCGATTCGTTGGTGACCGACGTTTCTGTCTCGACCACTGACGATGACCGCGTTATGGGAACACTTACCGTGGTTTCCACCGAAATCAACAAGCAGCGCAGTGCGAAGGTCGAGCAAGCGTTGAACACCCTGGGTACTTGATTTGACCGTCTTGCAATTTCACGACTAATACGTCAATGACAGACGACAAAGTTACTACGATCCAGGGTCAGGAAACTCTGGCAACTACTCTATATGCCCCAATCAAGGCGGCAGTGGCTCTTGAAGCTGTCAGTAACATTAAACAGTCCATCGAAGACGGCATAACTTCATTCCTTGACGGCATGCCTGTTTTGATGAAAGCTTTGGACGAAGTTACAAAGCTTCACCCTTTCATTGGAGGTGGCTAGCATGTGTCATGCGAACAAACCAGAGACTAACGAGTTTTCTAGTGGCCGTCCTCGCGTTCAAAGCTGTTTATACGCTCGAAACGAAGCGGCGAGCAAACGACAAGAAAATTATCGCTCTGTACGTGGAGATGAAGGATATGATTGCGGTTTTAATTCAGTGAGATCTTCTCATTTTGTTTCGGACTTCAACCCACAACAGCGACATACCAGATTGAAGGTAGTAAAAGATGAAGAAGATGTTGGCCCGGACGGTGTCACTCTAAAGGGCCGTCTGCAGGGTCTTGTGAAGAAGACTGCGGATGACATGAAGAACTGTGCGAACACATGTGATGCGTATTCAAAGATGAAGCTACTTGCGAAGGTCCTCAAAGGACCACTGTGGGAAGGCACTCTCACGGATTTCGGCATCATATTCACGAAGCGCAGGACCGAATTCGAATTCGCTTTGTCTATTCATATTGGCCGCGGGGTTGACGAGGCAAATCGAAAACTGGACAATCTAGCGCAAGAGCTGAAAGAGAGGTAAGTTCGTCTCTTTCAGCTGGACTACGTAGGTTATGCATCATCGTCTTCAGGACAGACATGTTACTCCAGTTCATGCAATCCTATGTTCCGCCAGAGCAAAGGGAACTCGTTGCATTAGTGCAAAAGAAAGGAGGGACTAAGGCTGTTATGGATAACGAGAACGTGCTGAAGGAGCTTAATTCGTACGAATCAAGGCGTCCTACGAAGACTGGTGACACGCAAAATCAAGCAAGTTTGGGACATGCTCGCACGAGCAAAGACGATTTCGAAGAATTGAAGTCGGATCTCCGCCACGATCCTGCCGCGGCTGCCATCAACAATTTTCAAATGTTTGAGCGCAAGTTTGCGATACAACAGAGGCAGCTCATCGAGGAAGTGGACAGAGTGGTAACGCGCGAGAGTGATCGGGTTATCCAGTCAGTAACCTCTGGACCGCACGACAAGGTCGTTGATCGGGTGAGCATCTTGTACTGCACCTCTGGCCCAGTCTTTTCAACGTGCGATCTACATGCAGGATCTTTACAACGTATGGAAGGAAATGGTCTGTTCCATAAGACTCTGCTTGGCTTTTTCGGACTGATATCGGATAATTAGGGATGGCGCGGTAGTGTGAAGGCCCGACACTTCGTCCTTGCTATTCGAGATTACTATCAGGAAAAGGCAGACAACAAGAGCAGGATGGAGTCCGCCTTTGAGACCGTTCCGACCTCTGATCCTGATGCGTGGGCTCTGGAATATCTCAGTGTCAAGTGGTTACAGCCTATCGTCGATGCGTTCGACGATGACGCTTCAGGATTCATAACTGTGGCGGAAGCCAACAAATTGATAGCAATTCGTCCGCTCGACTGGAGGTGAGTACTTGAGTCGGTATCTCCTCTTGCCAGACAGATTTAACTGTTCCGTGATAATAGCTTACTCCACTGGATCGCCTATTGGGCTCTCGGTAAGTCTGACTGTTGTTCACAATTTTCTTGCTGTTGAAATTGTCATGCAGGATGGCACATCAATGCCTTGATCTATGTCGACAGGATCAATGAGCTACTCGGAAAGATGTTTGCAATAAAGGGAGATATCCACGCTGCGAATGGTCCCTATGTCGACCAATACCTTGACACTGTATGGATAGGGGTCACCAGGTTGACTTATTCGATACGGCCCATGCAATCCAGCGACGATATTCAAGCACGATTCAAGAGTCATATGGATGCGGAAGAGGAGCGTATTCGCAGAAATTTGGAGGCTATACGATACGACATCGATGACGTGGAGACATTGCCGCTAATCACAGGACCTGGAAGGATCGAGAAGGTCAGAACCTCTTGATCTACTGATGCCCGACCTTGACGTTGTTCGCTCCTTTTGCACCCTAGAATATTTTCCCGTTGATTTACTTGCTCTTAAAGCGTGACTTTGAGATCATGCGACTGTGTCGAACCAAAGTGGTCAATAGGGATGAGCTATGGGATTGTGCTGATAGTCTGCAGCGGGTGTTTGATGCTCTCCAAGCCCGTCACGACGAGCTAGAAGGTGCGGTCACCTTAACGTCGTTTGTGGACCAATCTGATTCACAAATATCTAGATATTTTCAGACAGCAAAAGCTCGACCTCAATCAACAATTCAAAACTGTCTGTGCCGAGCTCGTACGTATCTTTTTCACAGCTGTCGCGTAGTATTGGCCGATTTAATTTCTTTCGTAGTTTGACTACTGGCATGACCCCACAACTTTCTTCACAAGATCAAACCTACGGTCACTCCAATTTCCTACATGCTTATACAAGGACGAGGAAGAAGCTCAGGATATCCGACCTGAGGACATCCTCAATTATCCCCTTGACGAAGATTACCCATACGATTGTGCTGCGTATGAAATCAGTGACCCGGCAGTCGAGACGGACGGAGATCACAAGGCGGAAGGTCATCTCAAAGCGCTGTGAGCTCTAATGTTTTATGTCTTTATCCGTCTCCATACTCATGCTGTTCATAGTGTAGGCAGGTGGCATGTGGTACTCGCTAGAGGTGACGAGTATCCATGTCAATGTATGTCCGTCTTCGACGTCCATGTGTCTGCGGATGGCCAGAGCATAGAGGGCTCGGGGAAAACTCTCGAGGGTACAGCGTATGCCATAAGCGGAGCAACCGAAACGGATTCTGACGGTCAGATATCCTATCGTTTTACCCAGAAGTATACTGCTCGGTTTTCAACGAAGTGCTTCTGTGGCCACCTCAATGAAGAATGCACCACGCTTCAGGGTGTCTGGGGCTATGGTTCTGCAGATGGCTCCAACGACGATTTTGTCATGTCGCGACTGGCGCCAGAAGTTCTTACATACCGTCCCTCACCCCGACAATTTGCGGAGAACAGGATAAAAGCTCTCTGGAAATTTGTGCTGTCAGCAGTCGAAGGCCAAGTCCGCAGGCAAATCTGGTCCTGGTCCCATTTCAAGCAACGCCGCGATATTCGGAAACGATACATTCAATTGCTGATTCGTAAATGGGACTTTGGGCGTCTACTCGAAGGAGACGAGGAGGACGAGCTTGCACGGTGTCGGAAGACCCTCACACCTGAAGATGCTCGGTTTTACGAGACTTTGTACCACTTCCAGCTCAGAGTCACTCCTGTTCACGTGTGAGTCCTCTTCAGACACAAGCCGACTATGTGTTAACGATTTTTTTGGCCAGTGGCGTCTCCTGCGACAACTGCCGTGGCATCATTGGCGGAACACGTACAGTCTGCATAGACTGTGATACAGACGCAACCGTCGATTTCTGCGATGACGAACGCTGCCTGAATGCAGAGGTCCAACGATTCGACTTGACATCGCCTCACCTTCCATCACACGCTGTATACAAAGTCAGGAGAGTCGTGCATCCGCGAGAGTTCGGCCCTGTGGACAGCGAGGCTCGAGTAGCATTGCAAAACGCTAGGGCGGCATTCAAGGATGCTGTGGAGGTGCAAGAGGAACGTACCGAGGGCTCAGCAAAGGAAGATGATCGCACGGCCAAGATGGTGAATGATAAGCTGAAGTGCCTCGTCTGTAAGAAACGCGTCAGGCAGCCTTGTTGGTTCTGCATGACGTGTTGGGGTGAGTGGTCCTGGCTCGCGAGTGATGCATCGACTCACTTATTTCTTCAGATGTATACATATGTCTGGACTGTGACCCGAAGGATGGCATCACCATCGATGGTCATGACCAGAGCCATCCATTGGTGCGATGTCAGGAGGAAGTTGCCGTCGAGGAATCCTTGACAGTGGAACAACGGATGGAAGCCCTGGAAAGTAAGTTTGGTACTGTGGACGGCAAGATTACCCAGGTCGACGAACGCTTGCTACGCATCGAACAGCTACTACAGACAATGCATCTGATCATGAGTGCTTCTTCACCCAGCACAGCGGTGTCGAGTTCGGCAGAGGAAACAAAATAGCGCATTCACAGATTATACTAGTTGGACATTGGGAAGCTTCCGACGTTGGGAAGCTTCCGACGTTATTCCTCGCCATGTACACCCGCTATGATTTTTACAATGATATGAATATTTCATACGGTTCTTTGACTTTCTCACTTGCAACAATTACAGCCCGAATTCTCGAAGGTTAGCAGGCATATTTGATCCTTTGGCCGCGTCGACATAATCTGGTCGTTCATTTCCATCGACCCCGTCATCTCCGGTGCCACGCGCGTCCAATACGTCGAATAGACCTCCTTCAAGAGAACTTTCATCTCTAACAATGCGAGACTGTAGGAAGATGCCGTCAGCGTCAGTCGTTTTGCAGACTTTATAAACTTACTGTTTGCCAATGCAACCACGCCCACCCGCGGCAAATGCGAAGAACAGCTGATTGCGATCTATCGCGCCTTCAGCGTCCAGCCATCGTTCTGGACGGAACTCTTCCGGGTTCGGGAATACCTTCGTGTCCAGGCGATGAAGTGTGTAAGCCTGGCAGCTGACTATCGTATTCTCCGGCAGGCGAAAACCTTCAATCGTCGTGCCACCCTTCGGCACCAACCTGGGAAGACTCATTGGTATCGGTGTAAAACAGCGCAGACCCTCCTTCACCACCGCATCGAGGTACACCAGATTGTCTACCGGTTCACTCGAGCTCTGCGACAGCTCGGCGTGTAGCTTCTCCTGGATAGCGGACGAGGAAGGGAGAGATAGCTGATACAGGAGAAAGCAAAGAGCGTCGCCTGTAGTGTCAATTCCTGCGACGGTGTGGTCCATGCATTCCGACGCGATATATACGTTCGGTAACGGCTCCTTCTGCTCCTGCAATTTCTCGAGCACTGTGTAGCTAGAGACGTCTGTCCGTCCCACCATCTTCTTGATGTAAGAGGTGATTACGCCAGAGGAACGGTCGTAGAAGCTGATACTGAATAGTTTGAGCACACGAGTCACAACGAAGTAGAGTTCCGGAAAGTAGTAATTGAAGTATGAGGCTTGATGGACAGTTCAATGTGAGCACAACGACGTAGCCCGCACATGACGACACACACTTTTCAGAGCGTCGTAATACGATAATTCCTTCATTGCGACCACATCAGACGGGCTGGTCAGTGAATGAAGTCCGTGAGGATCAAACACGTGATGGGTAATGCAATCAAGTGCATAACAGTGCAGGTATACCTATGAGATTCTCAGCAGCGGGTCAGAATGAGACATGACACACTACTCACGTATATGTCAACGGCAGCTCCCGGCTTCTCGGTGCATTTCATTATGAATTCTTCTGCATGTTCGCGGATGCCTTCAGCGATATGAGGCTGCATGATGAACATCTTGTTGTATCTGTCAGAGAACTTTTTCTTGGTCTCTCCATGCTAGGGGTCGTCTACAATGAGTGCCGGCCGAGTGGGGACAGCATACTTACAGATGTCTTTTCAAGAGTCGAAAACATGCACCTGGAAGACGTGAAGTCACGTCAGTAATCGGGGGGCTAATGAAGCTGCACTTACTGTGTGTCGAAGTTGTCAAAGAGGCGGTAGAAAGAGGTCTTATCGTAACCACTTCCGCCTGAGACATAGATTTCCTTCAAGGAATCCCAGGTAGCAAACGAGACTTCCTCCGGACCGATCCGTACCACTGGTCCATAACGTAGATGCAGGTCATGGATCCACTTCCGCCGCTGTCTGGTGAATTCCTTGTACATGACCCATAGCCCGGTCGCTGCAGCAAACCGGGGACCAGGGATATCCGCCAAAGGCGTATTCCAGAAACGATAAAAGAGCAGATATGCAAAACGCAACAGAACTAAGTAGACAGCGAACATCTTGTTTGATTCAATGTTGGGCTAGAAATTCACCGTACGTTGAGGTCAATTGTTGCGAACATTTAAAAGATTGGCCGCTGCCCGCGGCCATGCCCGAGATAAGAGGCCTTATCTAAATCACAGTCATAAAGAGTCGGCGCAAATGCAACCATGTTCACAGCTTGATACACCGTTTCCGATGGCAGGCAGTAAGTCGAGTCCTTTGACGGCGTTCAGATGAAAGTTATGTAAGGAGTAACTTTTTGACGACGGGTCCAGTCCGCAAAGGCAGTTTCTAATGGCATGGTGAAACTCAGACGCCGCGGAGATTGCGGAGTTCCCTCGAATAACCGGCGGAGTGAGAAACCCTGTGGCTCAGCAGTGGATGAGGTCATCAGGCACTCACGCAGTACAAAATCCGTCGATGGCAGACTTGAGATGTTAACTAGTGTTCCTATCATTTGAACTGAAATTTGAGACCTCTGTCGGAATGGAAAAATCGGCGGTCGTTGACTGGCCTCCAGCTATATCGGACTCGCAGCTCGAGGCTTTGACACTTCTGGCGACAACATATGCGTTATCGCATGGCTTGGTATATCTTCCTGCAGGGAATGTGCAACCGCCAGCTCCTACCTCAGTGATACACGCCCCCATTGCCTTATTTCCGTCACCGATTCCTCGCCATCTCTTCCTCCTCGCCCAGACACTACAGCGAACTTACAATGTGCTCTACGCACGCGTTGCAACGGATGAGAAGTTCCTGGATCGTGTCATGGGCGAGGTGGAAGGAGTGGGAAAGGTTGACGAGTTTACCGGCCAGCTGTGGCGGCGATGGCGAAAGTTGCGAGACGAAGGCATAGTTCAGGTAGGCTACTTGTCGTTTGTCGGAAACAGCAGCATATATATTTCTGAAGCCATGCAGCCTGTTCAACTCGGGTTGTTCAGATCTGATTATTTGTTGCACGCTCCGGACGGTGCAGACCCCTCGCTGAAGCAGGTGGAATTCAACACCATCTCTTCGTCTTTCGGAGGACTATCCCAACAGACCGCAGGACTGCATAAGTGAGCTCACGCATCTCCTGTCAGTCCTGTCGGCCTGTCTGAAGAAGTGAATAGATATCTGTACAAATCAACTGAGTATTACAAAAGTTCTCCCCATCTAAAGAAAGAGAATTTCCCGCCAAATAACACTATCGCCGGTCTAGCGGAAGGACTCGCTGAAGCTCACAAAGCTTACAATGTCGCGAAGTATGCTTCACTTGACGAAATGAAGCTGCCTTTAATTGATGTGAGGATAACCAGTACCCGAATTTTATTCGTTGTACAAGACGGAGAACGCAACGTGTTCGACCAGCGCTGGCTTGAATACGAGCTTCTTGAGAAGTACTCATATTTTCTTGCCGCCCTAGTAGCCAATCTGAGGGTTAGCGACGCAGACATTCCATCCATGTTATCCGGCAGAGCTTCAATCAGCTCCTTCACTCCGCCAAGGTCGACCCAGAAACGCGTGCCTTGCGGGTAATGCCGCCCAATTCCCTTCTCTCCGACGGCTCAGAATCGGTCGAGATATCCACCGTCTATCTGCGCGCTGGATACACACCCATAGATTATCCGACGTCGGCGCACTACGACTTGAGATACCTTTTCGAAAGCTCGCGGGCAATCCAGTGTCCCTCGATCCAGCTGCAGCTGGCCGGAGGCAAGAAAGTCCAGGAAGTGCTGACCAAGCCAGGCGTGCTCGAAAGTTTCCTAATGAACGAGGCTCGTTGGGGGACCGGGGTCGTCCCTCGCGAAGAAGTGGACCGGCTCCGAGCAAGCTGGATGGGCATGTGGGGACTCGATGAGGAGATCGACAGCGATGGTACCACTCACGAGGGACTGGGAGTCCTCAGGGCGCGCGAACTTTCCGCATCGCTTGTGCTCAAGCCCCAGCGCGAGGGCGGTGGAAACAACGTCTACAAGGAGGCGATCCAGCCATTCCTCGACAGCCTGCCACCTCAGGAGCGCGAAGCGTGGATCGCAATGCGGCTCATCGCCGTGCCAGAAGGATTGGGAAACTACCTTGTGCGCGCCGGTGGAGGTACGGACGGCGCCGTAAAGACCGAGGTTGTTAGCGAGTTAGGTATTTTCGGTTGGGCACTGTTTGGCGGTGCAGATGGAGGCGTAAAGGAGAAGGAGGTTGGATGGTTGCTGAGGACGAAGGGAAAGGACAGCAACGAGGGTGGTGTGGCGGCTGGATTTTCTGTACTTGATTCAGTTGTTCTCGTTGACTAGAATAGCTGCGCCATATCATACCATAGAGCTTTCGTAGTTGAGGCCTGAGGTCGCAGATGTATGAGATGAACGCAAATTGTATTCCAAGTACCGTGCTATGGTCGCAACGTGTGTACAAGTTTGATCATGAATGAATTACCGTTAGTGATTTAGTTGCCCGCGACGAGCTCCGCTGAGCTGGATTAGGATCTACCATAAATATATCATGCATTCCACTCGGAAGACCCTGCTCTCCGTTTGATTAACCTGTTGGACCAGGTTGCCCCTCGTCGCAGGCTGTGGTTGTTGGATGCCGTCCCGACCACGATCGTTTGCCAGTGTGACTACCAGACGCCATGCATTTCCTCCTCGTTGGCGGACGCCAAAAAAGGTCAGACGGTGAGGCGAGTAGGGTAGGAGATTGTGGATTTTCCACTGTTCCTCCGTTTGGCGCCTGGTGCTAGTTTGATCTCTGCCAAGAGGCCAATGGCCTAGGACGACTGCGCATAGGTGCGAGGTTACGCACTCGAGGGAATATGTGGTCATGGAATACACGAACCCACACCAATATCTGGGAGCGACGCGAATAAGATTTCATTATGGGAGTGGAAGGGAACCATAGATTGCTCTGTCTCGAAGTCTCGTAACTGCCTCCTCGTACTACGTGCGAACAGCCAGCTTTAGTCGAGTCGAAACTATCATCGTCAGTACTTGCTCGTGAACATTGAAGTGAGAGGCGCTTACCTTGTCAGAACCTGTCATCCTTTGACAGCTGTCTTAACCATAACTTCGCCGCGGCTGAGCACCGATCATCTCTCTCGGTCAGAGCGAGGATGTATACGTGACGTTAAAGACTTTCCTACCTTACGATCGTTTTTAGGGTCCATAAGTCTTTTTCCATGGTTAGTGACAATAATAATCTCGTCGCACGCACTGGAGGTGCTCTCTCGAGCGGTTTACCACTGCGAGCTTGCGATTACTGCGCATTCTACAGGTCCACAGATGGGCATCTAAACTTCTAGTCGTATTCTCGACGCTAGACCAAAAAGCCCGGATAAATGAATGCTGATATCGATAAATTGAACGTTACTCACCGCGAAGGCTCACTACTCATCACGAGGGGACATATGGGTATTACGTTCTTTTTTACCTACTGGCTGTGCGGATCCGTTAGAAAATGTGGTACGTTTTCTACAGCATGGGACTTCAACTAGCTTCGATCTACCGCATTGACTCACAGCAGTATACTCAGAAAAAATCAAAACTATCGGCAAGATGCTCAAGAGTGTTATCGAGATCCTAGTTTGAAGTATGAGTAAGACCGGTGAGTGACCTGCTTTCTGGGCTAGACTCATGCTATACAATAGATGAACATTTGGAAGGCGATCTAGAAGACAAGAGCAGATCTATGAGCATTTCATTTGAAGAACGACTAGATCGGGAAGACACGCTAGATTTTCATCCGTTTCCTCTGCAATGCTTCCGGTCTGTATGCTTCCGGTGTATGTTGGAGATGCACGGAATATGCATGATAGGCTTGGGGTGGGATATGACGTCCTCTGGCGTTGAGTTTGAAGCCAAGGTGAGCGTTCTGGTATTCTGCCAGCGAGCCGGCGTGCCGTCCGTACCTAGGCGCTTGCGCCAGTGTGGCGGTGGCGGCGACTTTCTCTTTTGTTCACCTTTCTCGTCGATCTCAACCACGGGCTACTGACCCTCGCCATAAAGAGCGCTCTATATTTTGGTGGTATGCTCACCACTACCCGTGCGCTGTAGAGAGCTCTCGCTGGAACGGGTGCAACGAATCCTCTACAGTTATATCCACCTGGCATCTTTGTGATATCCCTACCATCAATATTCAACGCCTCTCATAACGAACATGGACGCGTCCTCATCTCATTTGCAGGCCAAATCGGTTGGCGGGAAGCTCCGCAACATGTTTACGTCCAAATCCAAACTACTCTCTGCTCGCCCAGCCGTTTCCTTCCCCAGCCGCATTCCCGTCCGCAAACGTGACATCGACGAAGTCTCTCTGGATGAGAATGAAGGATATCTCACTTTTCCTCCTGCACGTGTCCGGCAGAGGTTGAACTCGGGCGCATCTGTGGTCACGATACGCCCGTCGACACCCAGGGCCCACACACCCACCCGCAAATCGAGCTTCGAGAGCATTCGGGCGATCAGCCCAGATGCGAAAGGCGCGAAACATCTCCCCTCAGTCACACCACCCGCCATCCGTGCTCGCAATCTTCCTCCCACGAACGTCCTCCGAGAGACTACTTGCTATAACAGCGTTCCAGCGGTTTGTGCGGAAGCGAGGACAAGCGTGACCTCCTTTCCCGTAAGGCTGGATGCTGCTCCATCCCCGGCGACGCAGTTTGTTTCGAAGACGGCTGGACTCACTAGTGCCGCTACGGCGACGCCATCAACGATCAGTAGTTCAACGCCGCTAGAATACACAAAGCTACACGAGTCTATGGAGAGGCGAAATGAGCGTTTCGATACGGAGCGGCATTCTGTCGAGGACAAAGCCATCGAATCCATTCGCGAGGACGTCCCCGAACGCAAGGTCACGGGTGATGATACCGACGATGAAGTCGAGCAGTTGACGGATATCTCTACCATGCCCACTATCCCAGACGAGGAGGACCAGGAATCTGAGCAGGAAAGAATCGAAGTCTCGGTTATTCCTGAAGTCAAACCCTACGACTGTAAATCTCCTTCAGGTCGTTTCCATATTCATATCAAGCCACGGAACAACTGGAATACGATGTGGGACGTGCCAGACAAGTATGTAGTTTTCAGTTGTTCTCAGCATTTGCCTTGTCTCACCTTTCGCTCAGGAGCTTTTACGCATGGCCTGCGATGCTCTGTGTGGCTGACAACAAGCCAAACCATGACCTATTTCATAGCCGTTGCCCAATTCAATGTTACGAGCTCATGTTCTACTCCGTCGATTTCGAGAATTCGCACATAGAGGACGCAGACGTCGCATCGGAGCGCGCAGATTACTTGGTGAAGTACACTGGCCAGACATTGGCCCCCGTGCTGGTCCCCACGTTGATAGACCCTTCTCGCGGGATCTGCACCAGTCCCGTTTGGGTTCACATGGAGCGACAGAATGTTGGGGACTCACCGGGCGGCACATGGCGGTTACGGTTTTGGGTACCTATTCCTATGGCGCTGTTCACTAGGCGCGAGAGCCGACAGTTCCGCCTGCGCGCGAGGGTTGGTCTTGGGGATTATGATGTTCCGCGGGTCGTTGTCGACTCGGGCGTCGTGGAAGTTGGCATCGAGCACTTACGGAAGGCCAGGATCATGCAGTGAGGTAACGTGGTTATATATCGTGCGCAGTGCGCATACTGCTTGTACTAGGAATTTTCACTCGTTTATGGTTAGTCTTTGGATCGGATTTTCGGTTGTCTGTAGCATTGCTTTCCTGTCGTTATCGTTTGCACTGTCACTCCTTACATTTGTAGCTTTTATTCTGTGTAGCAGCTACCTTGGTCATTGAGCTTATCAGATCCAAGAATCTGGTCGTTGTGGTCCAGCGACCTTCGTGTACTCACCGTCCTAGCTGTCCGCACCCTGCGGTGTGTCTCCAGCCTGCCAACTACTGACATATGCACAATAGTGTATCGGCAGTACTAGTGACAGAACATCCAGCGAGAAGAATCGATGTCTGTCATCTGAGAGATTCTTGCGATTGACAACGGAGTAATGGCGGGTGGCCGACGTCAGTTCCAATAAGGCATCGAAGTACCTTCATTATCAACCCAGTCTGAATGGAGAGAGCCTGTTACATCTCAACAAAATAACTTCCTCCAAGAAAGGCGCTGCTTTTCTTCCAGCTCCAGCGCTTCAGCACTGGCAACGCGTCCAAGTCATAGGCGCTTAAATTTCCAGTCGCGTCAGTCACGTGTGCGCGCTCGTCATCTCAGCCACACAATCATCTATCTTCATCATGCACTGCTTTTTTTCTGAACATGAACATATGATGCTGTGCTCCGCAGGTGCCTTACAAGAAATACACTGTCTCGCTTATTTGACACCGTTCATGTTTCGGCAGAATTCGCACCAAGTCTGCTGCTGTCTTTCTGACCTTCTCTCCTGATATCTCAGGCTCCAGGTTGGGTATAAATGATTGTGGGCTAGGTACTACTTTATCACTTCGATGTGGTTGAACAATTACGAAACACTCCCCTTGCGCAGAGTTCCGTTTCTTGCCACATTCCGTGTTCTCCATTCCACGACTTCACTATCGGGATTACTCCAACGTCAAACACTTGACGGAATGCCAAGGAACTGCTTTTAGCCGTCAGACATTAACCAAGTATCCGAGGAAGGCTACAGTTATCTTTGGCGCATCCAATTGTTCCTAAGCCAAACGTCGACTTTGAGCGTGACGTTCTCGCTGGGTGATCGTATCTGCTGTGCTTTGTTCAATATTTTAATATCCTCCACCTGTCGTCTGTCAGTGCACGTCTGACGTATCGTGGGTATGCCGCATGAAACAGCTTTGCCGGTGAGAAGCGGGCCCGCCAAATGCAGGCACGATGACACTGTGCCCCATATTTCGTTCGAGTCATGCTCCTTAGGCGTCGGCCTTACGCTTTGGTGAATTTCAAGGTCGCAATCAACAGGGGGTCAATGTTGCTGTGTGCTACGTCCGTTTTCGAGATATAAAATAGGCAATTGGACCGTCTCTCCCTCGACAGCCCACAGCACCGTTATTCATGGCCGACCTCGAGAAGAAGTTAACTCTGGAGAATACAGACTATTGTTCTTCGCCTGCGGACAAAACATCACGTCCGGATGATCATGTTCACGAAACAGCCCTTCCAGACGGTGGCCTGAAAGGCTGGCTCACCGTCTTAGGCGCATTCCTTGCATTGCTATGTGGCTTTGGGCAGCTGAACTCGTTTGGAACGTTCCAGTCATGGTACGCCGAACATCAACTCTGGGATAAGCCAGCATCGACAATCTCGTGGATTGGCACCTTGCAACTATGGATATTCTTCTTCTCGGTAAGATTATGTACAAACGATCCTTATCCAGCTAATTGGGGGATGACCTTTGATAGGGTAGCTTCCTCGGGCGTGTATTTGACGCTTATGGCCCACGGATCCTCACGATCACTGGAACGGTGGTACTCGTAGTCAGCATAATGCTGACGAGTTTATGCACACAATATTACCAGTATATGCTCGCTCAGGGCATTTTATTCGGGCTAGGTGTTGGCATGTTGTAAGTATTCATGAATTGTTTCGTGCGACGCTTCACTGATCGTATGCGTTCGAGATTTTACCCTTCGTTGTCGGCCATTTCAACACACTTTACAAAACGTCGGGCATCAGCTATTGGACTTGCCATGGCGGGTTCTGGCATAGGCGGCGTTATGTATCCCATAATACTCCGCCGGTTATTCGCCGAAGTCGGATTTCCATGGGCGGTGCGCATCTCGGGCTTCATCTCCCTCGCACTGTGTCTTGTGGCGATCACGACTGTCACAAGCCGCCTCCCAGCGGGACGTGACTCTGGGCCGTGGATTAATGCGTCCATGTTTAGAGACGTGCCTTACGTACTAGTCGTTGTTTCGGGCGCTTTGATATCTCTTGGTGAACCGTCTCACATTCGTACAGTAGAATCTGTACTGACAAGTATCGGTTTTAAGGCTTGTTCATACCCTACTTCTACATCGTCGATTATGCCATGGCACACTCCATCCCGGCCACTACCGCCTTCTACGTCCTCTCCGTCATGAATGCCGGCTCGGTCCTCGGGCGCATCGCCCCGTCGTACCTCTCCGACATGTTTGGGCGCTACAATCTTATCGTACCCTGTTCATTCTTGGCAGGGCTCCTCCCGCTGGTTTATTGGATCTTCGCGACCACTTTGCCCGCGATCATGATTTTCGCTGCGATCTACGGTTTCTTCTCCGGTGCGTTCAACTCGCTCATCATCCCCTGCGTTGCGCAGATCTCGAAGACGGGCGAGCACGGAAGACGTGTCGGCATGCTCTACAGCGTCATATCCTTCCCGTGAGTCAAAACCTGCATGTTATATTTCCATTAGCTAAGGGTAGTTGATTCGGTACTCAGGGCACTGTGCGGTGGCCCTGCGGCAGGTGCCCTCCTCAGGCTGCAGCACGGGTCTTACTCGGGCACGATCGTCCTCAGTGGGGTGACCATGCTGGTCGGATCTTTCTTCATGCTGTGGGCCAGGCTTACCATCGACCCTCGGCTTTCGGCGCGCGTCTGAGACTGTTTCTCCTTGCCATGCACGTCGAACTGATGTTATAGGCTGTTTGCATTAATTATACTGTACCTTATTAAATGATTACTTTACCTTCTGCAGGTCGACTGAGTGGCCGCACGACGGTGACCCGCTCAGAATGAACAACAAAACGGTGAAGTCTTCGCTAGCTTCACTACTGCTAGCCCGTGCCCACCATCTCTTTCGCAGCCATAGCTGTGCATCGAGCTGACATCGTTGGTGTCGAGGGTATAGAATACAAATATTGAGATTCAATGGATTGCATCTGTGTCGCGATCACGTGGTGCGCCTGACGCGTCGCGTCTCCGTGATAGTTGATAGTGCGTACGTTGCGTCGCCGAGACGAGTGCACGAAGAAAACTATGACAGAACAACACAGATAGTCATTTCCACGGGTACAAATGCAAGTCTAAAATAAAGGCATGACGGAGCTATCCAGCAATGCGAGAGAGAATCAAAACATACGATGCAGAGGCATGCGAGATGCGCTAAACCAACCAATTCAAGAAGGTTATTCGGTCAGAAAACATGCATGAAATATGTCTCTACCACAACTGTTTCCAGGTACACCTCGCAGAATCTACGTACCACATAGGATCCGTCTTAAGCCCTAGAGCAAGCCCAAAGAGTTTTACGTCGTCCTCCGATAAAGTCCAACGGAAGCGGTAGTTGTTATAAAGCGAGATGACACAGGCATCCCGGAATTCATCAGACATGATCAGAGAAACCCGCAAGGTTTTCTGGGGAAACCGAAGGCCAATACTTGCCGCCACCCGAGCCAGAATTGGGTTGATGAGGAGACATTCCTCCCTTTTCTTCCGGTTGCCCTCGTCTTCACCTTCGTATCCACGTTCGTCGCCCTCTTCATTACCATGAATATCGGTGTACTCTCTTGCAAACCGCCGCACAGCAGACAGTCTGCAGGCCCAGCCGAAATGGACCACAGGCGGAAGGAAGCCTATCCGTCGACTGTAGCGTAACAGAAGAAGGGCCGGGAGACGATCTAAGAATGGTGTCATGTAATCCATGTCCCGCTTCTGGCGTGGTTCAGGGGCATGTTACGAATGGGCTGGGACACTCACTGCATCCGGAAAAGCGCTCCAAGGAGCTGATAGATCATTCACGTGGGTGTGAATGTCGATTGTGTAAGGCAGTGGAGCTCGCATAATTGAGCAGACAGAGACAAGAGTGAAGGACGTTGAACGTGTAACTTTGAACGCTGGAGGAGGTTGCAACTTACAAGCTTGCGTCGGTGGCGCAAGGTCAACTATTGTCGTAGAAAAGACAAATAGAGACTCTAAGGAGTTTTAGATGGCGCTCGAAATGTACTACAGATTACTACCGGGACTTGAAATTGACAAGCCTGCGATTACAAAGCCTTCAGCTGCCGACGGGCGCTTGTGAACCCCGCGGACCTAGCAGCCGCGTCGCTCAGGGAAAAATTCCGAGTCGCAAACCAGGCCGGATGCCGTCTCGCGAAACTTTCGGTCGAAAGCAATATGCATCTTCAAAAGGGAGCTTCAAATTCGCCAACTCGAGCGACATAAGGGGATCTCTGGCCAGCCAAAATGAGAGCGCTCTGATCGAAGGTATGCCTTCATTATAACCGATCGCCCTTATGAGCGTTGTCTTAAAGCTCCAGATTAGCCCTAACTGCTCTCCGCAATCAACTGACCATAAGGGAATGCGAGACTCGAGTTTCTGCAGACGACGAGCGTCTGATACTTGCTAAGTCCTGGCTGGATGGCTCTCCCGGGGCACAGGATATATTCGACATCTGGGAAGGGTCCAATTCGGTGAGTCCTCAATCATTCCTCTTGCTTGCGCTTCTAATGTTTGCACGACCATTTACCAGAGGCAACACACACTTCTGGCTCTCGTAGTAGCTGTCTTATCTTCTTTGGTCGCGCTCCTCTCCTCGCACTACACCTATCATGTTCTTGCCTACCCCATCATGAGAACACTTCTATCACCTCAATGTACCCAAAGGCTCAACTCATATCTTGGCGGCTCACACACTGAACTGTTGCTGGTCACTCTGAAGTTGTTCAATAGCATGTCCGATTTCGCTGGTGGAAGGGAACGAAGAGCCGTGTTAGATTCGTTCGCCTGGGAGACGAAAGTATGTCTTGGATCACCTCGCTCCCATCGACATTGATTGAGTTCTCCATACAGTCGCTCCCTAAGCTCTTACACATGCGGCGCAAGGGAAAGATCAAGGACAACGTCGACATCCTGGTCCGACCAGGTGAGTTCTCAACCTGATGTTCGATCTGCAAGCCTAGTTTTGACTGAAATTTTTTCATCAGATATCCGAACGCTTTACATCCTTTTCATACTCTCGTTTGTAGATACCTCGTCATCTACTGCGGTGAAAGCAGCATTCATTGAACAGCGCCGCGATATATTGTCGTCCATCTTCAAAGGATTATCTCAAGATCCGTACTCGCTTGTCAGGAGAGTACTGGAGATTTGTTGGACAGGTATCTGGTCGGATGCAAAAATTAGGCGGACGCTGAAGATTGGTCTATTCAGCGAGGCTGTGCTCGCGCAAGTGTGTCTACGCTTATTTGCCCTGTATCTTCGTCATACAAACGAAAATGATAGCTTGTCAGGCTTTATGAACGTCTTGCCCCAGAAAATGGAGAATCCGATCACGTACCGGCAGACATAGCCCATCATTTCCTGCTGGCGATCTGCACTCGCCCTGGCGTTGGTCTCTGCTTTCAAGACCGAGGTTGGTACCCTCGTGAGTCGGACCTCGATGATAGCGCGCCTCTTGAAACTGGTGACGAGGCGAGGCTGGGTCACAAGAGTAGCAAAATATACAACAAGGTCCTGGCCAATGTTCTGAAAGTACTGAAAGTCAATGAAGATCCTCGTCAACAAGAGTTGGCTCTCAAGGTTCTTGCCGCCTGTCCTGAGCTGGTTGCAGGGTGTGTCCAATTAAAGCGTCGAGTAGATGGGCTGACTGATGATACGAGCAGCTATTGGTCTTCGGCTGCGTTAGCGTTGGAGCCACGCATTTCCTCGAAGTGGATCACCAACATCGCCTTCTTCGGATCTGTCGTCTCCTTACCTGTGCCTCACTCGACGTTCCTGAACGACGACGGCCAGCTATATCGCCCGGTTCCTCCACCTCTAGGCGCTATCATCGAGAACATTGTGCCTTCGGGTAACATGAAGGTCCATCTTTCTCGTGGGTTGCAGTCACCCTCTGCGCTTGTCCGGCATTGTAGTGCCCTGGCTCTCGCGAAGTGTCTGGTTAAATTTCAGGCTGTGTTAGATGTATTCTCTGCTATAGAGGCTGCATTGGAGGAAGATTCGGAGGGACAGTGGTATGAGCGACGCACAGAGGTCGAAAGAGAGATCCGTAAGAGAATCCCCGATTTCCAGGTTATTGTCGGTTTCTCCCAGAGGTTAGGTGACTCTTCGTCTTTCGCATCTAGTTCTGCTGGGAATCACTCGTCAACGATCGGCTCCAGTGTGTCTCATTCACCCAAGAGGTCGCTGTTGCTGGAGAGCGCCCAGAGATTGCTGTGGCTATATCATAGGTCCTTGCCATCCCTTGTCGCAGAAGCTCGGTTTGACGTTGGAAAGCTTCTTCAAGCGTTCCAAGATGACGTCTCTGGTTCCCACTCCAGTGCGTGTAGGGGCTTTGACACTCTTCGGCGGCTGCACGTCTTAAGGCTCTTACGAGAGAGTGAACAATTTACATGGTCCTCCAAAACAGGTCACATACTTATGCCACCTATGTGTCCTCGATCACTTATACTTGTGCTTACAGGCTCGCATTCTCACCTTTACACTCTCCTTCGGATCTATGTCTCTACGCAGAAGTCTGTCATCAAAAAGGCCCTGGCATTTTTATTCCGTCAAGTGTTTTCTTACAGCGTGATCTTCCAGCACGATCCAGACGAGATCACGCTTTGGTTGGACGCCCTCCCTAGGACGAGACGTTCGCAGGGTGCGACGACGCTGGACGGAGTACCACTGACAGACGAAGGCGACGGCGTCGCATTGTTTCTGGACGCTTGTGCCCAGCAGTGTTCGTCAAACCCCTATCAGTATCTCGAGGATTTACAGACGTTATCAGCCCCGCACGCACAAAATCAGGATGACTCTTCTACATTCAACGCCCAGGAATCCAGCAAGTATCCCAGCCCTTTGCTCATAACTGTTCTCGAACAGTTCGGGCTGAAGCTGAGAGCCAAGGCGTTGTCCCCGTCGGACGCGTTGACCATTATGTCTTTCCTCAGGAAGCTTGTGATTCGGCTGGCAAGCAAGTCTTCCACTCTGTGTTTCCTGGAACGGTTTGTGGTAAACGTGGAAGATGTTACCGGCTTCCTATTCCAAGAACCTTTGTCAATGTCTCCGATCATTTTAGCTGCGATTCGGCGCGAAGCTTGTCTTCTTAGAAGTGGATTGTCGCAGCTCCGCCATTTCTCGGCATCGATAGCCCCGGCCCCTACCCCAGCGGTACAGGAGTTTCTAGCGCGGGTAGAGCACCTGTCAAACCGTCAGTTTACACATTACTCTTGAAAGCGTAAAACAAGCTGACTTGATTTGTATACCAGCTATATCTCCCGAGGAGCAGGAGACATCTGCGTACGAGTTAGTGGACTGGTTACGCTTAGCGGACTTTCCGATGCACTCTTCAGAAGTTGCACGACTGATCGCTGCAGTTGAACGGTTCCACAAGGGAGCCCTTAGAGAATTATTCGAATATTTGGAGCCAAATCAGCAATCATTGTGGTCAAGCGTGAGCGTTGCGGACCATTTCGTTGCTTGGCGCGATCAGTACGTGAACGTAGCAAGTCTATCACCTTCCTTTCTGATTTTTTTTTTTCAGGTTGTCCTTCAGAATACTGATCTTGCATTGTGATGACGGCACTCTCGCCGATCCTGGTTGTCGTCAGATTATGGTAGAATCGCTTTCCGGAGATTCTCTGGAGATAGCTGATGTCAAGAGAGCTACCTGTCTTGTGAACCACAGGATGCTTGCGTCGAGGGATGACGACCCCGTTGTGCAGAATCTCCTATTACTTCTGCAATCGATGATGGAATATTCTCGAGCAAACCTCACTTCTGAAGACTTCACGGGCTTGGTACAAACCTACTTCACCTCTGAGGCTTTCAGAGAATATTGCAGCAAGCCTGCTACAGTTGCGATCCGACAAAGTAGGATATTTACCTTTCTGACGATACCATGTCTTTCTGATGAGGAGCAGGTATTAGCAATCTACTAGATATTTCCTTAGATTCTTCTAAGGACGATGACAGGCTCGTCGTCAGAGAGATAGCCGGTCTTTGGTCCTTGACTGTAAAGGACGCCTCGCAGGATACGACAAGCGACAAGGTACGTCTTCGTTGAACCAATAAGCGTTAGTTGACGTCGCTGGGTACAGATGGCTACCGCACTCTTGTGGACCAGATATCTGGATTCTGACGAGATCCTGGCGTTATTCGATTCTCTGAGCGATGCTGTGGATATTACCCCTGATCGCATTACTGTCATTGAACACCTACTTCAAGCTGTCTCACCAATACTCTCTGCCAATCCTGGCGCTGCCAAGTCCCGTCTACGTCGGCTCATCCGTCTACGAGATCTTTTACCGCATTCTACGACACTTGAAGCTGTGCTTGCTACGGTTTCTCACGGAAGTCTGCCACTTTGCTACGATAGTCGTCCGGTATTGCATAGCAACGAGAGCACGAATACCCTCTCCCACTTTGTTGCCCAAGCTCAAGCGCGATGGTTACAACGCTTAGATTCTGATGACGGTCATATCCAGGTTGACAACTTCCTGATGATGGACAACATTACAGATGCCGCGGTCGAGATCGTGACCAGTGTCATTTACCGACGCCGAACTGCAAAGACGGCGACTCTCCGGTGGCTTCATGTTGCTGCGTCTGGTAGATGCTCTCCACTCCATCTCGATCGCATCATCCTTGCCTTGTGCGATTCCACGGAGCACTCCGATATTCTCAACCAAGCGGAGATCCCGACCTTGGCGTCTCACCTTCAGTACTTAGTTCGAACCATTGCAGAGCGCACAAATACGACAGGTCACATAGAAACATGCTCCACTTGCGCTGCATGCATCACCTCAATGGTGAAGCAGTGGCCGTCGCTACTTCTAGAACTCCTGGCTGCGTTGCGCAAGGCGTGCGAACTACCAGTATCGGACAAATCTTATTCCTACTTCCTCATGATAGGCAGACAGCTTCTCAATCTTCCAGGCCGTGAAGTCGCGAACGTTGTCGATGTTCTTGTTGATTATGGCCTAGTCCGGGCTGTTCACTATTTCTCTTCTAATGCGACAGGATCAGATGAAGCCGCCGAAGCGCTGGTCGACCTCGGTGAGCATTCAGCGACCTTGTGATGGCAATATTATTAAGGGTTGCTATTAGCGGTTTTGACGGAGTTTTCATCGAGCGTCAAGGCCCATCTTGCAGAGCCCGTGTTGGCAGCCGTCATCCAGCATTGTATGTCAAATAAGGAAGCATTGCGCTTTGCGCGATTATTGGTCGAAATTGCTCCGATGAAGGTGAGCAGGACGATGTGGTATATGATTTTAACGGAGTGGACTCACGTCAAGAACTAGCCCGTCACAGTCAACCGAATTCTCCAAAGCATTGTCCAGCACCCCCAGTTGTATACTTCGTGTGTGGTCTCAACCGACGATGCATCCCCTCGGACCGCTGTCATCGACTTGTTATCAGTCCTTTTCCATCTTCACCCATTGAACACGTGTCAGCCCACCCACGTCGAGCCTTTACGCCGCATCTACGGTGGTACCCTATCAGAGTCAGACACGAAGTTGCTCTCTATCTTTAGGCTGTTCGAGAAGACGCGGAAATTCTCAATTTCTGCTCTCCTCAGCAGTTGGTCTTCATCTCCGGATATTGTCCCAGTTAACGCGCTCGAGGCCGTCCAGAGCCTCGATCCCAACCGAGTTTTCAAAACATGTCTCTCGTTTCCGGACCGCCGGCGTCTCTTTGATGACACTGCTGAAGGCAGCGATGCAGACAATCTCTTGTATGATCCTGTTTTTGTCGTCTTGTTATTCGCGCAGGTGATGGCGGAAGGACCGCCCACTTCGGCTTTGTCATGGATGCAACTGTTCAGAACAAATGTCGTGAGTTTGTTGGTTCGCACCTTGTCCGCCGAAGACAATCACCTGCGGGATGTTGCCATGGCTCAACTTGCTGCACTGTTCAAGTGCCTGCAGGTATGTCTTTACTTATCTGGGTACATCCACGAACACTCATGTTCCATTTACCAGGACGCTGACGTGCAGGAGAAGCCACACGTTGATCACATCCTCAATATGCTCAAGGATCTGGTTTCTAAACCGTCTGGTGACAACGTTCCTCGTATCCCGGCGTACACCACGCTGCTTCTCGCGCATTCTCTCCGTGCGATCTTCTATCCCTCAAATTTCATCTACCCGCTTACGGCGCGATTCCTCCTTCAACGCCCTGAACTGGATGCTCACGACGTACCTATGCTTTTCGGGATGATCTACAGCTCGTCGGACCAGTGGAAGAAGGAACGCGGATGGATCTTGAGATTCCTCAGTGATGGGATGGTGGGCTCAGAAGAGTGGAAGGTGCTGAAGCGGAGACACACCTGGGATCTGTTGGCCAGTCTTTTCCAAAGCGAAGAGAGGGACTCGAATTTAAGGCGAGGCGTTCTCGAGGTGGGAGCAATATTCTCGTCGACTGTCATATTATTTCTCATCCTCTCGCAGGTGCTTGCTAATATCACCTGCAATGCCCGTGCGACGACGTCGTTGGTGTTGAAGGGCTCGCTACTCTCGTGGATCGAGCTGCAGCTGAGATCAACGAGGCCCAGTGAAGGTATCGCCTGGATACGAATTCTGGAGAACGTTGTCTGCGTGGTGAATCACCAGATAATTGAGGCGTCCACATACGGCGAGTGGCGGTCTATCTTGAGCAGATGCGCGCTCATGGTGCTGGAGAGTTCATGTGCGTAACCCTCACTTCGCGGCGAAGGCCTGCCACTAAAGCTCAGATTTTTCACTTGTACAGCACACACCGAAGGCGTCTTTCCGGCCGCGATACCTCTCTTGCTTAGACTCAGTCTACTTCCCGGTCCGCCCAGTTCTCACATCCGTCTCTTAATCGCTCGATGTCTCTCGTGGATCAAGGCCATCGAGAGTGAAGTCGAATTTCCTCCATCCGGACGCCTGACCAGATCTCTCAGTCACGCTGAGCACGCTCAGGTGCCGTCGGCACCACATTACTCCCGAGGTCTCTTTGAGAAGCCTGTCTGCTCTTCATTGCGAATTTGGGGAGATGCTGTGGAGACGCTGTGGCGGGTGTCGATGACCCTGGAGGAAAAGACTGGAGAATGGGATGAACTCACTTGCCGCTTGTTGATTTGGCGGTCCATGGCGGGTGAAGGAAGCTCGGTGGGAGAGTGGGCAAGGCGAGAAGTGTTGCGAAATTTGGAGAGCCCGTCGTAAAGCCTGAGACGAATACTGGCTGCAGACTGAATCGCTATACTGTATGTAACCCATTAATTATTAGACTGCTGTGCTGCATTTGTATCTGATCAATATAATGCCTGCTGATGCTCCATACAAATGTTCTCCTCGCGTCGAACAGCGCAGGATTCCGCTGACGTTGAACGAGCGAAAACTGGAGCGCACTGACAAAGATGAATATTACAAAGACCTAGATATCCGGGGCGAACGGCGAACCGTGAACACGTTGAGCACAGGTAAGCGAGTGAGTTTCGACAATGATCGTGCGCTATTCAGTCATTATGTTCCGATTCCAATACAACCTCCATTTCGTTTATGTCATTTCCATTCCCTGCATGCGACGTGAAGACGTCCGCTCCGGAGGCTAACGCATCGACGAGCAACGAAAGACGTGAGGTAGTAAGATTCGGCTCCTGCGTGGGGTAGCAACTTAAGCCCATCGTCGAAACTCGTCCAACTGAAAAACTTACTTTGCGTATTTCTTCCAAATCGTCCTGGAAGGTATCGGCTACGGACGCCATCCAGAACTTCCGGAAGCGATCTCTCAGAGCCTGTTCGTTCTGCTTGTCACTAATTGCCTGCGAAAATGAGGGAATTGCCACAGGCGGGGGTGTGGGGGAAGGTGATCGTCGCGGTGGAGCCGCTATGGTGGTTACACCGTGGGTGCTTTTATCGGCCCTAATGTCGGTCTGAGGGTCTCCAGCATCCAACGACGAGTCCGATTCGGACTCGGTGTCTTCTGAAGTCGATGGCTCTGCGACCGGTATCTGTGCCTTAGGCTGAGGCTTCGGAGAGGATGGCTCAGAGTCGTCAGAGTTGGAATCAGAAGAGGACGATGAGGACGAGGCTGCCCGCCTTCTGCGTTTTCTGTTCCTCTTTCTCGGCACAGTGGGTTTGGCGGACACTGGGGCCATGAGCGCGAGAGCAAGAGCTGCGACAGTCACTGTCCGGGCCGGCGAGAAAGAAATATGCTCAAGCGCCCAGAAGTAGGTCGCGTGAAGCGCCGGTTCTTCTCAGCTGCGTCCTGCTCGAAATCGTCTGTACATCTCAGCGGCACGCCGCAAGGTAAAATGGACAAAGTTGTTGGAATTTTAGGTGGGAGTGGGTCATTTGCTCATGCGTATCCTCTTCTCGGCCTGATCGATATTCGTCCGCTGACAGATATTCTGCCTCTTGCGTGTACTCTACGCTGAGCTTCTGCCTTCAATGCATCTCCTTGTCTCACAGGTGGTGGCCAGCTCGGCCGTATGTTAGCCGCCTCAGCATCTCTGCTGAACATCGACGTCGTCATACTCGATGTCGGAGACCACACTCCCGCGAAACAGGTCGTCGCACCAAGGACTCCTCGGCTATCCCACATAGATGGATCTTTCGCCGACGCTCAAAAAATCCGCGAACTTGCTTCCAAGGTCGATGTACTCACCGTTGAAATTGAACACGTCGATGTCGCCGTGCTCGAACAAGTGGAGTCGACAGTACCGCTAGGCGTGCATCCCAGTCCGTCGACCATTGGTATCGTCCAGGATAAATTCGTTCAGAAGAAGCATCTGTTCTCGCATGATTGTCCAGTGTCCGAGTTCATGCAGGTCGAATCAACTGTGGAGGCAATTCAGCATGCCGCCAGCGTACTGGGATTACCACTGATGCTGAAGAGCCGCACCCTGGCGTACGACGGCAGAGGAAATTTCGTCATCCGGGATCTTTCTCAAATCGAGGCCGCTATATCTGCTCTGGAGTCCCGTCCTCTCTATGCGGAGAAGTGGGTGCCATTTGTGAAGGAAATTGCGGTCGTGGTCGTCCGGTCCACCACGGGTGATGTACGTTCCTATCCAGTTGTCGAGACGATCCACAAGGAGAACATATGCCATCTCGTGTTCGCCCCACTACGCAGCCGGGATCCTACTGTATGCTCTCGGGCCACGGCAGTGGCAGAGGCGGCGGTGAAGACTCTGCGAGGAGCTGGCGTGTTTGGAGTGGAGATGTTTCTCATGGAAGACGGTACAACATCCTATCATCTGAAGGTTTTCTATACTAATGCCTGAGCAGGTTCGGTATACCTCAACGAAATAGCGCCCCGGCCCCACAATTCAGGTCATTACACCATCGAAGCCTGTGAAACCTCCCAGTACGAGAACCACCTTCGCGCGATCCTTTCACTCCCACTCGGGTCCACCGCCCTCAAAGTCCCGTCAGCCGCAATGCTCAACATCATCGGTACCTCGTCAAATATGTCCGAGATTTCTACATTGGCACACCACGCGCTCACCGTCCCCGGCGCGCGCGTTCACTTGTATGGTAAGTCTGAGTGTCGCAAGGGTCGCAAGATGGGCCACGTCACTCTCGTAGCAAACTCGGACGGGGAACTGCGCGCCCGCGTGCGTACGCTCTTGGAGTGGCTTCCCTCCGGCGGCGACGTGGATGAAGTTAACAGCTATGCACCGTTACCGCCCCTTCCCGGATCCGGGCATTCGCACCCGCAACCACTGGTCGGCATTATCATGGGTTCGGACTCGGACTTGCCCGTGATGCTCCCTGCGGCGAGGGTCCTCGATCGCTTCAACGTCGCGTACGAGCTCACCATCGTCTCTGCTCACCGCACCCCGGATCGCATGGTCGAATATGCGCACTCAGCTGCATCGCGAGGGCTAAGGGTGATCATCGCCGGTGCTGGGGGTGCCGCTCACTTGCCTGGCATGGTCGCTGCCATGACTCCGCTTCCCGTGATTGGAGTCCCGGTCAAAGGAAGCTCGTTAGACGGCGTGGACTCACTGCATAGCATAGTGCAAATGCCCGTGAGTTACATCCTGCACGCCGCACGTTCTGCTGTCTGACCTAGATCACCAACAGAGAGGCATCCCAGTCGCGACGGTTGCGATCAATAACGGTATGAATGCCGGGCTGCTGGCAGTTCGCATTCTCGCATCGGGGATGCCCGATCTGGCGGATGCGATGAGCGTGTACATGAAGAACATGGAGAGCGAGGTGCTTACGAAGGTGGGCAGGCTGGAAGAAGTGGGCTGGGAAAACTATGCAGTCGGCTCATGACGGAGGAAGGTAGAAGAAAAGCATCAAGCGCGAATGTACTGATGTAGAATTTATTATAATTTCCGGCGACACTCCCGCTGCAAATATAGTACGCATTTACGAATTTTATCTGTCGTTGAGAGCAGGGCGGTCACCGTTCACTGAACTCTCGCTCTGCATTGTTGTCCAGTTTTGTTATCGATTTTTGCTGTGCAGAAAGAGGAACTCACGAGTTACACGCACAACGGCAACCTCCACCGCCATCTGGAATAATCGAGATGCCACACCGGCTTCTCCTTGACTTCCAGCGCCACCGCAACCTGCTCAATCAGATCGTCTGGCAATAGCCTGTTCAGAGAGTAGTTGGTGTACAGCGAGATGGCGATAGAATCGTCACCCGGCTTGAGAATGACAGCAACATGTACAGTTTGGGCGGGAAACTGGATGCCTCGCTTGCCGGCCATGTGAGCGATCGCAGCATCCATCGTTTTCTTGACGTGGAGTGTAGACTCGAGGTACTCCTCTTCGGTTTCCGAGTATCCGTCATCATCCTCATATGTTTCGTACTGCTTCAGCTTGTGTATTTACGCGTACTTCAAGAGCTTAGGCGCGTTGTAAACCCAGCCGAAGTGGAGGAACGGCGGCTGCAATGGCTGACCACGCCGAGGAATCAAAGTCCACCGGAAGGGGTTCTAATGAGGGCATATACATGGCCTTCATAAATTCCTGAAATATAGCTGTTAGTCTGTAGTTTCTCCTTGAATTTATGAAAGACGAGTTGGATAACTGAACATACTTTACGGAAGGGCATTTCCTCTGTGGGCTTCGGCGGCCTCCACGGGGAGGGTAGATCATTGAGGTTGGCCTTGGTATCAACAGTGGGAGGTAAAGTCTTGAGCGCTGAGCTCTTGGATAGGAGCCATTACAGTAACTGCGTGGTGTTGGCATGCGATGGAGAACCTTAAAAGTAATTAAGCTTCCGGCTGGTATAGTGTTTGAACCAACACGCGATCAACCGACCAGATGGGAAGCTTCTTTACTAACTTAGGCAAAAATTAGGATACTCTTACGGTTGCCTCCTCGAGCGAGTGAACTGACGAAGATGTGACGCGGGCTAGCTGGCGCGAAAGAAGTAGAAATATTTTGTGTTTTATGCGCACAAGTTTCAGGACGATGATATCCAGCACTTGCCTGTCCGAACTTGAACTTGAAGTGTGTGGCACCGCTGCAATATGGAAGTTGCCGGGCGGCCCGGGCCAGAATCTGTGGCTGGCCAAGTCGGTGAGCATGAGTCTTCAAGTTCACTCTCACTAAGTCGGGAGCTTGATCAGTCTTCCTCATTTCATCGTTCCTCTCCATACGCTACTCATCCATGAATCATTCAACGAGAAAGTATCGCCCTCGGACTCGTACGGCCAAGAAAAAATCACCTAATGTCCTTGGTTTGAAGCCTAAAGTGGCGCCTGCTCCCCCAGAAATATCATTCCCGGCTTGCAACCTTGTCCGCAAGCGGGACATCGAAGAACTTTCAGAAGACGACGAAGGTTTCCCTGCCGGTCTGGAAGGCCACACGCGCCGACGATGCGATTCGAGCTCTTCTGTGGATACGATCTGCCCACCCACGCCACGCGCATTTCGCCCTATGCTCCACGAGTCTCACTCCGAAAGCTTGTCGACGAGCCCGAAGTCAAATATGCGAATCAGCCACAAACGCTCTGGAGGGTCTTCTGACACCGAATTCAACCCTGTTCGAGCTACCAGTGGCCTCATCCGCGCTCCCTCCATGTATCTTGGATGTGAGAAAGGCGACACACTCTTCGCGAACGATGCGGACGACGAAGAATTTTTCGGGGCCACTGGCAGCCTCAACTGCGACTTCTCCTTTCATTTTGACCGTGAGGCGGAGACGCACGAGTCTCCCTCTTGGTCGGACAACAGGGCTCTCTCGGCAGGGAGCTGCCTTTGGAGGAACTCAAACCAACCTGCAGACACGGTCGGGCGGAGTCAGTTCTCGCGCGCGCCGACTCATAGATCTTTTGCCTCCGGGAAGGAAAATGCTTTTGATGCAGACCAGCTATTGGAGGACCAAGCCTTTCTCAGCGATTGGGCAAGGTCCGCAGTGGAGCTAAACTCCAGGGACAATGAGTCCTTGAATGATGAAGCTACATCCGATGCCGCGGTGAGACCCACTTCTAGACAGGGATATAAAGATACTTTCGTGATCGGGAAGTCGCCCGATCCTGATGTTGTCGAAGGTCATGACGACAGGGCTCTTCGTGATCTTTTTCACTTGGATATTAAAGTCCTCCACAAGTGGGTTGCCGTGTGGGATGCTCAGGTCAAGTACGTCACCGCAGGTTCTTCTTCGTGTCGTTATGTCTCACACGCTTTCCAGGGACGTCTGGACATGGAATGGAAACCTTCATGTTAGCGCCACCGGGCCGATCTCAGAGGAATTGCTGAGCGGCTGCACATCTCGCGTCCAAGAAATCATATTCTACTCTGTCGACCGGAGTAATCCTGATATCAAGCTCGACTATGAGAGCACTGTACAACAGGGTCAATATGTGGCTAGGTATCCCCGCCAGCCTCTGGCTCCATCGCGGACCGTTCAATGCGGCGTGGAACCCGTGCATCGGATCTCCGTCGACACTTCATGGAAGAGCGTGGAACCTGGCTGCGAAGACGCACAAGCTGATGGCACACGCACACTAGGCTTCCGTGTCCCCATGCCTATGAAACTGTTTAGTGGGTATGAGGGCCGAAAATTCCGCGTACGCGCAAAAGTCCGGCTGGCATTCACGTCCGAAAACGTACCCGAAGTCATTGTGGATTCGGGTGTGGTAGACGTCGGTATCGAGAGTCTGCGAACGGACAAACACATGCGGTGAGGAAGTATTGAGAAAGTTCTTGCGCGGAGACGGCGCGCGACCGACCGCATGTTTTACCCGTTGGTTTATGCTTAGCATTGTTATTATGCTGTTAGATGAACTTGTCTATGCCCTGTTTCTACATCGTCGCCTGTGCCTTCGCTCACTCCGTCTAGCCCACCATCACCCTCAACCTTCTCTGAGTCATTTCAATCCTCGGGGGCGCTTTCCCTGCCTTGATACGTCTGAGCGGTGCAATCTGGCGTTCTAAGCAGTGCTGCTACCGTATCGACCAATATCCAGGCCAGTCTCGGCGGAGTGGTCGCAAAGGCACTCCGCGAATCATTGTCAATGCGATGGAGGAAGGCAGCCCCAGTTATTACTATTGAATAGGTATAGAACACGATAATGAGATATAACGCGACACGCGACAGAGAACGGGCCAAGATGATACATGTACATTCACTAGAGGGTTGGACAAAGCCAGCTAGGTGAGAACGGCTAGAGGCTGGGCAAATTCGACTTGGTGCTGAACGGGTCGAAATGGAATCTCGAACTGGAAAGGGCTTTCGCCAGCACGCGTGAGCACGAGCCGTGAGCCTTCTGGGGTACTGTACTTCTCCGCACCAGGGCGTAGACTTTGGCGACCTACCCGCATGGCTGTCTCCCTGGAGACGAGTTTCCCTCCGAACGTATAGACACCTGGGTGGGAAACGGGCGAGATCTCATAGCCATCGGGGGTGTTCACGGGAATGCGTTTATCAACGTGGTAGAAGTCGAGACAGTACTGCCCGTACTGCTCCATGCCACCGGACCAGATGCGGATGGCGAAGGGGGAGTTAGGGATTTGAAATATAGGACGCCCTGCTCATTCGGCTGTGGTTTCTCCTGGTACATAAAACACGAGTCAGTCAACGCTTGCACGGGCAACAATAGATAATAGATAGGGTGATGCACTCCAAGTGCATGACGTCTACCGTTCGGCGACCGGGCAAAGATGTCGTCCCACTGCTTGTTGTGTCTCGCGAGGTGTTCAAGAAGAGTGTCATCGGTAGCACCCGTCGCGTACAACATCATCTTCAGAATCTTCTCGTCCATGGGCTGATGGTTGGGCTCATATGTGTGTCGAAGTTGTTGCGGAGAACGGGCTCGGGAGCGCCGCGCTGGTGGGAGGTGTGGCAGTCAACATCGGGTTCAAGGGCTTTAACGCCATCAGATATGAGCATCTTGGAGACAATAATACGAAGACGTACGTTGTATGAAGCGCGCGGAGGGGACGACGTTCTGCTCCGTTGGAAGACCGCTACGTGGCGGCTACACCGCGATACCAAGGAGCGACCAATTTTCCACGCGACGCGTATTGATCACGTGCCCCCTCTCTCTGCATGTGCCAACACTGCCATGATACTCCTTGTTCCACTCCGCAACAACGAGCTTCTGGAATAAATGTCTTTGCTATTCTGCCAGCTATACTCATGAAGCTGGAGAGGGATGAATACTTGAAATTTACCCTCCCATACCGGTCATCTTATTGTCCAAGACACGCTGTTCCTTCAAGTTCACTGCATCTGGATGCCGAACCTTTTCAGAAGATAGCTCGAGCTCGAGGGGATGGAACTTGCAAGCCTTGAAACTTTGAAGCTTGAGCTCTAACTAGTAGTGGGTGATAAACGATCATCTTCCCCCAAAGGTTACGCCCGCTCACGCTCAATCACCCAGTGCTAGCTACGCAGCCTACTCAGCTATGCGTGCAACACTTGGAAAGCTGCAATACGGTAGGAATGAGACATCACAAAGTGAGTCGCGTTGCTATGCTGCCTATGCATACTTAAGGTTATGGCAGATGCCAACAGTCAACTCGGATTTCTCGGCATCTTTCCCCTCCTCTGGAATACACTGCTGGTTGCTGTATCTATCGAAGGGACTGCACTGTCGAATGACGCGCTGTGCTCGATGTGATCGACAGACTGACTTTGTGACTGAGCGCGTCGAGCTAGTTCGAGCTGCGTCAGGTCCGGTTCAACAGCTCCGATTCCCATTCTGCGGTTCCCAAATGGCATTAGCACTGCGTCGAGGGAGCCGACTACCTTACAGTCGTCAGCCATCAGCCAAGTTTCCGATGACAACCGGAGTCATATGGGGCGCCTACCAGTCAATTTCCAAACTGAGGGTTCAGCGCCCCGTCGCCTCTCCGCATTTCAGCCGACCTTGTCTGCTAATTGTTCTGCTTTTTCCTATAGAACATCCATCGAGACTCACAACATCTGCTTCTCAGCTGGCGGTATGCGCTCGTCGGCGATATCGTGGGTGCGCTGCGCGAATTAGATGCAGATCGGAAACGCTGCTTTGCTAAACACAGGAACTGTTGACGCGATACTCCGTATCTGCCTCGGGTCACACCCCTTGGAAGTCGGCATGAACTGGTTTCTCGCACGTCAAAAACGCAGATGGCGGGTATGATGCCGTCACGAGCGGCCTCTCTGTAACAAGATAAAAGAGATGTATCTGTAACTTTCCCTGCCTTATTCCCGACAACCTGCCACCGCGGTTTTACTCATGCCTGATCTTGAGAAGAGTTTGACTGTCGAATCCATCGAAGGCCATTATTCTCCAACGGAGAAATCGCCACGTTCTGTTGAGGATGTCGACAGAGATGGATATGAGTTTGCAGAGGGTGGGTTCCAAGGCTGGCTCACCGTGTTCGGCGCGTTCCTGGCACTGTTCTGTGGGTTCGGGCAGCTGAGCTCGTTTGGGACGTTCCAATCGTGGTACGCAGAGCATCAGCTCAGGGGGTTACCCGCGTCGACAATTTCTTGGATTGGGACGTTGCAGCTCTTTTTGTTCTTCCTCTCGGTGAGCTTTTCCAAAGATCGTCTGAAGATACGATTGTAACCGCAGCGACTATGACAGGGTGGCTTTCTTGGCAGACTTTTTGACGCTTACGGACCACGAATCATTATGATGGCCGGAACAGTGGCACTTGTGATCAGCGTGATGCTCACGAGCATCTGTACTCGATATTATGAGTATGTTCTCGCGCAGGGCGTCTTGTTTGGACTCGGCGTTGGCATGTTGTCAGTACATGTCATCTCTTTTGCTATATCGTAATTTCTTACGCCAGAATTGCGGATGCAGATTTTATCCATCACTATCAGCCGTCTCTACGCACTTCACAAAGCATCGTGCCACTGCCATTGGGATTGCCACGACTGGCTCTGGCGTCGGCGGTGTCGTATACCCTATAATGCTTCATCAATTATTCTTAAGAATCGGTTTCGCATGGGCAGTGCGCATCTCTGGCTTCGTCTCCCTTGCCCTCTGTCTCGCTTCAGTTCTATTTGTCACGAGTCGCCTACCAGCGGGTGGTGACTCTGGACCGTGGTTCGACACCGCGGTCTTCAGAGACTTGCCTTACATACTGGTCCTCGTATCTAGCGTTTTGATATCTTTTGGTAAGACATCCCTCTCAAGACTTTGGGAGCAGAGCACTAATACATTTCGGCGCACAGGCTTGTTCATACCCAATTTCTACATCGTCAACTACGCCATCGAGCACTCCGTCGCGCCCGGCACCGCTTTTTATGTCCTCTCTGTCATGAACGCTGGCTCGATCCTCGGACGCACCGTTCCGTCCTACCTGTCCGATGTATTTGGGCGGTACAATCTTATTATACCGTGCACGTTCTTTTCAGGGCTCCTCCCACTCGTCTTCTGGGTCTTTGCGACGAATTTAACGACGATCATGACCTTTGCTGCATTCTACGGCTTCTTCTCCGGAGCGTTCAATTCGGTCATCATCCCATGCATTGCACAAATCTCGAGGATGGGCCAGCACGGCCGGCGGGTGGGCATGCTGTACAGCGTCATCTCTGTCCCGTGAGTGTAAGACAAAGCGATTCACTACGCTCTGCTGACTCATGGATGGTGCAGTGCGCTATGCGGAGGTCCTGCGGCGGGTGCGCTGCTGAAGCTACAACATGGCTCCTACACAGGAATGATCATCCTCAGTGGGACGACTATTGTTGTTGGGTCTTTCTTCATGCTATGGGCAAGACTTGTGATTGATCCACATATCAGGGCTCGCGTTTGACACTGTCGTGGTGATCGCCATAAATTATCGTATCTTTGTTGACAACCTCGGGACTGAAATGTATTGTATTGGTATGTAGATATCGACGACCTGTAGCGCTTATACACAAACGGATTGTTCACAACTGATGTAATTGCTGTTACTCTAAATGAGACACATTGCGTCAGTCTATCAGTACATCTACGGGGGTAACTATCCAGATATCAGTGCAACAGAGCGGCATCGAAAAAATCTAACCGGGTTCCTTCTCTACCTCGCTCTCCCTTATCTCACTATCAACCACCTCTCCGTGCCCCGAGCCGTTCTCCTCCCTTATGTCGCTTTCCTCATCTCCAACCGATCTGACCTCCATTTCCGAGTATTTCTCCCGCTCCGTATCGCCACCCCCAGCCGCGTGCCCGCTCGCGTCGACGTCCGCAGCGACGGCCTTCTCGACGTCTTCCTCCGCGAGGCGCGCACGCTCGTCGAGCTTGCGCTTACGCACCTCGAACCCGCCGGCGTACCCAAACCAGGTGTACCGCGGAACGTTCGGGCCGCGCAAGAGGAGCACGCCGAGCATGAAGCCCGTCCATGCGAGCGAGAGCGCCGCTGCGGGGCGCCGCTGCGGGGCGCCAGCCGTACCTGTTGAACACCTGCGTGCCCACGGAGGTGCCCATCACCTGCCCGATGAAGATCTGCGCGCACCGTAAACATCCACTACACAGACAGACGAGTAGACGGGAGAAGGGGGCGCACCGAGATGATGAGGACGGCGTTGAGCCGGGAGCGCGCGTTGGCGTCCAGCCCGAAGACGGAGGTCGTGAGCGAGACCTGGCACATCTGGCGGAAGACGTCGAGCCCGAAGCAGACGAGCACGACCGCGGCGATGTTCACGCCGCCCGCACCGACCTGGATCGCTTGGAAGACGAGCAGGGCGAGGACCGCGAAGAGCGCGCAGAACCACGGGACGAGCCCGTCGATCACGCGTCCTACCAGAGGCGCCATCGCGACGCCGAACATGCCTACCAGGCCGAAGAGGCCGATAACGAGGCTGCCCCGCGCTCAATCAGACAGATGTTGAGCGCGAATGGTTGGAATATTGCTCACGTGGAGTAGTGATAAGGGGGTCCGCCGAGTAAGAATGTCAGGGTCACCTACGAGCGGGTTAGCGGAAGATATCACGGGGTAACCGCATACGACGGACCCAGAAGTTTGTGAAGCACGCGCTCGAGGGGATGTTAATAAAGACCGCCTGGACGAGCAGCGGCTCCGTAAACAGGAACTTGACCATGCTTGCCATTATCCCAATGTACGTCGCGCCTTTGTTGCGCGCGGGATAGTCGGGCAGGACGAGGTACAGCAAGAGCAAAACGCCGAATTGCAGGCCTATGGCAAGATAGTACACCACGCGCCAGGTCACGAACTGGGCAATCACGCCCGCCACCACCCGTGCGATGAGCACGCCCAGGAGTAGCCCTGCTAGAACGATCGAGAGCGCGGATGCCCGGCGCTCAGGCGGCGCAAGGTCCGCTGCGAGCGGCATGAGGATCTGTGGTGCTATACTCATCATGCCAACGAGGAACGTCAGCACTTCGAAGGCGACCAGACTCTTGGTGACCGCGAGCCCGATGGTCAATGAAGAACTGATGAAAATGAGGAATAATAGGAGAGGCCTTCGCCGGAGTAGATCGCCCAGGACAGATATCGTCAGAAGGCCCGTAGCATAGCTGCGAGTAATATCAGCGAGAAAAACAGGACCTTACGCATCACAGAAGGTGCCTACCCCGCCTGCACAAGTGTTGGTATCCTCGACACTTCATCGTATGTCACATTAAACGATTTTGAGAATTGAACTGCGGGAATAACTCGTCAAGCGAATCGGCGAAATGAAAGATGGACGCACTTAGCAAAGGCTGGCAATAGTACAAGTTCGCGACGACTGTACGTGATCAACACGCACACCATCCACAGACCGAGATCGACGTACTGAAGGTACTCGCAATGCCAAAGGTCGCATTCAAAAGCAGTCCAAAATGCGCCGGGTGTTCAGGATCATAGCGCAAACTGGGGGGAATCGGCAGAAAGCCAAAGTCTTTCGTTATTTGTTCATCCACGCTCGAAAGGACTGCAGCAGTTACGGGGAGGATCTGCGTGGTCGTCGTGGGAGAGCCTAAGGAGTTTGACGTCTCAGGTGCGGTCGACTTGGTCGTCGACATCGTGGAAGGCACAGTCTGCAGACAAGAACATTCCGTGCGGGACGACTGTTGAAGGGACCAAGGGGATGTCGCGTGCTGCTATCCGTTTTATAGACCTGTAGAACGGAAAGCGACGGTCTTGCCGAAGAACGGCACACTGCAGCGAGTGAACGTTTCAACAATTTCAACAACGGCACCGTGAGGTATTTCGGTCTGCTATGTCAGCAGGCGCTGGAGGTAACGATACGGATGATATGTTTTTCCAAGCACGAAATACCGAAGCTCGCCCGAGCAGGACAGACAGGAAGACGCGTGTGTTGGAACATCGGCCGAGGACTAGAGTGGTGTCGATAGCGCTGAAAGAATCGTCGAATAAATCGGGTGATCGGGGTGGGGCAGATCTCAAGGGTACGAGGTCCAACAGACTCCTAGCCAGTCGTCTCCACTTGCTGCAGCTATATGGACATGAAATGCAGAATTTGACGGAGGGTGAAAACACACAGCTGGCGAGGGACAGGAGGTGTGAGTCTTGTGTCTGAATATCATTCCACCGCGGCGCGACGGCTTGCACAATGATGAGCTGAAGACTCTTGAACAGACGGGCAATACTGATCTCGGCCATTCAAGCGAGTCTTTGTAAGTTTCCAAGTCAAAGTAGCGCTTTTCGATACTCTCTGTACGAGAGGAGTCCATCTCTGAAGTGTCCTGTCGATCGTGTTCTAACTCCCGACGCGACGCGTCGTGATCACGTGGAGACAATTCATAACCTTACTGGAGACTGGGGGCCAGTCTGGGATACCGGATTTGGGCAGATGGTCGGCGTCATTTGGCAAGTCTTGGCGGGCAGCAACGATTTCCTACGACTTCCAACGACGACGACGACGACTTGCTCATCCAGCACATTGAGGACGCGAAATTTACGACAGCGTCAGCGCACAGTGTACGAATTTTATACTCTTCCGGTCGTTCTCTGTGCAGTGAGCACACGATATACACGCTCCTTGCTTGCTCCTTGCGCGCAGCTCCCATCGCGCCCGAACACTGCGACCCGCAGTCCGTCCTCCATCGCTTTGGACAGTTTTGGTTGTCATTTATTCACCATCTTTTAAAGACATAGGTAAGCTATGCAGATTATCCATAGCAGAGAGTGCACAGCCTTTAGGCTCCAAGCTCCGCAGCGATCTTGGCACATACTTAACGTTTCCATTCCTCAGCAGACGCTGCGCAGAAGAAGACACTGGCAATGTCCCAGTACCCACCACCAGTACGTCGCGCCTGACCGTCTCTCACAGTGTTACTGATCGCGAGCAGGTCGACGAAGCGCAACGCGGACACTACAACGATGGCTACTCGCCCTATCCCCCACCTGCGCCCAATCCGTACGCGCCCTCCTTGACACCCGGGTTGTATGAGCATGAACATCAGCCATATCAACCCATCCATGCCGATCCGTTCGTGAGCCCGCAAATCCCGCCTCCCCCAAGCCTGTACCAGCCTCCGCCATCGCCGCCCCACCCAAGTATGTACCACTCTCCGCCACCCCTGCACGACTCAAACATGTACCACTCCCCGCCTCCCCTGCAAGATCCCTACATGAGCCCAAACCACCCAATGTCCCCTCCGCTTCACCCCGCTTCTTCCCCTTTACGTCTCCCGCCGCAGGGAGATTACCTCAGTGCGGGCTACAGCAGCATACACTCGGTGACCCCTCCGCCGCAGATGATGCCCCCGTCTACCTCGCAGCTCGGGCACTCCTCCGTTTCTTTGTACGACCAGGGGCCTGTCCTTGAAGGCGAGGACTCGGATGCGGACAATCTCGAGACGGGCGATATACCGCTCCTGCGGCGTGATAACTCGGGGTCGACCCTGCCGATGCCAGGGGGATACGAGCCCGTCTTGCCAGACGACACTTCAGAGAGCAACATCCGGTACGGCAGGATCCCGCAGCGCGTGCCGCGGCGATACAAAACGATCAAGAAGGTCGAGTGAGTGCGATGCGGCGCAGCTGTGGCGATGACCGCTGATATCTTCGTGCCCGTGCAGGCTGTTCCACGGCAACTTTGTGCTGGATTCGGCGGTGCCGTCGAAGCTGCTGAACATGTGCGGGCAGCGGAACGAGCGCGAGTTCACGCATATGCGATACTCGGCCGCGACGTGCGACCCGAACGACTTTAAGGAATCCGGGTTCACGCTGCGCCAGGGGCATTACGACCCCCCTCGTCGGACGGAGTTGTTCATCGTCATGACGATGTACAACGAGGACGAGGAGCTGTTTTGCAGGAGCATGCATGGCGTCATGAAGAACATCGCGCACTTGTGCAAGCGCGATAGGAGCAAGACTTGGGGGAAAGACGGGTGGAAGAAGGTCGTTGTATGCGTGGTGTCTGACGGACGGCAGAAGATCAACTCGAGAACGCTGAGTGTTATTGCGGCGATGGGTGCCTACCAGGATGGTATCGCGAAGGTCTGTGATTCTTGGCCTTAACGGTCTCCCTTGGTGGTACTCACATGTGACTAGAATATCGTGAACGGCAAACCCGTCGCCGCACATATCTATGAGTACACGGCGCAGAGTACGTACAACCGCCCCCAATTTGCGTTGATCGCTTACGTCTGCTCCAGTCTCGGTATCACCCTCAATGAAAATTGAAGGGGCCGAACGCGGGATTGTACCTGTACAGATCATCTTTTGCCTGAAAGAGAAGAACCAGAAGAAGATCAACTCGCACCGGTGGTTCTTCAACGCGTTCGGGCCCATTTTGCAGCCCAACGTCTGCGTTTTGCTGGATGTGGGCACTATGCCCGGCCCGACCTCCATCTACCACCTTTGGAAGGCGTTTGACATTAACTCGAACGTCGGTGGTGCGTGCGGAGAGATCGTGGCGCTGAAGGGCAAGTACGGCAGGAACATGCTGAACCCGATCGGTACGTAAATAGGCATTACTAGGTTACTGACTGCGAGACTCAGCGTGGTGTCTGTAGTCGCGGCGCAGAACTTTGAGTACAAGATGTCTAATATTTTGGATAAGCCTCTGTGAGTTCCACTTTGAGCATACACGACGAGGCGAGGTTGCTCATCTTGCTCTTCAGGGAGTCAATTTTTGGCTATATCACCGTGCTTCCCGGTGCGTTTAGTGCGTACCGGTACCACGCTCTGCAGAACGATCCTACGGGGCAAGGGCCTCTCCAGAAATACTTCCTGGGGGAAAAGATGGTACGTCACAGACGTGCAACCTCGTCATGCAGCGGTAGTGCTGATGCGTCATGTCCCCCAGCACGGCGCGGGTGCAGACATTTTCACGGCGAACATGTATCTCGCTGAGGATCGTGTAAGTGCTGTATGCGGCGTGCGGATCGTCGATCGGGTCTCACGTACCTGGCCCTAATAGATCCTGTGCTGGGAGCTTGTCTCAAAACGCGGTGGCTCGTGGATCTTGCACTACGTTAAGTCTGCGTATGCCGTCACGGACGTTCCTGATCAGGTGTGTTTGATCTTGGACCTGCCGTTACCGCGACTCATAACAATCTGTTAGATCCCGGAGCTGATCTCTCAGCGACGTCGGTGGCTCAATGGCTCGTTCTTCGCGGCGATACACAGTACGGTGAAGTTCTACTACATCTACCGGTCCTCGCACGGCATCCTGCGCAAGTTCTGGATCCATATCGAGATGATCTACCAAACTTTCGTCTTGATCTTCTCTTGGTTCGCTCTCGTGCGTATGACCAGCCCGTTGCTGCTTCGCCATCTTGAATGTTGTTTGATCCTCCAGGGGAATTATTATATCTCGTTCGTTATTCTCAGCGAGGCGCTGGAAGACCCGTCGTTCCATATGAAGGGCATCAATATCGTGAACATCATACTGAACTATGTCTACTTGGGTCTACTCGTCATGTCTTTCCTTCTTGCGCTGGGCAACCGACCACAAGGTGCAAAGTGGCCATACACTCTCGCATTCGTCGGTTTCGCAGTGATCACGATATACATGACGGTAAGGTCTCTTATGGGTAAGGTGGTGCAAATGACTGAGGTTCTGTGAACAGGTCGCCGCGTTCTTTCTCGCGTTCAAGGGCATCGATAATGTCGTGAAGTCGCAGGGCCCTTTGTCTGTCAGCAGCCTTTTCGGCAATGCGATCTTCCGCGATATCGTCATCTCGTTGCTTGCAACCATCGGGCTGTATATCTTGTCATCCCTGATTCACGTCAGTATCCATATGCGATCCGCTTAGCATGCGAAGGGCCTAACATCTGAGAATAGTTCGACCCTTGGCATATGATCACGTCGTTCCTTCAGTATGTATTGATCTCGCCGTCGTACATCTCGGTGTTGAATGTCTACGCTGTATGTGGTCTTCCCTAAGAATGACGTGTCGAGGCTGATTCCCTGTTTACACAGTTCGCAAATGTCCAGTCAGTGTGATGTTCCACCTTACCTCCGACGTGTCTTAACTAATCATTCTTGTCAGCGACGTTTCGTGGGGAACGAAAGGCGATAATAAGGTGTCCACCGACCTCGGGGTCGTGCAGACGAGCAAGAACAAGAACGAAGTCGAGGTGGCGGTGCCGACTGCCGAGCAGGATATCAACGCCGCGTACGATGACGCGCTCGCGGTGCTGCAGACAAAGCCGCCCAAGGCCGAGTCGAAGCCCGACGCGCAGACAGCGCAGGAAGATTATTACCGGTCGTTCCGGACAAAGTGCGTCTGTTTCCGCTCGTTCGCGCTGAGACCGGCACTTAAGCTACTTTGTTCGCAGTGTGAGCTGATTAGCGGAGAATAAGAATGTCTGGATCGGTCGCTGACGTTAATTGTCTATTCCAGGTGTTGCTGGCATGGACGTTATCGAACGTTGGTCGCTGTTTCGTCGGATTTGAAATGCCATTTATATCTGACCTTATCTGTATCCCCAGGGTCTGCTAGCGGCCGTCGTCGTGTAAGCTTTTCCAATCGCCGAGCTAGACGGCAGGCAATTGACGTGTTGCTTAGATCCGCAACGGATGATGCGAAGAATTCGAGTGCCGAGAAACGTGTAGACGGCTATATGGCATTCATCCTCTTCTCCGTGGCCGGACTCGCATGTAAGTCTCCGTGCACGATCTCTCCCGAATTGGTGCGCTCATTGCATGCACAGTTGTGCGTTTCATTGGATCGACGGCGTATATGCTCGTCCGGTTGTTCTCCGGCGAGTAGAGTGGCGTAGGCTCAGGGTCAATGGTCTTGTGAGGATCTGTTTTGTCTCGGACGGTCGTTCTCGGTTTGTCTTGCTGTCGAACTCTACGGATTGGTGCAAATCTATAAATTGATTCTCGCTACACTGCTTTGCTATTGATACCCTGTATAAGTACATTACCTAGTTGAACGAACATGAAGAATGCAGTACTAGCTGTCGTGACGACAAATGTTTTGGTGTTAGGAACGGACGAGACCAAGACGAGAGACGGTCAACAAATAACGAATAACGATGCATAGAGAGCCAGATCTAGAGCCAGAGAGTGAGTAGGGTTGTCGTGCGGAGCATAGGTATGATAGGTGTGGAATAAGCCATAAGGTCGTGTCGCGAGCCTCGCAGAGCGCTTGCGCCGCCTTGGGATCCAATTAGGGTATAATAGAGATCAGTCGGGTCCACAAGGTGGCGTCCTCAGTTGACCTGGGCAACCTCAATACAACGCCACGGTGACGCGGAGATGCTTACTTACCTTGCGCTTCCTGGTCGCCACGACGATCGCATCGTCGTCCTCGCCCTGAGCTGGGGCTGCGCCACACGGCGCACGTGGCTCGAGACTCGGCACGCTATGACTGCAGTCGCGCGCAGGGGAGTCGGGATAGCCTGTGTCTTGCCGTCGCTGAGTCCGGCGCAGGACGGTGTTGAGCTGTGGGCGCGGGTTCAGCATGCTGTGGCGTGTGGCCGAAGGGACCGGGCTTACCTTGGCTTCGCTGGCGCGTTTGGCACGCCCGGAGCCGTAGTGCACCATGTCGTTCGTGACAGCAGTCATCGTCGGAAACGAGGACAGCGAGTGCGCGAAGCTGGGGAGCGAGGCAATTGCGGGTGTACCAGCGGAGGGCCGTGTCGGACGCGTCGGATGCATGTGTGGCGAGCCGTAGGAGGAGGAAGCGCAGGAGGCTGTGGAAGAGGAAGAAGAGGAGGATGAGGAAGGAGAGAGGCAGAGAGAAGCCATGATATACTGCTGGGACTGGGGGCGTGCTTTGGCTGGGACAAAGCAGGAGATGGTGGCACTGGTATATGAACGGCGCCACTGACTGCGGTTGGTCCGTCGCGCCTTCCATGCTGGGACAGAGGATGGAATAATCAACTCCTGGTTGCTTCTTCCACGCGTCTGCCATGGTGAATGGGCGCTCCAGATGGCCAAAGCAACGCGATCCTGCTCGGGGATTGCCGGCCTGATCACAGGACGCTTTGGCGCCTGCGCACAATGGGCGTCCACCAGTACCGCGAGTGCGATAGACGGGCCAGATCCGGGTGGACGAGTCAAGTCCTCTATTTCACGGGCGCGGAGAACAACCAGCCTGCGACACGCCGCACGTTCGTATCAGAGAAATATCGCTGATAGTCCCAAGATTATCTCGTTCCGTGAGTCATCGCCATGCCCTCGCCCGGACCTTCGCTTCCGAGGACACATACTCCTGCCTCGCATCTACCACACACGCTCGTACCTGCGGGGGTGGGGAAATACGCCAGTCAGCGGCACCACGCGCGGACGGCCACCCACATACACGAACTTGATCACTCGAGTCAAAATACTAGGCCGGAAATAGTCTCTATGGTCCGTAGCCACCGCACACAGTGCCACACACACACCGTGGCTGCACCGCTCCGACGTCCAACTTGACCATCGGTGCACCGCCCATCACCGGACGCCTCCTACACGGTCCGCCACAGCGTCTCGTTCTGCGGGTGCCGCGGAGAGAAGTGACAACTCGTCCACTCTTCGTCCACGCAGTGCCAGATGAGGTGGTGCTGCCCGACCCAAAACGACACATAGCGCAGCGACGGGCAGTAGATCCGCAGCTCGCTCGCGAGCATCCGCTGGAACACCTCTACCGGCTGCGGTTCCCAGTTGAACACGTCCACCTCTAGGACGTGCAGGGCCGGCAGGCGCATCAGGCACCGGTGCACTTCGCTGCGCTGTGGTTTGCCTTCCAGTCAGTCTACATGCACGTGCGGTAGGGTCAATCACTTACGTCGTCGTATGGAATCGGGAGGATCCCGAGGTGGCGCAATGTGGGTGCAAACACGGACGTCGAGATGAGCTGGAGCGTTTCGAGCATGTAATGTTCCGGCATGAACGCAACGTTGAGACTCCGCAGCGTCTTCATCGACCTGCCGAGATCAGTGACGACCGTACCCAGGAGCACCGCGGTGTCCTCTTCGAGCATGATCTGCAGATGCGTGAGCGGGCACGCCATGAGCTCCGCGACGACAAGCACTGGCCCATTGTACACCTGCAGCGACTGGAGCTTGCCGGGTGTGATAGCGGGAAGCGGACCGTCCTCGAACGAGTCCTCCGTGTGCAGCACGCGGAGCCTATTCTGCGTCTGGAGGAACGCGACCATCTCCGCGTCCCAGGGGAGCTGGAAGCTGGCCTCGCGCAGCTGGAACTTGTACGTGGGCGAGCTGAGCACCCACGTGTTTGCATTCGCCGGGTCGTTGAGCAGCAGGAAATCCAGGTTGACCATCTTCGTAAGCGCGTCCTGCACGGCCTGCCAGAATTGTGGCGGCAGCTGCACCATAGTACGCGGCGGGAGGCGCCGGGTGTCCTGAGAGAACCAGAAGCGCTTCACGTACGCTCCGCGCACGCCACCACGTCCGACTATCGCACGGCACGCGCGATACGCTACGCCCATGTCGCGGAGAAAGATACATTCGTATATCCGCGCCTCGGTAGCGCGTTGTAGCGCTTTAGAAGTCAGGCACAGCGAGAAGAGATCGCGTTGAGACGAGTAGTGGACGATCTGGTTACATAGCTCAGCCGGAAGCGCGGTCATTGTAGCCTTGAGATTGTTCTATAGATAGGCGAGGGTCAGAACGATCTGCGGCGCGAAGTAAGAGTCAACACAACTTTTAGTGCAACGCGACTATCGGTCGAATGGGCCCTTGTTCGTTCGGATTCTCTAACAGCCCACGACGTCAATTCAATAATGCATCACATCTCTGGGCGAATTCCTGAAGACGCTTTGGGTCTTCCAACACCAACGTTACGTCTGCAGACCATTCCTCCAGCAACCATCACAACATGCACCGCGCCCCAAAATAACGAAGAAGCGTTGAAGACTCACATCAGGATTTCTAGAACGTCGTTTATTGCTTCGTATGTTTTCCCTTGATTATCTATAATGCCAAGAATTACCTGCAGGAAGGAGGGAGTCAACGGGCCACCAAGGTTGTGAATATGACGTGACTATCGATCAAACAGACTATTCAGCCTTCTCTGACAGCCAGTACACACGACAAACAAGGGCTCATGTTGTTCCAACACGTCAGGCTGATCGCAACCATGCAAGAATCAAACGTCGTTGCCCTTCTGTGGCGAGGAGCGAGAACGATGGAAACCACGAGGACAATCGCATCTTTGTGGCAAGCCTGACCCCCTGTCGTGCTCGTAGTCCATTGTCTGCTGCGTCAATGTGTGTTTTCCCGGCGAAAAGCGAGAGTGGTCCATACGAGATGGCTCATCTCCTTTGTCGATCATGCAGCTTGGCAAAGCCGTAAATTCTGGACAAAGCGCAGAAGCTCTGCGACAGCTTTCAAACAGAACGGTAGGACCCTGCGCATATGGGTATCTCAAGCACGAATTGCAACGATATCCATTTGGCGCCACACAATTCCACGGCAGGAAATTTTTGGCTCCAAGCACTCACCGAGACGTCCTAGATTATCCCTCTTCCCCAGTATTTTCTCTTCCGAGTATCCGTAACGAAGATTTATGTTCAGAATTTTGAACGCAGAGAGGAGATTGGTGGTAAGTAGTCGCGGTCACGGAGCGAGCAGGTTCGGAGTTGCGCGAGATTGTGGCCGCGCGAAAGAAGCGCCGAGGTTCGCTTGATCTTCATCATCCACCATCCGCTCGCTTTTCCCCTCTCCAATCCACAATTTCTGCTATTTCTGCGCGCGACAATGGGCGAATCTCGCACGGAACTGTTGGCATGGGTGAACGACCTGCTCCAGATCAACTACACCAAGGTCGAGCAGTGCGGAAGCGGCGGCGCGTACTGCCAAATCATGGATTCGGTCTATGGTCAGTAATCCACCGCACTTTCGCTCGTTTCCAGCCCGGATAACCGCGGCAGCGCGACCTGTGCCACGTAGGTGATGTTCCAATGTCCCGCGTGAAGATGAACGCGAAGCACGAGTACGAGTTCATCGCCAACTTCAAGATCCTCCAGAACGTCTTCAGGGCGCACAAGGTCGACAAGGTCCGCCACGCATCCCACTGCATTTTGCGCCGTTTGCTGACCCTGTCCGCCAGCCAATACCCGTAGAGAAGCTCGTGAAGTGCAAAATGCAGTGCGCCCGCCATCTCATCGATCTGCGCACTGACCCCTTCCGCTGACCCACGCGCACAGGGACAACCTCGAGTTCATGCAGTGGTGCAAGCGCTACTGGGACACCAACTACGGCGGCCAGGGCTACGACCCCGTCGCGCGTCGAAAGGGTGCCCCCGCCGACCCGCCCGCGACCATCGCCCCCCTCGCACCGTCCTCGTCGCGCTCCGGCAGCTCCCTCAACGTCGGCGGTGCACGGCCGCGCGGACGCACACCCGTCGGCGGACGTGCGGGTTCGACGCAGCCGAATGAGGTGCAGAATCTGCAGACGCAGCTCAGGGAGATGTCGGGGCATCTGGAGGGCCTGGAGAAGGAGCGGGACTTTTATTTCTCGAAGGTGCGTGCTCACTGGTGTGCGGTGGACGCGTGCTGATGCTTGCGTTGTGTCGTTGTTGGTGTGGTGTTGGTGGTGGTGGGGACGGTCGCGGTGGGATTAGCTGCGCGATATCGAGATTATCGTGGGGCAACAGCTGGAAACGTTGGAGGCTGAAGGGAAAGACGACCCGCTGCTACGGGATGTCCAAAAGATCCTGTACTCGACTGAGGTTCGTACGTCATCCTGATCTTCTCACACGCCGCTCATACTGACTTGTCCGCAGGAGGGCTTTGAGGTGCCCGAACCAGGTACCGTAGACGAAGAAGAAACATTCTAAGCATCCACAATCCACCCGAAGTAATAATGCATCTCTCCTACTCGCTTTGTACCCGGTATTATCATCCCATTTAGTCAGTCGTTTCTCGTCTCGTCGTTGTCTATCCATACTCTAGTATGATATACCGATCTTTTTGATGCTGCCGCGATTCGTGCAAGTTTCGCACTTCCAGATGTTCAGATGCCTGCGCGCACGCGAGATGACTCGCCGGTGAGTGGCGTCGACGAGGCGCCAGATAGCCGATCGTGCCAGTGCATGATCGGTGCGCGATCGTGTCTAGCAGGCTCGCGGTTCGCTTTCCCCCCATTACGCTTCGTGTCTCTGCTCGCAGTCTCGCTTCAGATCCATTCAGAGCGGTAAGTACATACCAGGCTGCAAAAGTGGCTACGACACGTGCCGGCGGAACCCCTCCTACACTACTAGGTACGTCGGGATCTCTCCGCTACTTCGTCCTTCTCATGCGCCCACAGCGCTAGTGTTGTCCTCCGTGCCCCACATCGGTGAGTGGTCTATACGATCGTTCCGTTCGGGCTCGTCCTGCCCTATTGATCATCCCTCCATAGATATTTGCAGGATCTCGGCGAAGAAGACGAGTTCAGGGACACTCGTGGCATACACTGATTGTCGCCGCCCGCGCTCGATAAGTAGCGAGCAGGAGATCAGGCTCCGGGCGCGAACGAACATCTGCTAGCACGTTTGGGGCCTCACATTCCAGACTCCCCGGGCGTTATTCCATTCTTCGTCCTCAAGCACATCGTGCGCCCAAGAAGATTCAGAAGCACAGAAGGCGGAGGGCCAAGCTATCTTTATTTCTGGGCCATCATCGCAGCTGCATCTGCGGGTCTTTTGAGATCCGGTCGCTCGCTGCAGAGCACAGAGCAGGATGCGGTGCGGCGCTACGCCCTGCTGGGCGGTGGGTTGACGAGTCCGTGGTCGTTCCTCACCCCAACTACTAAGGGCAGCGAGTCCTGACCTGGCTGCGCCGCTCCTGCGTCGAGAAGGAATCGCGCGTCCGTGACGATGAGCTCGTCGAACTCCGCACCCTCCGGCCCGAGCTTCGTGTTCATCGACGACCAGAGCGGCGCGATCCAGTACGCGGGGGACTGGGCGCCGAGCGACTACCCGAGCGCGGTGGCGAACAACGGGACGGTCACGCTCGGGCTCGCCGCGAACGCGTCCGCGACGTACGCTTTCACCGTCCGTGCGTCCCTCCTCTCTCCTCGTCTGTCTGCTCACTTCCGACTCGCTTTGACCAGCCGACGGCGAAGCGATGATAATCGCCGTATTCGGTGTCGTCCTCCCCGCCAACGCGTCGGGCACGCTCCCCATCTCGTCGTACACCCTCGACAGCGCCTCGGCAGTGCAATACACCCCGCCTCTCGGCGCAGCGCACGCCAAGCAGGTGGGGTTCTACGAGTCGCCGCCGCTCCCGCCCGGACCACACGAGCTCGTGATCGAGGTGGAGAAGGTGCCCGATCCGGATGCGTACCCGTACATGCTGGACGAGTTGGTCGTGATGGAGGGGGCGATCTCCGGCCCGCCGGGGGCGCACGGGGTGAGTGCGGGCGCGATTGTGGGCGCTGTGATCGGGAGCGTCGCGCTCTTGGTGAACGTCCTCGGTCTGCTGGGCATGTTTTTCTACTTTAGGCGGAGGGCGCGCCGGCGCGACGGGGCGCGGAGGAGGGACGAGATGGGCGAGCATGACGAGGGTGTGTGGCCCCTTTTTGCTTTTTTTTTTTTACCGATGACGTGCGGCGCTGACGACGATGCGCGCGTGTTTTCTTTTTTTTTCTTTTTCGCAGAGAAGCCATTCGTCCCCACCCCGTATACCATCGGGGAGGACTCGCCCGAGCGCGAGCCCATCCCGCCGAACAGCAGCGGAAAGCGCGCGATCGAGAGCCCCGCGCCCGCGCCCCGGAGCCCCGAGGTGCGGATGTGGGAGACACCTGTCGCTTCAGATCCTGAAGTTAGAGACGGCGCGGCTACGCACATTGTGCCCCACGACATGGCCCGATCAACTGGGGTCGTGCAGCCCAGTGGGGATTGCGTTCTGGAAGTGGGACCCCGGGAGAGAGACGGGCGTGCTGCGGCACCTGTTGTGTCTGGCGGTGGGGAGCGTCGGCTGTCGATGTCGGAGAGGAGGCAGGGCTCCTCGGCGCCGGCGGAGGCTCCCCCGGTGTATTCGCCGCGATGAACGTTTTTTGCCTTGCAGACTTTACGCGACACGTTTTGCACGCATTTGGTCTCGGTCGGACACGTAGTTGTCGAGACGCAGCGGTGTTATTATTATCATTTTGCTGTTCACAATACGCGAGGCCTGCGTCATTTTGTGCGACAAGAAGACGGCGCACGAATATTCTGCCAGCTTTTTGCTGTAATCCACGTTTTTTGCGACGTCGTCAGGACCTAGACCGCAGCAGATGTACCATGTGGCGCTGGTGTTATCAGGAAGGTAAAGTTTGATGTAAGAGCATTGTGCCGCTGCCAGAGGCCAGATCCGAGTTGGCTTCGAGTCTGGCGTGCGTTCGCTACTGCGAGAAGAAGGCCGAATACATCGGGAGTTTGTAATGCACGTTTACCAAGAGGTTTAAAAGTACATAAAATGTCGAGAGAGGACATTTTGCATTATTTTGTATGTCGGGAAAGGATGACTGAACCGACATGTTTGAAGACCTATGAGCGGGAGGAGGGTGGCGCGACGCGACGCGAGGCTACTTGCCGACGGACGCGTGCTGGGCGCGGGTCACGTGGGGTCGCGAGTCGCCTCGGCGTCCGGTCAAGGCCGCGTTTTCTGCTTCCAACGGTGATGGACCCATAAATCGATAAGGTATAGGCCCCTCTCAAGTTGCTCTTGCACTCTCACGAACAGCGCTCCCTCTCCGACCACCAACTAGCCCTCGCCCTCGCAGCAAAAAAAAGGGCATCATGACCACCGCATCTCCCGTGCCCATGCGCAAGCAGGTGGAGGACTACATCTCCAAGCTGCAGGTCGACATCGTCGAGGCGTTCGAGAAGCTCGACCCGAGCGCGCCCCCGTTCAAGCGCGACTCCTGGGTGCGCGCGCAGGGCGGGCGCGGCCTCTCCTGCGTCTTCGCCGTGGACCCCGCCGAGTACACCCCCGAGGCCGCCGCGCACTTCGCGCTCGAGAAGGCCGGGGTGAACATCTCGGTCGTGCACGGCCTCCTGCCCCCCGCCGCGATCAAGCAGATGCGCGCCGACCACGGGAACATCCCGGACACGGGCGAGAGCCTGCCCTTCTTCGCCGCGGGCATCTCCCTCGTCGTCCACCCGCGCAACCCGCACGCGCCCACCACCCACGCCAACTACCGCTACTTCGAGCTCGCCGCGCCGCACGCCGAGGGCGCCGCGGCCCCGAAGGTGCTCGCGTGGTGGTTCGGCGGCGGCGCGGACCTCACGCCGTTCTACCTCTACGCGCCCGACGCGCAGCACTTCCACGCGACGCACAAGGCCGCGTGCGCCCCGCACGGCGCCGCCGTCTACCCCGCGTTCAAAAAGTGGTGCGACGAGTACTTCTACATCCCGCACCGCCAGGAGACGCGCGGCGTCGGCGGGGTCTTCCTCGACGACCTCAGCGGCGAGCCGCACAAGCGCTTCCCCGGGCCCGCGGACGCGCAGCGCCCGCGCACGCAGGACGCCATCTTCGCGCTCGTGCGCGCGCTCGGCGACGCGTTCGTCCCCGCGTACCTCCCCGTGCTCGCGCGCCGGTGCGCGACCCCGAGCGACGCGCGCGCGCGCCGGTGGCAGCTGCTGCGCCGCGGGCGCTATGTCGAGTTCAACCTCGTGTACGACCGCGGGACCAAGTTCGGGCTCGCGACGCCCGGCGCGCGCATCGAGAGCATCCTCATGAGCCTGCCGGAGACCGCGCGGTGGGAGTACCAGACGGACATGGGCGCCGAGGGCACGGAGGAGGCCGAGCTCGTCGAGGTGCTGAAGAACCCGAGAGAGTGGGCGTGATGCGGTGCGAGGGCGGTTACGGAAGATCGCAAAATTGGTGTACTTTTAGACCACGGATGTGTTATTATTGCCACTGACCTCTCTCCTCCATGACGGGCTCGAGCCCCACTTGGCTGCTGCACCCTTTCCACAGGGGCTCTCCGTAATGATGGGATCGAGCAAATTGGGGCTGCTGCGACCGTTGGGCAGCAGGTCAAGAAGCGGTAGGTCGCAGTTGGTCACAGTAACCTGGAGAATACGACGATGCTAGCCGTGTCCCATCCCGGCCAGTCGCCAGCTAATAGCATTCTGATGCAAGCTGGGAGAAGCATATATATGCAGCAAAACACGTAAAAATCGGTACAAATATCTCGCTGTCCCACACCGGGTCCGCACAAAGAAAAAAAACTCCCGCTCTAATGTCCCTTGCACCGCGCGCTCTCGTAATTCTTCACGAACCAGTCGACGCTCTCGTGCAACGCTGTGTGAAAGTATCATCAATCAGCTTAAATGAATAAATAAGCAGCGGGGCGCGCACCTTGTTCGAACGGCGTGAACTGGAAGTCGCCGCCGACGAGGGCGAGCAGCTTCTTGTTCGACGCGGGCTTGCGGAACTGGCCGTCCGCGAGCGTCGCGTCGAACCTGTACTCCCCCCTGAAATCGAGCGCCTTCACGATCACGTCCGCGACCTCCCTGATGCTGATCTCCTCGTCTTCCCCCACTGCGCGCGCGCGCGCGCATCAGCCCCGCAAAGCGAATGAGTGCATGCGAAAGGAGGGGCGCACCGGAGAGGATGAGCGGGTCGACGTCGTCGTACTCGCGCAGCTGCCAGATGAAGAGCTTCGCGAGGTCGCGCGAGTAGATGAACTGCCGCAGGGGCCGCCCCGTGCCCGCCCCGACGAACGGCGTGCCGTGCTCTGCGCCACGTACGGTCAGCCGCGCACGAACAGCGATAGGAGAACGAAAAGCGCGTACTCTTCGCGAGGTAGCACTTGTGGATGAGCCCGGGGATGACGTGTGCGCACTCGAGGTCGCTGGCGCGCGGAGCCGCGTGAGCGCGCGGGAACGTGGAAACAGGGAGGCGTGGGGCGGACGACTCACTAGTTGTCGTCCGGGCCAAAGATGTTCGTCGGGATCGCGGAGGTGAAGTTGCACCCGTACTGGTCCTTGTACGCGCTGCGCAACGCGCGCGTCAACAGTCTGTTCCAGAGCCCGAGGGGGGGGGGACGCTCACTGGTTGAGGACGTCTACGAGGCGCTTCGCCTGGGCGTAGCCAAAGTTGCTCTCGTGCGGGAGCCCGAGGTGGATCTTCGTCTCGTCGAGCGGGTACGACACCTTGTCCGGGAAGACGCAGGTCGAGAGACAGGAGATGACCTTTGTGACGCCGTGCTGGTACGCGGTGTGCAGGACGTTGTCGTTGATGAGGACGTTGTCCCGGAGGAAGGTGAGCTGCGTGCGTGTGAGCCGATATCAATGCGCGAGAGGAGGGGAGCACGACCGACCTGCAACTTCATGTTGATGAAGACGCCGCCGACTGCGGGGGAGAGATCGATCCGCGTTAATTCGCGATGCGAGAGCGGAGGGCACGTACCGATGGCAGCGAGATGGATGACGTGGGTGGGCTTGTACTTGTCGAAGAGCTTCCTGGTCTGCTCCGGGTCCCTGCGCTCGATGTTCGCGAGGACGACAGAGATCAGAGTGGATGACCCCTCACCTCAAGTCAGCCTCGGCATGGGTGGCAAAGATCCACTTCTCGCCGGGCTTCTTGCCAAAGCGCGACCCCTCGGGCTCCTCCTCGATAACATGCTTGATGGCTGAGCCCACGAGGCCGGTGCCTCCGGTGACGAGGATGACAGACATTATGGTGAGGAAAGTGCAGGAATGGAGTAGGAGAGCTCTCCTCGTACCCGCCCGGGGGCCAAGCCATTTTGTAGCTCGCAGAGGGACAGGGGTAGTCGCAGACGGCAGGGGCGGTCGAAATGACCACGCCGAGGAAGTCCAGATTGGGAATGGCTATCCGCACCGTCTGAATGACGACCGGTCTTTGAGGAGACAGCGGCACGCCTGCCTTCCATGTCCTAGGACTGCGTGCGACGACCAGGTTAGACTCTCAGCATCCCCATTTGAAAGTCCGCCGCCCAAAGAGGGTCGGTCATCGTCCTCTGCACGCGTCATGTCCGCTATCCCGATTCTGACAGTCCTAGTGCTGCACGAAGCCAGTACTCTGTGCGCGAATCGCCAGTTCGATCGATGCCGCTGTGTGGCGGATCTCTACCTGCATCCGTCTGAGACAGATTGACCGTTGAATAGTGGACGGAGTCTCCCCGCGTCGTCGCAATGTCAGCTTGGGGGACAGACTGACGGTGTGTGTGCGATCGACAGGTACATTCTCCCCTGGTCTCCGAGAGGGGCCAGAACGCCGGCCCCTCAAACTCAAGTACTAAGTACTACTCGGAAACGCCTAAAACGTCGGTCGACGGGGCGAGCTTGGAGGACAATCAAGCATTGCCGCAGGCTCCAGACAACACGACATCTTCCTCGGCGGCGGAATCTTGCGCCTCCAGGATACTTGGCTGCACTCTTTCTTACCATATATAGGCCCCCGCGGCGGTTTGGTTCCGCACCCCTGTGTGTCGGGCAATAACGCTGGGCGGTACAAGAAGTGGCACACTCCTCTCGCTGCCCCCGCCCACATGAGGGACTCATCCGCCACCATGCCCTCGCACTACACCCAGCGGCGCGCCGCCCCCTTCCTCGTCGCCTTCATCTTTCTCTGCGCCGGCTCCTGGGTCCTCCTCCACCGCATGACCCAGCACCCCTCCACGCCCGGCAGCCTCCTCGCCGCGTGGCTCCCCGACTACCAATGCACCCGCCGCCCCCAGTCCAGCACAGGCCCGCAGGCGCCGCTCGACGACCAGCAGGTCGCGCGCATGCCCGTGCGGCACACCCGCATCGCCGTCGCCTCGGGGTACCAGCACCACTTCGAGGTGTACCTCACACTCGTGTCGACGCTCGAGCGCGTGTTCGGCAAGCTCGGCGCGCGCGGCGCGGGCGCGAGCGTGAGCGTGTACTCCCCGCCGTACGGGTACCGCTTCCAGGAGGTCGCGGACGAGATCGGGCTGCACCACGGCGCGCACTACCCCATCGAGCGCCTCGTGCCGGATCTCTCGGACGTCACGGGCGACGGCGCGATCGACATGGTCGTCTTCGGGACGTGCGAGCTCGAGTGAGTTTCTCCCCCCCTTTCCCTCCATACCCGGAATTTTGGGGTTGCTCGCTGATTTGTTGGCAGCATCAACTGGTTCTCGGAGGCGCTGCTGGCGGCGTGGGACGCGCGGGACGAGGCGCACAAGTTCCAGCTGGTGTGCTTCGCGCACAGCGTCAGGGACGACACGCAGTGGCAGGGGCACATCACCGAGTGGGCGCGCCGCGGCGCGTTCCGCGTGCTCACCCTCGGCGACCAGTGCGTCTCTCTCTCCCGCGCCGGTCGATTCGCCTCTTCTTACGTTTGCGCGCGCAGGGTGACGGAGGGCTACCGCCGGCTCTTCGCGGGCCTCGCGGACGATCCGGACCCGCGCATTTACACCGCGGGGTACGAGTACGTCGCCGTCGACACGCACGTGCCCGTGCTCGACCTCCCGCACCTCCCCCCGCCGCCGGCGAACCGCACGCTCGCCAGGGCCGTCATCCAGGGCACGTTCGAGGCGTACCGCCGCGACTACGACACCATCTTCCGCGAGCTCATCGCGGACCTCACAGGTGCGTGCGCTCTGTGTGTCCCGCTATGTCGGGCGAACGGGGCGCTGACCGTTGGCGCGCCGTCCAGTGGACCCCGGCGTGTGGGGCTACCTCCCGCTCGACGGGCGCGCGGCGTTCGCGCCGGACCCGCACGCGCCCCGCGCGCGGTTCGAGCTGCTCCTCGTCGGCTCGGGGGAGATCGAGGTCCCGGGCGAGCTCGCGGGCGTGGTCAGCGTGCACCGCGACCTCGACTACCCCGAGTTCTACGCGCTCATCGCGGGCGCGGACGTCCTCCTCCCCGCGTTCTCGCAGTTCGGCTGTAAGTGCTGTACACCGTGGCTCCGCGCGCGTCGCTGACCGGGATATCTCGCTGTGCGTTTAGACTACGATAACCAGGCGAGCTTCACGACCTCGACGGCGGTGCAGCTGAACGTCAGTCAATCCCCCGCGCCCCGAGATCTGAGTTAACTCCCGCTGATGATGATGACCCGGTTGTTGGGCTTCGCGCAGATCCCGATGCTGGTCACGAACCGCACGCGGCGCGCGTACGGCTACCTCGACGATCCGCGCGCGGTGATCACGCGCCCCGCGGCGATGCACGACGTCGCGGCGCTGCGGGCGCTGCGCACCGGGGACGCGGCGCCGTTCGACGACGACGGGGGGCCCGCGCGGGTGCGCGCGGCGGTGCGGGAGATGCTCGCGGCGGGGTGGGTGCGCCCGCGCGCGGGCTTCGAGGCGTACAAGCGCGAGGTGTGGAGGCGGAACGAGCGGGTGTCGGAGCGGCTTGTGCGGGATCTGTGAGTGGGTTGGAAACGTGGCTGGACTTTGGGGCTTTGGCGGTGTGTCTTATCTGTACTTGGGTTCGGTTTTTCTTCTTTTTTTTGGGGGGGGGGGGGGGGTTGGACGTTCGTGGACGCGCCCGTTTGGTGTATTGATATTCCTCCTCTGATACACGCCCAACCCTGTTTGGGCTGATCAACCCACCTGGAGCGCCAGCACGATCTGGGCTGATGGAAAGCCTGGCCGGCGGCTTATCCCGCACCTGAGGATGGCCTGATTGGCATTCAGCTTATGGGGACATCCTGTCGCCTCTTACGAAAAGCGACGCGAGCCAGGTCTCCGTCACCTCTCGGAATCGGGAGGTGATCTATGGATCATCGGGGTATGCTCCTCACTTTAGATAGAAAAATTATGTTGTGCACTTGTTTCAAATAAGTAGACATTGGCAGCTATGGTCTCAAAAAAAGCTGAGCTGATTTATTTGACGGGCCCAAGGGAAGGTTTGACTTCAGGCTTCCTTTGACTGCGTCCACAGCCGACCATGCCGTGCTCGCCTGGAGCGAGAACCGAGCGGAGTTGGAAAGTCATAAATATATCTTCTCGAAGGCGCCAGCTCACGTTCTGACCACCTCTTCCTTTGAGCCCACAACCTCTCGAACTCAAGTGTGTCGACTTCTCACCCTAAGACAGTGGCGATGGAGTTAGTAAGTACATCATTCATTTGCTCGATGCTTTGATGAACACAAAGGTGGCAGTGGCGGAGGCAGTGGAGATCGTGCTGCTGGAGGTGATGTGGGAGTTTTCAGCTTTGGGGCCAGCACTGCGGTCCTCTTTCAGGTCACAGCGGCACCACACTGACTTGGCCTTCGACAAACAGAAATTTTCAGCGCGCGGTTTGCACTCTGCACAAGGTTGTGAAAGGTATGCCCCGCCGTCACAGCCGGCATGAGTGGTTACTTACGCCCCACTGTCCTGGCAGGATTCTTGTTGACATTTGCACGACGTGCATGGATGGTTACCAGAGTATTTTATTGTTACATAGTTAGACATGTATTGTGTAGTCGAGGCAACAAATATATTTTGGTGCAAATTATTTTTCTGAAATCCCCGTCGGGCTCAAGCCGGGCAAATTCGGCAAGCACAAAACCAGTCAACCCGAACAGACGGCCCGCTTGGCACCTAACAGTTGTTCGGCTGCACAAAATTCAAGATCCGTAAGCTGGCTGGCGTGGCGCTGAACGGTCAGCTCAGCTAGACCCCTTCGATCATCTGCCCATCAGAGGTGGGTCTCGAGAGGGTCCCGGGATATGCATATTCACTCTCTGGCTAAGGTCATCCGAACATTTCCGGAGCATCCTCCGGCACCACTCATCATCTTATCGGTTTTAGCTGATTAACAGCCCTCCAAGGGATGGCCGTGTAGTTACAGCAATTTGCTAATCGTTAGGCGGGTGCCAAAAAATATCATGCATGGTCGGACATCGAAATTAATATTCAGAAGAACCGATAATGTTTGGCTTTCTTTGGCTCTGGTGGCTGGGTGCTTTTCTCTTACGGCGCCTCACCTGGACCATAGTGCCGGGTGAAAGGACCCCTGACTATAGGTGGAGAGGCCTGATGACTTATCCGGACGAAATTTGGGATTTTTGAGGCCTTAGGCCTGATCTCATCCGGATGTCGGAGGGCCCTGAAGGCCTCCGGAGGTGATCTCATGTCCGGCAGTTCCTGTCAGTTTCGGCGAAGGCCTGATCCTCAGCCGGCCATCCACGCCCCAGAAGCCGACAAGCACCGACCTCGAGCCGGTGGCGGAGCCGCCGCCTCTCAGAAGCACCCATACCTGCCTTATATAGGCGGTCGGCTGCCGAAAAGCGTGATGCGGTACCCCGGACAGGAGCCCAAAAATTGGACGAAGGTCTGATCTCATCCGGAAGTATGGGCCAAAAAATCACAAAATTTCTCCGGATGTTTGGGGCTGATTTTCGGAATTTTGGATCAGGCCTCTCCACCTATTGTCAGGGGTCCTCGGGTGAAGTGCGCTTGCCGCTCAAGCGCCTGGACGGGGCCGATGCCGATGCTGATCCCAGGTTTCACCCTTAGCCGACTGTGTGATCATTTTCAGCAGCCGCCTATCGATTAGCAAACGGCTGGAAGACTTGGGTTGCCGCATGTCCTATCGCGAGCGCCAGACATCCGCGCCCATTTATTCAGTGCAGTTTGCAGCCGTTTGCTAATAGATAGGCAGTTGTACCTCGCGCGTCCTGGTTCGATTCTCTCAGATTAAATCCCTCGCTTCCCAACAGCTGGGCTACGAGCTGCATTTTCAAACACAGTAGATACAAAAAATATACCTTCAAGCACTCTGTCTAACAGGTGAGAATGGGACTGAAAGAACATCAGGCAGTGGAGGTCCACAGTCTCAGAAAGGCGGGGCCTAGCTACGCTGTGCGCACACAAGTACAGGAAATGTATTCCGACGCGCGTACCACGAAATGAACATACTTACAACTGATGGACATACGAAGCAACTCTACAGACGCAACTGAGCGTCAGAAAGCAGTTCAAAGCGAAGTCCGGCAACAGGGTGGGTACACAAGGATGCTGCCAGCTTTTTCTCGAACATCTTGAGCATCTTGTGGGCCGAGTCCTCGGAAGGACCGTACCACAGCTCCGTGTTCTCTTTCTCATGCATCGTGAGCTTGCTGTAATAAAGCCAGCTAAAGGCAGCGAGCCCAATTCCCCTCCAAATGGCTTCGCAAGCATGTAGCGCCCCTGCCTTATAGAGATGTGTGATCAGAAAATCGGATTTTTCCTGGCAGCACCGGTCGTAATTGCTCGTGCACCAAGCGTCCAGCTGGGCATCCTGGTCAGTGCTGTAACTGCGCAAAAGGGCGAAGGGGAGCACGAATGACTTGAGGTCGTGGCGGTATAGGCGGGCGATCTTGCCACCATAGTAGCCCGGCGTCAGAAGATCCAACACCATGAAGGAGACCATTCCCATGCGCATTTTCCCAGCAGGCGTGCACTCTCCAGGTCCTTCATGAATGACTGCGAGGTTGAAGTTGTTCAGCATGCCACGCTGGATGTCTGGGTCGTACATGAGGTTGGATAGACTGATGTCGCCATGCTCGACACCGTGCAGCCAGAGTCGAAAATGACCTGCGCATGGGGTCTTCCAGTCAGGGTGATCCCAGCTGCGTATAGCGGACAAAACACTGACAACGATAGCAGTCTATCCACGCACGTACAAAAGGGACACCTTTCAAGTTCTCGATTGGTTCGAGCTTGCGCAGCAGGTGGCGTGGGCCGCTCACAGCGTTCCCCGCCTCCCTGCAGAGCACGCCAAGCAGCGAAATCATGTCGCGGATGGTCCCTGTAAAGTAAGCCACATCTCATGAATCCACCAGAAGAGGAATGTGCCCCCTGACGAGATCATCTCCATCGCTCTTCACCTCGATCACTTTCCAGCTGGTTGCAAAATGATAGGCCATTTGGACCCGCATCATCGCGGTGCGGCTTGTTTGTACTTACCCCAAATATAGTAGAATTTCCCTAGCCGAGCACAGCGCTACATCCAGAATCCACGCGCTTTGGCTGCGAGTGCTCAAATATGGGGAACTGTCAACATATTTCTCGAGATCAGAAAGCTCTTGTAGCTGTTATGTCTGTGCATATGAAAAATCTGATGTTGCAAGGGTCACTGGCATCAGTGAATGCACAATACGGCACATCCTGCAGCTCCGACTCTGGTGCAGCACTGGTGAAGTTGCATGAAACCTGGCTCAAGCTGGCAGACCATGCGAACTAATGTCATTGGAGGTAGCTGTATGTGAGTTCAGGTGAGCCATTATGCCCTTGATTGGCATGTAGTTTCCTTGTGAGTAGGAAAGCCGCAGCACCAGTCTCTCCGCACTGGCCTTGCTGGTGACTAGGAGGGGCGCCATGTCTCGTATTGTTTTCCGGGACATGTTCACGGTAGTATGGGTCGCCCATATGGCAGAGAATGGAAGACAGTATATGGCGTGTGCAGTATGACGGTCGACAGAATGGCGCAGAATATTCGTCGACTGCCTGGTGCTACAGAAGTGATGTGACACTCGGCAGAAAAATTACTATACTCGAAAGGCCGCCAGGTGGCGGCGGAACTTGCTCGGAGATGGGAGCGGACAGAATTGCCACAAAACAAATAGCGCACAACAACTGTGTAAAAAGGACACTTTCACTTTTGGGTCGGGAGAGCTTGCTCTCCGAGCAAGAATTTGGGGGTAAGTACAAACAAGCCACGCCACGATGATGCGGGTCCAAATGGCCTATCGTTAGTGTTGCCGAAGTTCAGTTCAGGACCAAGGTTCGAACCAGGCTCCTGCCCATCCGGCTCCAGGAGGTAGGGGCCCTTCCTAGAGTGCAGTGCGAAATCAGCCACACATCAACCACCGATCATGTGCAAGTTTCAAACTCCCCAATTCTAATCCTCCTTACCTCCCTACGCCAGCTGACAGAAAACATTGGTAAACAATGGAGCTCAGCATGTGGACACTCCCATTTGGCAGGCGCTCCACTGATCTTCAACTTGTCGCGTTCAGTGGCACATTGGTGGTGCACACTGACTATTTACACTGTGCTCAACAATAGTGAATATATCTTCTTGCTTTGACTCATGCTGAACATACACACCCTTGATGCTTTACTGAATGCCTTCAACTGCTATCAAACTATGGTCTGTTACAATACTCCTCAGTTATGGCACGTCTTTTCTTTTTCTTTTCTTCGTTCCCTTTACTTTACCAGACCATGTGATCCACCACGTGACTCATTGGAGTGCAACCTCCGATTCTCTACCCAGATGTCCAGAACCCCTAGTCTAGAGTTACACTAGATCCAACTCCGAACCTTCTTCTTATCACACATGCAAATCGTGCATGTATGCCTCATCTTTACCTCGTTCTGATACACAACTTGTTATTCCCCATTAGTACTGATTATCTCTCACAATCTTACTCAGCTTTCCCATACATATTACTTCCTCGCTGTTACCTTGCCCAGACATCATTTCACCTTATCTAGCCAATGAATGATCCCGTATTACTGCGTAGTACTGCGGATACCTTTTGTATAAGTAGTTGACCTCGTCGAGCTGGATCCCCATATCGACCTGGTTACCATTAAACCAGCTTTTCACTTACCTCTGACTGAGATCGACCGTTAGTAGCAGACAGCTACTGCGAGTCATAAGAACAAACTCTGATCGACCATCAGCGCGAGGACATCACCAGAAGTGTCTCTTGAATGGACTTGTGTCTTGGACTAAGACCTCGTCTTGTGATGACTTGACTTGACGCTCGTGTTTTGCTGCCGTGTAACACGGTCTGTGAAGTTCTAGTTGTTCTATTGACTCATCCAGACTTTGAGGATCACCTCTTGCTCAAGAATGTCCTGCAGAACTCCACACAATTTCTATCAGCCCTTCTCTTCCATGATAGGATGGCAGTCTCAACTTGTCAATGGGCACACAATGCTATCAAGCACTATTACTTTACCGAAGTGCAACATCTCACTGCAAAGAAGCACAGCTTACACTTTAGTGCATTCCACACCAATTCCGAACAGATCCAAGACTTCTGCATCCAAGATATGGCCATGGACATGCAATGGCTCGCACCCAGTTTGTGGGATTTTGTAGGATTCTTGCTATCCAGGCAGGAAAGAGGTGAAACACTGTCTGCACCTGGTGAATTGTTGGAAGGCGATGCGGAAGATGATGATGAGGCAGACTATTGGGCAGCACTGGGGTTAGGTGATGTGATACAGTCCGATGAGGGGCAGATCAAGCAGTCAGCAGAGTCGCAAAGAGAGTGGCAGGCAAGAATCAACCTTGAGTGTCGGCAAGGGCTCAGAATGATTGTGAGTTCAAAATTTCCTAGTCAAGATGCTGGAATTGAATTCTCTGCATGAAAATAGAAGGCAGTGGTCATTATATCCGTAGTCCTGCATGCTCAGAACCAGCAATGCGATGCACTTCAAGCAATTATCGGGATTTTTCTGCATGCATGCAACACCCCCGATAAGTCATCAAGGCATTGGCGCACATGGGGATTTCTATCTCCCCAGACTCCATCAACAATGCTGTGAAATCTCTTTCAAGAGAAAGTGCTCAAGGAATTCGTACACTTGCACAGTCGCTCACGGCAACATATGCTTATGACAATTTTGATGTCAAGTTAAATACATTAACTCCGACAGTTGAGAAATCAACTGACAACCTGCTGCACCTTACGTCAGGACTGGTCTTTCAGTTGGACCATGGAGTAAAGAAGGAAGACTTACGATGTTCCCGAGAGCTTTGGGAGAAGTCTCTGCTCAACCTAGCATTGCGAGTATCTGGACAAAAGTTCGGGTTTGAAGATCTTCTCACACTGCATTCCGAGGCGGTGCATCTATCAGGTCTAACACGCTGAGGTCAATTTAATGCATGGAAATTCCTTTCAATACGATCTGGTTCATCATGGGCCTGAATACTTTCATCAGTTTCGAGCGGCTCTACCTCTTCCTGAATCTGTGGAGTTAATACCTGTCAAAATGCTACAATATCTGCCTGCACATGCAATGGATATCAATCAGTCAGGGGTGGATGAAAACATCAAGGCCATAGAAAACCTCTTACTTAACCAAGGAGGTGTGGGTGATCCAACCGATCCAGAATGTCAAAAATTTGGTGATGGCGATCTTGTAGACTTGACAGACTATGTTGTTCTGATCCACGGTGACTTGGGAACCTGTGAACGAGTTCAGTCTGTTGTGAAGACTCGCTCACTGGAATCTACCAACTAGTGACAGTGCCAGTTTGTGGTCTTTGTTCTTGGTTTGTTCCACTTCAAGATGGCAGCTGCGGATGCTATATGGCACATCGGGATCGAACTGTGGGCATCTCATCATGACGAGAATAGTCTGATGGCTTATATAGGCAAATTGTGACCAAAAGAAACAGGAAAGATTGGCACTAATCTAAAATTCTGACAGATGCATGAGGTAATTGGACATGCTGGCACAGTTCTGCGACTTGATTGCTGGCGAGTTGAGGCTACAAAATTGAACAATAAAATCAAGAGTCTGCCAGATTTTGTGGAGACAAAGCCTACCCTTCAGAACCTTCAGAAACTTGCAAATTCATTGGCATGTGATCATGTAGCAGGTGAAAACACCAACATCTTCACATTACGCTGCTGCTCACAGGCCATACAGGATCAGAAGCATGAGAACACACTCTTGCTTCACCAGTATCTTCTGCTGTATGAAGAACTTGCATACACCATGAATGCAGGTGATATTGGTCGGGTTGAAACACTATTTCCACCATGGATTGCACTATTTAAAGCAACTGGAAAGCATAAGTATGCAAATCAGATGATCAAATTCCTGACTGACGTGAACTTCGTGTATCCGAAAGAATTAAGGCATGCAGTTCATTACAATATCTTGGTTAACCCAACATGAAAACCAGATCAATTTCGAGCAGTTGATTGGTTAGTAGAACTTGGGAACCTATACACAAAGGTGTGTTAGTTAGCTAGACACCTTCTGTAACCATGTACTGTGAATGCTGAACTTCTGTTTGATGGTAGGACACTTACAGTGGAGAAGGCTCAAACTACACAAAAGATCGAATTTTAACAGAGTCACCTAACATCTTGGTGTATCGCAGTTGCATGTGCAACATTGAGTGGAACCTTCACCTGAATAGTCTAACGTGGGCACATGCTACAAAAGACATGTTCAAAACATTCAAGTCACTGGGAATCTATATGCAGGAACAAGCGGTCAATGAACATCACCCTGGTCGGATAGCAGTATTTACCATCAAAGACTTTGTTTCGGAGGGTATCGAGCTGCTATTCAATGGTACTGCAGAACGTGAGACAGAGAAGATAGAAAGTGGAGTGGAACATGCAAGCGCGGAAGATCTAAGTGTAGAAGCACCTCTGTAGCTACAAATTTGGTCTATTCAATTGTTCTTACTAAAACGGCACAGTAGGAGCCCATCCATAAAATGTAGCAGGTGGAATAGGAGCAAGAATGCCAGACTGAGTGATAGCATTGGATTGAATGACAGCATGTGCACTTGATGAAGGCGTGTAATATGCACTGTCAATTGATGTCGGTTCATTTTCCTTGGCTGCAGGCAACTGAATTAATCCTGCAATCACCTGTGCTGGTGGTGAGGCATTTGTTGAAATTGCTGCAGCATGTTCATGACTTTCTGGATGCCGAGGACATTTTTGACTCTTCCTGCATGAGGAGTTAGAATTGAAGTCTGACAAGTGTGAACATCAACGTACGGTTGTGCCCAACAGTGCTGCATGCT